TTTTTATCCCTTACTTACTATTTTTTATTATGAGTGGCATACATATAAAAACTTCTTTGAAATACTCAATAGATTGAATATAATTATTTTTTAGAAAAGGCTACCACTACTATGGCTTCTTTAATGGTGGTAGTGTGTAATAGCTGAATTTTTTTCTTATGATCTATACTTCTTTGTCATTTTGATTTATATATTTATGATAGACTTGTCTAGACTTTGCAAGGGAATCATATAGGGGGTATTTGGAATTTTGCAACTGTAATGTTGTGTAACATTAGAAACAGGAAACTTGGCTTTTGTTTACTAAATTTCTAAAGCATGTGAAGCATTAAATATCTAATAAGCCTTCTATGGTTTTTCATTTCTTTTAAAGTGAAATACATTATATATACATGAGTGTGTGTATGTGAACATAAAAGATCACTAGAAATAGTGATAGAATATATCTTTGGTTCATTTCTATAGATTGTAGCGCACTGAAAAAATATCATTGTTTTCTTTCAAAAACTTTTTTATTTCCACACGGAATTATACACCATGTGAAAAGGGGTGATTTAGATAGCGATTTTGAAAAATATTTATGATATTTTTCAAAATCACCCTCTGATTTTCCCTTTTTTTTTATGGTGATACTTTCATAGCAATACTTTTATATTTATCTGTTCTATTCAATTTTTACTCTATCTGTAAGCTTAATAGCTAACTTTCTTTTTAAAAAAGTAATCTAGTATAAAGTAGATAAAGAGTAATGTATAATATTTTCTTGTTCCAAGTCAACCTGCACATCTTTATTTTAATATATCTATTTTATTTTTAGCCCCTGACCCCTTAGCTTTTGCTAGCATTGTTTTCAGACATACTCATTTTGAATTGTATCGTACATTTGTTACTTGCAGCTTTTTTTTATTTTATTTTGCTACTAGAAAGGTTCGAATGTCATAAAATATTTCTGTCTTATTTTATTACTAATACGTATAAACCATGTTATGGCTTTTGGCCACTTGTTGGTATTATATAAGAGCAAAAAAAAAGTCGATCGCAGAGTTTTTATTGTATTTCTATTTTCATTTTTATTTTATTTTCTTGGAGTCTTTCTCCTATAAATTTACCCTCTCACATCAGTTTAGTATTACCTAATATTAGAATCTCACAACTTGTAGAAATTATATTATTGTAGCCGACTTCAATTTGATTTATTTCTCATACTGTAAATATTATAGTAAGCTTGAATGTCTAATTATTTCTTTTAAAAAAAAGTCTAATATGATGTGTAAGTACTGTTTCTATAATATATATATGTTAAACTGTACTACTTATATCATTATTTTAAATTCTTGAAAACAACTAGAACTTGATTTAGTGAGACAGCTTTGTTAGCTTATGTGATGTGAATGGTGTGAGAGAGTTTTTTAGAATATGTAAATTAAACTAAACTAAGCGTAGTCAGATTAACACTCGTAGCCCTCAGGAGAAATATATACGCTCTTAAGATCAAGATCAGAAGAAAAAGAAAAACTATATGTTATACGGGTATTATTTATTAATTTAATTATATTTTGCTGGTAAAGTTTTCTGGAATTATAGGGAAAAATCTGATATGGGTACTCCAATGATAATAGAAGCAGTATGGTGAATATTTTGAGATATCTTATCTGCTATTGAAGAAATAGAAATAATGAGAAACTCAAGATAAAAGAAAGCGTGAACGTGACTACAGGGCTACAACGCGCTGGTCGTGTAAGAAGAGATAATATTATCGTGGCTGAAATACCAAATCTGTTCAAATTTTGACTGTGTCAGTGACAACCTATTATTGAGACATTTGAGTTTGCAAAACAGCTTCAAGAGAATTATATGCCTAAAATATAGAAATCCAGTCGAAGAAAGTCTTTGTGTTTGACTGTAAAATAATAAAGTCTGATTTTAACAGAGTATCGTTTATTAATTCCTGCTTTATTCCGGGGTTTCTGTTAAATAAATTGCTTCCATTCTTTGCAAAATCTGTTCGCAAAATATTACTCTCTTGCTCTTCAGTTCTGTATATTTTTCTGCTCTTTTTTTCATTTATAATAGTTTGCAGTAGCTAGCACCATAATATCCAATGACTAATATTTGTATTGCAATACTTAAAGATACAATTATATCAGAAAGTGAACAGTATTATTGAGATAGGTTTTGTTGGTTTATGTATAGAAGTGACCCAAATGTTTAACAGAAAAAGAGGGTATATAGCGATCCCCTCTAACAAATTCCTAGCCCAAATATTGGCAATTTTTAGCTTTTTCTCTTGGGAAATATGAAAAGAACATAGAGATGATGTGTAAGGGTGGTCTTTATTGCTTTTATCTTTTAATGTTTATATAGATATTTTGGTAATTAATAAAATAATATATTTAGTAAGATATTACTAGCACATTACTAAAATTTTAGAATAAAATATGCTTCTTTGGATAACTAATAATAAATAAATGTGACACTTTGCGTGTATATTCACATTTTTGACTGGCCCAAACATATCCCATATCTCTAAATCTTTTCGTATCAATTATGTAAACCAATTGATTAAGTAATGATCTTGAGAAGAGCATGATTTTTACAACTGGCACAGCAATCAGTTGAAAATCATAAGGATTGTAACAATGAACCCCAACAATGACTATCTATCTCTATTTCTCTCTCTTATTTTTTATAAAGCATAGTTTATCCCAACCTCTTAGTAATAGCTTACTAATTATACTACTTTATTTATTATCGAAATATCTATATAAACATCGAAAGATGAAAGCAATAAAGATAATCCTTACACATCACTTCTATTTTCTTTTTATCTTTCTCAAGAGAACAAGCTGCCAATTGTCAATATTAGGGCTAAGGAGTTGTTAGAGGAGATTGATACATATTTCTTTTTTCTATTAATTGTTTGGGTCACTTCTTTACACAAACCAACACAGCCCGTCTCAAATGAAAGAAATAGAAATTGATAGATATTTTTGGGGTTCATTGTTACTGTCCTTATGATCTTCGATTGATTGCTGCACAAGCTGTAAAAATCATGTTCTTCTTAAGGTCATGACTTAATTCATTAGTTTACATAATTGATAAAAAATATTTAGAGATATAGGATATGTTTGGACTAGACGAAAATGTGAATATACATGCAACGTGCCATTATCAATATAATTCAAAGTGCCGAACGTCTTTCTAATTACATATGAATAAATAATTAGCTCAAATAACTTGGTGTTGAGCATTGATCTTATTTACACCTTTGGTATACTTAAAGCTGTATGTATATTTGAAAATTGCTTCACTTGAAAATATTATACGACACCTTCTATCCCTAAGAAGGCTTCTGATAAGTATATATGTGTTATTAAACATACAATATTAATCGAATAAATCAGCGTATACAATTCTAGAGGCACTAAAACTAAGATGTGTGAAAATATCACAAGAATTATTGACAACAACCTCACACAACATATCAAATATTAAAATCAAGGTCTTTGAAAGACGTTTCTTAAAGGGGATATGTTTAAAGAAAGTGGTAAATTCTACACTGATATGTCGAAAACACAATTCAATTACGTTAAACACTCAAATGTGCATTTTAATTACTACTACAAATTGGCTAACTATTTTGATCAAATTTTCTACTGACCTGCAATCACTTTATTAAAAACATCGTAAATCTGGTGGATATAGTTTAGATCGTTAAAATTAGATACAAGTAACAATTGTATGTGAATATTACATTTTTGGTGGCTACAAAACCAATATAGGTCCAATAGATGGAGTGCAATCGCATATATCTACATCATATAGAAACACAACCGATTTGGGTGTCACCTTTTCAGAGCTATTGCAGCGATAATCCACCGTGGTATGATTTTTGGGGAATATGTACATCCTCGGGATTTGTAAATGCGATAGTATTGGAACAGATAGATTTTGAATAATATGAACCTCTTTATAACTGACTAAACATATCTTCCTTGGCTTATATGTATCATCTTAATCATCTTAGTCATGTCAAGTATATGTAAAATTCTGGTATTTATTCAATAGAAGAACGATTGCATTGGATAAAGCATATGAGCTGCTCTACATATATAGCAACAAACTTATTAATTAAACTAATCTTTATCAAAAATTCTACGCTAAGACACAGACGCTGAATAATCAGTTTTCAAAGCTTCAATATTTTTTATTCTTGATAATATTATCAGTGATGCCTCTTTTTATAACATTTCTAATGTTAAAGTCAGACTTTGTGAGAATAAGAATCAACTTATCTATATAAACAGTTATACTGTTATTAATAGTATAGAAACTATATTATGATATCAAATGTTCTACTTTGTGGGGAATACTATACCTCTAGAGAGAGAAAATACCCGTATTACATGCCAGATTTATTATGAAGGTATTACGATCGTCTTAGCTAAAAAGAAAATTACACCTGACCAGCCACCAAGTATAACAGATACTTGAACTTCCAACAATCTGCAAAGGGCATTGAATTACACAACAGTTGTGCAGGTCCAAAAGTCTTATTATCCATCTAATTCCTAACTTTGAGCTCCTAGTACGTTTTATCCCCCAGTAGGAAAACATTAAGAGAGTACAATAATTCATGTCTTTTAAATTTTATATATAAAGAAAGAATTTGTGAAGAGGGTGCTTCTCTAGTTTTCTTTCCTTTTTTTGGTAGCATAACATTCAGTTCAACGAATAAACTCTCTTTTCTAACTGCCATTCACAGCTAGTACATATGATTTACAAGGCAATGTTGAGATTTTCATGAAGAAATGCTTATCTAAGAAATAGAAAGAAGTATGGATAAACTAATGGACTCGAATAACTATAATACTTGTCCAGAATATGTGGATCCGTTCCCCTCCAAACTTTGGGTCACGAGAATTTATTGTGTAAAAATCATAAAATAAAATAAAATTAGAGACAATAATAAGAAAATTTTGTGTCTATATGTGTGTGTCTATCAAATCAGATGCTTCCTCAAGAGATCATTTCGATCATTGCTGATAATCTTTCAACAGAAGATCGACTCATTTGCACCTCTGTCTGCAAATCATGGAAGGATCCTTTTCAGGAATCTTTGTGGAAACACGTTGAATTCAAAACCAGGGACAAATTTGATATGTTTTATGATGAAGCGAGCCAGCATGACAGTGTATACCACCTGAATGGTCAATGGACAGAAGAACTGAGCATCACATGCGAGTCATTTATAAAAGACCAACGATTTCAGACACTTTTAGAAGTATTCCCGAACATCAAAAGCCTCACAATTTTTCCCGACACAATGATCAACACTTCAAAAACGGAGCCAGGACAGATCTTTTGGAAATCCTTGACCTTCCTCCGCATTATTCCACCCATTCACTACTCTGAATTTGATATCAAAACTTTTTCAAGAATTCTATCATTTACACCTAATGTCAAACGCTTGGAGATGGTAGACGCTGTCTACGATATCCTAGAATGTACCTGGAAGGATATTGATGTTATCCACGATTGCTTACCACTGCTCGAACATTTAGAAATTGCCCCTTTTTTGGCGTTGTTTGAAAGCACAGATACGCCTGATTTTTCTGGGATTAAGCCGACAAGAGTAACTTCTTTGACTATACCCAAATATGAGCAGTGTATCGTTTGGGTCAACTATTTCGCTCACAAGTATCCAAATATAAATCCAAGAAAATGCAGCTTTCTCAAGGACATTACTGAAGACAGGGAGACAAAAAACGTATGGGCTAAGTTAAAAAGAAGTATTGTTCGATGCTCCCATACGTGTAGCAGTCACGAAAATACTGAAGAAACCGAAGATGATTAATATACTTAAAACATAAAATGAAATAAACGTTTGGTATAAGAAGATAAAAGATAATAGTAATATTATTATTATTTTAGTATATAGGTATATTCTATAATATTACATGTCAAAATGTGTTTTATCTATATGAGAATATTTATTGTTACAAACTATTAGGTAACGACATGTTATTTAAATCGAAAATTATGTATTAATATATAAATATATAAATCTTAAAGGGGGGAGTGAAATGAAGATTGGATTGTGAATATCCTTTAATTAAATTAATTTTTTAAAATAAAAATTTAAAAAAAGTTTATTTTTTTATTTTATTTTATTTTATTTTATTTCCATTTTGGAAATTCAATGGACAGTGGAAAGAAACGTCACAATTTTCTCTCCAAACTTTTTTTTTTTTAGTCGAGAATAAAAAAAAAGTTGGACAAGATCTAGCAAGAAATCAAGTAGAACATTAATTATTAAAGTCATGAAATTTTTCACAGGAGACGAAAGTGGATTGGTCAAATGTAATTCTAAGAATTAAGTCATGTATATATAAATGCATAAAGCCAAAGGCAATTTCGAACAGCAGACTCACATTGTCCTAGGGATCGTCTTCCCACCAAAGGTTGAAGAGAAGAAGCTCAGAAAGAGAGCAAAGAAGGTCGACGATTCATCCGAGAAGAAAGAAAAAGAAAAGGCTGCCGCTCCAGAATTTTTCAGTGGTACTTTTTCGACAATCAACAAGGAAGAGGCTGTTCAACAAATGTCATGGGCAATGTTGGATGGTTCAAAAGAGGTAAAAATGATAATAGCAATAATGAGCAATGAATAAGTAATAAACAGTAAATAAGTTGAGCAAAAATTTATATACATACTATTCATCAATAAAAGCTTATGCATTTTTCTTCATTTTCTTAGTTGTTGATTGGACGTAAGAGTGGAAAGATCCAATATATGTCACCAGAGACAGGAGAGATTGTACGTGAATATAAGGATTCGCATGTTGGAACAGCAGAAGGACAGGGAAGCTTTGTTGGACTTTATGGCAGTGAAACGTATGTACTGTGTATTAGTATTATAACTATGGGGATGCTGTTTGGTTATTTGGTTATTTGGTTAATTTGTTGATTCGTCAATTGATTTGTTGTAGCCACCTTGCATCGTGCTCTTCTACCGGCCAATTTTCCTACACACTCCTCTCATCATCATCATCAGCATCATCAACTACAGCCATTACTTCTCTCGGTGCAGGAATCAATGTGATGCGCGGCCATTCTACACAGTCTCACATCTTCGCGGCAGGCGGCAAGGATCGTGATCTGTGTGTATACGATGCCAGTGTTTTAGCATCTCAAAACGACTCTACCGAAAAGGTGGTTTCAGACCCCAAGGGACCCAATAAAAACACCTCTAAGCACAAGGCAGCAAAAAATGCTTCTAATGGAATTGTCTTTCAAGCAAAGAACGTAAGTGATATGCAATAGAGGCTTTAAATATCGTCAAGACATAAATGGAATAAAATAGTAACCCAGTATTAGGTCAAGAATGACTTTTTAGATTTGCAACAGCCTGTCTGGATTCGTGATTTGCAGTTTATGAGTGAAGACACATCCAAGGTTGTCGTTGGAACTCATCATCATCAGGTAATTTAGATCTTTATATATAAGAAGAAAAGAGAAAGGCATAGTTTCAGACTGGTTAAACATGTATATTGTGTAGATCCGTCTTTATGATGCAAAGGCAGCACGAAGACCTGTATTGAATGTTGAGATTGGAAAAAACCCTATTACCAATGTTCGCGTTGGTAAAGACTACAACCATGTTATGTTTACTGACACCATGAGCAATGCTGGTACAATTGATATCCGCACAGGTGCTGTAGTAGCACGGTACAAAGGTACATATGCTTAATATTTCTTTTGTATAATTATTAATCCAATTTGATGTATTGATTATTGATGATGATTGCCTTTATTTTTATTAGGATTTACTGGTGCTGTCACAGATCTTGTGGTTGCTCCTCAACCAACATTCACAACAGCATCTGAAAATGCAATGTTGGTTAGTGTGTCGTTGGACAGATTTTTGAGAGTCCATGAGATGTCGAGTATGTTCCGAAGATGCGTCAACAAGGCCTATTTGAAGCAGCGTATGAGTTGTGTATTGGTGGATGAGGAATATGAGCTGCCAGAATCAGAAATAAAGAAGGTTGTGGATGAAGAAGAAGAGGAAGAGAATGCCATGTGGGATTCTCTCGCAAAGGTCGATTCGGTCACCAAAAGAAAGCGTGCATCAAACTAGAGTAAATAAATCCAAACAAAAGAATATATATATATATATATATATATATAATACTTCTCATACACTATAAACCAGCAACAACAACAGCAGCAAAAAGAAAAGTATAATTACATTCATGAAATTTATTAATTATATATATTTTTAAAAAAAAAAGGTATAATTCTGGCATATTTTCTTTACTTGGTTTTGCTACAACGTTAAATATGCAATTGAGCTGTCAGTACATGCTTTTATCAAAACCTTGCAAAACTTGGACGATTTGTCAAAGTTGACCAGGCTGATTTTGTATAGCCTTTAAGAGAATTATAATTATAATTATAAATATTATATATTATAATATTATTATATTGCATTATATTGGCTTTGAAGACAACATCTAGAATTGGTTTCTTTTGTTTTCGGGTGACTTTGGCTACCAAACACTGGACCATTCACAATAAATATTCTCTGATTAGTCGCACTACCCTTTTGGTGGAATTCGGGGATTATTTCATATTTTGTAATCTCAGATTTCAATTGCTCATCCTTGGATCATATATTACTTTATGTCTCTAGAGTTGAAATCTACATCTTTTGCCTGTCTGCCTGTCTTTTTCTTGTGCGTATTTCTATAATGTAAAATGAATAATTGAAAAAAAAAAGGATTTTTTGTGCTTATTTATGTTGAGGTAGTCAAAATAGCAATTGAACGTGCAGTGAAAGAAAAGAAAGATAGATAAATAGATAGAAAGCGAAATTAAAAAAAAGTCTATTAAATCGGACATCTAACTATTCGTGTCATTTTACATGAATCATGTAAAAATGTGCTGAGATTTTATTTTATTTTGTACAATAAAAAGCATAAATTTAACTGTTGATTACATTTATATATTTAATTCATCTTTTCCTATACAGCCTTCTTTTATGTTATTCATTCATTTAATAATTAATTAATTAATTTAATTAATTAATTGTGTATATATAAATATAAGTATAGATATAGATATATATACTTATATTTATATATTTATATGTATATATTTACTTAATTAGGCTCAATGTACTTCTTTTCATATAACCACTCAACACCACCTGATTCGGAAAGGCTGACAAAATTGCCAGTTGAACTCTTGGAAAATATTCTTCAAAGACTGTCATCCAAAGATCTATGTGAATTAAATCACACAAATCAACTTATAGGTCAGATCGCTCTTGTGACACTCTATCGTTCTCCAGTGATAAAGACAATCGAGCAACTCGAGGCCTTGTCCACAGTCAGTCCGTCGAAACTACAGATAGTGTCTGAACTGAACCTCGAGCACGTTGGATTTTCGATAAAGGACTTTCATCTTCAAGAACTAAATCAATGCAATCGATTGCGGATACTCAATCTCACAAACTGTAAAGCGTCATCTTCTGCCATCAACCAGATCCTGCTTCCTTCACTCAAGTACCTGCAGACCGTAATCCTCAACAACTGCGCTCTTGAACTCACAACGTTACAACTATTGGGCCAGGCTGGCCAACACACTCTCTTGGATCTCGATTTGAGTAGCGTGGTACTCAAGCCATGCAGGAATTTTGATGAGACAAACGATCTGGATGCACTTGTCAATTTGCCTTTACCGAGCACATTGGTCACAATCAACCTTTCGTACTGTAGGTGGGTGCGTTCCTCGACTCTTGAAAACATTGCTCGTAATTGCCCGCGCATAAGATATCTCGGTCTACGCTGGTGTGGAATGATCCATTTTACGACCCTAAGATTGGCGATCATGTTATTACCTAACCTTCGGACAATGGACACAATGCACATGAGCGCAATCACACACCACGACACGGCTGAAAGGTTGATCAAAGAGAGTAAAAGCTTGGAGGAAATACGATATACACACACAAATAATATGCTTTCACTTTCACACTGCATTAGAGCAAGATCGTGACATACATATATTTTAAACAAGGGCAAAGTAGATTGACAATGAATTATATAATGTCTTTTCATATATATATATATATATTAGTAATTAACTTGTACAAGTAACATAGTATTTATATTACTTCTTTAACAAATACAGACACAAAAGAATTAAAGGAAATATTGAAATAATAATAAAAAAAAAGTCTATTAGAAAGCCTTTATATACATATGTATGGGTACACACACACACACATACATATATATATATATCGAAGTTTTATAAAAGGAAATTTTCGTACAGTCAAATTTAATGACCGGTGGTATCATTTGCCCTCAGTACTTGGCACAATTCACTCACGAACAGTCACATGTCTTTTTTGGGAAGTGTAACAAATGCATTTTGCTAGTATTTTATTATTATTTTTAAGGGTCCGTAGTGAAGCAACTTCCAGCAAATCCAAAAAAAAAAGTATATATAGAATAAACATTTTTCTTCGTTTTCTTCTTCTTTCTACTTCTTCTTTCTATTATACTCTATCCAAATTTTCTTTCCGTCTTATAACAAGCTAATAGACAAATCAAAAAACAACAACAAGAGATGTCTCAATCAAATTTGAGCCATGTTTATGTTGCAGTAAACGGTATGACATGCGATCACTGCGTCCAAACAATCACAAAGGCACTCCAAAATCTTCCAGGAGTCTTACCTACCTCGGTCCTTGTTGATCTCAAGGATCAGATCGCGTCTTTTCTTATCAAGCCTGAGAATCGGTCGGACGTCAATCTCAAGGCCGAGATTTCATCCACAATCGAAGATCTTGGCTATGACGCCGGTACACCACGCATAGATCCCTCGGTCAACAACTCCAAATCTGCTGTCACCGCATCACTTACCCCTGCCAATGGCTTGGATCAATCTAATAATGGCACTGACAATCATAATACCACAACTACAGTAACAACAGCAAGAACAACAATAGATGCTATTGTTTATATCTCTGGGATGACCTGCTCTCACTGCACAAATGCAATTCACAAAGCATTAAGCGAGTTACCCTCGGTCTTGCCAGATTCGATACAAGTATCTCTTGACACTGCCACTGCCAAACTCTCTTTTAAAATCCCCAGTCCGCCAGAGATCACTCCGGATTATTTGCGTGACACCATCGAAGACATGGGATACGATGTAGAAGGAATCGATTGGAATGATGATAACACATCCCAACAAGACAACACAACCCAAGAGATAGAACGACAAAGTCAACAAGAACAATTACCTAGTTACAAGACTGCTACTTTTTCGGTGATTGGAATGACCTGCTCTCATTGCGTTCAGACTGTCAACAAAGCTCTGGCTGGACTTCCGGGTGTCATTGTTGATTCAATCAAGGTCAGTCTGGACCAAAAGAACGCGGTCCTGTCGTTTCAGGGCGACTACATTCAGCCGTCTCTGTTCACAAGCACAATTGTCGATCTTGGCTACGATGTTCCGAGTAAGCCAGTAATCACAGTCAGCAACGGAGAAAAGCTTTTTGGTCGACCGGCAAGTATTTTATCGTCCAAGCGATCGTCAAGCCTGTTTAGTAGTGATGCTGATTCAGGGATGCGCAAGGTCGTGATGCGTGTCCTGGGCATGACTTGTGAGAGCTGTGTCGTTTCAGTAAAAAGTGCACTCAAGAAACTCAAGGGCGTCAATCCAGAATCTGTTCAGGTCGACTTGGAAACCGAGATGGCCATGTTTGTCTCTCTCAATCCAGACACCCCAGCAATCTACGAGGCCATTGAAGAAAGAGGATTTGAGGCCGACAATATCCAAATCATTCATAATCTTATCCAACTTGATTCACCATCACCATCATCATCATCGTCATCACAGCAACAACAGACTGATTCTCCTTCTTCTCCCTCTTCTTCATCAAACAAGCATCAGCTTACAAACCGCGTCAACTCATCCTCTGAATTCGAGTCCAGTGTATCTTTAGGTGATGTCCTGGTTCAAGACTCCTCTATGATGACCATCCCAAAAAAAGTTACTCTGCAAGTTTCTGGCATGACATGCTCCAGCTGTGTCCGCACACTCGAAAAGGGGCTGGCTGAGTTACCAAGTGTAAATGCTGAGTCAGTTAAGGTCAATCTCTTGACAGGCACAGCATCATTTTCTGTTTATGGAGAAGCCCTGAGCGACGAGATGATTAGTAAAAAAGTCAAGAATATGGGATACAAGGCTAGTAACATTGCAATCATTGCTGAACAGCAACCACTCCAAAACCAACAAAAGAAAAAGAAGAACAGTTCGGGTGCTTCAAAGACAAGTTACAAGATTGATATGATTATCACTGGTATGTTTTGTTCCAACTGCGTTGAAAAGGTTCACAAGGTACTTTCTGACCTACCCGGAACAATAACCGCAAGTATTGTAATCGACCTGGATTCTGGCCGGACAAGTTTCCGATCAAGTGAGGCTATATCCAGACCGCGTATCGAACAAGCTGCCCTGAAGCTTGGGCTTATGACCGACAGTGTTGAGATTATAAAGCAAGAGGGAGATCAAGAAGGATCTGAAAACACCGACAAAGAAAATGGTCTTGGCTCAAGAACATCTAAAGAGGAAGAAGATGAAGAAGGCAATAACAATTCTGGAAATCTGACGGTGACTAAGCTTACAGTGACTGGCATGACATGCAGCTCGTGCGTGGCAAATATCGAGCGTACTGTGATGAAACAGCCAGGTGTGACAAGCTGTCAAGTCAATCTGCTGTCCAAGACTGCCGTGATCCGACACGACCCATCCATTGTCGGGGCTCGTTCGCTGGCCAACATGATTGAGCAGATTGGGTACAAGGCCGAGCTTTCACATAGCCAGTCGTCGGATGCCTTGTCAGACCAGCGTAAGACGATGCGCGAGACAATGGATAAGGAGATCAAGATCCTGCTGTCTCGGTTCTTGTGGTCCCTTTTGTTTGCAGTTCCGGTCGTACTAATCAGCATGATTTTTATGATGGCCGTTCCGGGAACCCAGCGTGTACACCAGGTGTTTGTGCTACCGATCGTGCCTGGTCTGAGCGTTGGTGATCTGATTCTGTTTGTCCTTGCCACACCTGTCCAGTTCTGGCTCGGACTGCCATTTTATGTCAAAGCCTACCGGTCTTTACGCTATGCCCACACAGCCAACATGGAGACTCTTGTGGCAATGGGAACCACGGTGGCCTATGTGACTTCGGTGGCGTCGGTAGCATCCGCAATTGCGATGAAGCAACAGGGTTCAATGTCTCGAAATTATTTTGAAACCAGTGTGTTGCTGATTACCTTTATTCATTTTGGTAAATGGCTCGAGGCTTTAGCGAAGGGAAAGACGGCCGAGACGATTACAAAGTTGATGGATCTTCAGCCAGAGAAGGCTATTCTTGTGGAGGTTAAGAAACCCGAAAAAGAAAATGATAGCGATAGTAGTGGCTTAGGTTCAATGAGTTTAAAGGAGGGTCAGAAAGATGTGGAACACAAAGAACATGCGGAAGAGATGTTGCAAGAGCGCGAAATTGATTCCAAGGATATTCAAGGTAACCGAAAATAAAGAAAACATGTATATCTATATGATTGTATACATACATTTAAATATTTTCTTTAAATTATGTAAAATGCTTATTCACTTTTTATCTACACATCTTTTGTATATTCGCACATGTATTAAATTATGCTGGTGCAGTTGGTGATATTCTCAAGGTCAATGCAGGTGCTCGTATCCCTTGTGATGGTAAGCAACTCAATGTTTTTTATCTTATTTTTATTTTGAAAACAATAATCGCTTATATCTACGTACATACGTATGAAAGATATAGAATATGAATAAATCAACTTACTTATCATTTTTGTATAGGCAAGGTGTGGAAAGGAGATAGTTCTGCAGACGAATCGATGATTACAGGTGAATCTGTACCGGTTTTGAAAAAGGAATCCGACAGTGTGATTACGGCAACAATCAACCTTACTTCGCCAATCTACATCCGTGCCATCCGGGTCGGAAACGACACTACCCTATCCCGCATTATCCAAATGGTTCAGGACGCTCAAGCGTCTCCAAAGGCTCCCATTGAGCATCTTGCAGACAACATTTCAAGTGTCTTTGTGCCGATTGTGATTGTGCTTGCCCTTATTACTTACATCATCTGGCAGGTTCTCAGCTCGCTCAATATGTATCCTGATGAGTGGGTTCCAATGGGAGAAAGCAAGACGATCTTTTCTGTGATGCTTGGTGTGTCTGTGTTGGTTATTGCTTGTCCGTGTGGTCTTGGTTTAGCCAGTCCAACAGGTAATGATAAACAAATATAGTGATTATTTGACTAATCTTATTTTGTAATTATAATCAGCCGTCATGGTTGGTACTGGTGTCGCTGCACGTTATGGTGTTCTTGTCAAGGGTGGTGGATATGCTCTTGAGATGGCCAACCGCATAACGACCGTTGCATTTGATAAGACCGGTACCCTAACTCTCGGAAAGCCATCCGTGACCGACAGCTGGATCAATAATGCCACAGCAAGTAAACAGACCGAACTGGTTCTCTGGAAGATTCTTGGTCGAGTTGCTTCAGGAAGCAACCACCCACTTTCAAAGTCAATTGAACAAAGAGCAAGAGACATTATTGCAAGCCAACCACGTCAATCGATCTTTTCGGGAGACACTTTGCTTGAAGATGATATAGAATTACCCAATGACAGCACCAGTAATGATAGTAGTAATGAGAATGATAATTCTGTTATCTCTGATTTCCAGGGTATCGCTCTCACTAATGCCAAAGAAATTCCCGGCCGAGGATTGATTGCCACCCTGACACTGTCAGCTGAAGCGGCCCGACATTTACCAGCGGTTATCAGACACCAGCGGGCACTAAATGTGTTTCTGGGCAATCAGGAGTGGATGGATGAGAACCAGGCACGTTACGAGCATTCACGTCAGACAGCCGTGTGCCAGCAACAGATTGCGGATTGGCAAGACAAGGGGCAATCGATTGTGATGGTTGCGGTTTGCCCGATTGAGAGCAGTACACCATTTGTTAGCAAAAAAGAAGAAGAAAAGGAGGAAGATAAAAACAAAGTCCACGGCAACAAAGAAGGAGGATGTAACAATGCGTGTGTGTGCGTTGTCTGCAAATGTAGTGCCGGCTCAGGGTGTTGTAGTACATCAAAGACGATCATTATTGCTCAGACAGCGATTGCTGATATTGCCAGACCCGAGTCAAAGGCAGTGATTGCGGCATTGCAGACCAAGGGAATTGAGGTCTGGATGGTTACTGGCGACAATGTTCGGACTGGACAGGTGATCGGAGAACAACTTGGGATTCCAAAAGAGTTTGTGCTGGCTGGAGTAAAACCAGAGCAAAAGGCAGATAAGATTAGAAATCTTCAACGACGAGGTGTACACCATGATAGCAAACACAAGAAATCCTTGTGGAAGAAAGACCAGACACGTGCAGTAGTTGCCATGATTGGAGGTAAAGAACGAAAGGAACTATACCTATGTATAGATTTATGAACATCAAGTCTAACCAATAAAATATACGCATGTATATGTATATACTGTTATTGTGATTGTGATTATCATTACTATTATAGATGGTATTAATGATTCCCCGGCTTTGGCTCAAGCAGATGTTGGGTAAGCTCTTTCATTTTATTTTATTGACTGGTAGTTATTTTATTAACTAGGAATAAAAACAATGCTAATAATCCATTGATTTCTTGATTTAGTATTTCGGTTGGATCAGCTACGGATATTGCAATCGAGGCAGCAAGTATTGTGCTGATTCGTAATAATTTGATGGACCTCTTGATTATGTACGATGTGTCACGTACTGTTGTGCGCCGTATCCGCCTCAATTTCCTTTGGGCGTTTCTGTACAATGTGTTTGCGATCCCAATTGCAGCCGGTATTCTCTATCCAGGTACAGGAGAAGGTCTTCCACCTTATATTGCTGGACTTGCAATGGTTGCTTCCAGTGTTAGTGTTGTGTGTTCTAGTCTTTTACTTCGACTATATAGACCACCAAAAGATTCACAATCGCAAAAGATTTAGATATATATATATATATATAATTATAGTAATGTGCATATTGGTATGCACCATAGTAATAATAATCATGATAATCATAGAATACATAAGAATAAAGTTTATTTGGAAATTTGCCAATCTGTTGCTATAGAGATAAAATAATACATTTTTGGGAAGCCAATAAATGGGATAATATATATCAGTGGATTAAAAAAAAGAGAACGCGCGCATTTAAGAATTTGTTTATGATTAGGATTAGGATTACGTATTTTGCTATCTAAGTCTAGTGCTATAAATTGTTGGCTTGGGCTTAGATAAAGTAAATTACCAAATTCGCAAGTATACATATATTATTCTTTATTTGTTTCTCTGCAAAGTCATACAGATGGTATCCTAGCAACCTTTTTTGTTCTAAACATCAACGATTTATTTTTGCTTATCCCAAAAGTTGGTTAATAATTCAAACACAGATGCGAAACTACTGCTAATTTTTAAAGAGCGATTTAAATATCGAACAAAAAGTCTTCGCACATAGGTATATATAGCTTGTTACAAATGTACCAAAGACAATAAAGTAAATATGTTTTTTTTTTAGAAATAAAAAATAAAGGAAAATGCATCGTTTGACAAGTACTATTCCTCTTTTTCTCTATTTTCTTTTCCTTTCTTAATACACACACACAGAAAGAGAGAGAGAGAGAGAGCAAAAGGCTGTTATCATATAAAACTATATATATTTGAAAACAAAATGTTCCCACACTATTATAATCATTTTATATACAAAATAAATAAATAAATGATGATAAATTGCTTGCATACTCCATGTTTCTAAATCTATCTATAATAGAAATCTTAATTATTTGTATATATTTATTTATCTAGCTATCTATCTATCTATCACTTACTCACTGAACTTATAATATATATATTTACATGTGCAAAAAAAAAATATCAACACAATAGATAAATAAATTTGATTTGATTTTATTCAGTTTATTTGAATACAATAGTAATAGTAATGATGATTATGATGATATGAGAGAAATGAAGAATGAATAATGAAAATACAAGATAGATACAAAAAGTATGTATGTAAGATATATATTTCAATAAAAGGGAAAAAAAGAATGAATTATTTTTTCTTATTTTTGGTTTTTTTTTTGTTGGTTTTTTTTTGTTCGTTTTTTTTTCTTTTCTTTTTTTTTGTATCTTTATTTTTATTTTTATTTTATTTTATTTTATTTTTTTTCGTTATGTTAGTTCCTTTTTTTTTGTTTTTTTTTTTAACTTGGCCAAAGAAATAGATATATAGATTATGGGTAAAAAAAATAAAGGAAAGGAAAGGGCAGAGGAGGAGGGGGGGGGATTTGTTCTTGTGGTTATTTAAAAAAAAAATATATATATAAAAAGGGGGGAAAATATAAGAGAAAAATATAAAATATAAAATAAAAATATAAAATAAAAATACAAAATAAAATAAAATATCAAAAAAAAACGATATAAAAAAAAACTAAAGTAAAAAAAAATTATAAAAAAGAAAAATATATAAAAGAAAAAATTATAAAAAAAAAAATTATAAAAAAAAAGGGCTCTACTAAAAGAAGAGACAAATGCCAAATCCAGCCACAAAATTATTATATAAAATAATAATAATAATAATGTGGGGATAAGGAAGATGTGATTTGGGGGTGGAAAGGGAAACAAAAAGGTTAGTAAAATTTGGGGGGGAAAGAAAGGGAAAAAAAATAATACTCATAATTATAAAATAAAAAATGAGAGTCGGCAACCGGTAAATTTTCAGGGCGCAAAAAGTTGCCCCGTCAAGATAGAGAGATTGTTGGTGTTGTTTGGTGGTGGTGATGATATTGTGTTCCACCAAACACAAGTATCATTACACGCACGCACACAGAGAGAGAGAGTCAGAGTCAGAGAGAGTTGGGGAGGGAAAACACAAAAGACCTGGGGGTCTCTTTGGTTTTACACAAGTTCTTTTTGTTGAAGAGATGTTTGGTTTGGTTTGATTTGATTTGATTTGTTGAGGATTTCAACTACACGACGTCATCCATATCATGCTTCTGAACCTTGTGGCGGAAGAGCGCGTCCTTTCGGCTGAATGAAGAGCTGCAGAGGTCACATCCATATGAACGTTCCCCACGATGAACAGTTGCAACGTGCCGGTCACAGTCGTGCTTTCGATCAAAGGCCTTGTGGCATGTGTTGCAAACAAAGTCCTTCTGACGGTCCTTGACGTGTGTCTTCATATGCGTTCCAAGATTGAATCGTCGGCTAAACTTGCACTGGCAGATACCGCACGCAAATCGCTTGGCGTCCTCGGATGGAGATACCTTGGTTGTACGCTTCTTGCGGATAGTAGGGTTAACAACCTTGATGTCGTCAACCATAGAGATCTTGCGCTTCTTCTTATTGTCATTGTTGTCGCTTACAGCAATATCATCAATAACGGTGGTGTTTGTGTTGGTGGTGGTGTTAGGCATAATTTCATGGCAATGGGCGTCACCAAAGAGAGAGAATTCATAGTTCATATCGTTGTCATAGATAAAGGCATCAAAGTTGTCCATAGGGTTGTTGTAAGGTGTAAAGTCATCGTTTACAATATAAGAGTCCTGAGAAGGAAGGGGAGGGAACAAAAAGTCGGTGGCCTGTTCAAGCTCGTTTGCAGAATTGTTAGTTGCTGTAGCTGTAACTGTAGCAGCAGAATTATTATTATTATTATTATTATTATTATTGGTCTTGCCCAGCAAGAGCTGAGAAGGGTCTCCGTTAAAGGTTGCAACAGAGTCAACAGTCCAAGGAACACCGTAATCCACAGAAGGAGTGTTGTTGTTTGCAGAAGTGTTGTAGTTGAGGTAGCTTGAAACCTGGACATCAGCATCCTCGATCATGTGAGTATGAACAAAGGGAGACACCTGGAACCCATTGAGACAGGGTGTGAAAGAGGTGGCGGGAGTGAAGGGGGTATCGGTAGTGTTGCCTTCCAAGAAAGGGGTATCCATCATAGGAGAGTTCTCGACAGAGATGGTAGGAATAACATCAAACATGGCCATAAAGTGGTCGTTGACCTGCTCAGGAGTCAGGTTCTTTGAAGACTCGCCAAGATTAATAGCAGATGCTGTGGCACACAAATTGACATAAAAGTTCAGCATTCTGTCTTCTTCTGCTTGTTCTTGTTCACTATCATGATCTTTCAAGTCGACCAGACGACTTTCATCAGACTCACCATCATAGTTCCAGAAGTTGAGGCCAAAGGCGGTTTCGTCCATGTTGCTTGAAGACATTTTGTTTTTGTTGATAATAAGGTTGTTGTTGGTAGTGGTGTTGTTGTTGATAGGTTTAAAAATATTAATTATTGGGTCTGAGAATAGCAGGTTGTTAAGATCGTCAATGGTAAGATCGATGTTGTTGACTGACATGCAATGGGGTGATTGAGATGAAGTAATAGTTGGTGTCGACGGCGTCAATGTGACTTTTGTAGTTGTTGTTGGGTATTTAGATAAGAAGAAGAATCCAAGGTTCTTTTGTTCTTTATTTGGTATTATATATTGACTTTATATATATATATGTTACTTCACAGAATATATTTTTTCTTATAGTGAAACTAATTCGACTGAGAGTCAAAAGTTAAATATAAAAAAAAAGTAAGCAGAAGTAAAGAAGTAGAAAGAGAAAGACTTGAAAAAAAGAAGGGTTGAAAATTTGAGGACCCCCTTTTTATATCTTTCTTGTCTGTTTTTTCTTTTTTCCTTCAAAAAAGCAAAATGTTGCGCAGTAGACAAGACTGGCCATATCATTTTCTAATTTTTTTATTTTTTCATGAGGCTCGTGGTACTCAAAATATGAGTCACAAAGTCCGATCACTTTCTTTCAAGAAAGCAAGCCATTGCTTCGTTTGGAGGTATCATTTCCTTGTTTGGTAATGTGTATCCATGGAAACGTTTTTGTTTTTTCTTTCTTTCTTTTTCGTTGCTATGGATACCATAAAGATCGTCCGATTTTCTACTTTCTTTTTTTTTTAATCTTTTATTTGATATTTTATACTTCAATTTAATTCAGTTTAATTCAATTTAATTCCATTCAATTCTATACAATATTTTTTTTTGATTTTTGATTTTTGATTTTCTTGTTGATTGATTCACAATATAAAATAAAAAATAACATTCAATAAAATATATATGGAAAAAGAAGAACAACATCAAATTTATATCCCGAAACTCCATCAGGGAATGTCTTTTTGGCTTCATCTTTGTTTCACAACCCATGTCATAACTTCTTTAACTTGTTCCTGTTTATCCCGCTTTATTTTATTTTATATTGTCTTGTCTGTGGCGCATACAGAAAATTAGAAATACAGACAGGCAGACAGACACAAACACAAACACAAAACACCACAAGGCCTGTCTTTCTCTCTCTCTCTCTCTCTCTCTCTCTCTTCCTTCCTTCCTTCCTTCCTTCCTTCCTTCCTTTATTTATTTATTTATTTCATTTTCGTTCCACATGAGTCAATTTAATACGGAAGCACCCTTTTTGTTGTTACCATTTATTAAAGCAAGAAATAAAGAAAGAAAGAAAGGGATATATAAATACAGATAGATACACATAAAGTAAAGATGTGCTTTTGTACAATATAGTATCAGCCTCTTTTCTCCTCTTTCTTTTCTCTTTTTATATATATGTATATATATATATTTGATCAAGAAGTGCGTGTGTAAGAAATAAAATTCACAATATAAATTTGTGTATTGTGTGTGGCACCAAGAATCAATACCCAACATACCCCCACTCCCCCTCTTTTCTTCCTTCCTTTCCTCTCTCCCTTGCTTTTTTTATATATGTATGTATACAGCTGAATATGTCTGAAATAAGAAGAGAAAGAAAACTAGTATAAAACGAATAATGATATTGATAGCCATATGAACCACGAGAGCCATAATAGTTGATATCTGTAGAACGAAGTATTAATTATTATAATAATTATTAATTATTTAAGGTTTTCAGCATATTCCATTCTGGGTTTAAATATATATGGTATCCAAATTTGGAAATATGATTTCTGTACCACAACAATACAAGCAGCAGCAGCAAAAAAAGAAGAAAAAAAAGGAATAGAGACAAGGACATGGTTTCTCTCTTTCTCTCTATATTTTATTTTGGATTATTTCCTGTTGTGAATAATCAGTTGAATCAGAAGACATAAAACCATATTCTTCTCCCCAATACAAACACACATATAAGTTAATGATTATTATCATTGTAAATTAGGTTGTCTATAAAATTAATCTTGGCATATATATATATATATAACATTGGCCAAATCAATTATCTTAACACTTACAATGCAACACAATAATATATATTTGATGCCTTGTTTAAACTCTATAATCTCTTTTTTTTTTTACTTCTTATTTTCTTTTATAATAACCCCAGGGGTAGGATAAAGAATAAAAAAATATATATTTGAACGGGCTTGGATCCCGTTTTCTTTTCTATTTTATTCTTATTCTTATTTATAAAGTATATAAATAAATTAACACAAACACATACACAAGATCCATGATTGCTAAAAATGGATTGTTTGTCAAACAACAAGAAGCTTATCAGCCTTTGAAAAAGGCACTTCTCCCGAGAAACCGCTCAATCACTTAATATGTTGCCATGGTAACCAATTTTTTATTTTATTTTTTTATATATATATTTTTGTAATTGTCAAATAATCTATCTCTTTTTCTTTTTTGGTTTCCATGGAAACAGCTTTTACCCTTTTTATAAATATATATATAATTCTTTCTTTCGTTTTATTATTATTATTATTATTATTATTATTATTAGTGTTTGTTGCGCAGTATAACTAGTATATATATGCGTGTGTGTGTAAAGATGTGCGTGTAAAGATGTGTATGTGTATGTGTATGTGTATGTGTATGTATAGATTTGTACTTGTTGTATTCTAATTGGGTCTTCTAGGCCAACACGCACAGAAATTCTCATCTTTTTATCATTATCTTTCCCCATCAAACTAAATATAAATATTCCTTTATTCATTCCTTTATTTATTTTATTTTAAAGTTTGGAGATGAGCTCTTCCTTTGTTACATTGAAGTGAAAAAAAAAACACTAAAAAGAACTAAAATAAAACTAGAAAAACTATAAATGCAACATACATCATACAATAGCATACAGTAAAATAAATAGATACTAATGATAATAAAGTTGTATATCATAGCAACAGATTTATAGACCTAGCCAATAGAGAGAGACAAAAGAATAATCTTTTTTTCTTTACTTTTAATTTATTCATCTTGAGGATTTGATAAATCAAGCGTTGTTTTAAAAAAAATGGAGAAGAATGGAATTTCTTTTGAACACATACACATTTATACATCTATACATATATAGTTTATTTAATTTGATTTGATTTATTTAATTTAATTTAATTTAATTTTAAATGCTTTATATCTTGTTCACAAAGGGTCTTTTATCTTTAATATATATTCAATTGGGTGTCAAAATTGATTTTATGAAAATTACTCTAAATCTAAAAACACACAAACACGTCTCCTTCTACTTTGCTTTACCTGATTCTAAAACTAATCAAGTTACTAAGCGAGTAAGTGAATGAGTGTTTCTTTTAAAAGAATTTTTTTTTAATAATTTGAATATAATTGAATCTCAAAAAATGTACCAATCTTATTTAGAGTGATGAGGAGTAAAGCACTTCTTTTAAGTGATATTGATTTATTTTAAAATAAGAATAATAGAGGATGTGTGCCTTTTCTTCTTCTTTTATTATAATCTAAATCCTCTTCTTAAGTATCAGTCACGCTACGGGCAAGCTATTTTACGTCCTATTTTTTTTTTTAAAAAATATACACATATTTAATTTAATAATTAGCCGATTATTCAGGGCTTCTGATTTTATAATAATTCAACCTGTCAATCAATACTTGACAGTAATATATAGAGGTGTATGTATTTATTTGATTGCTTGGATATTAGATTATTCTACTGATTTCTTCTATCGAATTTTCTTTCCATATAATAAAAGGCCCTCATTTTGTGCCATCAAAAGTAGGGCTGTGAATTACATGCTAATACAAGGATCTATCTGCAAGTTGATACTATTGACAGTTATAGTGTTATTGGTGTATAGAGTAACAAAAAAAAACGAGAATAGTTTTCCCAGTATTGGGATAGGATTTCATAGGTGGGGGTTCAAAACATTTTAATTTTTTAATTTTTTAATTTTAAAAAAGACATATATATATATATAGATGATCTTTTATTTACTCTTCCTTACAATTCTGGTTTTTGCATTTTTTTTTTATTTTGTTTTGAAAACAGTGATTTGACCTGAATTTTTTTTTGGGATGTCTCTCGAACTCGTCGGTAATCTAAAAGACACTCCATGTCTGCCCTGAATCTATTTATAATTCTTATATATTAATTGCCTTTCAAAACTGGTATTGAAAGCCAATGAAAAAGAGGAGATATGAGGAAGGGGTGCATTTCTTCTTCTTAATATTATTATAATAAATATACATAATAGTTATCTAAAGTACAAAATTTATTTTCCAAAAAACAACACATAATAATACAAGTGGTGATAGTAAAAGTCAATTATCCAAATTGAAGGCACAACTCCCTATTTCTTGTGTGTGGGTGTGGGTGTAGATATATCAAGTATGATGTACGATGATATTATATGTATATAAATATGTGTGTATGGTGGTTTATTTAATAGGCGATCTTGGTTGTGTCTTTTAAAGTGTGACAGGCACGTGGCAAAAGATACATTTCTTGGTTTGTCTGATATTTTTTTTTGTCCTTCTTTATATTATTATTGCTATCTCATGTGCAATACAATACCATATACTAGTGATATATAATATAAATCAAGCTCACTGAGGCCACAATTAAGTCTTATTCTCAACTTAGTTCAATGTAATTCGATTGCACTATCACATCTTTCATTTCCTGTCACGAATACATCTTGCCAATTAGATTCTACAGAATAACCGTAATAGTAAACAATGAGGAATATTAGAATATAATTTTTAAACAGATAGTAAGATTAGTAAAAGAATAAGGTATAAAAGAGATGTTTTCTTAATAAACTATTGAATATCACAAATCCTGGGTTATGGGGACCTCGTCTACCCTGCAATATATACTATTCTTATTACTGTAGACTATATAAAATAAAAATGAAACATAAACATCTTGCTGTTTGTATTCGCATGGTAGCACAAGGGAATCCTCCAAACATGTCCTTTTGTCTAGACAGGCAAATGGGGATGTGGCGTCACAAAGTTACACGGGGCTGGGTGCAATGATGGGCCAAATAGAATAAGGAAAGAAAAAAGGAAAGAAATCTAGATTAGTGTAGTGCCAGTCTTATTGCCATTTTATTCAAATAGAAAAAAAGTGTGTATTTAGATAGGTAAAATTATATATGTGTGTGTGTGTGTGTGTGAGTGAACGTTTATTTTTAATATTTATATATATATTTTAAAATTCCTTCTTATTCTTAAAAAAAGGAAAAAAAAAAGAAAACACACACAGATCGTTTTTGCTACTTCTTTATCTCTCTTCCTTTCTTTACTCATTTCCTTCTTTCTTATCATTAATATTATTTCATTTTCCAAAAACAATTATTTCTAAAAGAAAGGAGGAAAAGTAAAAAAAAAATGTCTCAATACAACCCACCAATGCAAACACCAATGTCGCCCATGTCGCCAACCATAGAAGCCCTTTGTCAAGATCTCGACTTTTATATACATGAACTGAACAGTGATTCTAGTCAATCACCAGAAGATTCAGCAAATGCTGTCCAAGAATTGGATGTGGTAAGGAATTGTTATATAGATATTTAAATTAAATAAATGAAAATAAGGTCAATGTTGCCAATACTACCTTTGTGTAGTGTGAGCGGGTGGGATGGGTACCTGTATTTTATTTATATATATAAATTATAAACTCATATATATATATACAAAGGGCGAGATATAGAGATTGAAATAGATAGATAGATATATTGGTCAAATGTAAATTAAAACGATTGGTACCTACAAAAAAAATAATATTATGATGATGTATATATATATATATATATATATTCTTACACAGTACACCTTTCTCTCTCTCTCTCTCTCTATTATTTCTAGCAAGTCAATGGTAGCAACAACATGAACAATTCTGAAGGAAGACAACCGTTTAATTACGATTGGCCAATATTCAATCCAGCTCTGATGGAAAGCTATAATCAACGAGCTCTTTCTCACAACAATCCCGTTCCATTCATCGACACACCTTCAAATTCGTACACTTACACTACCGAAACCCAAGAGACCTACAACAACCAACATTCCGACTCATCTACCGAAAATAGTCATTCAGGAACGCAGCAACATCAGGAGCAGCAGAAGCTTATGCCTAATGAGTACTTTACAATGCCGACTCCCACAATTGCCATCAAACATGCCAGTGCATCCTCTTCCTTTGAAGACAGACCTATCGAATCCTTTTCGTCTGAGAACAACTACGAAATAACAGCATCAGAGTCCGAAGATACGTTGGGTAATCCTCCTCGTTCTAGTTCACTTCATCGAAATTATTCTGGTACCTCAACAACAAAAACAACAACAACAACAACAACAATTACTACTACTATAACAGCAGCAGAAAAAACAAATTCAAAACCACTTCGCAATCTCTCTAGTATCAAAAGATCCAGTCGACCAAACACATTAGAAAGAAAAAGGTCCCCCCAAAAAACCTATGTCAACTTGGACACCGACATCATGGCCGCCGGTAGCCTCTTGACCGGGAAAACTTTGATGAAATTTGCAATGCAATCCAAATTGTCCAAGGAGTTCATACAAGAAATCCAGAGGCTGAGTCAAGAGCGTACCCTTTTCTGTTCCGAGGTCTACCCTTTTAGTTTCACAGGTTCCGAAGCAGTGGTAAGTTTATATATATATATATTATCGTTATTATTATTTAAAAATAGAAAGAGAGAAAGAAGAGGAGGAAGAAGGGGGAGGAAGAAGGGGTAGAAAGGTGAGAGAATAATGGTATCTCTATCTTTCTCTATGTGAGTAAATGAATGAGCTATTGTGAGAGAGAGAGAGTGAATGGGTAAACGGGAATTCTTGTGTGTATTGATAAATATACAAACCAAGGCTTCTTTATTTATTTATTTATTTATTTTATCTTTTTTTTTCTCTTTAAAAAAAAACAAAACAAATAGAAAATCCTTCAAACTTTACTTCAAGGATCCTTTGTAGACAAGACTTACGTTCGTATTGGACGGTCATTATTGCATACCTTTCCTCCAGTGCTTGCTCCAGTGATATATTCTGAAAAGGCAACAAAACACAATGCGTTCTATGATTCTGACAGCGAGTTTTACACAATTGTGGAAGATACTGTGGACGGAAATATGCCCCAGGGTATATACACCCAGCTCACGGCTTGTTACGTACCAACATGTACGCCAGGCACAAGTGACTGCTACTCTACTTGCTGTCCAAACAGAAAGGTTAAAATGAGAGTGTTTGATGAAAGCGAAACAGATGTAAGGCAACGAAATAATAATAATAATAACAATAACAATAACAATAACAATAACAATAACAATTAGATTATATAAATACCTTTAAATATGAAACTAACAAAATTAAACTTTTATGCTCATCCAAAATATCCTTGAATTTGTTTGATTTTTCATTTTTACCTCATTAAAAAAAAAGACTTCTTCGCAAAAGGTGCCAAAGATCCAGCGCCATATGTCAATCAATTCGTCTCTTGCTTCTCGTGATACAGTAAGTTTTTTCTTCTTCTTCTTTTATCACTATTACTATTTGTGTTTCATACTATGTTGTACTATGATGTACCATGCTGCACCATGCTGTACTATGCTGCGCTATGTTGTGCTAATCTATAAAAGGCTTTCAGCAAACTTGCACACTAACACATAATAATAACAATCCACTTTACATTATATTATATCAGACAAACTCCCAAGCATGGTCAGCTACTGTCTCCAGAGAGATTCTGGAAATTACGCCCAAGGATGAAATCAAGCGACAAGAGTCAATACACGAGTTAATTTATTCCGAAGAAGATTATCTGAGAGATCTGAACTTATTGGAAGATGTAATTATTATTTATTTGTTATCTAAAAAAAAAGCTTTAAAGTTCAAACTGTCAAATAACTCCTTAACTCCTTCTCTAACCCACCCAAACACACTTACCCTTCCTTCCTTCATTCCTTCCATCTTTTTTTTGACAGCTTTTTGCCAAGCCTTTAAGTGAAGCCCAATGTATTGAACCGGATCGACGCGCGGAGTTTTGCAAAAAAGCATTTGCTAACCATCTGGAGCTTATTGCGATCCACAAGGAGCTTTGCCAAGACTTACGTGACCATCAAACCCTTTGCCAGTCCAAGGGAGGAGCAGGCTTTGTGGATCGTATCGGCCATGTGTTTGTAAAACACATTCACAAATTCATGGATCCTTATGTCAAGTATGGCCCGCAGGTCATTCTGGCCGAAGACTTGGTCAAGTCCGAAGTCAATACAAACATCCTCTTCAAGAACTTTATCCACGAAAAAGAAAAACAGGCCGAAACAAGAAAGCTGTCTTTTAACCATTTCCACTTTCGCCCCATCGCACGTCTTCAGCGTTATATCCTGCTCATCGGAACCGTTCAAAAGGCCACAAAACCCGACAGTCCTGACGCAAAGGATCTGGATGAATGTATAAAGGCCATTCAAAAGGTAGCTTCATTTATGGATGAAGGTGTAGGCCAGATGAAGAAGAAACTGCGCATTCGTAAGATAAACGAACGAATCATCCAAGAGACTGGTCAATTAGGAGCAGATGGAAAACCTCATGATTTTGAATTACTTGATCCCAATCGTCGTTTAATTCACGAGGGAATATTGCTACGTCGCACTAATTTCGTAACGGACCCAATAGAGATGCACCTCTTTTTGTTTGACCACATGTTGATCATTACAAAGATCAAGAAACCATCTTCCAGTAGTGGTGACCAGACATCCTCGAATGCTCACGAATTCTATTATCTCCATAAAAAACCAATCCCACTCGAATTGTTGGTCCTCCAAGACTCTTCCAGTAGTTTAATCAGAGGAATTTTACCAACACCAACATTGTCAGCAACACCACTATCATTTCCAAAGTCATCGAGTCCTGCCGCGCAAAACGGGTCTAATATCTTGCCTCAGAACGGCTTCTTCAGCCAGACCTCAATTACAATACAGCGACTGGGAAATGACAATGAAGAGACGACTCTTTATGACAACAAGACAGGTGATCTGGCTATCTGGTCTGGCAAATTAATGAACGCGAAGAGTGATTTAGAAGAACGCAAAAAGGAATCCCAGCCATACGAAACCGAGGTGTTGAACGACATCAACTTTTCTTGTTCATCTAGTATGGGATCTAAATACAATCATGGCAAAGTAACATGCTCAGTTCCTTATGGTAAAGCTTAGATAGTTGATAAGAAAGAAATCTGTTGGACGTACGCTCTTGTTTTAGTTTCTGTTACTGACGGTATTACCATTACCATTATTAGCGGCAACAAGCGGTAAAAGAATGGTGGCCATTGGAACACAAACAGGTGTATGGATTGGTGCTTCAGGATCCACTTCATTCCGCAAAGTGTTGTCTCTACTTGATGTAACACAAATTGATGTTCTCGAACAGCATCGCGTACTTTTGGTTCTAGCAGGTAATTACAAAAATAAATAAATAAATTTAGTAGTAGTAGTAGTAGTAGTAGTAGTAGTAGTAGTAGTAGTAGTAGTAGTAGTAGTGATAGTGGTGGTGTGTAATATGTATTAGCTTTGTAACTCACATTTAACTTATTTAATGTAGAGAAAGTGGTGTACGGATACCCACTGGACACATTGGATACAGGTTCCCAAAATAAGCCAGTTGAAAGAGTTCCCCAGAGAATCTCACAACATGTAGCCTATTTCAGCACCGGTGTTATCAAGGGAAAAACCTTGCTGATTGTGATGAAACGTAAGGGTATGGATAGTCATTTCAAAGCATTTGAGCCAGTGTGCGGTGATTTACGCGATCCAAAGAACGCCAAATTTTTGACAACGAAATCCAGTTTCTTGAGTAAACCACCAGCATGGTTTAAACTCTTCAAGGCAAGTTTCTACTTATATTGCTATACATACATACATACATACATACATACATATGTCTTTAATGAATAATTCATTCATTTGTACTGAATTGGATTGAATTGAATTGAGATGAAATAAAAGGAATACTAATTAAACGTTTGGGTTTGTTAAATAGGAGTTTTACATTGGTGCCGATTCATCAGCTATTCATTTCTTGAATGCAAGATTGATGATCGTATGTATTCGTGGGTTTGAGATAATAAACTTGGATGATCTCAGGGAAAACCGAAACCTGCCCGATCTGAAAAACCCAGAGTTTGATTTTGTTGTCCAGCATGGAGAGTATATCCAACCTCTTGGGATGTTTAAATGTAGCACAGAGGATTACCTATTGTGCTACGACAGATTTGCTTTTAAGGTGGATGTTCGTGGCAAATTTTCTAACCAGAATTATGAAAGGTAAGATAAGACAAAGAATCCTGGGAGTTAATTAAGATTTCAATACAAAAGCCAATGCTGTCACTTATTAGTATCTAAATCTGTTTACTATCATCCACTAAAAAAATTTACGCCTATTAAACTAATCAACCAATCGGTTACCTTTGTTTTATACATATATTAGAATTGAATGGGAAGGAACACCACAATCTGTTGCCTTTGATTATCCTAATATTATTGCATTCAATTCAAGGTTTATTGAGATACGAGATGTCAATACAGTACGTTCAAACCCCCTTTCTTTTCTCTGTCTCTCTTGCTCACATAAATATATAATCAATCAAATGAGGGCACATTTTTATGACTATAGTAGTTCTTTCTTTTGTGCTTTACTAAAAAAAACTAACCCTCAATCTTTTTTAGGGTAAACTCGTGCAAGTAGTTGTTGGCGACAACATGCGTTCTCTACAATTCAAGAAGCCATCATATTCAAAACGGCCACTTGTCCATGGAACTATGCAAGCTCCTTTCAAACCTGAAATTCAATCTGTTTTCCAACTTACCTTGAAGGCATCACCATCGGAGTCTTAGAAGAAGAAGAACAAAAAAGAAACAACAGCAACAGCAACAACAATAATCTAAACCTAAACCTAAATCCAACTCTAACTCTAACTCTAATCCTTCATTTCCTTGTCGAAAAAAACCACATCTGTACTTGTTCCTTTATTTTTATTTCTATTATTATTATTATCATCATCACCTTGTAAACCAATTAACCATTTTGTCTTCATTTTCTATCGTTTCACCTTGTTGTTTCTTTATTTATATAAAATTTATTCGGTAACTTATAAGTCGTTTCTCAATAATATATCTATATATTCAACAAAAAAATCCTCAGACTTATCACCATCACCACCTTACCAAGCTCTTTCCGTTATTTTCATTCCTCATATAATCATAACAATATTTATAATATTTATATACTCAAACAGCATAATAACATTTCTCAACTATCCATGACCTTTGTTTTATAAATTTAGCAGTTTGACAAGAATTCCATATAAATACATATAAAGAGTATGTTAAGTCGTTGTTTTTGTACCGCTCACCGCAGTTGATTTATAAGTAACGAGGCAGTTTTAAGTCTCGATATACTCCCCAGGTCTTCTTGTAGAATTTTCTTATCATTGTAGGAAGACCATACACGTAAAAAGAACTTCCCAGAAAAGAAGGAATGTTTTCTCGAATGACTTGGACGAATAAGACACAGTAAAGATGCGCTACACGGCTGGATTGCACCTTAATAGCGCTCGATCCAATTGGGTTCGTAATGTGGTATGTAATATAACTCAAAGATGCGCTCCTCCACTTCCACTACCTCTTAAATTTCTGTCTCCTGTACAGCAAAGTCAGACTGTTCGGCCAAGAGATGGCAGATACGGTAGCAGTAACAGCATTTGTCTGCTTCGATTTTTGTTCCAGTACATATTCTACTTTATTGACATAAAATTTGGGCTCAAGTATATCGGCAAGCCATGGTACAGTATTAAAGCCATAAAAAGTGAACACGGTGTCCATGCTGGAAAGAATTTAATCAATATACCAAAAAAATTGGATTTTTTTTGGCAGTTTTAGCTGAAGGTATAGCAGACTCAATTGCTGTAATACTAGCAGTATCCTTTTCTTGATGTAATTTCCTGGCATACACTGTAGACCCTGTCAGATGAAAATACTCCTTGGTTGTACAACGTCTCAATTGATGATCATTAGGATCAAGTCTAACAGCAGCAGTAAACACTCTGTTTCTGCCAGGGTCAAGGAAGCTTGGTCGATACATTTTGGTAACCTCTTCAAAGATAAAATGTTTAATACCAAAATCATGGTCTACGATTGATATTTCATCTGTTGTATTATGAGACCTTTTATAAAAGAGAAAGTCAACGCTGAATCCATCAGACCTGTCAATAATTCCAAGCAGCACATTATTCTCTCCATTAAACATCAGTCCTTCAATACTATGGTTAAAGTCAAGTTAATATCTTTTATTAGCTTTAGATTTCAAGATATTGTATTTACCTGCTATATTCTAATAATTTGAAATTGAATACTTCGTAGAACAATTGAAGGTCATTGTCATAACCTTTTGGCAATGGATTCTTGACAAAAGCAGACAACGAATTTACACTATAAACTACAGATCTCCAATGCATTAAATGGTTTAGTAAGATACTAAATAGTCTTGGTATAGGAAGCCGCCTAATATCAAACGCATAATTAAGCTCATGTTTGCCTTCATATTGATTCAGGATGTACTCAAGACATTTGTAAACATTTTCGGGGGCAGACAATAGAATAAGCAGGGTCACCATTTGATTAATGAGTGTTCTTATCGCCTAAGATTCTTGATCTACACTGTTTTTCATAGCATCTTCCGAGAAACCACAAGATAAAGGGAAATTGTTTGGCTATACCGGATCTCATTAGCAAACACATTGCTAGCAATATTCTTTAGCAATCCTTTTGATAGTATTAAGATAAATCTGCTATGTATATGAGTGATATAATTTAAAGTTAGTCTTATATTAACTGTTGATAATTTTTTGTTTACCATGAAAAAGTTTTGTAGTTGATAATATAAATACTTCAAAAGATGCACCTCAAAAATCTCCGTTATATTATTCTGGTAGCTTGTATCAAGCTCAGTGTACACCTCGGTTATATATTACGAGGCTTCTGTTTCAATTTTTCTTCATATACAATAGTCCTATGGCTATATATAAGTTTATTCCAGGCTGCTAGTATATCTGATGGTATTTCTATGCTGCTTGTAGCTCTTTTTGCATTCACCATTTGACAGACAAAACACAAGAATTATTGCGTAAATATACAGTGAGGGATATTGTTGTTTTGCATTCGTTGGGAGCGGAATGTAATGTAATAGTTTACAAAGATTCTGGCACGGAATACTATCTTCCTGGTATCTCTGCTAGCAAAAATTATCGCTGGCTTCAGGTAGTTTATACAATGCTTTTTTTGTTTTGAAACTACCAACATCAACTTCAAAATATTATCAGAATTGACACCAACAACCATAACATATCTTTTTTTTTTATTACCACTACAGGATACAGCTCAAAATCATAGCCATATAATAAAACTTCGACACTCCAAAACCATACATTCTATTCCTCTAAGCCCAAGGTCTCATATATCACCATTCCCAAATCTGGCTTTCAACTCTCGCACACACACGATATTCATATGCTTATACTTCCAACACCTTCTTCAATCCCAATGCCCCCCATCCCATCAGACATAATTTTCAAAGCTTTCAACTTCTAGTATATCTTTAAATAACCGCTTCTACACCAAACAAACTTCACCCAACACAAATACTCAACCATCAAAGTTTCCTTAATATCTTTAAATATAATCACTCTCACTTTTCTTCTCTCTTTCACTTCAATCAAATCAACTCTCTCCTGTCTCACCGTACCCACATCTCATATTCATCTTAATGTCTTTTTAATTAATTAAATTATTATACATATCTAGCTGTTATTAATAGGAAAATGCTTATCACAATCATTGTTAAAATAGAACTCAATTGAAATGGTTTAGAAAGATTTGGTTTTTATTAATAAAAAAAAAATTAAAATCAAGGCTAAATAATATATTATATTTATTAGCAAAAAAAAAACGAGAAAAAAAATTATGTCAGATTCTTAGTTCACTACTTATAAAAGTAGATCCGTCCTCCCCAGGACGAAGACCTGATCTGACAGCGGGGAGGGAAAATGAACTAGTTTACCCTTTGAACAATAACACTTCACAGGAACTTATCTTCCTCCATGTTAAGGGTGGTGCGGAGATCGACAGCTAGTGATCAGGCAGCGCTGCACGTCAGCCTACACCCTCTCAACTAACCATCTTTCTCTGAAGTACGAGTTGGCAACCGCAACTGCATCAAACGCACGACAAACTAGCTCTGCTAGACACTTGGCGCAAGTATAAATACTTGCAATGTACAAAGGTGCATTCCGTGCAATGTCCCCTTGTAGGTCTAGAAAGAAATGGGGTCCCATCTGGGAACTAAACGCCCAGAGAGATAAAGGAATCTGTTGGTTTTACCTTTTGACGCCAGTATTTCCTCGGAGACAGAATCTCCTCAATAGTGACAAAGGTAGTGTGGAGAAAGATAACCAGTGCTCAGGCAGCGCTGCACGTCAGCCTACACCTTTACAACCAGCTAGCTTTCTCTAGAGTATCGGCTGACACCGCAACCGCATCGCGCACACAAGAACCAACTCGGCTAGACACTTATGCAATTTAAAAAATTGCTATGTACATCAGCAGCGAACCACTGAAGACACAGTACAAGAGTACATTCCGTGCAATGACATCTTGTAGGTCTAGAAAAGAACGCGCGCCACCTGGGAGCGAAACGCCCGGTGGAAAATACTTCATTGGTCATACCCTATAGCAACTGACACTTCATAGGAACTTATCTTCCTCCATGCCAAGGGTAGTGTGGAGAGTCTCTACCAGCCATCCTGCAGCGCTGCACGTCAGCATTCACTCTCATAGCTGGCTTCTTCTCTCTTAAGCACTGGCTTGCACCAGCACACACACAAGAACCAAATCCCTAGACTCTCGCGCAATTAATGGTCATACTACTAGAGCACAAAGTGCCGTTCGCAATCGCAAGAATCGCCAGTGCTACAGTAACAAAGACTGTAGACACGATACAAAAGAACGTGCGTGCGTACGTCTCCTGTAGGTCTAGTATATACGAAGGGGGACAATCTAGGAACGAAACTCCTAGATCATCATAGGACTGGCGGTTTCACCCTATGTAGAACAACACTTCATAGGCAACTATTTTCCTCCATGTTGAGAGCGGTGTGGAGAGCAAATTCAAGCCAGAAGGCAGCGCTGCGCGTCAGCCTACACCTTCCAGCAAGCTACACTCTCTAGAGTATCGACTAAAGTCGCATCGCGCACACTAAAACCGCCTTGCCAGACACTTGTGCAACTTCGAAAAATTGCTATGTAATCAGCAGCGAACCACTGAAGACACAGTACGAGCGCATTCGCGCAATACCACTCGTAGGTCTGGCCTGGAAACTTCTCTACGACGGAAACGAAACGTCCGTGTAGGTCTGGCTTACTTGGTATACGGCTTGATGGTCGGTTGGCTAGCACAATATCTAAATAGATTGTTAGTCAAAGTCTGATATAGTAATAGTATTAATAAGGAACTTACCCAAAGGCCTCCATGCCTGACGCTATAGCTACTTCAAATAGAAATATATACCGGTGCGTATATACTCCCACCTAAAAAAACATAGTTAGTCAATGTTGAGTAGAGTACAGAATATAATATTGAGCTTACCCAAAGAGCTTCAGAAAAGGGTTTAACTCTTTTTTTTACCACAGGGAACGATTGCTCACTCCCCACAGCTCCGCAAACAGACATATACCGGTGTGTATACACCCATCTAAAGAATGAATATTTAGATAAAGCTTAGTAAAAGAAAAAAAAGAGCTTACCGAAAGAGTACGGAGGCACGAAAACCCCATGGACAGAAACACGGACACTCGTCGCTGCTAGCAAAGTAGATGGTTAGATATATTCTAGTAGAAAGGCAAAGAAAAAGAAGATACTTATCTTTTGGACTAGGCGGAAAGTGTGGGAAAGAGGTAAAAGAGAGAAAAATTTGCTGCGCACTCTTGCACTATTGATATACTTTTTGATTGAGGGCTGTGAGAAGTGCTGAAGTCATCATGTCAAATATGCATGCACCCCTTAAAACATTTTAGCTGAGACAAAAAAGGCTGATTGCTATAAATGTTTATTAAATCAATTATACAGACAGATTTAATAAGGACACGATCTTAAAGATTATATAGCTGTAGAACTTGCTATATGAGTATATTGAAAGAATTGATGGACTTTAATCGAATGTACTCCAAGTTAATTTGATATTAGCTTTTTCTTGCAACTTTACAACAGCAACATATATCAATTGAAAATTAATTCTTTCAAATTATTATTCTTTAGTAAGCATTGTATATTAGTAGGCATATATGTAAGGCTGCGAGACCTTCTTTACCATTCAAAGCAGATATTAAAAATGAAAAACATATCTTCAGAATATATATATATATATAACCAATTAATCGGATTAAAAAACTGAGTACACTTATGCGGACAGAAATATGTATCAATTGGATTATGTATTAGTTTAATATCCTTAGACAATATATTAGATACTTAAGTTTCCTTCTGCTACTTAATAAGAGCTGAATTAACCTACCAGCTGTGCACAAATCTATACTCATTAAGTCAACCTTAGAGCCGTTCCTGTAAAGCTTGTTTAATGGTGGTACATATCTAAATCTTATCTAACACTGTGTATCGTGAATTAAAATATACTATTTTGATCCAACTTCAAAAAGCTTTCTTTTAGCATATTCAAAACTCGATAAAATTTTGTCCTGGAACAAGTATATAGTATTCTCTAAAATTATTCCCTCATTAACTTGACAGAGATATATATAATTTATACTGTATATCTCTTAGACAATCTCTCAAATAGTTCTATAAAAGTCCTAATTATATTGTCTGTTCAAGATTTGTATTAACATTAAGTTGGATCCAAGCTATAAGCAATTAGACAAGATGGATTTGAGTATGCTTTTCTATCGATTTGGTATACGGTAGATATCTATGGATCGATTAAATCCTCATTTTCTTTTTTCTCTTTTATTATACTATTGCATTGGTATTTCTTTCTGTTCATAAATTCAATATAAGATGGATACTATATACATAAGTATAGTTACACACTTAGTAACTACACAAAAATTGTCAAACACCTTACATCAAAAAATATGATCCGGTTCTTTAAAAGGAATTGTATTTACATACAAGAGAAAGCTCTATAATTATATATACAAACAAGCACTAATTAAAGTATCCGCATGAAACCCAAAGCATATACAAAGTAAAGAAAAAGAAAAAGGGTAGTGAATTTGACAGACACTCTTAAAATGAACAGCTGCGTAATATATGCTATTATATTTTATTTTGCGCTTTAAGAAAAAAGAAAAATACATAGAATGATCTTTATGTATTTTATTAACTAGCGTACTTGAAGTCTTTGTTTCAAATCTATTAATTAAAATTAATCAGAGCCTATTCTTCTTTTTAGTTAAATACTTGTCTCCGATATGTATACGTGTACCATATACAGTCCAGTCTTTCTTTAAATATATACGCACACGCCAGCTTGTCTACCAATATCTTGGCTGTACCATTATAAAATATAGCATATAAGGTGGTTTGCTTTTTTATGTCTTCTTGTAGATTGGGTAAATGTTCACTGATAACTTAGAGTCTACGGCTTCCTAAAAGAATCTTTTTGTAGACTGATATGATCAATTTGTGGTACAAACAGCCTATGTGTACCCATAAGAGAAAGAAACATAGTAGACCAATTCACAGTGACACTACCACCCATACCGAGGTTGAAATATTATCTAGTTTTCACTCAATATTGTTCAGAGAGGACTGTCTATCAAAAATAACCTTAACTGAGCTGCAACAAAGACAAAACAAAAAATCCTTTTTAACAATGTCTTGAATCTTCTTTTTACATACCTCATTCCTTTCGGGAATCCTCAGTCAAACCTTCATGTCTACATTGACTTTACAAATCTACTGGAATCGACACCAAATTCACGACACTATCAAAACTGATATCAGCAACCATAACATATTGCTCTTTTTCTTTTCTTTTTTTGGCTTTTTTGTTTTGACACTACCAACATCAACTTCAAAATATTATCAGAATTGACACCAACAACCATAACATATCTTTTTTTTTATTACCACTACAGGATACAGCTCAAAATCATAGCCATATAATAAAACTTCGACACTCCAAAACCATACATTCTATTCCTCTAAGCCCAAGGTCTCATATATCACCATTCCCAAATCTGGCTTTCAACTCTCGCACACACACGATATTCATATGCTTATACTTCCAACACCTTCTTCAATCCCAATGCCCCCCATCCCATCAGACATAATTTTCAAAGCTTTCAACTTCTAGTATATCTTTAAATAACCGCTTCTACACCAAACAAACTTCACCCAACACAAATACTCAACCATCAAAGTTTCCTTAATATCTTTAAATATAATCACTCTCACTCTTCTTCTCTCTTTCACTTCAATCAAATCAACTCTCTCCTGTCTCACCGTACCCACATCTCATATTCATCTTAATGTCTTTTTAATTAATTGTGTTACCATTTCATTCGGATCAACTTCATCCTTTATTTTTTTTAAGCCCAATAATAGTAATACTTTAATTAGCTTCACTTGTTTGATATAAGGTTTTGTGATTTAACAATTATCAGGCCATTAATATTATTAGAAAGTACAAAAGCCAATATGTTGTGGAAAAATGTTGGGTACATCATGGGTGTCTGTCTAAGCCCATAGCATCTTAATGTAACATTTGGTCCTATTGTAATTCTTAATATGTACTTGCAAGAACTTTGAATAGATATTAGTCAAATGTTTCTCAAATGCCAGAAAAGACCCGAAAGGTTGTCCAGGATTTCCATATATATAGATCTGTCAGAGTTTCCAAAATTAATAGCCCTAGACAAATTTTTGTCAAGATGAAAAGTGAAATTCAAAGTTTTGTTCAAAATTACTGATTTTGGAAACTCTGGCTAATCTGTATATGGAAAGTCTAGACAAGAGGTGCTCTTCAAGACACCACACCTTACAACTGGACGTTTTACCAGAATCATTACCCAAACCTTACACAATGATTTATGTTACATAGTAATTATGTAATGTAAAATCTAAAAATGACAAAAGATCTTGTATATATGGAAGGTGTATTTTCACCTTCAACATGAAATAAAATGAGAAATAATGTCCCATATACAGCATACTAAGCAGCTATAGTTATACTGTTACTTTTCGTGAGAGTAATAGTTATGTTAATACGTTATTTTATTTCTTTACTTCTATTTTATTGCCTTTTAAATGAATCGGTCAACTCTTCTTAGTCATTTGCTGATTAGAAAAAGCTAGGGTCAAGCATTAGACAATGCTTGTAAAAATTCTTTGACTTCCCTTTCTCCAAGAACAATTTATATAAGGCAGTTGTAGTTTTTTGCTGTTTTATTTTAATAAAAGTATTTCAAAATAAAGAACACAAAAAATGATACAAAAAAAATGAACACACTTTAATGGCATTTTGGAAATCAAGTACTTCAAAAGTATTTTGCGTAATGTATAGTTTCAAAATTGTTTTGTGTAAGATCTGGGTGATGAGTCTCGTGGAACACCCAGTTGTAAGGTCTGGAGTCGTGAAGAGCACCTAAAGTTTAGAGTTTTGACCTGTGTTGGAGAAGTCTATTATTAACATATAATAGGCTATGCTTATGTATCTAGTTCATTTCTCTGGTTTGAAATAACTTTTTAAGTAGCAATAGTAAGAGTTTGCTTTTTAAACTTTCAAAGGAAAATGATTTATAGTTACTCAATATAACATGTTAAATACATGCTTTGTCAACAGCTTCGCCTTTGTGAAAGAAACTCCTGCATATAGTTTAATTTAGCTAGAGAAATTCAGTATAAAATCGTTTAATGAAATGTAAAATACTACTGCAGAGAATCGTTTGTTATGTTTATATACGCAACTATGTCTGAAGATTAATTTTTATCTCAAATATTTGCTGTAAATAAATGATATATGTAAGCAAGTTAAATATCACTGATATATTTCACATTGTGTATATATATATTAATGTTATAAGTAAAGCAAAGTAAAATATAAAAGAAAACAATAGGTGTTATGAAAGTGCTGTTTATATAATTACATTTACTTCTTCTAATTTAAAAGTATGCATTTATTTATGAATAACTACCACTGAAGAATTGTAAAGTATACAAGTGTTTTATATATATTATTTTTGTGAGAAAGACACTTTCAAATTTATGAACGATTTCATACTTATCTTTAAATTAAAAACGTATAACACTGTCTTTATAAATAAATAAAAAATAAAATAACTGATCTTTATTAAAAACATTATGATTTTTCTTAAAGTATATACAGCTATAAAGATAATTGTAACATATCTATATTAGATGTTTATTTTTTACTTATCCGTAATAATTTTATTGACTTTCTCAACCAGAGAATATATTTCTCAAATTGACATTTCCTATGAAATCCGTGCCTGATAAAATGATAAATGTTCTGTCTTTCAATACTACTCAAATGGAGACTGAAAACATCACTTTACCACTGCAGGAGTAAGTGTCGGATTTCCATTTTTAAGCTAATTACAACTCCGAACATTCGATATAATTAAAAGCCCGCCGCGCCTCTTAGCCCACTCGGTTTTTATCGTCTCTAGCTCTTTGACGCACTTGTTTTCAGCAAAAACGAATTACTAGAACGCAAGATAATCAAGCATTTGGTTGAATTACATAAAGTACAAAGGTATAAATTTGTGTTAATTTAAACTGAGGTTATAATTTCTTTTTTTTTTGGACTTTGTGATACAATTTATTAACTTTAATAAAACAGTACATGTGCACTGATTTGTATTCGAGGTTGTAGAAGGATAAGCATGCTAAAATCTGAAACTTTGATTAGAGTATCTTCAGCAGTTCACTTTATTTTCACTTTTATGTTCAATTTAATAAGATAAAAAGTACACTTTAATTTTTATTTAAAATAAAACAAATCGAACTGTTGAGCTGAGTGACACGGTTGAGGTGCAATGACCGACTGAGCCAAGGAACAAGAGAAACGGCGTGTCCGTAATAAAATGCCCAATTCGTCTCTTGTACCTGTGTACCAAAGACTGTTTTCAATCTTTTATCTCGTTCTATTATTTCTTGTACTCTTCTCCAAATTACTCTACTTTACTATTATCACCTTTACTGCTCTCACCTCTTTCCTATGCTGATCTCAAATATTACAGCATCTTCTTTACATTTCCTCTTTTATCATTCGCTTGATATCCCATTTCAACATCTACCCATCGTTTCTCACTTTATTATCTTCATTTTACTATACTCTCGTTTACTATATTACTAGTCTCACTCTTTCAACAATGACTCATTATACCCTTTTATTTTCTTCTTCCTTCAAAAAACCGTCCTCCTTTGAAATATTTTTGTTACAAGATTGTCTATAAAAGCAATCAGCTTTTCCACTTAATAAAAAATTATCCATATCTGTGATCTAATTTGTCTTGAAAGATTTAAGTTGATAATATAAACAGACGATTAATACCAGTATTTTGGGGTTAAGATCGTTGTTAGTTATTATTTACTGAAGTTATTTGTTTCTTTGACCGTTGGTTCACTTGCACAACACAACCAACACACACACGCGTCATGAGTAACATTTTTTAGCTAAAGTGGTAGTATTTGGCTTTAGATAAATTAAAAGGTGTCTCACTGCCGAAGATGTTCAGAAAGTCTAAGTCAAAGGGGAAATGTGTAACAATTTTTGTATGTGGAGTTTGCTACCACTTTAAGCTAGGCACGTGACTTTTTCTCTTTTCCCTTCATAGCACATTGCAGAAAATATAAACTTGTGATCACTGAATATTAAATGCCTGTACAGACCTAGACTTTAAGTCTATGGCTGGTAGTTTTATATCCCTCATCTCTTTTGTGATCCTCATCTATATACTATCACAACTAAAATTCGACACAAAGTGACGCAATACAAAAATAGAGCATTCTATTTTAAACAAATACAAAAAAAAATTGTTTTGTTTTTTCTACAAATGTTCCGTGTACATGCAACTCCAGTCAAAACTAAATCATCAGTCAAACCTCCATGTTTCCAGTGACTTCACATAACTACTAGAATCGCCACTAAAAACCACGGAATCCCCTTCTTTCTTTTTCTCCTATTAACACCAACACAAAGCTATTAAAAATTACACGGAAAATGGAACTAGCCATCCTATTTTTTGTAATGTGTATTGGAGGTAATGTATTTAAAAATGAGGAAGCTAGAGAACAACTAAAGCTAATTCAGCTTCGAATCTTTTAGTGTGTAGCGTAGATTAAGTTCCTATATGCTAAGAGATAAATTTGAAATGAACGCTCCATATAGCACGAAGTGTATGATTGAAGATCGAATGGATATCTAGTGTGGCATCGGCTACACTGATTAAGCGTATGTATTATCTATTAGGTTAAATAAATGGCGAATAAGGTGTCTAGTTCAGGGAATATTTCCTGGGTGGCGACGAGGGCGACGAAGATAGTTTGGTGAGTAGCCATATACGTATACATAGCTGACCTTCAACTGTTAATATGCTGTTGATTTAGATACTAGAACTTGAGTGGGATCAGTTTCATAGCTCATATTAGCATGAGGAGGATACTGAGAGGATATACCCAGAGGTCTGCGATATACAATACAGTGGATAATCTAGTGACTGAATTAAACACACGTGGAACTAAAAAAATAAGCTAAAGTGTACCCAGCTGCTATTGTTGTTAATTGGGACAGATGAGGAGCAGTGATAGCGTTATATCATTGTTATGTGATTCATTGCAGTCACCGCATAAGTAACAAATGTGAGTACGGTAAGGCCAAGTTGTAGTTAAAAGAGGCAGTAAGTGCCCAGAGAGTCTTGTTCATTTCTATCGTATGAGGAAAAGTGGAGCTTTGATCCTTGTCTTTACAGTGAGTACTAAACGAAAATAAATTACGTTATTTAGATTTTCAAATAGCACTGTATACGTTTAGTCTATAATGGAGACAAAAACTTGATCCTTGAAATTAATTGGAAATACACTACTGAAATGAAAACATTAATAATAAAAAAAGTTTAAAAAATGACGGGGAGCACAAATTTGTTACTTGATTCTTGATATCAAATATATAAAAAAGATATGGGCGTCGGTGAATTTCTCGAAAGCCTTTCATGTCTTTAACCAGTTCAAATTATTCTAATGATAGTTATTTGGTTTTAACTGCACATATACTTCTTATATAAAACAAGTAGTACTGAGTGGTCCAAAATTATTGTATACCTAGAATCAATACCTAAAACTAAAGTTTTAATGTTTAGCATTTAATATGACTGCAAGGTCCTATAGAAACAGCATAAAGTAGTTATTGAAACAAATGCATATGCAGGTATATGATACTCGAGCCCGAAATCTTTATTTTTGGGTTTGTCTGTTTAAAATAATATACAAAAATAATTTGTAGTAATATATTCAAAGAAACTGGTATACCTGTAACCCTTGATAGAGACTGAGATTCTTAGCGTTGGATTTGACTGTCAAAACAGGGAAAAAGTGATTTGGTAGTAAATAAATAAATATAGCTTTGGCCCACAATAGAGAGTAGAATCCTGATACCTGGTATTGGCTGTAAAACCATTAGTAAATACAATTTTCAGTGAGAAAATTTCTAAAACTTCCTCATATGTCTTTAATCCTTAATAAAGAGTAGAATCGTGATCATTGATCTAAACTACGAAGAGAAAAAAACTATGCAAATACAATCATCATTTAAAGAAAAATGGGCAACTAAACAGTGTATACCTGTAGCCCATGAATAAGAGTTAAACAACGATCCTTGACACTAAATTTCAAATTATAGGTATTTATAACCATCAGTGAATAGATTCACAAAGATACTTGTATACCTACGGCCCATGGTGTAGAGCAAAGGTAATTTTTTGATCTGGCGATTAAAGGACTAGACAAATTTAACTGGCATTAAGTAAATATTTGTATTATCTGATACGAATGTGGCCTATGGTTGAGAGTGGGACCGGGATCTTTGGTTTGGGCAGTAAAAGATACTAGAAGAATACAATATAAACTAAGCAAATATTCAAAGAGTAGTGTATACCTGTGATCGTCAATGAAATGTGGAACGCCGATAATTGCCCTGGATTGTGAGAAAACTAAACAAATTCAATTGACAGAGAGTAAATTATCAAAAATACGTGTATATCTGTAGAACGGTAGGAAGATTGAAATATGGACCGTTGACCCGGATTGTGAAAACTCTAAAAAAAGCACGAGCGATAGTAAAGAAAAGCTTAAATAAACTTATATCTGCGACCCTTAATAGAAAGTAGGATCTTGATTGTTAGTGAAGACATATAAAAGCCCAAACAAACTAATCTGGTAACAGATAAATACTCAAAGCAACTCGTGTTTTTGTGGCACTCTATGAACAATAAAATTTTGATCGTTGACCTTGACTATAAGAAGACCTTGAAAGAAAAACATATGTCAGTATTAGCATATTTAAAGGATTTTTTTTTAACTTTTATCCTTTGATAGGTAGCGGGTAATTGATACCTTTATGAGTGTGTAATAATTAGAAGAAGAAAAACATTCGATAGTAAGAAGGTTTGTAGATAAATATGCTTGTCTATGACTATGGATATAATCCCGAACATTGAACGTTGTGATTGAATATAAAGATACTATAAAATTACTACTGGCATTAATGAAAAAGAAGTTTAAAGAAACATACATAGTTTTAACTATTTGCAGGTGTAGCGAGGCATAGATCTTTGGTGTTAGCTATTCTGTAAACTAATCAAATTCAATTGACTGTAAAAGAAAACTCAAGCAAACTTCTATACCTGTAATTATATATGAACAGTAGAGCTATGATTGTTTTTCCTGGTTGTGGAAAGGAAAAGTAAACGCTATAAAAAAGACACACATACCTTTAACCCTGGATGAATAGCAGAATCTTGATTGGAGGCCTTGACTATCAAACCACTAGACAGATTTACCTGGTAAAAAGTAAGTTCTGAAAAAGTTTTATATACCCAGGAACTTTTATGGAGAGTTAAACCCTGATAGCTTGTGTCTTCCGTAAAAAGTATGGGAATATACAGCTTGAAGTAGCTAAAGGCTCAACGAGACTTGTATCTCTATGACCGTAGAAAAATGTTGGAATATTAATCGTTGGTCTTTACTATGAAAACACTAGAAAAAAACATCTGATAGTAAGCAACTTTTCAAAATGTATGTATACCTATGGCTAGATATGTGAGTCAAAGCCATGATTGTTGACATGGGCTGTGAAAATTCTGGACATATAAAACAGGCTGTAAGTAAATGGTGTAATAAAGATGTATGCTTGTAGCCCTGGATGGAAATCGGAAGCCTAATCGTTGGTATGAACTGTGATAAACTAGAAAAAGAAAACTGGTAGTAAGAACGTATTTCAATAAAAGAACCTGTATGTCTGTAAGTCTTGATAGAGAATGGAACTGTGAGAGCTGGAATGGAATAAAAAAAGACTAAATAGATACAATCAGCAGTAAAGTAATATTTAAATACACTTATATACTTAAGGCGTTGGATTAATGGCAGGATCTTGATCGTTGACCATGACTCTAAAAACGCTTGATAAAAGGCATTGGCTGTAAAAAATTAATCTAAGAATCTTATATACCTTTACCCAAGAATGTTGAGTGGAAACATGATAAAGACGGAAAACTTGATCAACGAACTTGAGTGTGCAAACGCCAGAGAAATTTACTCGATATTAAAAAAAATCAAAGATCCTTGGATATCTTCAACAATTACTGGAAATTTGAAGCTTGATCGTTGGAGTCGGATTTAAAACACTAATCAAATATAAGCGATAATAAGTAAATGTTCGAAATAAACGGTGATACCTGCGGCTCATTGTTGAGATTAGAAAGTTTATCCCTTGGCCTATATATCAAAAGCAATAGACAATAGCAGCCGGCAGTTCTAAAAGGGAAAATATACTTGAATGTCTGTGAACCTGGGTGGAGACTAAAATCTTGATCTTTGGTGTGGCCTATGGTGCGACTAGATAAATATGATGGATGGTGGAAAAGTATTCAAAAGAGGGTGTACGCCTGTCACCTCGACGAATAGCAGAATATTGATAATCGGCGTGGACTGTAAAATTATTAGACAAGTGCAACAAGCAATGAGTAAGTATTAAAAAAAGCATATATACATTTTACCCCAGATGAGCAGCGGAATCTCAATTAGTAGTCTTGACTATGAAAAGACTAGACAAATATAACAAACACTAAGCAAATACTCAAAGAGGTATGTATACCTGTAAACCTGCATGGACTATGAAATCTTGGGTGATGGCCTCGATTGTGAAAAGACTACCGAACTAAAGCTGGTAATAGGTAAGTACCCAAAGATACTGGTATACCTAACATCCAAGAAGGAGAGTGGCATCTTGATTGTTGGCCTTTCCTGCGAGTAGACTAAAGAAACACAATTGACAGTAAGTAAATACTAAAAAGGGGCAGTATACCAGTGATTCTTGACAGGGATTTTAACCTTGACTGTTGAATTGAACTGTAAAAAGACTGCTTCAGACAGCTAGCAATATGTTAATGGGTAAAGAAAGGCACTTGTATCCCTGTAAACCTATGCGGAAATCGGGCACTTGATCTTTGGTCTCGACTGTATAAAGTCTGAATAAAGCAACTAGTAGTAAGTAAATGCTTAAAAAGGCATGTATACCTTAACCCTATTTTTGAAGTGCAACCTTGATTCTCGACATGAATTGTCAAACATTAAAAAGACTCAATCAGTGAAGAATAAATGCTAAAGTATACGTGTGTATCTAGAACTTTGAATAGATAGCAAAAACATGATCATTTTGCCTTGACTATGTAAACGCTAGGAAAATCTAATTTTTAGTAAATTGTTTAAGAAGTTTTGTATACCTGCAACCTTTGATGTAGAGCTGAACCTTGAATGCTTGCTATGGAGAAAAAAGGGCTAGAACGGAACAGCTGCTAGTAACTAAAAAGTCAAGGACACTTTTATATCCGTGAACCCAAAAGAAAATCAAAAATTTGATCGTTGGCTTGAACTGTGAAAACATTATGCAAATATATAGTAAGTAGATTTTTAGCAGAGTTGTATACCTGTCACCCCAGATAGATGGCCCATCTTAATTGTGGGCCTTGCCTGTAAAAAGACTAGAAAATATAATAGCTAGTAAGTAAAGGTTCAAATAGTCATGTAAACCTTTAATCCTTAATGAGGATTAAAAACCCGATTGCTGGCTTAAACTATAAAAAAGCTAGACAAAATAATAAGAAGATACGTGAATACTAAATGAGACCTGTATACCTCGGGCACTAGGTAGATAGCAAAACTTTGGTAATTCAATTCGACTAAATAAAATTATTTGAAACAACAAGCAGTAAGTAAACGATCAGGTATGTACATATACTTGTTACCCTAGAGGATAGTAAACCTGGATCGATTGGCCTTGACTGTGTAAAATTAAAAAAATAATGATTAATTAATTAATAAATAGTAAAATAATACTTAAAGATTTTTTAAGCCTATGACCTTAGGTAAAGAGTAGATGCTTATTATTTAGCATAGACATTAATGAAGTTAGAAAAAACAAGCGTTATGCAAAGGCTAAAAGAGAATTGTATACCTGTAACCGTGGATGCAGATGAAATCTTTGTTCTTCGATTTGGGCGGTGAAAACACTAGACAAAAAAAAACAAGCAATAAGTAGAAACCCAAAAAAAAAGTGTATATCCGTTATACTGGATGGAGATCGGATCCTTGATGGTTTTCCTTGACAGTAAAAACAATAGACAGATAAAAAAGCCAATAAACAATGGCCCAAAGAAAAATATATATCTGCAAGTCTGGATGAATATCAAGTCCTAGTTCTTCGGCCTAAACCGTAAAGGCACTAGACATATAAAACTAAAAGTTAGTAAAGACGCAAACATATTCGTATACCTGTCACTCTGGATAGGGCTTGGATTCGTAATCATTGGCATAAACAGTAAAGGCACTTGACAAAAAAAGACACATTAAATAAAAGCACTTGTAAGATTTGTATATCTGTAAAACTTTATGGAAACCGGATCCATGAGCGTTGAATTTGACTGTAAAGGCACAAGCAAAAATACAGCCTGCAGCAAGTCAAATCTCAAAGAGATGTGAAACACTGTATCCTAATATGGATACTGGGTCCCTGCTCGTTACCATTGACTGCAAGGACACTAGAAAATTAAAACCAATAGTAAGTAAAATCCCAAAGAGAAGTGTATACCTGTATCACTGGACGGATATTTGATTCATGATGGCTGGCTTGGACTGTAAAGCCAGTAGAGAAATAAAGCCAACAGTAACTAAAGGCCCAACTAGGTGTACATACCTGTTGCACTGGAAGGAAAACAAATTCTTCGTTGTGTAGCCGGATGGTAGAAACATTAGGCCAATACGAAAGAAAGCAAGTAAAGACAGAGAAAAAAGTATGTACCAGTAACCTTGATTTGAGATCAGATCCTTGATATTTGAACTGTAAGGAAAAAATAATAGAAATATATATATATGACAGTAAGTAAAAGCTCAAGAAGACTTATTTACCTGTAGCCCAAATTTGAGTTTTGATCCTTGCTGTTTGGCCTGGGCAGTAAAAATAGTAGTCATATATACGTCTCAGTTAATAATGGCCGAGAACGACTTGTATACCTTCCATAATAGATGTAGATTTGATCATCGTTCTTTGCCATCAATAGTGAATATAAATAAAGAGTACAGTTTGTTTTAAGTAAAGGTTAAAAAGAAACTTGATTAGCTATAACAATTAATGAAAATCGGATCCTGATAATTGCCGTGGACGACTAGACACTAGAAATATATAAAATCCAGTGAGTAATTGCTCACCGAGTTTTTGTATACCTATAGCCACGGACTGAAACCGGTTCGTGATCGATTGATCTGGATGTGAAAGCCCCAAAAAAATATAAAAGACAGTGGGTAAATGATCAGTGAGTCTTTGTATACCCGTAGGCCTGGATATATATTGGCTCCTTAACGTTTGACCTGGGCGGAAGACACTAGAAGCATACAAAAGATAATGAGCATATGCTCATTGAGTCTTGGTGTACCTGTGGCCCTGGATGGAAACCTGTTCTTGATTGCTTGACTTTGCCTGAAAAGTCCCTACAGAAATATCAAAGACAGTGAATGATTAATCAACGAGCCTTTATATACCTGTAGCCCTGGATGAAGATCTTATTTTTTATCGTTGACCTTGTTTGTCAAAAGACTAGACAAATATAATCTTCACAATGTGTGTCTTTGATGAATATCATATACTCCGTGAAATATAGTAAGTCCTGTCAGTTTATCTCTTGTTTCTGAGCGTGAATAGGCTTTGGATGGATTGATGGTCAAACCAGTGTTGGACCTCGGTATTTCATTTTTGCTGTGTACTGGTTTTGACATGTCTTATATCTTGCTACTGACTGTTTTACATATGATAAAAGCCTGAGATTTGACTAGCAAAATGGATTTGTATTGGTCATGATTCGTCTTTGACGTCTATGTTGATTAAAGCAGTTTGTGAGAGAGCAGTAAAGAAGTGTATAGAGTATTAATGGTATGTGGAAGAGAGTTGTTTTGACGCGTTCTGTTTGGATAGGTGTTTTTTTTATAAAACTCATGAAGTCTCAATCATGAGTTGCTGTTCTTTTTTATTATTTTTATTATGATAGTTTGATAATATATTATAAAATTCGGTTTTTTTCTTATTCCTTTTTCGGTTTTCTTTTATCTTTTAGCCTTGACAACATGTATATATTATAACTATTTTACTTCTTTATTTAATATCTATGCTCAAAATATGGGTTTTAGGTGTTAAAGAAGTATCACTTACATTATGAAGGGCGTGTTGTGCAGGCACTTGCTTTACTTTTTTTTTAGCTCATTTTATGTCACATAAGGTCCGTGCTGTCCGTGAAACATCACATGTGTCATGGGGCTTAGAGAAGCATAGTTGCAATAGTGGTCCAGACTTTACTTTAGCATGAAAACATTTAAATGATGTCTTCCGATTGGTGGACTATATGCATGTCAAATTATTCAGTTGCTATGGACCCCCATCCCCTTTTTTATTCTACTTTCTGTTGTGATTCTGTTAACAAGGCTTATGCTTTTGAACAGCCACTTGTCGAGACACTATATATGCCTCTGTGTTCATTTTAGCTGTACTACTGATATACAAAGTATTAATCGGCTAGACGTTAAACTACAATAAAGAAGTGTAAAGTTGTGTTGATTCTAAAGCTTTAATTAAAGTCTTGTGTATATTTATTAGTTTAAGAAGCACCCCCAAAAAAATTCTGCTTATATCTTTTTTTCTTCTTTCGTGTGAAAGACTTCCATTTTTCTTCTAGCTTTTTCACCAGTGTCTTGAGTTAATAAACACAAAGTGTAGGAATACTTTCTTGAAATAAAAGTACTGTCAGTGCTTCAGTATGAAGGGATTGACAGCCTGACTATTGAAAGTCGTTGGTACCTCAAGTTAAAACATCGTTCTTAGAGTAAAATAAAAGTAAAAAGAAGAACAGGGTCTGGCATAGTGTTTGACAATCGACCTTGGTTTGTACTACTTTATAAACCAATCATAATCCAACCCAGAAATTAATACAGCATAACCCAACTGCCTGAAACACTTTACATTTATATGTGATCAAATATACACCATTCTATCGGTAATTTATAATTATTTATATAAGTTACATTATACACCATGAAAAAGTAGTGGTGCTTGCAATTGTGCTAGCCTGGTCACAGATAGATCAAGCTAGTAAAATGGCTATTACATATATATTAATCACCTTTTAAAGGCTCTGCTTATTTACTATTTTTTTCTGTTATTGCTCAGACTGACTGACGGCACAATATGAAAGCAAAGAGACAATCTACTGACACTGAACGTATAGATTTTGTTTGGTTGGGAGCAAGACGCTATCAATTACTAATTATCGATTTATAGGATCTAGTGCTTTTGATATTTTGCGCTTGTATACCAAACTCAACTGGATGCACGAATAACCTAGAAATAATACTCTGCTGAATTAAAGGCTTTGATTTATAACTTTTGTTTTGTAATACAATATAATGCGCTACAGTACTGTATAGTATGATTCCACTTATTACTTTGAGGTTCATAGTCTAGCTTTGGTTAGCTTGAGACTATTTTAGTTTGAAGCACAGAGCCTTTGTATAAATGAACCTTTTCTATGGTCGATTAAATATGAGTGTACTGGAAATGATATTTTTTAAGATTTCTACAAGCATATGCAAATGCACACCAATGGTAATCATAGCTTTTCAATTATAGAAAATTAAAAATCGGATCAAATAAGCAATATTTTTTTGGCTTTAAGTAACCTGGTGAGACACATTGTGATCCACCTCTTCCAGGTTATTATATTACAATTACTCGAATGTTGATCAAAATATTCGATTTCTTACTCTCAAAAATCCTTGAGCCCTGAAATTCGGGAAACTTGCACCACTTCATTAATCTTTTTAAATGCACAATAGCAAAAATACGAATTGTTTCTAAAAGTACAATTTTTTTTAGTTGAATACATAAACCAGACACTCCAAAAGGCATCAATTTGGAGTGTTCAAAAGTTAGAGATATTTTTTTTTAAAAAAAAAAGAAAATATTATTTAACACAAGAGACACTATAAAATAGTTAATATATTTATATATGCTCCACATAACAGAAGATCAGTTTGTATAAGCGTTTATACACTCTCATTAAAAGATAATTGTCAGATTTTTTTTTCATTTTTAGTCTCGAATAAAACTATACCTCAACTAATTTCGTTATATCTTCTAAAAAAAAAAGACTATTGCTATTATACAACAATACAAACATATGCGGATAGATATGTAACTTATCGTAGGTTACAAAATTCCTTTAAAGCAACTTAGTGCCTGTATGTTTTTAATCAATTATATTATACAAGGTATCTGCTATTAAATTAGACTGTGAGGTGATAGTATTAAAAGGTACCTAGTATAAAAACTATTGAGGTTGTGAAGGATAAGAATTCTTATGTGTAAGAATCTAGACTTAACCAGATATGAATATAGTATTATCTTATTAACGCATAAGATCATTGGCCTCTTATATTTAAAGAGTGAGAGAAAGAGGGGCTGAATAATAATATGTACTAAAGAACTAACTGCCTAGACTCCATTCTTCTTTCTCTGTACACTCTTGTTAAAAACAGCCAAGTATTACTTCCTCTTACACACCTTTACATGTAGAACGCGTTTTTTTTTGCTATAAAAATTCAGCTTGAATAAGTAACATAATTAATCATTATACATTACTTAATGTTTTAACAGAACATTGACTTTACATTAACTCTTTCTTTTTACAAGGTCTATGCTATTTAAAAAAATAGCCCCGTGATATTTATCTTGAGGCTGTTTTTATTTTCTGATATTATTTATAATATACTTTATTTTTAGGAGAAACTAAATTAAATTAAGTTGATAATGTATGGTAAGTTTGAGTATTAAAAGTTTGAGATTTTATTCCATGTTACTTCTTTATCTCTTCCTGCTTAATGCGAAAAAGAAAATAGCAAAGACCCCAAAGAAATAATTGGCACCAACAATATCCCTTTTTTTTTGACAAGCTTTTAACAATCTTTGATTTGATAGCCTTGGCAAAATTATGATGAATACGCCTATGAATAATATATGTGTGATCAATGCAAAACCGACATACTTGCTATATTATGTAGCTATCCAAATAGCAGTGATCTGTTACTGAATAAATAGCCAAAACCAAGAAGTATTGTCTTTGTATGTAAAATAGACTTCTTTACAGGAAAAGAAATCCATTTTCTGCTGGTTAAATAACCAAAGACTAACTTTTTCTTGTGTAAGAGATACAAGTCTCAACCAAAACAAAAACAAGGCACACACACACATGTATATATAGTAATGGACTTGATTTGCTTTAACTTGACTTGTGCAAAATAATAAATATTTATATATAATATTTATTTCATGATTATTATTATTTTTACAAAAGGAAAGGAAAGGAAAGGAAAGAAGAGAAGAGAAGAGAAGAAAAGAGAAAAAATAAGGATCTTTCTCTCTCTCGTTCTCTCTTTATGTATTTTCTTTCTCTATGAATGTCCTTGGTGATATACTTTAACAATTCCATCTGCACCACCACTCACCATCCAGGGCATAGATTTGTGGTATTGTACACTCAGTACACCTTCATCTCCTTTGCGCCTGTGAGCAGAAAATTCCTGGACACACGATTTAGTCATCGATATATCCCACAATCGAATTGAAGCGTCATGACCTTAATATTGTTTAATATAATAAAAGAAATAATTAAAGCAGACAAGATTATTGGAAGATTAGCAAACAAGGTATAAAATGTAAAAAAGATAATAGCTATAGTGACAGTGATAGTAATAATAATAATAGTAGTAGTCCAAATAGCTACATTAACAGCAATAAATCTGTATAGACTTGTCACTCACCTCCTGATACAAGGGTCATTCCGCTGGGCTCAATATCCAGACAAGAAACGGCATCCAAGTGAGCAGACATTGAGAATGCACATTCACCTAACACACCATAAAATATAAAACGTTAATTAAATTGATTTATGATTGCAATTAGTGTATATATATATATATTATCATTATTACCACTTTTGAGATCGTATAGTTTGATGAGTCGATCTTCGTGACCAGAAACAACCAAGGGTAGTGTAGGATGGGCAGTTATACAGTTAATCTGAGTAGCCAAAGTACCATCTATTTGAAAATTACAAGTAGGTAAATATGCGTTACTTTATGTATATGTATATATAAAAGAATCTCTCTATTTCTTTATATATATATATATATATTTATCTACAAGGCTCACCAAAGCTTGTGTCACTTCCCCGCAGTGTCATTACAACCTGACCAGTCTCGATATCAAACACTTTGATTTTTGCATTTGAATATGATACAATCATTTTGGATAAATCAGTAGGACAGAAATCCAAAGAAGTAGGGACTATCCGACCATCTAAAGAAAATAAGAAAATAAATAAATAAATAAAATTGGAATGATATGATATTGTATGAGAGTTGTCCATTAATTGATATATACTACAGTAAAGAATTATATACGTATTCTTATTACTATTATTCTCTCACCTCGGCTGGAACTACTCATAACACTATCGGTTACCATTCCATCATAATTCCAAGTACTCTTGAGTAGGTTTCCAGTGGTCTGGGTGTCCCAGATCTTGAGAGTTCCATCTGCAGATGCAGAGGCTAAGATACATGTTTCTTCGCGTGCTACAGGGAATAATTTGAAGTCCCAGATGGCATCTGTATGGCCAACATATGTTGCGATATTCATTGAAGGATCTGTATATACATAAATACATAAATATATAAATGTATGAATATAGATATTCTTCGAACCAGTCCTGTACCCTTTCAATAAACCCTTTAATAATAAAGTTTAAGTCTTACCAACAGCAGCAAAGCTATTGTGTCCTTCTGGTGGCAGTTGCCAGACTCTGATCGTAGAATCCATACTAGATGAATAGACTCTATTCTGCTCGGCAGAAATAGCTACTGCTGTCACCACGCTAGTGTGGCCACGATAAGTTATGCTGGCATCTGCTTCCTCGTGCAATACTCTACACAATAATAATAAGATATTAAAAGGCTTTCCTTTATAAATATATATATAGGAGATTGGTTTTTACATACTCCACACATTGAAATAATTAACTATCTCTCTCTCTCTCTCTCTCTAGAACCCTTACTTTTTCATTCCACTTCCATCTTCACCGGTAGCCTTTTGAAGATTCCAAACCTTGACTGTAAAATCATCAGACCCAGAAGCAATAACCATTTCTGTTGGATGAAAGCACACAGCACGAACAGAATCAAGATGTCTATTGATTAGAAATAAAGGTGAGTATATACATGTACACGCATATTTATATACATATATAAATATTACCCTTTGATAGACATCTTTGTCTTCCATATCTTTGGTTGCTTTGTTTCTGTCTCCAGCTACAAATACAAGGCAATATTATTTAGCCATTAGATTTATCCAAGATCCACTCTTGTCTTTTTCTTTTATCGTTTTACTTACTGCGTATGTATCAGTGTCAAGACCGAGTAAATCAATTGAACGCTCTGGTGAACCCACATCTAAATATATATATATATATATTAATATACATACACATACATACAAGAAATCTATTGTCTTTTTAGAAAAAATTGACTTACGCTTCATGGTCCGTGTGGCATTCTTGAGGACCTTTTGTACCTTTTCTTCAGATACATTGTAGGTCTCTTGGACTTGTTTTGACTAATCATTGAAAAAAAAGGCATATACAGAGATATATTTATATAGGTACAAGTTTTAATACATTAAAACAACAATTCACATAAACTTCCTTTTATTTTATTTTGTGAGAACAATATCTTTTTTCTCTATATCTGCATATATCTCTTTTCTCTGCTTCTATCTTATTTTCTTACCAATGCTTCATTATCTTCAGATCCTTGTTCATTAAAATGATCATCTATCATACCAACTTCATCCACTTGTGGTAGCGAAGGAGGTGTGGCAAGGGTGTCTTCTGCTTCAGATGGAGGAGAGTCGGATGTACGTGGAGGTGATGAACTAAGATCAGAACTATCGTCAAATGTGTCTGTAGGTCTGTCTTCGGCCGACATTAGAATTGCAGGCACACGCTTTGGATGTGAAAGTGGAATGGGGGTCATTACTGCATTGCTATTAATATTGCTATTGCTGTTGTTGATATTTGTAGTAGAAGTAGGATTTGGTGTGGGCGTAGTAGTACGAGGCAAAATTGAAGAAATGGTTGGCTTTGTGAGTGGTTTTGGAATAGACGTTGGTTTAGAGTGATTTCGAACAGAAGTATGATGATTTTGAGTGGTATTTGTAGCATGCAAAGTAGGCGAAGAAGTTGGTTTTGTTACGCGCCGGACGGAACTTGTCCGGGATGGTGTCTCGGATAAGGAAGAAGATGAGGTTGTAGTAGAGTGAGAAAGAGAGAATTTGGTTGGCATAGATAGCAAGTAATTGATTTCTTGTAAACATCTACAAAAAAAATGGTAAGAAAAAGAAAATTATTATTATTATTTTAAAATATATATATATAAGAAACAGTATCCACCCTTTTGTGTGTATGCTTATGATCCAGAATGACAGCGGCTGAATAATAAGTAACAATAAAAGAGTCTGTACAGATATTCACTACAAGCTCTCTCTCACTCTCTCTCTCTTAAATATATATATATATATTGTATAACTTACGATTTGAGAACATCCTGACTCTTTTCTCGCAACTTGGTATCAGAGTGGGATTTAGCTTCAGAACTCAAGCCAATTGTAGGATCAGTAGCTGCTGTAGTTGTAGTTGTAGTTGTAGTTGCGTGGCTAATTGCTGGAGAAGATGCTGTTGTGGACATACAAACACAAAAGAAAGGGAAAAAATAAGACGATAAAAACTTAAAAAACAACAACAAAATATAATAGAATAGAATAAGGATTGTGTATGCGGACATGTGTACTGTGTGCGAACAAACAAACAAGAAACACATGTATATCTATATAGAGAGAGAAATAGGGAAAAACGAACTCTACTTGCGTGTATTAGGTGAATCGACGTTACAGTTTATCGTGGATGATTTGGTTGTCCCGAGATGTCTCTTTCTGCGTATGATGGTCAAAAGAATGGCAATCAGCATCAACCAAAAGCAAAATAAAAAAAAATCCAAAGATAAAAAGAGAAATTCAAAGAAAAAAAAGCTTATTGTTACCTTTCTTGTCTTAATGCATATTCCAACATCTTTACTCGTTTCATCAGATCCATTCGCAGATTCTCTACACCTCTTCGTTCACCTTCCAATAGTGCAATGCGAGCCTTTATGATTTACATGTGTATATAAGAATTATTTATTAATTGATAGATAGATAGATAGATGGATAGATGGATAGATGACTGAATGGATGAGATTCCTGTAGTGTTGTATATATGTATGTATATATGTATATATATATATATGTGTGTGTGTGTGTATATATATCTTGTAATTACTATACATGTAGTTTATTGATTCAACTTGCCTTGAATTCTGCTCGTTCAATGGCCCATTCATTCCTCTCACGTTCGAATCGTCTCCATTCAGCCTGTAGGAAGTGTAGTACACCAGGTAAAGAGTACTCTGATGCTGGGTCGGTCATTTAAGCTAATGTTGAATTGAATGAGCTACTTGATGATCTACACAATAAGCTTCTAATATATACTTCTTTCTCTAATTCTTATAAGAAATACAAAGAAGAAGAGGAAGTTTACTATAATAACAAACCTCTGTGTATATGTGTGTGTATGTGTATGTGCGCCTTATTTCGTTCGTATTGTTCGTTTATCCAAAGTTTAAAAGGCGTGTTATAATATATATATAAAGATATATTTCTCGTCAAGAATATAAAATAAGAAGGAAAGGAAAGAAGAAGATCAAGAAGAACAAAAATCAAGAGTAAAGAGAAGAAGAATAAAAGATAAAAAAAAAAAGGGTGCTCTAGACTGTAGTTTTTATTTTATTTTTCAGTAGTTCTGTTCAAACTGAGCTTGCTTTATAAACCCTTTAAAGGAACGTAGCCATTAAGCTTTGCCTATATATTTTATCTTGATTTTTAAATATAAAATATAAATATAAAAAGTAAGAATAAGAATTGCTATATATTTTTATGGCTTGCTTATAGTACAGGCTAATGGCTCTACCTTTTATGTTCTTCTTGTCTTTTAGATTTGTACTTATGTACATATATATAAAAGTGTAGCTTGTGCGGGCAACACCTGCGAGTTCAAGGGGAGGGGGGAGTCACTAGTTACACGAATGAATCCGGTGAAATATGACTGTATTTATTTTCTTTCTTCTTCTTCTTTGGTAGAGCAACCATTTGAAAGTGATAGAAAGAAAAATATTGTCCTTATTACAGGAAAATCTTTTTGAAATTGAATTTTAGATATATAGATGGCTGTATACTGCTATTACTAATACCATTTAATGCCTAGTCCAATTTCAGCTCCTCTAGTTCTGGTTTATTTATGTTTTTCATACAATTAAAGTTTACAACAGAAGAATTGGATCAATTAACAAAAGAATATGCTATATATAAATACATTACAGTAGGTATGCAAAAGTTATGTTTATCCCTAGGGACATCCAAGTATTTGGGCCAACAAACAAGTTTACTAGCAAGGGTGTATTTGTGTGTGTGTGTGATTGGTATGTACATGAATACTTGAGTAACTATCATTATGACTTGTCCAATAGTAAAGAAAGAATAGAAAGAACATTGGTTTATTCTGATATTTTATTTTATTCTTTTTACTGTATGTATATTGTATAGATATTGGAATATAGAAATATACGTATATATACTTATATATACATATATGTATAAATTAATAGTCCCAATGAATTATATGCACACCGTATTGTGCAATTTGTACAAGTATATGTGTGTAAGTGTTTAAGTGGAAGGAAAGGGGAAGCCAGATGTTGAGATGACCAGGTAAGGATTAAAACTCCTTTGTGACGTATCATGGACTGTCGCGCACTTAACTCTCACATAAAGTGAAACTCTTCTTTGATTTTTTTTGAATTTTTTGAATTTTTTTTATTTTCCAATCCTTCTTTTGTAAAGCAAGATTATACTTACATCATCATCATCATGGGCTCTCCATCATTCCTCTCCTCTCCAATGTTCAACATTGCCTTTATGTTGGGCTCAATGCAGCTCGCAAAAAAGGTTGACTGGGAAGACCCTCAGACTCTTTTCTTGGCACGTGTGGGTTACTATGGTGCACAGGTCTTGGTTATTGCCATGTCTTATCTCTTGATTACCTTGATCAAGAAGAAGAACGGTGAGTAAAATTTAGTTTGATTTAGTATGTGTGTGTATGCGCTTTTGATGGAGAATGGGTTACATAAAATACTCATCATCTCATCATCATCTGTTGTTGTTATTGTTGTTGTTGTTATTTTTGGCGGTACAGATACTACACCTCTTCGTTACGTAAACCAGCCAAAGCCTTCTCTTGGATCCCCTAGCGGCGGTGCTGCTGAAACAGTCGAGACTACCGTTGCAGAGTATGATATCAGTCAGGTCAAGCAATTCATCCAGTCTACTGCTACTTCTATCCTCATGATCTCGGTTATGCATTGGCAATTCAAGTTCACCCAGCCTTTGTTGCTCCAATCTATTTTGCCCATCAAGAACCTGTTGACTCACAAGGAGGCCTTGATTCATTTGTGGGGTGATGCTCCCGAAGGTGCTCTCCAGCGTCCTTTCGCTGCTGAGAACCCTCTTGGTGCTTTGATGGGTGCTCTTGGTGGCGGTGCTGCTACTGAAGCTGCTGCTGAGGACAATCACGAGAAGAAGGAATAAGAAATTCATGGAATCTTTTTCTTTTATAAAACAAAACAAAGAACAAAAAGCAAAAAAAAAAAGAAGAAGAAGCAAAACTGAACTGGTTTATATGTAGAGAGGAAGTGTAATTTTCTTTTTTAAAAAAAAACGATATTGCTTTTAAACAGAAGAAGAAGCGATACGGAAACTTTTTTTTTTTTGATTTTAGACTTCTTTGTCGATTTTCTCTATCTCTCTTTAGTTTCTACCATTTCTTTTTTTTTGTGTGTGTTTATACTTACTTTTTAAACTTTAATTTCTTTATTGTCTCACTCTTTCTTTCTTGTTTCTCTTTCTCTAATTACTTCTCTTTTATCCGTATTCTTATTTTGCTTACTGTAATTTACTATCCTTTTTTTTTTGCTCTATGAAAATACACGTTTTTTTTTCTTACTTTTATATTTTATATACATAATTGTATGTATGCATCTATTTATGTAATCTATATGTATTTTGAGTTGGTTCTCTGGTGCGATAAGGGTTAGACAATTAGATATGGTATTACCATGAATTTCATTATTTTATATATATATATATATATAACAAAAGAAAGAGTAAAACTCTTGTGTACGAGCATTTGTCAACCAAAAGCCATTATTCAGTTATTCACTTTTTCATTCAATCAATGATTCACTGATTCATTTTGTGAGCATGCATTATATATATATATGTTAACTAGTGGAAACAGTCCTTTTCTTTTCTTTTATAAACAGCAACAACACAGTATAACCAAAGTCACTTTAACTACAACTCATTTCTTAATTATGGTCTCGGGCACCAAAAAAAAATAGCGACGCACAAATGTATATAATATATATATATAAACCTACACACTACACTACACTACATTATACGGTGATTTTGAGATTTTATACCTAGTAGTCGGTTCAGCTATAAAGAGAGTTGACGTTAATCGTTGAATTTAATTTTTCTTTCTTATGCTATAAACGTATATTATGAATCTGTATTTGGCCAAAGTCAACCATACAAATAATACATACAAAGGAACAAGAAGAAAAATAAAGAAGAAGAAGAAGAAGAAGAAGAGGTACATTATGCATGCACACCTTATTAGTATTATATATATGTATGTATGTATGTATCCATGCATGCTTTGTTTGTTCAAATTACTAACAAGCTCATTTTGGGTAATAAAATATTTATTTATTTATCTTTCACTGATATTACGATTGTAAAGCCAAAACATATCCTCGTCAATATATTCCAATTGACCCCTCTTTCTTCTCTTTCTTCTCTTCCTTTCAGTCCTTTTTATTTCTTCTTCTTGCCTTTCTCCTCAAAGGCTTCACTCGCTTTTTATTCTATATATTTGTTGGTTAATTTGACGCTACCATTATGGACAATATAGACACAAAGATGATCTCTTGCCAAAAAGTCATTTCTGAAACCGCTCGTGTTTATAGTCCAAGGCCAAAACCACATCGGGTATTAGCATCACCATCCTTGTCCTCTGAAGAAGAAGAAGAAACACACGAAAATAAAGTATCAGAAGCAAAAGAAAGCAGATTAAGAGAAGGAGGAAGAGGAGTAGGAGGAGGAGGATATCAATATGAATGTGAGGCAGAGGAAGAGGAAGGAATTACAAGATCTTTAGATTTTCCTATTGGTAAAGGAGAAAGGTTGGAGATAGTTAATCTGATGATAGGAGAAGAATTGGGAGAAGGCCAAGCCATTAGCCAACCCCCGTCTATGCACTCTCAGGAGACAGTTGTCCAAAAGACATCAGCATCATCCACGACAACAACAACAACCGAATCAACAACAATAACCAGTACAAGTAGTGGTCAAGTAAACGAAATCCAGAAGCAGATCCATTGTTTAGAATCACCCTCGGAGTCTGACAATGATTCGTTTGTCTCACCTTACGTACGGCCCACACACAGCAAGCGATCGACTATGGTTTCCATTAGTTCCCTTGCATCAGACAACGCCAACTACGATCTACTGCTTGAGCGACTTGGTGCACAGGACAGTCCCCATGAAACAGTCACCAAACAGGCTTCCCGTGAAGAAGATACTGATTGGGGTAAAGGCACATATATACACATATACAATTTAAAGAATAAGAAGAAAAAGATTTCCTTATTTATTTTGTTACAACAGAATTTTGGTCCAAAGTTATATCGGACTTTGAAAGCGTTGCCAAATCAGAACCCAAGATCTTGTCTCTTCATCTTCAGCGTGGTATTCCACCTTCATTGCGAGGGATGATGTGGCAGTTGCTGGCCAAGTCAAAGAGTGACCGGCTTGAAGAGGAATATCTTCAGCTACTGAGGGCAGAATCAGTCTACGAAAAAGCCATCACTCGAGATCTCCTCAGGACATTTCCATACCACCCATATTTCCAAGGCCAGGAAGGCCAGAATGCTCTTTTTAATGTCGTAAAGGCATATTCACTTTATGACGCTGATGTAGGATACTGTCAAGGTCTTTCGTTTATTGCCGGACCTCTTTTGTTAAATGTAAGGTCTTTGAAAGAAATATAAAAAAACATATAAACATTATAGAATAATAATAATAAAAAAGAAATAAATAATAAATTTGATCTTGTAGATGCCAGAGGAAGAGGCATTTGGTGTGCTAGTCCAATTGATGACTCGTTTCACTTTGCGGGGGCATTTTACTCCCCAGATGGATCTCCTCCACAAGCGATTGTACCAACTTGATGGCCTATTGGCAGACACTCTACCCCACATTCATCGCCACTTTCAAGCCCAAGGAATTCAGTCGGGAATGTATGCCTCTCAGTGGTACATGACCCTGTTTGCCTACAAATTTCCTCTCGAGGTCGTATTCCGGATCTACGACACCATCCTTGCAGACGGCCTGGACATCTTACACCGTGTTGCTCTGGCTCTGATAACCAAAAACCAGGCAATACTGTTGAGTATGGAATTCGACTGCCTCTTGAACCATCTCAAAGAAGACATGCTGGCTGTCTACGAAGACGATGTGAACGAGCTGGTGCGCGAGGCATACTCTATTTCCCTGTCGCCGAAACGGCTAGAGCGACTCTCAAAAGAATACTCGGTCGAGTTAATCAAGGCCAACTCAGAGGCCGAGATCATCAGCGATCTTCGACGACAAAACAAAGCCCTGGCTGAGACAGTTCGGCAACTGGAACGCATCACTAAACAACTAGAGAACGAGCACGCGCTGGTCGCCAAGCAACTCCAGGTTTCGAATGCACAACAGCTAGAACTCCAGCAGACGAATTCAAAGCTGCAGCAGCAAGTGTTTGATCTCAGTAACGCCCTGGAAATCTTACCGAAAACGATCGAGAGTCGTGTTCGCGAAGAAATGGAGATCCTGTGCACCAAAAACGGCGCGCTGGTCCAGCGGAATGCAGCACTAGAAGACCAGCTTGTCTACATGGAAACCATGGTTATTGATATGAAGGTCAAGTATGCCGAAAGTGAAAACGAGAGAGAGACGCTTCAACAACGACTGGCCGACCTGAAACGATGGATGGTAACCGAGTCAGTATTTTAAGGTTATTTTTCAAAGACAGGCGCTTTCTATTGTCCAACCAAGAAAGAGAGAGAAAAAGCGTAACATCTACTCTATCTCTGCCTTTAATTCCAATCTCCTCTCGCTTCCCTCTCTTTCTAATATAAATTTAATTATAATATAAAAAAAAAACCAACCTGGCCTTCCTTTTCCCATAAACGGTCTTTCACTCACTCCTTCCACCGAGTCAACCCAAAGGAACCTATAGCAAAAGTTTTTTTATTTGATTTTTTTTAGGACCAGGCTAGAGGCTGTTTTTATTTATTTATTTTATTTTTATATAAAAACCATTGAATAAACAGTATATATATCATCATCATCATTGTCTCGGTCTCTCTTTTTTTTTACTTCTTCTTTTGCTTTGCTTTACTTTTTTTTTTAAAAAAAAAAAACTTTCTGTACCTCATTGCAATGTTGTCTTCAAAGATCAACTCATCAACTCTTTTGGCTGGAACTCGCCACTTGACCAAGCGCTTCTATTCCGCTGCTCAAGAAGTAAGCTTATCTCGAGTATAGTGTAGTGAATCAACAAAGAAGTAAAGAAGTAAAGAGCTTCTTGTAATTTGTTGAATTATTAAGCTTTGCCTTTATAAAATAATAGCCAGCTAACTAAATCTATATATATATATAAAAGGTCAAGAAAACTGCTCTTTATGATTTCCATGTGAGCCTCGGCGGTAAGATGGTCCCCTTTGCTGGCTATGCCATGCCTGTCCAGTACAGCGGAATGGGTATGCTTGCTTCTCACCTCCACACGCGTGAGAATGCATCTATCTTTGATGTCTCTCACATGCTCCAGACTCGGTAAATATACCCCCCCCCCCCCCCCTATTTTCATTTCTTCCCTTACGTTCCATGCACACGCACACGCACACGCACACGCACACATATGTATATGTAGATGTAGATTGACCTCTTTTATAATTACTCTAGTCTTGTTGGTGCTGACCGCAACAAGTTCTTTGAAAAGCTTGTTGTCGCTGATCTCAACAACTTGCCTGTCGGACAGGGTACTCTCTCTGTCTTTACCAATGAGCAGGGTGGTATTATCGATGACACTATTATCATGCAGCAAAAGGACTCTCTTTACGTTGTCTCCAACGCCGGCTGTGCTGACAAGGATCTTGCTCACATTCGCAAGCATTTGGCAGATTTCCAGAACAAGGGTGGTGACGTTGATCTCAAGATCATCGACGACCACTCTCTTATTGCCATTCAGGGTCCCAAAGCTGCCGCTGCCCTCGAAAGCTTAACTGGTACCTCACTCCAGGACTTTGCCTTCATGAACGGTCGCTTCATGGACATTGCTGGTGTTCCTTGCCACGTTGCTCGCTCTGGTTATACTGGTGAAGATGGTTTCGAAGTAAGTTTTTTACCAAGTTGTGTATTCAAACACACATACAAAAAAAAAGAGAGAGAGAGAAATATAGAGATGAATTGTGTTGTGTTGTGTGCTTTGCTGTTTGGAATAGTATACATCTTTAAGAGTATTTTTTTTAAAAAAAAAACCCCCAAAAGATACAGTGCTAGTGATCTATAGATTTATATATTACTCACATCTAAATTAACTCAAAATTTATTTATTTTTGGAATGAAGCTCTCTGTCCCTACTCCCGAGATCCTCAATATCACCGAAAAACTGCTGGCTCACCCAGTTGTCGAGATGGCCGGTTTGGGTGCCCGCGACAGTCTCCGTCTTGAGGCTGGTCTGTGCCTCTATGGCCATGATCTGGATGAGACCACTACTCCAGTTGAGGCCGGTTTGACTTGGACAATTCGTAAGTCTTTTTTTTTATATGTATGATAAGAATGATATTTACAAAGCCTATATAAATTATGTAGCCAAGTCTCGCCGTGAGACCGGTGGTTTCTTGGGTGCCGAACACATCTTGCCCCAAATCAAGGGTGGTGTTTCCCGTCGTCGTGTTGGTCTTTTGGTTGAAGGTGCTCCTGCTCGTGAGGGTGCCGAGATCCTCAACAAGGAAGGACAGGTCATTGGTAAGGTTACTTCTGGATGTCCCTCGCCATGCCTCAAGAAGAACATTGCCATGGGATACGTCCAGAACGGTTTCCACAAGCGTGGAACTGCCTTGGATGTCAAGGTCAGAAACAGAGTTCAGAAGGCCGAGATCACCAAGATGCCTTTTGTTGAAGCCAAGTATCACAAATAGACATACACACATACTCTTTCTTACATATCTCTCTCTCTATATATATATACACAAACCTATAAAAAATTAATCCCTTCATCTCTCTCTCTCTTTATTTATTTTTTTAAAAAAGAAGTGTTCATTAAAAATTACATATTCCACACTATTATTATTGTTATATAAATACTCGATATCTCTATTGTACACTTGCATTTGAAAAGAGAAATGAAAGAACAACTTAAACACGTTAAACTCTGGATATGTTTTGATCCAATTACTTTCGGTCTGACTAATATGAACATTTTCTGGTATAAATATTAGTTAGTATATCAAAACTCTTAAAGTCGACTACCCTTTATTCACTGATGGCTCATAGGAAAGGAAATCTGTGATGAGGCTTAAGTTAAAATGGCTAAATAAATTAGTAACCAGTATAACTTGTGTATGTATATTACTTTGGCAGAATAGTAGACGTCAAAAAAAAATGTATTGCAGCCTTTAAAAACCAAAGAGTGTTCTAAGCAATTCCTGTGCTGTACCCAATTTTCGGTATGCTTGAGAATCACTTGGGGAAGTTTTTTTTTTGGTGCAGTTGTCCAAAATTAAGATGGCTTACACTATATTGTACACCCATAATCTGCTTTAGCTATTCTTCTAGTAAAAGTATTATATAGATGTGTATACGAGAAAGATGGTTATGAAAAGAAGGCGTGGGTTTGTAAAAGGGAATTTTTGATTTGAAACATAAAAAGTAAATGGTGGCTCTGATTATCAAAAGGTGAGCCTCATACTTGTACCTCCCTACAATGATGTGTTATTATTATTTGGGGATTTGGGTCCTTTTATTTTTCTCTTTTTTCTTTCTTTAGCCGAGCTTGATAATTTTAGTATTCTGGACTCAATATTATCTTCTTTGCATTTGCCACGTTTTAAGCCATGTATTATTTATATATAAAATAGCTCTAGGACAAGAGAGAAACCGTATGGCTGAAAAGAAAGAAAAATTCATCATAAAGATGTTCAAGAGTCCTATAAATAACAGTATGTATATATCTTCTCAACTTATCTTTCTTATTACCATTATCATTATCTATAATTCTAAATATGAAGTTTTTATTCCTGTCTGTCTTGATCGTCTTAACTTCTGCTGCTGTTGTGCTTGGAGTACCCGTACCCCCATCAACAGGAAGTGATGCTTTGAGCATTAAAATCAATTTGCCTCAGCCTGGGACTGTGTGGAATGCCGGGTCCTTTCAGCACATCGACTGGAAAAACCCTCAGGACCATGCCTCTTATTACAATATTACTCTCTATAAGGGAGAAAAGATACCAAATGCGTACGAGCGTGTGCTAGTCAAGGACATTGCTGCAGATCTAGAGTTTGCAAGAATACATGTATCAGAAGATGTTGTTCCTGGAGATGATTATTGGATCGAGATTGGATCGGGTAAATTAAAGACATTTGTAAAGTACTTGACTATCAAGGCTGCAGATTCGTCCTATAACGATTCGTCAGAGGGGTCTGATTATCCTAGCTCTGAAGAGTTGCAAAAGATTAATGAACTTCCGTTGTTTGGAAGTAATGGATTCTAAAATAGCAAAAATAAAACACTTGTATCTTGTACTTTATCCTTTATTTCTTTTTATGCACATTTGTTGTTATATATATATATATATTGGCTTGTTAAAATTACTATTGGCGTTGAATAGGCTCAACATTATTAAGAATCAGGTGCACAAATATTGATGCATGTATGCCTTTGTCAGTATGTATAATATTTTGAGAATATATATTACTAGCTTAAAGAAGATGTTATCTTTTATCATCTTTTGTTCTATGAGGGACCTCAAACACCTCTTAAACAAGTTTCTTTAAAACTTGAGGGTCTAAAGTAATGAGAAAGGGTTGTAAATATCAAAATGAATATTTAACAGACCCCGCGGTCACTTTAAAGCCACACAAACTTGGCTCTACCTGGCTATTTTTGCAATTCTATTTTATTCTTTACTTCACTTCACTACCATCTTCCTACTGTGATGCTTACTGACGAAAGAGAAGAGACTTTACGCGAGGTGTCTGCCCTCGGAAACCCAAAGGCTGTTCACCACTTTATTCATGCTGGAGTCAACATCAATTCTCAAAACAAGATAAATGGATGGTAATTCACATTATTGATGTCAACCCCTGTTCATTATCTAAACTGGCCTTTCTATTATATATCTGTGTGTGTATGTACAATTTATTGGTTGCATTGCCTTTTTCTTCTTCTTTTTCTTTTGGTGTTCAAACTTTTTTACGTAGAAAAGGACGGCACTGCATTGGGCTGCCCATAGAGGTCATGAGAATGTTGTACGCTTGCTCCTGAGTAATGGAGCCAATCCTAATATCGAAACCTCTAAAGGACAAAAAGCGTATGTCTTGGCTCAAAAGTACCCCGACATTGCTGCATTGTTGAAACCAGATGCTGTTGTGGAATGTACAGAAACTTCTGCTGCTGCTGCAGAACCCGAGTTGCCTATTTTACCAGCATATATGCAAAATCCAGATTTGCAAAAGACATGGCTTCATCCCGATGAGTTTTCAGAGAACAGAATTGAGAATGTAGTACGAAAGCAGGCAGCAGAAGATGCTTTGACCAACCCAACACCAGCACCAACATCAGAAACTTCCTCATCTGTGAAACCTATTAATGAGCCATCCAGTTGTGAAGGTAAACCAAAAAAAAACCTGTATTATTCTTGCAGAATATATTTCTAGTGTTTCTGACATTATTTATTATGTGCGTATAGAGAGAGAGATTTTGGTTTATCTTGAGAAGCGCTTGGACGAAACACTTTTGGGATCAGTATTTGTAAAGAACGAGACAATTGATAACGTGGTTAATGATATTAAAGAGGTAAATAATAATAATAATAACGTATATTATGGGCATGTAATAATTTATTTATTTTGTAAACAGGAACTCGATGGTCTTCCCGAGAAATTCTCTTTGTCTCGTAATAATGGAAAGGTGAACATCCCGATTAGCTCAAAGCAAATGAACAAGAACTTGTTGGATATCTTTAGAAGCGAAGAAGACGTCATTGTCCTTATTCCTGTATCAAAATAATTTTATGTAAACGATATTCACTTACTTAAGAGAAGAAGAAGAAGAACAAGCTTGTTTTTTTTTGTTATGCTCTTTAAACTTCCTCAAAAGTGCACTCATACACATAGCACACAATACATAAATATATCTATCTATCTAATCCGACGTTATCTATATCTCAACAAAGTATTTTGTCTATTTGATTCTTTTTACCTATATCTTTAAAAAGTTGGAATATAAGTACGTAATCTAGACTCTTCCTTTAAATTATCTGTAAATCTTCTTATCATTTTACAGCCACATCACTTAAAGCCTACTATCTATTCAATAAACTGCTCAACTCATTTTTATACATTAATTGTAATATATAGTAACTAAACTTTTCATAGGGAAGAGTTAAATAAAACTTGAGAGGAGGCGGGGAGCTCTACTTTCAAAAAGTATACTAATTATTTATTAATTTATTCTTTATATAGGTCTATGAATTCATGACAAAAAATTTTTGTGTGTGTGTCCGAATGAATGTATGTGTGTGTGGGCGGATTTGTGCGTGTGTGTGGATTTGTGTGTGTCTGGGTGGATTTGCGTACCTGGGTAGATTTATGTGTGTGTGGGTGGATTTTGAGTACCAGACGTGGCACAGTGGAGGTACGAATGTTAAGAGAGGTAGATTGAATAGGAAAAGAAAGTCTTTATCGATTGATATATATAAACGTATTATTCTATCTTTAATAAATAACATTCTCACAGTATCTACTTTTCCTAATTTTAATATACTAGCCCAAGGTCAATTCCGACCACTTCGAATATTATTTTAACTTTCGTTAATAAATAACACTCTCACAGTATCTATTTTTTCTAATATTGAGATACTAATCCAAAATCAATCACAAATACTTTAATTGCAATACAGTATAATATTGAGCTAAAATTATAAGTTGGAATAAGAGGGCCAATTACTTGTTATCAAATAATAATAAAAAATTAAAGACTAATTGAAAATGTGTAAAAAAGCAAAAAAAAAGTAAAAAGTAAAATAAAATAATCAATTTAAATTTCAAATGCCCAGTCTTTTTGGTAGATTGCAGGGCATTTTTGGAACTCAAGCGGTCTGATGTTTTTAGTAATTTAAAAACACCTGGGAGCGTGGCATTTTTGTGAGGCTAGCAGTTTCCGTCCACAAAACAAAATGCGTCGATGTTTCAATATATTGTTTCTCCTAATGTCGTATAATAAAAAAAGAAAAATTTTATCACTTCGGAATTAGAAGCTTACTTTAGAAAAAATCTTACTAAACTGTCTATTTTTTATGTGCTACAAACAGTAGCAAAAAAAGGTCGGCAAATGAAAATTAAATAATTGGATTTCACATAGTGTTGCCCTTTGGTGTGTGTGTTTTTTTTTTTCAAAAAAAATAACTAAATCATTTTGACTTTTATACTATCTATGCTTTAGAGCTCTAGTACTAATTGAAAAAAAGTGAGGCCAATGACAATATCCGCTATGTATGAGCTAGATAGTAACAACAATGCATACCAGAAAGTTACAGATAATATATATATATGTGTGTGTTATTTAATATCAAATGAAGTTTCAACTCTCGGGTAGCTACTAATGTTACATCAACTATGAATGGGAATAACAAGGTTGATGAATATGTAACTTTATTTAATTCAGTCAGCAAAGGAAATATGGACAGCAAATATTACAACAGTGTAAAGAAAAGTACATATAAAAGTATTTAATGATGAAAGTCTCGGATATCTCTACCATCCTGCTCCTCTCAAAAGCGAATAAGAACCATCTTAAAATGAGCAATGTGCAAGATCGAGGATTTTATCAAACTGGCTTAATGATAGCATAGCTGTAAAAATAGGCCGCTTTGACGCCGAGTATTAATCTAGATTCAGCTTACATCTACCAAAAACTTTGTTGCATAAATTCACGGGAAATGCCTGTGCTTTTCTCAATGAAGAGATTGGAAAAAGATACCTGCCAAAAAAAAAAGAAGAAAAAAGAAAGGCAGTGGAAGTAAGGAAGATTGGTAATGGGGTAAGATTTAAAAAATAATTATGTGCTCGTTGATGTTTCGTTGCGAAGACTACCTTTATACATATATAACAAAGCAAACCTTTGATGGTAAAATAGGTACAAATAAACTAAATAGTAAGTCATACGAGCTGACATTTTTCTTGAGATATTTGAGTGCTATGATAGATTTCTTGAACCGAAATGGTCTTTATAGATATTATTTTGTCAAGAGTAGTACATCCTATTCATAAAATATATATTGAAGAGTATGACTATGTGTGTGTCTAGTTATCCTTATAGTTTTCTGGTTAAAATAGATTCTTTGAATACTACTGATCATTTGGTACCTCGTCGTATAATAAACGCTGTGATCCATATTACTCTTAATAACTTTCCCAGTTAAATTAGATATTCAGTAAGCGCTTCTTAGCCTTTATATTTCTCTATCAATGACTGAGGCTTTTTCAAACAAGGAAGAAGCAGGGAGGAAGGGAGGAAGGAAGATCCAGTGTGTTATCTTTTGGTTAGACACATGCTCTAAAAAAAGGTTGATAAGGACTGTCTTTACGGTTACATTACATTATAATTACCATTTTTTTATAAATATTTTTCCCTTCTTTCCTTCTCTCTTTATTTCTGTTCCTGGGTTTCGTTTTTCTCTATTCTCTTTGCTAATGCTAGGTTTCAAAAGCTATTTACCAGACCCTCCAACAAAAAAAGGTCGAATTATAAATGTCACTCACCAAGTACCCTGTGAAATCACTTTACGAAACAATGTACTTCAGGACCAACCCATGTGGGAATTGACTCCCAGAAGAGGACATGGCGCAATGTACGGAGGTGTTCAATCGCTTGAAACAGACTGGGAGACAATCTACATTGGCTGGACTGGGCAGATGTATCGTCCATCCTCTCCAGAATTCTCTTCCAATACAACTGTCACAAATATCCAAACGACACCAATTATTTCTCTTGATGAAAAAGAGAAACAGTCATTGATATATGAGTTGCAAAACCTCAACTGTATTCCTCTCTTTCTTGACAGCGACAGTGTGTTTGGCCACTATGATGGCTATTGTAAAACCAGTATGTTGAGTCGGTCTCTCTCTCTATCTCTATCTATCTATCTATCTATCTATATACATTTCTTTATTTCTTTATTTCTTTATTTCTTTCTTCTGGAACAAGACTACTCTTTATTTTATTTTTATTTCAACTCGAAATGAAGAAGGATAAGACGATATCAATCCTCGGTTCCATCGACCAATAGTGCTCTGGCCATTATTTCATTATATAATTTGGGACAACGCCACCGACGGGCGCCTTGAACGTCAGCAGTGGGAGTCATTCTCGTCTGTAAACCAGCTTTATGCAGATGCGGTTATTGAGAATTACCAAGAAGGAGATGTCGGTAAGTGTCATTTATTCAAGTTGGCTTAGATGAGCATTGTTAGTGTTGGTGATGTTCTATATACAAAGCAACCTGGTTCCATTAAAGAAAAAAATGTTTGTAACTTTATCAAGTTTGGGTCCACGATTATCATTTGCTTCTTGTACCTGCAATGGTCCGAGCCAAACTCCCCAGGGCTCGGATTGGTCTCTTTGTCCATTCGCCTTTCCCAAGTTCCGAAATCTTTAGATGTTTACCTAGTAAGTGTAACAAGGAATTAAAAAGTAGTAGTAGTAGAATAAGCCCCTCCTCTTCCTCTCAGGATTTCATGTGATTTATTTTAACAGAGCGACAGCAAGTACTCAAAGGAATGCTTGGAGCAAATCTGGTGGGATTTCAGGTACACAAAAAGAAGAATAAGAAGAATTTGGGATCAAAATATAAAAAGAAAAGAAAGAAATCGTGTTATTATTGCTATTAGACTCGGCTAACGAATAACCCTGATTTGTTTTGACTTACTCCGTAGACATATGCATACGCGCGCCACTTTATTTCAACGTGTACTCGTGTTCTCGGTTATGAGTCAACTCCTGAAGGCGTTGATCGCGGAGATGGTCATTTCTGCCACGTTGGAACGTTTCCTATTGGAATTGATACCGAGAGCGTGGATGCCAAGTTTAGAGACCCAGATGTAATCATGAAAGTAAAGGCTATTACAGACATGTATCCTGGAAAAAAGATCTTGGTTGGCCGAGACAAACTTGATCTTGTCAAAGGAGTGTTGCAAAAACTGGCAGCATTTGAGAAATTTTTGGCAGATTATCCAGAGTGGAGAAATAAGGTAAATGATAATAGGACTTTAGAGCTTCTTTTTATTTATTTTATTTTATTTTCTTCAACGTGGTAGGTTGTTCTTATTCAATTGACCGATGGAAGTACACACACAATGGAACGTGAAGTAACAGAAATTATAGCCCGGATCAACGGAGTTTATGGCTGTATTGAAGGTGCTGCGGTATATCACTATCACCACCCAGTTCAAGTGGATGAATATTATGCTTTGCTCTCTGCAGCACATGCTGCTTTGGTTACTTCTGGTAGAGATGGTATGAACACCACCAGTCTTGAGTATGTGATGTGCCAGCAAGAACGACATGGCCAATTGATTCTGTCTGAGCTTATGGGAGCAGCTGGTTCTATGAGCTCTGCATTGATGGTAAATCCGTGGGATTATGCTGGATTAGCAAAGACGATCAATGATGCTCTTCTTATGTCAGAAGAAGAAAAATTGTATCGCCACAAGGTAATTAATTTTAAATAACAAAAAAAAGACGGTAAATAAAAAAGGTAACCATGGTAATAATAATAATATTCTAATTGTTGTAAATTCAACTCTTGTACACACACAAAAAATTTCAGCAACTCCTGAAGCATGTCAAATCTCATACGGCTTCTTTCTGGGCCCGGTCTTTTGTGAAGATGCTGATGGAATCCGTCGAATTGTCGGAAAAATCCAGTCATACACCACTTTTGAGAACAGAATGGCTAACACAGTGCTATCGGTCATCTACCAAACGACTCTTGTGCTTTGATTATGAGGTGAGTTGTTTGGTTGGGTTTCTTTCAAGCTAAACTTGAATAAGATCACAAAACTGTAATAAAATGTACACACACACACATATATATATATATATTACAAGCTATATTAATACTGTAAGCAACTGGATATACTTATTTGTTTGTTTAAATATTAGGGCACACTTACGCCTTTACGTAAAATGTATGGCCTGACTGTCCCTTCAAAAAGTACTATGGACACACTTGAGCAGTTGTGCAGAGATCCACGAAATGAAGTGTGGATTATTTCTGGTCGTGATGAATCTACTCTTGACTATTTGTTGGGAAGTATTGTTGGTCTTGGTCTTAGTGCCGAGCATGGAAGTTTTATGAAATACCCAAACACCAAGAAATGGATCAATACCACTGAGCATCTTGACATGAGCTGGAAGCACGACGTTGTGGAAATATTTACTTATTATTCCGAACGTACCGCAGGTAGCTTTATTGAACATAAACGGAGCTCAGTTACATGGGATTATCGATTAGCAGATCCACAGTATGGGTTATTTCAGGCAAAAGAATGCCAGAACCATCTGGAGCAAGCCATTCTCTCCAAGATGCCAGTTGACGTAGTAGTAGGGAAAAAGAACCTGGAGGTGCGCCCGACATCTGTCAACAAAGGGCAGATTGTCAAGCGGCTTTTGGCTTCTAACCAAGATCTGGACTTTGTTATGTGTTGTGGAGATGACAAGACCGATGAAGACATGTTCAAGGCGATCAAAAAGTTTGATGTGGACGAACAGTGGACATTCTCGGTAAAGATTGGAACTGAAAACAAAAAGACACTGGCTCTGTGGCATCTACCAACTACACAAGATTTGATTCATTCACTCAATGCAGTGGTGACATCTAATGTCTAAAGAACGAGACATATGCACCTACACTTACACATATACTTACACCCACACAAAGTCCAAACCCTTTTCTTTTCTTTTGATTATTATTATATTCTTCTTCTTACTCTTATTCTTATTCGTATAATTACAGCAGTATATATATATATATTATTGTATTATTGTATGCTTTAACCAAGACCTTGCTCTTACAATTTTGCCTGGCCTTTTTTAATTTAATTTTAAAATTATATTTCCATCATCTACTTTCTATCTTTCTCTTTATCTTCTTGTTCTTGTTCTTCTTTTACCTTTATTTCTAATACACAAAAATGGGGAAGAGGAAGAGAAATAAAAAGAAAAGGAAGAAGAGTTTTGGAAAGATTTAATTCTTACTTCTATCCACCATAGTGACCAAGCAAATCAATTGAAAAGAAAAAGAAGAAGAGAATAACATTACACTACAAAATCACTCGTTTATTCTACAAGTAGTTAATAAATAGAGTTGAATTAATACACATAAAATAATATATATATATATATATATATATACCATCAGTAATAAATAAGTATTTTCTTTATATATTTATATAAAAAAGAATAGCTGAATAGTGAGACTTTACAATTTCAAATACAACCCTTAAAGAATGCTTCCCAATTTGCTTACAGTAATAATCATCATCGTTAATAAAATCGAATACAATAGTTGGAACAATTGTCAACTGCCAGTCGTTTGGATTGTTTATAATTCTCTCCTCATTCTTTTCTTAAACAAAAAACTCGACGTTTGTTTTGTTTTATTTTATTTTTTTTAAAAAAAAAGAAAGAAACGTTAATAGCTTTGTTATAACTTTTACGCCTTCAAGATCTCCTTTTAACGCTCTCACATACGCACGCACATACACATTTCCCCGTTCGTTTATTCGCCCCCTTGTTCATTCACCCCGCCATCAGAGAGAAGGAAGAAGACGAATACGAAAAAGAAGAGAGATAATAGCAAAGCAATAGAATGTCAGTTAGGGAAAATGATCCTGAAATGGCTGGGCCAGAAAATGCTACAACATCTCCACGGGTCGCATTGTCCCCTAAAGTTACCAGTGTACCACCACAGTCCACTGCCTCCATCGCGGAGTCAGTACCACGACATGAAGACATTCGCAGAGCACGATATATTTCCATGGCAACATCAACAGAAAAACTAAAAGCACAAAATCAAAAGAAAAAGAAAGAACCAAAAAAGCCAGTAGGATGTTGGACAATCGCTAGTTGGGTATTTACTTGGTGGGCACCGTCCTTTATGCTAAAGACATTCGGTAGGTTTATTATATATATACAAAGAAGACCAATAGGATCATATTATTCTCAATATTCCTGGTTTTTTTTTCGTTGGCTTTTGTTTGAAAATATATGAATATAAATATATATTATTTTACTATATTGCATTATATTATATTCCGTTTTATTTCATTTTAGGCTTAAAGGACCAACAGACCCAACAAGCTTGGCGTGAGAAGGTAGCACTTGTTCAAGTCATCGCTCTTCTTTGTGGCAGTGTTGGTTTCTTGACTTTTGGGTTCAATGCTGCCGTGTGCGGACTCCAGCCCAACCGTATTAGGCCCACAGGCGTTTCAGGCGATCAGATTGTGATATCTGGGCGCGCCTTTGACCTCGAATCGTTTCGACACCCAACACCTTTCCCAAATATGCCTGGATCAGGTGACCTCCGAGAATTGGGGTTTGGCGGCAGAGACCTGTCTTTTATGTTTCAAATAGTGAATTACAATTGTAAAGGGATCTTTAAGCCGATTCTTCAGGACGACTCCAATGGAAATGTGGTAAATTACTTTCCTTGTGTAACACTTGATCGCTACCACCCAAAAGTAAATGGCACAGACAATCCTATCCGCGAAGGCTGTCATGTAAGCGCAGATTCAAGAACTGCCCTTCGAGATCTAGATATTGTTGGTGACGTCTACTATAACTGGACTGACCTACAACAACCAGGAACAAGCTTGATTGCATTCAATGGGTAAAAAAAAGAAAGTTAATAGATTAATAAAAGAAAAAAAGCACGCAATTGACTCTAACATTTTTCTTAATAATAACACTAATTTTTTGCTTTATGTTAATATATACACATTTATATATAAAAATATATACTATTTGTCTGTATCTATTTTAGAAACGTTTTAGATTTAACACGCCTAAGATACTTGACTCCAAATGTTCCCTTGCCCTTACAAGTCGCGCGTATTGTTGGACCTGGGAGTGCATTTATCGGAAGAGATGCTACTTATTGGCTCAGTACAACTGCAGATCGACTTCAGATTGGAAAATGCCTGACCGATATTCTCAAAGTCGGAGTACTCGACACACGATCGACAGGCTGTATCATTTCTGACATTGTGCTTTGGGTTTCGCTTGCTGTCATTCTTGGTGTTGTTTTCATTCGATTCTTTTTGGCTTTGGTATTTGGGTGGTTTGTGTCGTGGAAACTGGGCAGTATTCGAGAAGAAACGGTCGAAGAGAGAAAGGCACGTCGTGAGGCAATTCTTCAGTGGGAAATGAACAACACTGAGCAGATGCACTATCCAAGGAGCCGCAGTATTGCATCAATTCAAGATAATCCACCAAACGATTCTCTTCGGCTGAGATTTAACAACGAAAGTCTTGGAGTCAATGAATCTCTAATTAGTATCGGTCAAAGTGGGAATGGAACAGGGAATGGAACAGGGACAGGGACTGGAACTGGAACTGGAACTGGAACTGGAACTGGAGCAGGATCAGGGTTAGGAATAGGAACTGGAAATCAACTTTATGGCAGTAGTTTGAGTATTTCAGGAATAGGTCCCAATGCACCAGGCATTTCGTCACAGAAAAACAGGCGAAGGTTCTTCCCAACAACTTCCCGTTTTACACAACAAAGCTCGCCTGCATTTCCTAAATCAACCGTGTTTGATGTGCGGTCGGCCAGTACAGATGGATTCGGACGACGGGCCGGAAGCCGTCCTTCGTCTCCTTCTAATATCACCCATTCTTTTGCATCGCACATTCATTCCAATAAGGACAACGCAACGATGTCGCAAAGTGCGTCAATGGCAGAAATCGAAGCAGAAAACAATTACAACTTCAATTTTGAACTTATCCACACCTTCATGGTTGTGACATGCTACTCTGAAGGCGAAGAGGGTCTGCGTACCACACTCGATTCACTTGCCAACACCGACTATCCGGTGTCACACAAAATGCTGTTGGTAATTTGTGATGGAATCATCACTGGATCTGGAAACGCTCTGTCCACCCCGGACACGGTTCTGTCGATGATGAAAGATGACATCGTTCCGCGCGACCAAGTAAAGCCAGCATCGTATGTGGCTATTGCAGATGGTATGAAACGACACAATATGGCAAAAGTGTATGCAGGCTACTATAGGTATAATGATGATCCTTCGAAGGGTGCTGGTGTAAGACCCCCAGAAGAACAACAGCGAGTTCCGATGCTGGTTATAGTCAAATGTGGTAATGAAGCCGAGTCTACGGACAAAAAGCCAGGGAACAGAGGAAAGCGAGATAGTCAGGTTATTCTGATGAACGCGATGCAAAAGATTTATTATGGAGAGCGTATGTGTGATCTGGAGTTCCAGTTTTGTAAAGCAATTATGAAGCTTACAGGAAGACATCCTTCTTGTTTTGAGACTTGCTTGATGGTGAGTAAAGTGTCAGAAGAAATAGGAAAGAATCAAAATGTTCTATAGTACAATATAGTGTAGTATAGTGTGGGACCAAGGTTTTACAGTTATATATATACATTTGTATTCAATAAGAGTTCTTATCATCCGTAGGTGGATGCTGATACAAAAGTATACCCTGATTCCTTGGCCCGAATGATTGCCTGTATGTCACGAGATCCATATATTATGGGACTCTGTGGAGAAACAAAGATTGCTAACAAGAGCGACAGTTGGGTTACAGCTATACAAGGCAAGTACAATATATACATATATGTGTATTTGTGTATATATTTACCTAATATCTTATATTTTTTGTGATTTCTTAATCTGGCAGTGTTTGAATACTATATTTCTCACCACATGAGTAAAGCGTTTGAATCGATCTTTGGTGGTGTTACCTGTCTTCCTGGATGCTTTTGCATGTATCGCATTATTGCACCCAAAGGAGATCGTTACGTACCGATTATTTGTGCCACTGATATTGTTGAGATGTACTGTGAAAACGTTGTTGATACCCTTCACAAAAAGAACCTATTGCTGCTTGGAGAAGATCGATACCTAACTACACTTATGCTCCGGACATTTCCAAAACGTAAAATGATGTTTGTACCCCAAGCAGTAAGTTGTTTAGATAATGTATATATATATTTTGTTCTTGTACTATGTACTATTATTATTATTAGTATACACTAATGAATTTACCTTGTTTAAAATGATGATTATACTAATAATGTATAGGTTTGCAAGACCGTAGTTCCTGATACGTTTGAGATCCTACTTTCACAGAGGCGCAGATGGATCAATTCGACTGTACACAACCTTTTAGAGCTTGTTTTGATTAGAGATCTATGTGGTACATTCTGCTTCTCAATGCAGTTTGTCGTGTTTATGGAACTTGTTGGAACAGTTGTTCTGCCGGCTGCCATTACATTCACACTCTACCTGATCGTCATATCCTTCTTTATTACTCCGGTGCCAATCATTCCACTTTTACTGCTTGCTGCCATTCTTGGTCTTCCTGCGATACTGATTGCCTTGACGACTCGAAAGATGGTTTATATTGGGTGGATGTTGGTCTACTTGTTCTCACTGCCCATATGGAACTTTGTCCTACCAGCGTACGCTTATTGGCACTTTGATGATTTCTCGTGGGGACAGACACGTCAGGTTGAAGGTGGAGGGGATGGAAAGGGTGAGGACCACGGTCGTCGAGAGGGAGAGTTTGATAGCTCTGGTATTGCAATGCGTAGGTATGAAGAGTGGGTAAGACATGAACACAAGCTATTGGCTGAAAGAAAACCGATACCAGTTCCAACCATTGTCCGTCCTTTCCCGACTATTTATTATGGACACTAGATGATACCCTCCCCTCCTTTATTTCCGTCTGTATCTATCTATCTCCATATCCTTTACTGTTATATTATTATTAAAGAAAAAGTAATAAACCAACGTAAATTTGTTGCAAAAATAAATTACCAAAAGGCAATAAATTTATAGCCTTTATCGCAAAAACGTATGTGCGTGTGTAATAAGTACGAAACTATAGTCTGTATTTTTAGTTCCCATGCGAACAGAAAACAAGAAAAGAAAAGAAAAACAATCTGATAAAGAACCTTGTGCAACCATAGATCTTTAATTTGTATATATATATATATATATATTTGGTGGTAAAACGGATGTAAATTTACCTGGTGAGATTAAGAAGACAATAAAAAAGACCTATGAGCTTGAGCTTGAACTTGAACTTGAATCACCTCTACAGATTATTTAAATTTGTTGTCTTTTCTTATTATCCTTTTGATTCTTGCGCTGCTTGTTCTGCTTGTATAGACCATTATTTGAAATTGATTAATCACAGAAAACTGCTTGTTAATCTACAATAATTCAAAACAAAGCAGTAATAATAGTAATAAATTGATAATCATTTTTTTAATATATATGTGGCGAGAAAGAGCTGTATAGTTGAATAAATTAAGCTTTTTTTTGAAGTCGATGATTTTACTAAGTATTATCTTTGTTGAAAAAAACCATCACAGCCACTAAATGAAGAGCCTCTTTCTTGATCCTTTGATCTAGCATTACACAGCAAACAAGTATTTAATTCGGTAACAGAAAATACATTCTTCGTTTGGTAATATATCGAGTCTTTGCAGCTCAGGTCAAGTTCTTCTTCTTACTCATGCTTGGCAAATAATTAATATTAAAACTGATTCTTAATTTTAACTTTTATTATTATTTATCTCTCTTTTGTTTTAAAAGGTTAATTATATGATGGAACAAATACCGAGGCTCTAAACATGTAACCAACCACACCAATTACGGCAGAGTACGATGTTAATTGTAGTACAAAAAACTTATACCTTGCACACACTTGTACTCATCTATATAAACATATACATGTATATCTGTGTGTGTGTGTTTGTTTATTCAATTATAAACATGTAATAAAATAAAGGAATCAAATCATTGACTGATTGTATGGTATTTGTTATTGCTAGAAGGAAATCAAATAAATAAATGCATATGGTACAATATTTAATTATGTGTGAGTGGTGTCAGAATACTACAAGTAACTTAATGCCACAATTACGGCCATCTACATGCATATACACACACCCGCATTTCTCTTTCTTTCAGAAAAAATGATTTGAAATCGAGGGTGTACTTGAAGTAGAAGTATGGTCTGGTTTACATCGACAATCGCGTTTACACATTGGACACTTTGAGTTCAATACCAGCCACTCGGACACACATGCTTTGTGGAAATGATGCTTACACCTGGAATAAAACATAACCGAAAAAGAAGTATAAGTATAAATGTCACTTTTACTACTGCTATTACTATTATTATTATTATTATAGAAAGAGATCAATCAATAGCTTTTTCTTTTATTTTTGAAGAAATTGATAGGCACAAGCACAGGCACTCTCACGCGCACAAACATGCATAGGCACGCGCGCAAAGATTTGTAGTATATTTGCATGTAGTGTACGTACCATAATTTACAAAGTATATCGCCGTCTTCGTAGTTCGATAGACAGATCACACACAAGCGATCCTGTTCTGGTGGTATATTGATTGTTGGGTATTTGGGTTCTGGTTGACTAGGGGTAATTACTGGTTCAACTGCTCCTACCCAAACCCAAAATAGATCAAAGTAACTTTTTGAGACTGATTGTGGCTTTACTTGGGGTTTATTTTTGGTAGATGAGATGGAATTATCGAGCTTAAAATTCTGTTGCTTTTGTTGCCTTTGATCATTATTTTTGTTGATGCTGTTGTTGTTGTTGTTGTTGTTGTTGTGATGATGTGGGAGCGGCTGTGGCAGGTAAATCTGGGAAATTGACGGAAAAGATTTCATGGGAATGGGCACAGTTTTGAATTGGTACATGGGAAGAAGCGAAATCTCTTGAATAGTCGCGCCTCCCATTTCGACTGCATCATCGACGTGTAGCAAATGCATTCCGACTATTGTGAATCAAATATATATAAATAAAAATAAGTAATTATATAATTAGATGTATTTATTCGGAAAACTTACCGAGAACACAAGGTAGACAAAAGACAACGGCTGCACAAAGAATGAATGGAAATGCAATGATAATGTAGCCATATATGATAAATGATAGAGAGAGATAATAGATCGGGCCAGCCGTGTCTTCGCAGGTTGTGGATGTAAATAAAAAGTAGTTTCCTAACAGAAACCAAAAGACAGCAAACAGATCAAGGGTTGACCGAATTCTATATATATAGATATAGATATAGATATAGATATATAGATATAGATAAATAATACAATGTTACTATTAGTGCTCATGACTTTTGGTAATAAGAAGATGAAGAAGAATGAACTTTAAATTACCGTCTTATTGCGTTCATTAGATCGGAGGCTCTGTATCTTGGCATTGATCTGATCGAGTCTGATGCGTTGTTAAATGAACGGTTGGAAGTAGCCGTAATTGTAGGTGTGAGTATAGGTATAAGTGTAGATGTATCTGTAGGTGTAGATGTGGGTGATGTCTCGATTGGCTGACTGTAATGTGCTGTTGTTGGCATGGACAAGGGGGGTAATAATATATCTTGATCTGTGCCGGGATAATACTCTCCTCTCTCGGCCATTGAGATATCTGATCTAACTCTAATAGATTGAAGTGCCTGATCAGGAACTATATAGAGGTAGATGCTAAATGGCGAGGAAATTACGAGACGAATGATATAAACGACAAGGAATAGTCTCAGGGGTTTATCGCAATACATGTCCCAATATAATGCCAAGACAGCTGTTGTTACAATGACCTGTCGTGAATATAAATGTGTTTATATTTAAAATAAGGATTTTCGTTTTTGACGATCATAATATATATGTACATGTTCACAAAGGTATTTAATCAGTTCTTATTACTACTGATATTAATTTTAATTTATTTTTATTTATTTATTTATTTTTACCTGCAGTGTAAAGAGTGTAAAAGACAATATGAATAGTATCTTTGAAGAACGGGAGCTCTGACTCCAATTACATATAAAATTAGATAGCCAGTGTGAGCGAACCCTCCTTGAGGTTGGGGTAGCACTCCTGGAGAGGTGAACTACATTCGGTGGTGTAATGGTGAGAATTCGAGGGAGGTCAGATCGGGATCGAGAAGTTGAGGATGCGATCGAGTGAATGGGATTGCGGTGACTCATGTTGATTGTAGTTTTCATTCCATAAAATAATATATATATATATATTTATATATATATATATATATTTATATATTTATAGCGTGTGTGTATATAAAAATATATAAAAGGAAAGGAAAGAGGAAAGAGAAGAGGTTTAATTACATGAAATCAAAGAAATGTAAAATAAATAAATAAATCATAATATATATATATATATATATATATATATATATTATTTATCTTGATCTATGAAATAATAATAATAAAGACACACACACACACATATATATATGTATGTATGTATATATACATGCTGTCTATACTTGATACACAAGCACACAAAGAGAAATAGACAAAATGCTATTTGAAATTTTTATGGGTTTGAGGAATGTATATTAAAAAAATAAATAAATCTATAGGTATTTAAATAGCTATATATATTGATTATCATTATTGCAATTCATTTAACCTATAATGATCATCCTAATTATTCAGTAGTCTTTTTTATTAAAGCCTAACGCACAATTGAATATGTGTATATATATAAATGTATAATTATGATTTATCACTATGGCTACCATTGATGATTACTTTTAGCTTTTAGCTTTTATTCAATAAACTTGGTTATTAAAAATAAAAAAGACTTTTTTTTTGGATTTCTTACTAATTTTCTGATCTGATCTCATTTCTAGTAACCTTGTCTTGTATTCACATTATACTTGAATAAAACGAAATAACTTATATACTGTGAGGGTATTTTTGGTGGGCCATAGTCTGACTGAGTTTTATTCTCGCTATTTTTGGTGCGATGAGATTGAGCGTAGAGATACCCTTTTTCGAAAAATTAGGTTCATTTCTCGAAAAAAAAATCCAAATTTGTTAATAAAAAGAGGACGATTTCGACGTTTTTATCATAATGGATGTCTTTATTTTAATATGAATATGTGTCGACTAAAAGTTATATAATTCAAGGCTGGCTACTACTACTACTACTAGAATGGACCTTTCTCGACAGCTTTCCTACCTTATAATGCTCTAATATATATGATTATTGATTGGAATTACTTGTATTTGTAATGATTTATTACTCATAAAGTTTTCTGGAAAGCCATAAAATAAAGACATATAGTTTGATATAACAGTGAAAAATAATAGAGACCTTGGTGAAACATTGTAAAGCTTTTTGAGGAGTTTAACTTATACGTATAAAGAAATCTGAGCGTGAAAAACGCAAATGTTTGATAAACTTTCTCATAAGTTTGTCAAACTTGAAAGAGATTTGAAAAACATTGTAAAACATAATAGACCAATCATGTTGTATTATTTCTTTGTTGCTACACTCATGAAAAAATTAAGCATGAAAATATTAATAGTTGTAATTTTCAACGTATGCATATAAGAATATAAGAATCCCTTCAGTATACTTCTCCACTTACTTTTTTTTTTACTATTTTTTTTTAATAAATATATTATCAATATTTTTGCCCTAACATAATACCAAGAAAAAATGACTATTATTTAATAAAGGTTAACGAATCTCTCATTAGCTTGATTATATGAAGCAGCGTTTGTGAGTTTAGGACTACTGCTTTTCCGACAGGCAATGATTACCAAATGTATACTATGTTTGAGACATGATATTCCGAAAAAAAATGTTTGATAGAAATCCATATTTAGTGACTCGGCGCCTAAATATCTCTTATCGTCTCACCAGGGTCCCTAATAATATAGCTAGATTTGTACTGTGTTCCCCCCGCCGAACGTGGTAGACATAAAAATACTTGAACTATTTTTTAATATGTTTCACACATTGACCGCGATGTATTAATTGCGCTTTTTATTCGCACAAATAAACGCAATAAAATCTTGGATTCAATTCTCAAACATCGGTATATGATCCTTATTTTTATTTTTTTATTTTTTTTTATTGGACCGAGCCCACAGACTTATATACAATCTCCCCCCCCTCCCCTTCTCCCTCCCCCTCTCCCTCCCCTCCCCGACTCCCTCTCTCCCCCTCCACTTCACTCCCCCCACCTTTACGGGACTAATCTATTATACGTGTGGGGTCACACAGTGAACGGGTGCCGTATCAGGGGTCTTGTTTTTTTTTGGTTTTTTTTAACCTACATTCTCTACTGCTCTTTATTTATTGTTTTTTTTTTCTCTTCTTGTTACTCTTTTACTCTTTACCTCTTTATCACTCTATCTCTCTACCTCTTTATCACTCTATCTCTCTACCTCTTTATTTCTCTTTCTTGCTTATTCGTATTATTATTACTCTTAATTCTTTCTAAATACAAACTTGCAGTAATGCTGGCTGAAGACTCAAACACTGGAGGTGTCCAGCAACTCTTTAGATTCCTCGACTACAATAAAGACGGCCTAATCGACACTCATGATCTTGTTGCCGTGTTTACCAATCCAGCTCAAGTGCACATGGACGAGGTGAATGTCAGCCCAACAATTTTTACTTTAAAAAAAAATCCCCACAAAAAAATGCCCTTATCTTTTATCTTTTTATCTTTATATATATATATGTTTGTCTAATTTATTTATATCTGTTTTGTGTAGCATGTCTTGAGTGGTCTTCGTAACAAGGTTTCGAGAGAGCCAAACACAAATCAGCCCAAGATTAGCTTGTCTTATTCTGAATTCGCCCACCTGATGGACCGACATGAGATTTCTGTTGAAGAGATCACACCAAAACAACTTGAACAGATATTGGCCATAATGATGTCACACTCTGTAGAAAAGCCAGTCTGGACATTGGCTGGTTTCTGGAGAGATATTGCTGCATCAGAGACAATGAAACATCTTGTAGCAGGAGGACTTGCGGGTGGAGTATCGCGTACGGTAGTCAGTCCCATGGAACGAATGAAGATTCTCTTCCAGGTAATAATAATAAAAAAAAAGAGACATGAATCTTGACTGACACATTATTTTCACATGATAATTCCGGAAAACTAACCCTGACCTTTCCTGATCCCTTACCCGGACCACCTTTCATATGTGTATACATTTATGTGTGCGTGTGTGTTTATATATTTATATTTATATTTATATGTACATGTACATGTATTAAGATCCAAGGACCTGAACCTGCGGCTTATCAGGGCATTGTGCCCACACTCACAAAAATGTGGCGGGAGGAGGGTTTCATGGGTTTCATGCGGGGCAATGGTACAAACGTTGTCAGAATTGTGCCCTATAGTGCATCTCAATTCGCAGCCTACGAATATTTCAAGGCTCTTTTAATGGAGCCCGGAAAGACCGAGTTGGATACCACCCGTCGTCTCACTGCAGGTGCTGGTGCTGGTGTAGTGTCTGTGGCTTCGACTTATCCACTGGACATCACGCGCACTCGTCTGTCTGTTCAATCAGCCCGGATCGGGAGTAGCATGAGGGATGGCGGTGGTGCAGCAGGATCCAAGAAATTGCCTGGCATTATCCCCACCATGGTCAGCATCTATAAAAATGAAGGTGGTATCCGTGGTCTGTACCGAGGATTATGGCCTACAACATTGGTAAGTGCGCAAAAAAAATATATCAGATAGATATATAGATATATAGATATGTATATAAAAAATGGCAAGATAATACACACACACATATATATATATATATATTGTACACATTGTACTTGCCTTTATTCTTATTCTTATTCTTATTCTTATATATATATGTTCCTTATTAAAAATAATAAAATAATATACTAAATATATGCATATAATTCTCACTCTTTTCTTTTTAAAAATAATATTGTATTTCATTTGTGTCTATTGTCTTTCTTTTCCTTTTTTTCTTTTCTGTGTCTCTGTTCTACATACCACTTCATCCAGGGAGTCGCTCCTTATGTCGCACTCAACTTCCAATGTTACGAGGTCTTGAAGATCTACCTTATTCCCCCGGAGGTCGACCAATCTTCTGTGTCACGGAAGCTATTGTGCGGTGCTCTTGCTGGTTCTATCGCACAAACCATCACATATCCTCTTGGTAAGCAATAGTAGTAGTAATAGCAGCAGCAGCAGCAGCATCACAATTATTTTTATTTTTATAAACTAATTTACCTTTTTTTTTCTTTTTTGTATTTGTGGTTGTGATTGTGGTTGTAACCATTTGTAGATGTTTTACGTAGACGCATGCAGGTCACTGGTATGGCGTCTATTGAATACAAATACACGGGCACATGGGACGCCATCAAAACCATGGTCCAAAAGGAGGGTATCCTGTCACTCTACAAAGGAAACATGGCCAATTACCTCAAAGTAGCACCAGCAATTGGTGTCAGTTTTGTAACATATGAGTGGTGCAAAGACGCAATGACCTACAACCGGTAGAGAACAGCCAAATTAGTTCGGCAACCCATTTTTTTTTTGTTTTGTTTTGATTTTTGTTTTAAACATTTCCTTTATAACTTTACTACTTTATCTACCTCTATCTTTATTCTACTCTTATTCCTTTATTATTATTTTGCATCACAATTCGACTTCCCCTCATACTTCTCTCTCTCTCTCTCACACACACACACAGATTTCTCCTATACCAAATGTTTAACTGTAGTTAAACGCTCTGTTTAATTTGTAAACAGTATTCTGTCTTCTATTTCTCTTTTCTTTTTTACCTCCTTACCTTTCTATCTATAGACAATTTATAATTTCATTGGTTACATTTTTTTAGTATATAAATAATAATAATAATAATAATAATAAAATGGTCTTATACACAAATAACTGGAACGTTTCAAAACTAAAAACAACAACAGTCGATCGTCCATGCATTGACCAATTGTTTGTTTTCAGACACACACGCACAAAAGAAGGCTCCAATTTACTTTGAATATCTAAATAGACTTGCCAGATTAAAATCCCGCAACCTTACACAAGCCTCTACGTATGTCTCTTTTTCTCCTCTCTCTTTCCCCCTCTCCTCACTAAGCCCATTCACTCTTTTACATTAATGGAATCTCCAACTATCAATGAACATGTACCACAAGTACAAGCTGATCAACCAGTAGAGCCAGTTACTATACCAACAGTACCAGAGACACCCAACAGAGAAATTAAGGTGTTTAATCCTCCTGCCAATGCTCCTCCTCCAGGTACAGCAATTAAGACTCTATAAGACATATAAGCTTTATTACTATTAGCAATGGCTTGAATAAAAACACTATCAACGACAAGTAACTAATATACTTTTATAATATTTTCTTTAAAAAAATTATCCTCTAGCTGAAGTTCCAGAATCATTTTACAAACTAGATGCAAATGAAGTCGGGCGACTATACAAGTCTCAAGTAGACAATCGACAAAAAATGGAGAATGCGTAAGTATACAGCCAACCTTTACACATTCACACGCACACACACACACAATCGTACATACAGTTTATTATTTTAATCAAAAACTAAACAATCAATTATCAATTATCACTTTCTCACGAACAATGTGTGCTGTAGACCATTAAGGACGCAAAAGATGCGGACAACAGAAGAACAGGAGAGAATGAAAAAATACCCAAGAACAACTATCAGAGTACGTCTTCCTGATGGTACTATTCTTCAGGCAGTGTTTCAATCCAAGGAGAAAGGTTAGTTACTTTTTTGGTATTTTGGTTCAATAAATAAATAAAAAAGCCATAATCATATATATATATATATATATGTAAAATGAGAATCAGAGAGAGATAGAGAAGCTAACGATAACACATACACACAAATTTATTAATAATGTGTCTTTGATTTATTGTAATTAGTATCTGCCTTGTACACTTTTATTCGTTCTACACTCGAAACTCCCGACCGTCAGTTTTTGCTGTGCCTCCCACCTCGTACCAAACTAGTAGATCCAGACCTTACCCTTTACAAGGCAAATCTTGCACCAGCATCAAATGTCATGTTTGTATGGATCGAAAAGGCAACAGGTTCAGGTAAGGAAAAAAAGGGATCCCAGACAAGTGTATATATATGTGTGTGTGTGTGTGTGTGTGTGTATTTGTGTACTTGTGTATAATGTACAAGCAAATATTCTTCCTTATTCTAACATGTTTATATACTATCAGACACTCAAGTTCTTAAGAAGGAGTACCTTGACATGAAACAACCTTTAGCATCATCATCAGCATCATCATCATCTCCATTGGCCTCTCAGGATCCTGCTCAACAACAGCAGCCAAAGCCAACTCCACCTGTAAAGACAAGTAAGGTCCCAAAGTGGCTTCAAAAAGGACTGTACAAGAAATAATTACTGTCAAGCATATACAAATTTACAAATATATAAATAAATAAATAATTATACATAAACACATACATACAAACAAATGCATATATATATATATGTATATTACTATATTCGATACATTTCTTTATAAAACTATAGCTATTTATTAACCTCTTCATTTACAACAAAAACAAAACTACTCTTCTACATACCTACTTTTCTTATCTTGTTCTAATAAAATACACCTTTACAAATATGACCCAGATTTTATCAATATATTTTATTATTCATATGCAATAAAAATGCATATTTAGAATACAATATATCCATTAACTAAAGACTTTCAAAATACACTTCAACTAAAATGTACATAGCCTGAAAAGATAAGGCTTTAAGGAATTTCCCTATATATTTCTCTCACTCTCTCACTCTCTCTTTTGGTCTATGCTACATACTTTAAGCTTAGCTTAGTCTTTCTTTTATTATGTTATACAATACAATACTCCTATGCCCACTTTAAAATACAAGAGTCCAAGTAAAAAAAAAAGGGTAAATTAACACACCTATACACAAACCAAAAGAAATATACATATAAAAACATGTACATTACATACTGAGTTACTTTAAAATGGCTTGCTCTCCAAGTAATTTTATTTTATTTTTGTCTAACAAGCTTTACTTTTATTATGTATTACATGTATCAATCGCTTAGTCTTTTACATATATATTTTAAAAAAAAGAGAGATCTAAATGAGACATACTTTAGATCAAAAAGAAAAAACAATATATATACATACACAAATGTTATATTTCTTCTGAATGGTTTGTCATGCAAACTACTTGTTTTTTTTTTTTTTTTTACTATTCTTATTATTTTGTTCTACAGACTTTGACTTTATAATATAGCATGTATACATTATTCGTATAGGTCTCTCTTTTAAAGAACAAATTAAGAAACATATAGAAAGTTCAAGTAGAACTCACGCTTACACTCATGCAAATTAAAAGGAAAAACTATATACATAAAATAGAAAAAAAAAATGAACCACTAAATGCAATGGTCTCAAGTCGCACTTGGCTAATTAATATATGGAATATGCTTTATCAGGAAAGGATTATAATATGTCGGTAGGAAAAACCCAAGTAAATAGGTAGTATACACACAATATAAAATATAAGTTTATATCTCTGTATTCATGAATAATAATATACACTTTAGTACGATCCAGTACAGCACTACGCACTACGCACTACATATCACGCACCACGCACCATACAACATAAACCATACACCTTGCCACACATCATAGCACAGTACAGCACAGTACAAAAAATACCTCAAAAATAAATCTCTGGGTCATAGAAGAGCTGGAATACTCTCACGGCGCTAATGTTTGCCGGGATGGTAATACGTTTGACAAACAATGAGCCCAGCTTAAATCGTCAATTCTGAGAAACTATCTCGCCGGGTGTACGAAATTACTATTCCAAAGATAAATGCGCGAATGAGAGAGAAACAAGCAAGCAAACAAGCAAGCCAAAAAAAAAAAGTTTAATGCAAGCTGGCGGACTTGTATATCCGCAAGTCTAATTGCCTGTTTTTTTTTGAAGTAGTCAAGGCAATACAAGGTGCGTAAAGTCAAGAGGAGTTAAGTCAACGCAAGGCAAGGCAAGGCAAGGCAAGACAAGACGAGCAAAAGAAATACACCAAGAAATACAAAAAAATGAGATCTCTATGTGTAGGAGAAAACCAAACTAGGTTTTCTTTTTTCTATATCATTGACCTTGTACACCGCAGCAGAAAAGATAATGGAGATAAACCGAATATATAAGACGCGTTGATGATCAGGACAAAGTGCCTTGGTGACGCGTCTGGGAGACCATCAAATCTTTATTTTAAGTGTGTGTACTATGTGTGTCTTCTTGAAGGGAGATCTGCATTAGCTAGATTATCAAACCTGGCTTCTTTCTTTTTTTAGTTGTACCTTACTGTCGATCTATTCCAGGGCTTTGTTTCCCTTGATGAATAGCACTGCCCTGAAACACTCTTTAACACAACCCCTTTCTCCCTTTTTTCTCTTTCTTTCATGTACTTTTAATACTTTTGTTTCTGTTAAACTTGACTGCATTCAAAATAAATATATAATATAATATAATATAATATTTCGGAGGGAACTAATATTGTTGATGGTAGGACGAGTTCATAGGCTCAGTTTGTTCTTTTTTATTTTATTTATTGCAATAAATAATAATAATAGAAATAAATGATTGGTGAGTTGATGAGGTGGCTTTTTTTTAGAGTGGGGATGTATGAACGGCAAGGTGGACAAAATAGGAAAGCTATCAGGACTGGCGATTGATTTGTTACGGAACAAAAAGTAAAGAAGATGAAGGTGGCTGGAATCTTACCCACCCAGTAAGAGCAAGCAAACGCACACGTTCGGTAATTTAAAGCAGTAAAAAAGAGCTTAAACAGGAATCTTAGTGAGGCTACACAGTGGCTGAAATCCAAAAATAAAAATAAAATAAAGTGTATGCGCGCAATATACCTAATTTGGTAAAAAATGAACAGGACAAAGTTGACTGTTTTTTTTAATACACACACTTACACAGATACATTGTATTACTATGGAAACGCGTTTATTCTGTAGCCATAGATACCAAGATTTTTTTTTTACAAGGAAGAAAAAAAATATAAAAGGACCATTGAATTGGGAAATTCCTTTTTTCTTTATCCAAAAAATCACATCTTATCTTACCATGTCTTACCACGAAGAAGCCTACAACAAGATCCACGCCGTCGATCTTCCCACTGAGGAGCACAAGGCCGAGTGGACCCACCAGTTCTTGGCCGCTGCCGCTGGCTTCGGTGCCATGCACGCTTTCAACAAGAACAAGGCCGAGAAGGAGGGAGAGGAAGTTGACCACCATCTTGCCAAGGAGCTCCTCGCTGGTCTCGCTGCCGCTGCCGTTGACAACCTTGCCGAGTCCAAGGGTATGGACTGGGTCGATCGCGAGAAGGCCAAGCACCAGGCTAAGGAGGAGGCTGAGAAGCTTTACAGCCAGCAGACTGGTTACGAGTTCTAAATAACCAATCAAGAAGCCAACCCTTTGCTAGATAATCATATCTTTCATCTTTACAAATGTATTCCCCACCACTCCACATGTTCTAGTCTACTGTTATCACTCTAGACAGTTCATCTGTATTTAGTTGATGTACCCATCATGTTTTTTTATTAAAGAAAAAGGATTCCTTTTTGTTACAATTTAACCAAGTGTATATGTTACTGCTATCATGTGTGATTTCTGGTTTGAATCAGTGGTGTAATTGGGTTATTGGTTTTGAGGTTATTGAATAAGAATATATGAATATAAGAAGTAAAGGATGTGTATGAAGATATTATTACTGTTAATAGTTGATGAACGCTAGGTTTTCTACTCCTTCTCTTGATACATTTCTTTTTCTATTTGATTAGCTTGAAACAAAATACAAAAAAAAATATTAAAGCCAAGGGAACTTGGATGTACCAGATACAAACCTCACACACTCCAAAAAATTTCGACTAGTACTTATCAGACAAGGTCTCCAAAATATAAATATAAATAAAACAAAGCTATCCAGAAAACTGTACATAGTATTACACTAAAATAAATAAAAAATTAACCAAACCAAAAACATCCCGATACAACGGATATCTACCCGCTTTTCAAATTCTCGAGTATTTTTTTTTAAAATAAAATAAAATCAAATCGTATTATTTTATGGATAACTTCTCCCTTTTTTTTTAAAGAAAAATAGACAAGCTATATACGAACCGATTTCTTTAATTCACAGTATAGAAATAATAGTAAAAAGTTAAAGGATGCTTGCAAAATATGCAAGTGTGAACCACCTTATTTTGGCTGCTTCCGGCATGAAACCAAGTGGGTCTCAAGTGCAACTCAAATAGAGTTTAGACAGCGCTAAAAATTTCTTCGATTATCGGAGCATACAAGACTTCTTGGCGTCTACTATTCTGCCGCTTAAAACTGTAGAGTTGATTATTGATCATAATATAAATAATAAATATAAATGAGGATGAGAATGAGAATGTTAATATTCATATTGATTTTAAAAGAGCCATAATATAATATCACGTCTTATAATACACAGAGCCTTCAGACTTCAATATCGAGGTATTTCTAAAGATAATTCAGTAGTTTGTGTCTGACAGAGGTACAAAAGAAAAATAATGAAAGAAATATAGAGAGCTTTACCCTGATTTTCTCTCTTTTTCTCCATTGTATTCTTCCACAGATATTTTGCAGAGGATTTGGTGAGATTTGGTAACTGATTTTTATTTTATTTTTTACTTTAGTATTTCAATCTCACCATGTTGCTACTGCCAGCAGTTCTGCTACATTGAAATATTATAAAATAATAATAGTAATAATTATTACCCGTTCTAATATATATATGTATATTGAATCTCATCACAGACTTCCTTTAACAAATCGCTCTCTCTCTTTCCCTCTTTTAAAGTAAATAAGTTTGTGAGTTTGATGGCACATAGGAATCTTTGTATTCTACTTGCTCAAATAATAATAGTTAAATGTGCATCTTTACACAAAAACCAGATGTGATTAATAAGCTTTCCTCTTGATGTCCCATCCCTGATGGTTTTCTTGATTTAATTTCCCACTTCTGCTTCATCATCTTGTCAAAATCATCCTGTTTTTAATTACTTTGTTGTGTACCATATGGCTGCTTAACCTCAATATAATATAATTTAATGCATATATATAAAAGGTCTTCTTATTCTCTTTATGTTGTTAAATCAAAAAATAAAATCAGGCTTTCTTTTTGGAATTGTTATATTAACCGTCGATCCTACCTGAGATAGATAACATAGTGCTTAATGTAAGCCAAATATTAGACGAATAAATGTATATGCTTAAACCGTGTTAAAAAACAAAAGAAGGCAAGCTGATAATGTTGGCTAGCAAAATCGATTTACTCAAAATCTCATCATATTGGGTATATTATTACAGTCAAAATTCGATGTAGTAATATATGCTGTATTCATTTTTTATCATATCAGTATATTGAGCTTTGACTGTAATAAACAATCTTGTAATTTTAAACGTTCATTATAAAGGTTCCGATTATTTTCTTTTTATAATGGCCAGAAAAAAAGGGTATTGACAGAAAGCTATTTTTTTGGGGAATATTTATATTGTTTTTCCTTATACTTATAATACAGAAATCTACTACAGCTACATGCATAAGTAAGTTCAATAAAAGCCAAAGATGATATACTTTTTTTATAAATCTTCAAACATTTTGGCATGTTGTATAAGTAATATATCTATAAGATTTCAAGGATATATATATTAAAATAATTCATAAAAGAATTACTCGAGAGATATCATAATTATTAGCAAACGATCCTAATTCAATAAAATATAGTTAAATATAGATGAGTCATGACTAATACTTATGGTAAAATAAGCGCATGGCCAGTTATAGTGCACTCTCATAAGTGTATAGCGTGACATATTCAGAGCAAATAGAGGATAGCCCCCCCAAAGTAAACTACTCAGGGGAAATCTCTTTTGTTTTTGTCGTTCGGGTTTTCTTGTTCTTTAAAGGGCACAGGGTAAAATGCTATTTTCGCTAGCGTTAAATTCAGAAAACAATTTCTACGCTGTATTGCATAGAATTACACTATATATTTTTTCTGCAGCCACAGGAACTGACACATCCCTTTTTTTTTTTCGTGTAAAAGCTCGATAATGCCGAGGATTAGCCCAGGGCAGTGCTTTTTCTTCTTCTTTATTTTCTGAAATAGTAACCAAGTTCACTTTAAAGATAATATCCATTCAAGTATCCTTCAATTTGAATGTCGTAAATAGGGGTATCGAGATCAGTCAATTTAGTGATTTTGCCAAATTAAATACTTAATTTTATGGCTTCCGTTTGACTTTCAGGATAACATTTATTCCATTAAATGTTGATAATTAATGCAGTTAATTTTTAATTCTAGTATAATCTATATGTATATACATATCAAAGTATTTATAATACACTATGTTAAAAAAGAAAAAGAAAAAAAAAAGGCCTACAAAGATCTCTAATAAGAATGAATTTGTCCAATAAAATCTTGTAACTGTCCCTAAATTTATTTTTCCAATAGTCTCTTTTTTAGGGTTACAATCCTTTATTTCTTGCTTCTTTTATAGTTTATGCAATGAGACCAACGCGGAGACGAACAAGGGCACCAACACCGCCAGTCCAAGAGTCCGATGGGACAAGCGAGATGGAGCTCAATGAAAGTGTTCAGAGTAGTGAGATGAGTAGTGATGATGATGAGCAGATTGTCAATCGACACACAATTCAAGAACCCATTGAAGACGAAGAGCAGGAAGAAGAAATATCCGATTCAGAAGAGAGTGTTGAGTCTGCTGCAGTACAGCAATATCCTTCTGCTGTAGACAGCGGTAAGCCAAAAACAAAGCCTTTGTAGTCAAAAGATGGCTTTTGTTTCTTGAAAAAAAAAGGAACAGATTCAAGAGTGTTTACTAATGTTTATGTATTTATATATTTATGTGTTTGTTCTGTGTTAAATTAAATAGATGCTTCTGAAAGTGAAGATGAATTCAAGGAAATTGTCCAAACACGCCCTGCAACAAAACGTCAAAGAGCGCGCCTGAACAATCATGAACCAGAGGATTATATTGAACTTCCAATGGGTAAGTGTTGATCACTACACTATATTTATTTACATATAATCTACACATAAACTTACACAAACTTGCAAATGTATATGTGTATATGTATATAATATGTGGCTTTACTATTCTTCTTTTTCTTTTTCTTTTCAACAGAGAGTAGCAGAAAGAAACTACTAACAGAAGAAGAGGCAGCTTTGAAACGATCCGAAGTTACGAGAAGGCGAAAGAACCAGAGTCTCCAAAGAGCAGAGAAGGATAAAGTATGGTTATTTAATACAGAAAATATCTCTTGTGATTATTAGTATCATTATTATCACCATGTCCAAAATTAAATCTAGGATTGTAATTTTTAGGCAGATACAATCAACCGATTGTTAAAAAAGCAGGCAACCAAGAGCAAGCAGAAAATCAGAGATGATGTAATTGAGACAAAAGAAGGAGAGAAACGTAAAGAGCATGGAATGCGTTACATTCACAACAAGGAAGGAAGTGTTCTTGCTATACCCATTAAATACACAGTTGAACACGTATTTGGTACTCACAAGTAAGTTTCTTTTTTCTTTCTCTTATTATTATCTTTTGCTTGGGATATGTAGTTAGTGAGTTAGTTGTACGATTGCGATTAAATGCTAGGAATAATATTCAAATACTGAGAATCTAGGGTCAGTGCGCCTAAACCACCAAGAAAGTGTGAGGTACATGGTTGCCATCAATTGAAAAAGTATGTAGCCAAAAAGAGCGGAAAGCTTGTATGTTCTCTTGAACACTATCAAACAGTAGAGGGTGTGCAATAATACGTCCACACTATATCCACACTATATCCACACACACACACACACATATATATATATATATCCTTTATTATTATTATTATTACCTCTTGTTAAGTTGGTCGGTTGTTTGTGTTTTGGATATTTATTTTATTATTATATCAAGGTACTTTTTTCTTTTTTCCTTCTTTTAATATATTTTACCTATATATGTTAATTTTTTTTTTTCAAAAAGAGTATATAAACCAAATTAGTATCATCAATACAATAAAATAACTCTCACAAACATACACATATTTGAAATTTAAAATTTTATATCTTTACCCCAAAAAAAATTGTTTATGATCTATCAGTCTTCTTGCGGAAACCCTCGACCTTGTTCTCCTTCAATGCAGTAAAGTACATGTTTGCCAACTCACGGCAGTTTTGGTCTACACAGAGACATTTATAGATTACGTCAATTCGATCCATAAATAAAGATATCCGTATATATATGTATATGGTCGTAGAATTAAGGGAAATTCACTTACAGTGGTTAACACCCTCAGTTCTGTAGCACTCATCAAGCTTTTCCTTAATAATACGTGCTTCCATAGCCTTAACCCAGTCATCGCGAATCTTCTGATTACGGGCAGCATAAACAGCTATAATTAAAAAATTAAATGTGTATATACACATATATATTACATTACATTATTTAGTGCAATGTATCTTTGCTATATCTTTTTTTTTCTTTTTTTTCTTTTTTTGTGTGTGCATAAAATTACCCTTGCGATCGTTGGGATCAACCTTGTCCAAAGTAGGAACACTGGAGTTGATAAAGAGAGAAATAGAGAGAGGGAGGGGTAAATGGCTGTCGATTCAACAAATTTGGCGCATAATCGTATTTTTGTACCGTTCAAACTGTCTGTGCTCGGGGTATTCCCAATCTGCTGTGGCTGCCATTATATTCGAGAGGAGGGGATGATTGTATATATCTATCAAAAAAAAAGTGCTACTATGTGTTTTTTGCCTACCAATCCCTGCTTACGTCTATTTGCACCACAATCCAAAAAGGTGTTTTTACTACGTCACAAAAGCAGTGACGTGCTTTTCGACATCAAGAAAGTGGGGAAGGAATGAAGGTAAATGAGAAAATAAAATGAGAAAATGAAATAAAAGATAGATAGGTAGAAAATGGGGTCCCAGGGTCCTTATAATTATAAGAATCTTTACATATTATCTATTGAATTGAACTTTATATTTTACTTGTGTAAAGAAAGTTATTATACACAGTCAACAGATCAAGTATTAAAACAATTGTCTTGCACGTCAATTATTTCGATCATAAAGCTACAAAACTGACTAGAAACCATTTATGTACCTTAAATTACAACAATTTACTATATATATATATATATATATATATATATATCCTTAATAGTAGATCAAACTTTATTAGAGTATACAGATCTATTTCCGCTTACTATTTCAGGGATAATTACTTGAATTACAAAAACATCTTTATTCAATTGAACAAGGCTCTTTTTATTTTATTCTTTTAACCAGTCAATATCCGAGTTATACATATTCTTTGGAAAATAAAAATAAAAGGGACAAAGTAGTTGAATCTATTGGATTTATTGTAAAGATTTCGAGGTCCCAAATGTATGCCCCGACAGTTAATGTTTAAAGAAAAAAAAATGCAAGAAAATTTGTGGGTATGTGTGCATGTGCATGTGTGTATATATCGAATGCTTCCCCAAGAAATCATTGTAACCATTGCAAATAATCTTTCAACAAAAGATCGAATCACATGCACTTCTGTCTGCAGATCATGGAAGGATCCTTTTCAACGAGCTTTGTGGAAACACATTGAAATGAAAACCAGAGAAAGACTCTGGATGATTTGTTACGAAGCAAGCCAACAGGGCAATAAATACCACTCCAATGGTCACTGCACGCACGACTTTTGCATCTCATTCCATGAAAGTATCGACAATGAAGATTTCTATACACTCTTAAAAGTATTCCCGAGTCTAAGAAGCCTTAAAATTGTAGCCGACCTATCACCAACAATTACCCTCAAAAGAGAACCAGGAAATATCTTTTGGAAAGCACTGACGGTTCTTGACATCGTGCCACCCAGATATAACGATGAAACTGATATCAAAGAATTCGCGAACCTCTTGTCATTTACACCTAATGTTAAACGTCTGACGATCTTACAGAGCCCTCAGGGAGGTGTGGAATGTACTTGGAATGACCTTGAAGTAATCCACGATTGTCTACCACTGCTCAATCATTTGGAAATTTATACAAACCTCTCAGACTTTGAGAGCAAAGACGCGGCTGATTTTACTCAAATTAAGCCAACAAGAGTAACCTCTCTAATTATACATAGCTATGACCAGTGCATATTTTGGGTGTACTATTTCGCTTGCAAGTACCCAAAGGTACACACTATCAAATGCAGCTTACTCGGAGACCTTGCTGAAGGTGAGGAGACAGACAGTGTGTGCGCCAAATTAAAAAACCTTTCGTCTCCCTTCCAACACCTCAAAACATTGGAGACAAACACCAACCTGACGGAAATATATAAGAATGATGTGTTCTATACTCTACTCGATCAGAATGGAGTAAAGTTGAAAGATGTGACATGTATTCTTGGCTGGGGTAACGATACCTTTATCTATTCAAGAATGCGTGATCTTTTTGATGTAACTTTAACAAGTATCCTCAGTAAGATACGTGGAAGTGTCGAACGCCTTTCGATCAACTGTCCGACGATACTGAAACTAGATAGTTTGCTTTTGAGCATCAGTCTTTGCACAACCTTGGTCGACCTACAATTGTGTGTAAAATCAGAAACCGTTTTACTGGAGCATATTATACGATGCTTTCCATCCCTGAAAAGACTTGCGATACGTAGCCACAGCGGGTTAAGTATTCTAAATAATTCAAAAAAAATGGCACACAATAGTCTCGAGACGCTGGAACTAAGCATGGTGACAATCTCACAAGACGTATTGAGAACAAGTTCACAAAACATGACAAATCTGAAAAGAATGGTTTTAGAGGATGTAACTATAGAAGGACATCTATCTAAAGAAAACGGGGAATTCTGTATTGATATGTCAAGTACACGTTTTGATTACCTAAAACTTAAAGATGTACATTTTCATTACTACTACCATTTGAGAAGTTGTTTTTGTATCAACTTCTCTTCTGTACTCCAATCAGATTATCAAGAGCAGCGAGAATCTGGTATGTGTGCTTTAAAGATTTCGAACTATATGTTATTACCCAATATTTTTTTTGGCATTTAGTAATATATATATATATATATATACACCTTTGCTTGTGTACGTTTTAGAGAAAAGAAGGTTTATGTTTAGTAGACAGTATTTTGAATCACGCAAGCTAGAGATGAAGAATAAACCTAACCCAGATCGCCAACACAATTCCTGTCAGGGACATCTTGGCAATGATATGTGGAGAGATGATCTTTCTCGCGGCTATGCTACATTACGATGTAAAGGTGTTGAGACACTTAACATACATGGGTGTGCAGCCCATAATATTTTTCCAGAATAAATAATCTTTTAATACCAATTACAGCTTTTCCTAACATTCCTAAAGAACAGAAAGAGAGAGATATGGAGAGGGGGTAGGAGAGTTTGATTAGAGATAATTAATTACATATATATATATATATATATAAAAGAAGATAATAATATATGCGTATGTGTATAATTATACTTTTCTTCTCGTGAAATTAAGGTAAACATAATCAAAATAGCATCCTTGTACATGTCCACATAATATTCGAGCATAACCGTTTGGAAGGTCACTTCTCCAGTATCGTTGCAACGCTAATCCACCAGGGTGTCGTTTTCGTTGAGTTTTTGAAGTCTTAGGATCTGTGGGCGAATACTTCTCAAATGCTTTCTTGATAGTTAAAGTCTCTTTATAGTCGAGTGTCCATAGCTTTCGTGTGTTATATTTACTATCTTTATTAAAACACAAGTATGACCACATCGTCTCGCCTTCAAGCCATGGGTAGTTTGTATGAATCTCCAAAAGTTTTTTATAGTTCGAATGAAGATTTTTGAAATTCGGATCAAAGTATTGCGGAGCGTTGACTACTCGACCCAATATGAAGAAATTTGTTGGAATCTCTTCATCAAAGCTCCCGGTTTCGGTAGTAAGGAAAAATTTGACACGAATGAACGTCAATACATGAAAATTTGTATACAACATATCCATGTATATCCTGCGCCTTGATTCACTTCTTTTTTGAACAACTTTCACTTCATATAAGCACATCTTATTTAGGCTTCTGCAGTGGTATGATATGTATTTGAATATAGACGAATCTGCTTTTATATCGGCGAGGCTGAGAGATCTTAGTGGATGTAATTTTTCGGTGCTGGTGTCCGATGAGCTTAGGGTAACGTAGTTTCCTTTGATGTGGAGGACATTCAAAGATGGGAAATTATCCAGTATTTTGTCAATGCTGGTCACGGAATTGAGGATATTGATACTTAGATTCTTTACGTGAGGAAAGTTTTGAAAATCTGGCAGTCTGTAAGCCTCAATAAAGTCAGATGTGATTTCGATGTTTAGGTCTTCGAGTGAGGCTGGAAATGAATTCAAGTGTTCGGTTACAATAGTCGCGGGGAAATCCAAAATATCTCCAGACTCTAAATGCAGGCTGTATTGCAAGGTGGTAATCGATTTAAACAGATTCTTATACATCGCACAAAGTAACTCCAGGCAACCCATCATAGCCACAGAATAGGAAATATTGGCTTTCTTCAGGTGCAAAAATCCGTTGGTGTGGTTATTTAACAACATCACCGTCTCATCGTCTGGTAGATCTTGGTCAATCATATTTGTATAACTACGATATTTTGATGACAATTCCTCGATGTTTGGATATCTTAAAGAAATATAATACAGCCACCCGATATCCATATTATGATGTGGTAAATCCAGGGTTTTCATACGGATTATTGGTGAAATGTCGGTCATTGTTTTGATGGTATCTAGCGGCATTTCGATGAATACGATATTCAATACCAGGACTTCAAGTTTTGGCAATATTTTGTGAATATCTTCAAGTGTTTCCCATGTGTAGTAATGTGTATTCTTGTAGCATTGTTCCCAGAATTTGAGTTGCTTTAGGTGAGGCAAGTGGATCAATAGTTCAAAGAATTTTTCTTCCGGCTCTTTTTCATCCATACATGAAGTTGTTATATCAAGTTCTACTAGAGATTTCCAGTTCCTCCAATTGTTGGTCGTATTAAGAATATCTGAGTCCAAGGCACCATAACCACTTCTGAAGGCAAGAAGTTTCTGAAAATAGCTTTGTAGTTTCGATATTTGCTCGTTATTCAAATTGACAGATCTTTCTACAGTAAGATCTCTAACACGGTTTCCATTCTTTTTGTAAGCGTTTTCTTGGGTTGCCGGTGGATTAAGGATAGTGTCCACTTTTTGTTCATCTTTTATGTTTATGCTGTACCAAAGAGAATGTTGAAAAGCTTTGGACCATGATTTGCAGACTGTGGCGCAAACGAGTCTTTCTTTTTGAGCCATAAAGGTTGCAGTCATTGTGAGAACCTCAAATGGAAGTGATGCCAGCATTATACAATTGTAATGAGAAGGTGTGGAAAGGATAAAGGCTTTTTTTTTTCTTCTTTTATTCTTTAAAATTTCAACGGGAACGAAATCCAGATATTCGTTAGAAAAAAAATAAAAGCGGCCATGGTGTCAAATCTTGAAAAAAAAAGGTGACACTTCATACAGTTGGTGTGGACAAACTAAAAGTTTAAAAAAGGCAAAAAAAAAAGAAAAAAAGTTCAAAATCAGTTCAAAATACATATTAGGGGGTTTCATTATCTCTTTGGATAGAAATTCAGATTAGGATTCGTAAAGCGGGTGTTTAAATGGTGAAATGATTGGCTTAGAAGAGTCTGAAGAAAAAAAAGCTTTCGGTTGGAAATTGAGGATCGCTCATTTTGACGTCTTGAAGTACTCAAAGCAAACATTTATCAATTTATTTACCTCTATTACATATTTATACTTTATATACCAGCTTTTATTAAGGAAAAAATTCCAAAATAATTGGTAGAAATTAGCTTAATTGCTTATAATAAAATATCAGGTACAAGAATAAGAAGATTAATTAAAAAGGGGGACTCAATAATTTCCATTTTATATTCACTTTCATTGGGTGCAAGTTTAACACCCGCTGTCCGAATCATAACCTGAATTTCTATCCGAAGAGATAATGAAACGCCCTATTGAAACAGTCGTAAATAAGAGCAATGCCAAGCAGACAATCTCGTCAAGAAACATTGAACACATCCCTGAAGAATTTATTTCCTCTGATGTACTTGATACGATTTGTAATCCCTTTAACTCGTATTCGCCGTGTTATCAATTTTCAAAAAGGCTCAATATATTACAACAGCAAAGCCAACCCTTTGAAGCACACAAAAGCGTACTACAGACTATCAAAAATATGTAGTGCTTCAAGGCAAAACATTCAACTATCTTCCATTAAGAAATGTTTCTATAACATGCTATATTACAATCGATACGCATATTATAAATACTTTAATCTCGAATGATTCTTTTATTAGTTACTTGGATAAGGAAATGTTATGAAGAAGCGTTCTGGATATTAAAGCCAAGACAATGACCCCAGGTAGAAGCAAATTAGATGAGATTCAGAGGAATGATCTATACATATAATATTGATATGCCTGTGCTAAAAGAGAGCAGAGACAAAAAAAAAAGATCAATATATTTGGTGGAAAATGAATTCCAATACATCAAAAAGTTAAGAGAAGAGCTGTAAGCTGGTATCGTGAAATGTATATTTTGTGACCCTGAGCTTTGTGATTTACTTTATTTGATGCACAGATGTAGTATTACTGAAACTAAATCAACCTACCGATATGCTAAAAACCAACAAAAAAAACAACAACATAAAAATGACAAGAAGATAGATCATATCATTGCATTCAAGCTCTCCCTGTCCCAGCATAATTCTTCAAAAAGAAAATAACAGAGAAATGTATTAAATATCTCCAAGAAAGAAAAAAAAAGAGCCAAAGTCACCCCAACGATAAAATTATATTTACGCAAATGAAGATAATCCTACCAAAGAAGATCGACATACTGGTAGTACTACTCCTGCTCAGAAAAATGGACCTTTCAAGCTTCATTAATCAGCTACAAGCAGACAAACGGTTGACCGAGAATATCCAGAAATTTCTTGGCGCTGACGATGTACTGTAGCATTCCCAGCAACTGGTTTTTGGTCATTCTACTACTTTATGATTCTCCTCAATCACACCTTTCAATACCCTTATTTAGAACGCTTTCAAGTCTCCTGGATATCTTCTCTATAACTATCATATCCAAACGACGGATCACTTTCTGGAAGAATGTTCAATAACATTGTAAGTCTTGACAATGGTTGTTTTATTACAGATATCTATACCATAGTCTAATCCGTCCTTCCTCTTTCATACACTCTGTAGCTTAAAGCTTAAAGCTTAAAGCTAAAGCAGAAGAGAAAAAGACATTCTATCAAGATATAGATTCCTGACGCATATTTAACGCGCTTTACAAAAATATAAAAGACTTAACTAATTTGTTTATTTTGGTAACGTTTCTATTGTTATTTTATTATTCTATACATACTATGAACTTATGCATGCGTCTGTAGTTTTATTGACTGTACTCCTCAAGCATGTACTTTCTCCTTTTTTTTTAGAACATAGAAAAAGAGAACTCTAACTTGAAGTTCGGCGCCCAGTCCTTATATATTGTTCCCTAACCTTCCGTAATAACTCTTTTAAAATTAAAACACTTTATTGCAATACGAATTTCTTAACTTACGATAAAAGGTATATTTCTAAGTATATATGGTAGTATAGAGTATTATGAGATATTATCTGAAGATATTCTGTATCATTCATAGAATCCAATTACTCTGTTTAGCAAAAAAAAAATTCGATTCGTAAACCCCCCCACCCCTCACATATTAATTCCAAGCCCTGATTTACTAATAGCTTTTATTATACAAGAAAGTAGAATAGAAGAAGAAAACCTGTGGGTAATTGGTTTTGTGTTTTCTTTGGCAGTAATGCTGTTTATACTATGTCTTAAATTCAACCCAATCTATACATAACCAATTACTCTAGATCATATTTGTGCTAAGAAAAGTGAGTTTTTTTTTTCTCTTTATTTCTAAAACCGAGTATATCTATATATTCAAGTATATTACAAAGTGACTCTTTAAATGTCAAGATTTTTAAACAATGATACGATAATAATAGTAGTAGTAGTAGAGAAGAAAATAAATACTCCTTTATGTCAACTATAGACTAAAAAGGAGGTGCTTAATGGCATATCTTTCCTTTCTTTTTTTTTTTTTTTTGGTTTGGTTTGGTACTCATTTCCTGATTATCAATAAATAAATATATATATATAACACCCAGTCAAATATTACTGATCTGTACTTTTCAATAATTTTTAATATTCGTCGATACTTCCAAATGCTTTTATTTACATCCACAATTCTCGTTTTGCTGTGCGTGGCACCTTATTTCATAATGGCAACCACTGTCCAGATCCACCGGCCGTATATCACTGACCACAGTCTCGGCATTCAATGGAACCGTGAAAATTATTTAAGACACCCATGGTAAACTAAAAAGAAAGAAAGAAAGAAAGAGAAGATAATATGTTGTAAATCCAACTTGTCCAACAGATGTATATATATATATATATATTTATTTATATATATATTCATTCTGTTATATTGTTATGATCCTTTGATAGGCTTCACATGGACCTTGACAGGATGAATACTACAATACACACAAGCACATACTTTTATTACGAGAGTGTATTTTCTAATTTGGCTTGCCTCGAGTGGGCTTCATTCTTGATCGGGTTCTTGTTCACATTATCGTTTATTCACACGACCACTCCATTGACAAGTAGTGAAGCAGACGAATTGAAAGATCAATGGGAACTATAGACAAAAGAGAAACCCTAAAGAATAGAAAGAAATTGTATATATAATTCTACATTTTCATTCTCTATATATTTTATTATCTTTGTTGAGATGCTATTACTTTTGGCATATCAAAGCTTTACACTCAAAAATTCAAAAACACATACTCAGAAAAACTAATACATCACTATCGTCTACAATTCTCCCCCAGATCATCTTTGCAGTTCTTTATAATAAATATATATATATATATATGCTTTGTGTAAGTTTTGAAGTGAACCGAGAAAAAAGTAGAAGAAATATTACTCTGTGGTCATGTTTGGTTTAAATATCCAAAAGATTGATTTATGAAGAATTCAAGTAAAATGAAGCTTATTAAAGTCATGAAGAACAAAATACTGAGCAGGTCAGTTAATTTATCCTAGTGATTCAAGCTTTATTTCAATTCTCTATTTTTTTCTTTGTTGTTTGAAAGATTCTCTCTAGCACCTTTTATAGTCAAATAATAAATAATAAATAAAATTTCGAGATAATAAACATGCAACATTTGTAATCACACATTGCACAAACACAAACACCTGATGCTTGTAGGGCTACCTTGTTTCTATTTTAATTTCTATTATGTAAAAATAATAATAAAATATTAATTGAACACTCTGTTCTGTCTGTGATTCCATATCACTCTTTCTATTGGTGAAAAATCAGTAAATCTTAAGAGCAGGGGATCAACAAAATGATATGTATACCTGGTTTGATTTCTTAGGGTGAAATTGAAGTGTAAATGGAAAGTCATCATTTTATATATAAACATTGGAACCGTTCTTTATGCTTGTTATTGCTGTTAAAATAAACGTTGACTAGGAAACAAAGGATATAGTGATGATAGATTATTATTAAAATGATGTGTTTGACAAAAAAGGCTTGTAAAAGATCTGCCACGTGTCATTGTACAAGTGGAACAAGGGAGCAAAAAGCAGGTGTGGAACAAGAGTTGGGGTTCCAGTGTGAAATAATGCATAATTTGTGATTCGCATTCAACAAAAGCAAAGGACAAGGACAAGGGTCAAAAAAGTCTCTTGGTTGACTTGATATTTTTTTTTATTTTTATTTTCATTTTCATTTTCATTTACTTTTCGATTCCTCGAATCTGGGACCAGGGATTTATAGGACAATAGCCACAGCTATAAACCATAGAGAATACATTTATCCGTCCAGCCTTCCCATTTTATTGGATTTTCTTTTTTGCCCTTCTTCCGGTCAACGTAGGACAATCTTACTCTTATTAAATATATATATATATATATAAATAAACTTTATTATCACTATTATGTCTTGGCATTGCATGTTTTTAATATATATATATATATATATATATATACATGGATAATTAAAGAAGTATGATATATTATCTGGAAAGGCTAGCGTTCATTAGTGGAACACAAGTCAAGGGTTCAATTTGGTCTCAAGAAATTATACTCAAAATATTCTATCAAATCAAATATATAAGATAAAATGATGAAAGAAGAAGATGCTCTTCTTCTTTCTATTAAAGATTCTGCTGTAATACGAGATAGGATGTTATTTATATTAAAAATAAATATTGGTGTATGGTGTATTTTCTTCAATTTTCTCTATGTGTGTGTGTGTTTTTGTTTAAGTCTTGAATATCATATGGACAGGTAATATTTACAGCAAATAAAAAATAAAATAAAATTGTAAGATTTTATTTTTGCTTCCGGGAAAATGTTTGTCTTATTTTTTGTTTTTGTTTTGGAGCTTAAAGCATCTTTCACTCCCCGAGACACTGGAAATCATTACACGTATGCGGTTGGGTCATTTTATCCATAGGTAGAAAAAGGTTATTTCATTTTGTCTATTGACCCTCCCCCCCAAAAAAGTAAAGAATAGACAGAGACAGAAAATAAAATAAAATGGGTCTCTTTTTTTTATTTTCTCTAATTTGATTTGGGTGTACAGAATGGCTGGAATGGCTAGAAATGTGTTAATGAAAATAATGAAATAAAATGAAATGAAAATGAAAATGAGTGGAGAAAGAGAATAAGAGAAAAGAAGGATTTGATCTTTTTATTATTCAAATTGTTTTGTGCTACCAGACGCCACATAAGGAAATCCAGTCGAGACAACCTAAATTCCATATTTGGAACCTTGGTTTCAATTTTTGTATTTTTATTTTTATTTGGGTGCAAATATTTTCTGGATAAAATATACATACAATTGTGTATGTACATATAAGAGTTTCTATGTGGCTTCAATAGAGTCTCTTTATAGCTATTATTATTATTATTATTATTATTATAAATATATTACTAATAAATTTGGGGGTGAGGGAAAGGAGAAAAGGGAAAGGAAGGAAGAAGAGGGGGGTTTCTCTCACCCCCCCTTTTGTATAAAAATATAAAAATATATACATTCTTTTTTCTTTTGCGTCTTGATACTTCTTGTTAATCGACTGTCTTTATTTAGAAGTCCTTTTGAAATAAGTAAAATATATATATATATATACATGAAATTCAAAATGTGGTGCGGTTAAAATGCAATGTTTTAAAATATTCTAAAGTGTATATTTAAAATATATATATGATAAATGATAAGCAAGTTTGTGGTTTACTTGGGTACCGCTTTAATTTTTCCCGCTTTTCATTTGTTAGTTAATTTCTACTGTTTTTATTTTATTTATTATTTCTATTTTTATTTTTATTTTTTATTTTTTATTTTTTATTTTTTATTTTTTCATTTCATTCTCACTCTTACTCTTACTCTTTGTTTGCAGCTTCTTCTTCTGCTTCTTCTTCTTTCTCTCCTATAATTTACTTTTTTTTTAAAGAAATACATATAAGCTACTTCTTTGCTTTTTACCTTGCGTCATAAATCCACCCACCTTTTTTTTTTTTTTTTTTTTTTTTAAAAATTTACGTCCGTCAACATGACCACAACCAGAGAGACCAAGGCGTATACAACCCTCGACCAGAGCTCGATGCCTAATTTCAACTCATCTTGGGTTAATTACAAAGGTTAGAAACAAGAACAACAATATTTTATTTCATTAAATATAAAATATATAAATTATAATTATTTATATAAAATATAAAATATCCTCTTCCTCTTCCTCTTCCTCTTCTTTGACTTATATTCTAAACTGTTCGTATCTTCTTCTTTAAAGGCGCGTGGTTCACTACTATTTTTGTTGTTGTGGCACTCAAGGCCTTGTTCACCGTAATTCCATTCATCAGCCCAGAAGCAAGCTGGACATTGACAAACCTATCCTTCAATTGCGTAAGTTTTCTCTTAATTTTATTTTATTATTTATTTCGATATATATACATACATACATACGTATAAGCATGCATAAATAAATAAGTATTTATATGTGCACATGCACACAAACTGATTGACTTGATGATTATGTTTATGATGATGAGTTAATAATCTTCATTTTATTTTATTTTTTAAAAAAAATAGGGTCATTACATAATGTTCCATTGGGTGCAAGGCATTCCTTTCGAGAACAATCAAGGTGCATACGATGGTCTGACCTTGTGGGAACAAATTGACGGAGGAGTCCAATTCACAGCCACTCGCAAGTTCTTGACGGCTGTTCCGATTGCACTGTTTCTCTTGAGCACACACTACACACACTATGACTTTTTCCTGTTTGCCATCAATTTTACCGCACTGCTGGTAGTGTTGGTTGCCAAATTGCCTGTCATGCACCGAGTGCGTATATTTGGCATCAATAAGTTGGACTACGACATGGACTGAACGAAGGGGGTACTGATGATGATGATAATGTACGAAGACTGGAAGAAGAAGAAGAAGTTGAATAAGAGATGGATGGCGAGGGTTTACATACAAAAAAAATGACAAGAAAATAGAGAAGGCGAAAGGGAAAAAAAAATAACAACAACAACAAAAAAAGGCATCTATATCTCTCTCTTTGACTTGAAAGGACAAACTACAAACTTCATCCCTTGCTCTTCTTCTTCTTCTCTATCCAGTTATTGTTGCTCTCATCTTGCTCTTCTTCTATTTCCATCTTTCTCGATCACTCAATCACTCACTCGCACTTATTCACTTAATCATTCACTTACTTATTCACTTATCCCATTCACTCAAACATACACTCACACACACATACACAAAAGATTTTTTTTTTTAAAAAAAAAAGAAACGGTAGAAACAAGAAGTAGTAGAAAAATACTCCCTCTCCCTCTTCGCTTAACACACCTTCAATTCTCAAATCATATCACTTCAATCACTTCAACTACTTTCCCTCCTACATCACACCACATCAAACCACGATCTCTTCCCCTCTCTTTCTATCTCCCTCTTTTTTTTTTGCTTGTTTTGTATTTCTCTTTATTGTTTTTCTTTTCTTTTTTTTTACTATTATTATTATTATTATTTCCTTTGATTCTGCTTTTTTTTTATATATTTATATTATTAATGTGTGGGTTTTGACATATCGCATGTAAATACACTTGTTATTTTTTTAACAAAAAAAAAAACTATATATTTTTTGTCTGCATTGTTATTGTTGTCATTGATTTTTTTTATGAATGATAATTTATGGATAATTTTAATGCGGTGACTGTGTTTCTTTCTCTCTTCTTGGGTGTAAAGTAGAAAGGAAGAAGTAACTAAAGAGTAAGGAAGGCAAAGAAGAATGGAAGCAGAAAAAAAAACAGAGACGTCATGTTGGTTTGACCGTGTAACGTCATGCTATATGTGTGTGGAGATATTTTGTTAGTCTTTAATGCCATCTTTTTCTTTTTCCTTTACTTGACGTCATGTTTATGCAACATCATAGATAAAGAAGCTAGAAAGAGAATAGGAAGTAAAAAGAAGAAAAAAAAATGTAGCGAGAGAGAAAGGTAGATTACCAAAATAATTATCATATAAATACACGCACCAACCCATACATACAGACACACACACGTATATATATATATATATATATATTTCTAATTCACTCTTCTTCTTTTTTCTTCTTCTTCTTTATAATCTATTCATTAATCAACTCATTTGAAGTCTCTCTCCAAATTTCTATTTAAAAACAAAATACATACAAAATGCCAAGCTCCCGTCAAACCGAACAAAAGATCAACAACAACATCGAAAAGGCTTCCAACGTTGCCCAGGATGAAGTTACACGCCTGAGAGCCGAATTGGACGAGTTCAAGCGCAAGGCCGGTCCAAAGGTCCAGGAAGCAGAGAACATCCTTTGCTCTCCAACTGCTATTGGCTTTTATCAAGGTAAGCTTTACAACCTATCTTGACTCAATAAAATACAGATAGAAAAAAGAAAGGAAAGGTAGAAAACCCCAACACATTCTAATGTCGTGTTTCTTTCTTCATTTTAGGTCTGGTTGTTGGTGTGGCTATCGTACTTGGCTATGCTAAATATAATGGAGGCCTTCGCTTATAAACCATGTACAAATATATATAAAAATAAAACGTGTTTGTGTATATAGATTGGCTTAAATTCTCTTTACTGTATTAAAACAAATAATAATCCTAATAATCATAATAAATCTGTAACAAATGCAAACACAATTATTATATGTATATAAAAAGAATATGTTCTTCTGTGGTATGGTGTGTTATGGTGTGATGCAATGTGCTGTAGTGTGCTGTGGTATGCTGTGGTGATGGCATGCCTTTGATTATAGTTGGCTAATCATATTGACTCTGAATTTCCATTGGCCATTCCAACCAATGTAGTCAATAAATCTGGTGTGTTTGCGAGCCTTGAGATAATTTACAAACTCTTGGTATGTGGGATGGAAAGGATCCTTGACGACGATGTCACTATAGATCTCAGTCGTAAAACAATTCTCGAGCATCACCGTCACTGGCCCTTGTAGCGTGTGCGTGTTTTTTAGCCGCGGGCAAACGGCCAAATACATTGGTTCTATGACCACTAGATCCCCTGCAATACGTTCCAGATCCTCCGGTTCAAATTCACCCAAGTCAATCTGATCATAAACTACCTCGCCAAAACCAGGTCTTACAATCCTAAATCTGCTTATCACCGTGGTACCATGTGGCTGCGGTAGGAGTAGCAGTTGTCTAAGACTGTCAAGTGATGGCAAAGTGTAGTATCCCTTGGCATTCAATCTATTGCTCTGGCTCTGGCTTAGGCTCTGGCTCTGGCTCTGGTTTTGACTTTGGATTTGACTTTGACCTTGACTTTGGCTTTGGCTTTGGCTTTGGCTTGATTGTCTTTCTTTATTATTATTATTATTATTATTATTATTATTATTATTATCGATAATACCAGTAGAAAAAGATGAAATTTTAGAACAATCCTCCGCGCGTTCGAATAAAGAAGTATTTCTTCTGAGAGCGAAATTTCTATAGTCAATCAGGCGCAGTTCCTCTTGTGAGAACCTTGAGTACTCTGGAATGGCGCAAATGCTTTGGAAACTATAGTCGCATGGAGGTTCGCAATAGTAATCGCGAACTATTGTGGGGTGGAAGTCTTTGACTTGGGTGCCGTACTTTTCAACTTCTGGATTCAGTTTGTAAATTGTGTCATTAATGTTGGAATATAGATCATTCATAGTTGATGAGAATCAATACTATTAATAATAAATCAAGAGAGAGAAAAAAGGAAAATAATAGGAATGAACAGTGCTGAATAAACAAGATTTGTATATGCAAATCAAACAACCAATTAAATAATATAATAAGAAAGAAACAAAAAAAAACAAGCCAACAAAGTATACAGCCTTTGTCCTGCAGCGGAGTTGTTGTGTCTCAATCGAGTGGGTTGAGGAATCCTGAAGCTTGTTCCTGTTCTTCTTGCTTTTCCTTTATTTTATTTTTGTCAAAAAGAAGTATATTATTTGCACCAGTCACGACCACAATGAGTTCTCTCCCCCCCCCCCCCCTCCATAAGCCTGCCTGTCTGCCTGTCTGCCTGCCTGCCTGTTTGTCTAGCTATATATCAAGTTTATTCCACGTGACTTTGGCTGGCAGCACAGCCCTTTCATTTTCTTTTCCTTATTTGAGTTTATATATTTATATATATATATTCTCTCTCTCTCTCTCTCTTTTTTTTTCTTTTTGGTGAGGTTGGAATCCTGAGCTTGCAAGTCATCATGGTTTGTCAAAAATAAAAATAAAGATTTTCTGTTTTGGTGTTGTAAATTTCCACATTGCAATGCAATTAACATTATGTCTTATTATAAAACATATATACATATTCTATTATTAGGGTAACTGTTTTGGTTCTAATAAAAGAGGTCCTGGCCACCGTCTCGGAGATTCGTCAACAGACACAACCCCAACACGCACACCAAACCATTCCTCAGTACCTATAAATAATCGCCCTGCACCTAGTACTGGACGTACTTTAGGAGGCAACAGTCCTGACACAGGCAGAGACGCCATGCTTGCTGCAGCTGAACAACGTCGATTGCAGGTAAAAATAAAATAAAATATAGTTATAGTTATAGTTGCATATATGATTATTATGATATCAATAGTATGTGTAAATCAGTAACAATGTCAAGTCATCCTTTTATTTATTTATTTATTCATATTTTATCTTTAAAAATATTTCACCAAACAAAATAGGAAGAGAATCGTGGTGTAAAAGAAAGTGGAAAGCTTAGCAAACAATTGGCTGAGCAGAGTAAGAAACCTCAGCCTACACCAGAAGTACCAGAGACACTTAGGGTAAGTTAAAATGATGCGTATAAAGCATAATTCTATTTGATTTGAGGCTGATCATATCCACTATATATCTCTATCTTTTTTTTTTTTTTTTTTTTTGCTGTGTACACAAAGTGGGATTAAAACAAAGCCAGATTGATAAAGTACCAATATATTACAATATTACTTCTTTATCTTCTTCAATTCTTTCACTCTTATGATAAACAATGGATCTTGACAATAGTCATTCTGAAAACATCTTTAATTTCTACTTTATTTAATAATATCTCTCTTATACATAAACACACATACACACACTGACGCACAAATCAATTGACTATGTAGTCTTCTGTCCCACATATAGTGTAACAATTTTAAAAAGATGTATATATATATGCTCACTCTAATGTCGTCATGGAAACAATTTATTATTATTATGAAAAAACCAGGTACCAGAAGATGTCGATCTTTGTTTGGTAAGACCCTTTAATTATACATATATATATATATATATATAATTAGAGGTTGCCATGGCAAATAAATGGGATCTTCAAGAACATTGATCCGTAAAGTAAGTTTCTAAAGATTCATGATTTTTTTCTTTTCTTTTCATGTACATGGTTTGTTATGTTTCCTTTTGCATACTATGATACCTTGCCAAGAGTTTATTTGAGACAATAATTCATATCAAATATATATATTTTATACATACACCGTTGTTGCTACTGCTATTACTTGCATTATTTCTATTCTACTACCTCAAAATTCTCTTAATAAAGACATCAAGTTCAAACCAAACTTGAGACCTTGGCCTACTTTCTTTACTTTTATTATTATTATTATTATTATTATTATTATTATTATTATTATTATTATTATTATATCTTTATATCCATTAAAATTCCGATAAAATATCTCTTCCTGCCCTTTTCGCTTCTTTTATTTTATTTTATTTTATTTTATTTTATTTTTGTTCATTTTCGCCTAACCTCAACAAGAAATGCGGTAATTGTAATAATGATATTAATAATAATAATAATAATAATAATAATAATAATATATACCTATCACTCAGGTCTTTCTCTTCCGCACAATTTATTTATTTTCTTATTTTCTTTCTTATTTTTACTATATATTTTTTCTTAATAACAATTAATTAAGTAATTAATTAATTAATGAGCACATTTGCAAAGAAGAAGATAAACGAAGCATCGCTCGACAAACGTCTGAGCAGAAAGTTGACCGTCGATGCCCACGAACCTTATATTTCTATCCGTTCTGTTATCAAAAGTAAAGAAGGCCAAATCATTTTGTAGCTTATTTGTCTGTATTTATTTATTTATTTATTTCTTTGGTTTGTTTTGTACATGTTTGTATATAAAACTTATATCCACGGAGAGTTTATACAAATATATATATATATATGATAATAATTCTTTACTTATACATTCATCTCTTGTTCTTTTTCTTTATATATACATATAATAACAAAAAAAAAACAAAAAAAAAAACAAAAGAGGCTGATAAAGAGGCAGCTTACACCCTATGTGAAGCTTATCAAGACGATCCAGTATTAAATTGGCTGACCGGGTCTATCAAAGATCGAGCCAAACGCCTTGAATTATATCAAGACATCTTCAAGTCACTCATCAGAGCCGCCGTACGAAAAAGTCGAGAATTTGCAGTCCAGGTTAATGGGTGCAAAGGCGTACTGATATGGTCCGAGAGCAGTGGAGAGCCTTTGACATTAGCGAATGTTCTTGGAAAACGAAAACTATGGTCCTCTATAAACGGACTTTCATTAATGGTAAAAAATAAAAAAAAAATCGTTAAATATATATATACATATATATATATATATTACAAGAGATTTTCTTTGTTGCTGTTGTTGTTGTTGTTGTTGCTAGTCTTTTTCTTTTTAGCTAATATATATATATATATATTTATTTATTTAGAGAGCTTCATTTATTCATCACAGAGGCCTTTCAAAGGCTCGAAAAAGACTACTCGAAGGCCGTCGACACATCACAATTCACTATGTGGGAGTTTTACCTGCCGAACGGCGTCACAATCTCGGAAATGCACTAGTCCGACATGTGCTCAATAAAGCCGACGATGTTCAGATGCCAGTGTTTGTAGAGCTTTGGGGACCTGATCACATATCTTGGTTCGAGCGTCTTGGATTCTCGGTCGAAGATAGACGATACCTGACTAGCGACAGTGAACTACCAGTCTTTTACCTCGTTCGAGAACCTCGTGCACCTCCTGCAACTACACTCTCCTCTGAAAGTCACACTTTACATCTCGAACCACCAAGAGAAGATACTTTGATAGAAGGCAATTGAAATAAAATCATATATATATATATATATATATTGTGTGTAAAAAAGCAAACAAACGAACAAAAAGAAGTATTTACTTGATCGATCTCACCTTTATTTTCTATTTATTTATTTTTCATAATAGTTTTGTTAATCTATTTAATACAGCTTAAAAGAGACGAAAAAGTATAAATATATATATAAAACATGTGAAACACATACACAATAAAAGGTTTTGTGTCTCTGGTAGACACCTGAATATTATATATACATATATACTAGTTAAAGATTCGATTGATAAGACTATGGACTGAGATGTACTGTGATGTAATCAGCTTGTTTGATATCATTATTTTCTCTAAGCTTCTGTAGATAGAATCTGTCTAGGCTTGTTACACCCGAGTAGTCAAGCTCCCTAAAAAAAAACTACATTGGATCAATATCATAGATTGTCTTAACAAATGTTTCGGATATAATGCACCCGAATTCTCTCAACATCTCTAACCTCTCTCTCTCTCTCTCTTTGTATACCCCTTTTCTTTTTCCTTTGCGGAAAATTATCTGTGCCCTTGAAGAAATCCTTGAAAAGAGCCATGTTCTTTTCTTTCTTTAGAAAGAAAGACGTTTACTAAATCTAACAGCAGCCTTTTACAAATTGATCTGTTATTTCCAATTGTGTATTCGGCTTTTTTTTTTGGATAATGTAAGACAAATTACTACAAAACAATATATATATATGATAGCCTTTTGACCAGGTTCTCGGAAAAGTGTATATATAAGGGGAATTCTGATTTGAGCTTGGTAGTAATTTATTGACAAGCATAAGTCTGTGTACATGTAAGTAGGTACATGTGCATATGTTATCTGGTCTAGTTATCATACTACATTATGGGTTTGTACTTGGTCTGTAAAGGATAATAAGGTTTTAGGTTTAATTCAAATATCTTTATTTTACTATTACTTTTTGTTCTTTTCTTTGACATTCTTATTTTATCTAACTTTTTCTTCTTCTGTGCTTATTCTCAAATACACACACACACATATATATAATACATTTATTTGTGTGTAAATCCTTTGGATCAAAAACTCTATTCATATCTATAAAAAATTATGATCAGAGAGATTGAATTTTACAATTGTAGATCGACCAATCAGATTACAAACCGTATCCAAATATTGCGACATTTTTTGTGCCATGCTTTGCATTGAATATTTCTATTCGCAAACTTTACAGTATCCAATGATATCAAAGGCTTATTTAACTTTTGCCTTTTTTTTTAAAAGTACATCATTATGCCTTTTAATATTTTGAATCTTCTTCTTTGCAAGTTAAAAAAGGCTAAAATAATAATAATAATAAAAAAAAAGTCGGGCATTAGTATTATTAAAAGAAAGTCACTTTTTTGATATAATTCGTGCAACCAAAACTGATAGTAATTTTTCTTTTATATATATATTTCTCTATCTATAATATCTGTCTCTTGTATAGATCTGGTAAGCTATAAACTAGTATCTAGCTAGGGTATCATATTTTTTTTTAAATAATAATAATAATACTGTAAGCGTAAAAAAACAACAAACAAACATCGATATATAAATTACGATAAAGCGTAACAAGAAAACGATAGAGAAAAAAAAATATTCGTTCTTTTGTTTTCAGATGACGCAAAAACATTATATATATATATATATTCTTTTTTTTTTGTATTTCAAAGAACGCAGAAATCTATTCAAATGCTCGTAAATTTTGTGTTGCCATTCTTTTTTAGTTTATTCAATTCAACCCAACTGTGTAAATTAAGCATTACATCATGCCTCGCGAACATCTTCAATCAACAAAGGTGGCTTTGATCCTCTGCTCATGCTTCTTTGCTTATGGTGTACGTTTTTGCTCTATTAAACGAATTTACATTTACAACATAATATATATATATATATATGTGTGTGTATATATGCATTTCTCATAACCCTATTTTCTTTGCAAACAAACAAACAAACAAACAAATAGACTTTCTGGTCTGACTGGGCCTTTGATTACTATATTCTCTGGGCAAACACCGCAGAACATCCTGAAGCCATTCCTCGTGCAGTGGTAAGAATTATAAAGAAACCAAAAAAAAAATAAAAAAATAAAAATATGGAATCTTGCTCATCAAGATGCATCAAATTATGAACAATGTAGCTTTATTACACCACCCATGCCCAAGCACCTGACATCCTCAAGTATATTCCTTTTGTCAACTTGCTCATCGCTGCTTTCGGTTTCGCTGCTGGCTTGGCCAACATGACTGATGGCAATATTCTTTTTGATGGAGCTTCTTTGGGTAAGATATATATATATATATGTGTGTGTGTGTGTTTGATTCGATTGTGATTTCTTTTTTGAAATTGGTCCTTGTGTATGTATGCTTATTAATTTCTTTTTTCTTTTTTTTTTCTAAAAAAAAAACAATATCTAATAATAATAGTCTTGTTGTTGTTTGGATTATCCACTTATGCTACCTCTGTCAAGCCTGGTAAGTAAAAATAATAATAAAGCACTTGATGATTTTTTTTTTATTAAAAAAAAATATTTACAGCATTGAAGGTCATTACAACCTCTTTGGATCAGGATGAGCTTAGAACATCTCTGAACAACATTGCTGCTGCCCATTTTATCATTGTACTTGCCATCACAGGTAAATGTTACTTTTATCTATCAGAACACAAAATTATTAAAAAGGAATTAGAAAGGGAATAATTGTAAAAAGAAATATATAAATGAAAAGTATTCTGACTATTTTTTGTTTTTGTTTTTGTTTTATATAACAAATAAATACATATTATAGGTATTGTTGGTCTTCAGGTCGCTCACTACATTCTCTCCAAGAGAGCCAACAAGGCAGAGGTTGTCTATGTTCAAGAGGTTATTACCAAGAAAAAGACAAAATAAGTAACTTTTTTTTTTATTAAAGAAAAAAAAAAGTGATTTATATGTGTATATATAGAATATATGTATGTATATGTATTTTTGTGTATAATGTAGTTCCGATTCTTAGTATCAGTATCAGTATTAGTATTATTCGTATTGTTATATTTATGCTCGATAATAAAATATATATATAAAAAAGAACACCAGTTTCTTGTAACTTCTAGATTTTTTTTTTGTTTGCATGTTAAAATATATTTCCAAACATAGCAGTTATCCATATGTTTAGTGTGTGAATAGTGGTGGTGGTCCTTGTATATCAGTATATAAAAGAACCAAGTAAGTGAATTGTACTGACAATCTACACACACACACAGAGAGAGAGAGAAAAAAAAGACCTGAAAAAATATTCTTGCGTAGTTTATTATTGGTTTCTTTCTTTAGATGTTTTTGATTACACAAAAAATGATCCTATTTTGATCAAGACTATGGCCGTATTTAATGACTTGAACTTGTTACAGTTGCTTTCACGACTATTAATAGTATTGTCGATATGATTTGCCAAACCATTGTTATTTTTCCCTCTAAAGTTTGAATTATAGAGGTATAAAGTCAGTATAAAAAAAAAGAGATTGTTACGATGCTATCATAGCAAATAAGAAAAGAAGAGGGCTTTTTAGCTGCACTTTGTAACAATAAAAAAAAAAGTATGCTATTGTCGCTATTCCAAACATTTAGGTGTATCTGATAAAAAAATATATAGTGCTTCTGGGATCCGTTATCCTCAAAATTAGTTAACATCTAGATACATCACTAAGAAGAGTATATTTTTATATATAATATCAAGCTATTTTACGAAAGAGCCATTTTTAATAAGATAATTGAAACTATCTTGATCAAATCGGTCAAACCAAATGGCATCATGCTGTACTGAAAAGAAATTATCATAATCACAATAAATAGGTGTCCATATCTGGTACGTTGTTACTGACATTGAGCTTACTTGATGAGTGACAGTGGCTAGTGGCAGCCGATATGACTTACCGATATATGGTAGTCGGATAACAGCTCATTAATGGTAATCCGTTTTTAACCTCTTTAATAATCCACACACACAAAGAGAACCAATACCTCCCTTCCGCTCCTATCTTGTTTTATCTTCTTCTCCTTCTTTTTTTACAAGACTTTTATTGGAGTAATATAAGGGAAAAAATTTGATAAACTAATGAAACCACCTTTTTTTTATATCAGGTTAGTCTTGTAGCAAGAAGAGTTAGATGCCCTTGTAGGGTTGTAATCAAGAAGTAAATACGATCATACGGGAATTGGCTCTTAAACCATAATAATTTTATGATATGTCTTATGCTTACTTTCAGAGATAATATTCTTTGGCACGAAATAAAAAAGCAAATATTTATCAAAGACAAAGACTTCACATTATTCTGTATTAGTAATGTTTATTAGACCTTGTGCTAATTAATTTGACCAGATATTTAACTTATTAGCGGCACTTTTACAAGCAATAATAATAATTGAACAGGATTTGATGGGAAAGAAAAAAAAAGTCGTACTCGACCATAGCTTCCATAGTGTGGTTGTACGAGATGACTACTGACGGTTTACTTTTCTTTAAGAAATAATATCAAGGCAATATTTGCCTAGCTCTTTACAAAAAGAAAGCTCAATTTTAACAGGTGGTATATTTATTTATTTATTTCATTGTCCTGTTAATATTTAATCCATATTCAATAAGTTATAGCAAGATGATAAAGACCAAAATCCAAAAAGAAAAAAAAGAGAAAAAAGGGGATCTATGATGTTGATTAAATTTCTAAAGAGGTCTAGTTGGTAGTGAGGTCGCACAGACACAAATAGCCCTTGAGTGCTTTTAATTGGATAGCAAGCCATTTTCAGTGGCACTTGTGTTACGGAAATTGATAGATTCAAAATTTGGCCTTATTGGGTCTTTGACGTTGTGTGACTTTTTTTTTCTTCTTCTTGTTATTCTTATATAACAAAAAAAAAAAGGCAAATATAAGTAAAAGAAGAAGAATATCAGGAGAAATTGCAAAGGTCAAAAAATGCATAGAGCCACAACCAATACACACAAATATAGTACATATACATTATATTCTCAAAGACACCATTTATATATTGGGTACCTTCTTTCAAAATAAATAAATAAAATGCGCTGGTTTAAAATGGGGTTTTTATAGTACTCCGATAAGATTAAGACGCGTTTTTTATTGTGTTTATCGTTTCAAAAATTTAAATCTCAATTATACCATTTTGTAAATCGACCCGAAACACTTATCGTTTTAATACAGATATTAATAATAAGAATAGAATATACCAAAATGAGTATATCATTTATATATGGCATATAAGGTACATCTAAAACCATATTGATAGATTTGTTAGTTTGTCTTACTACAAGGTCTTTATTCGTGGGAAAAAAAAGGGTTAGTTACGGGATATCTTTTTATTTGTGTTTAAGAAAAGGGCACAAAAATATCTCATCTTTTTACATCGCCAAATAAGATTAGGTTCATCGGATTTGAAACTATATCTCGATATATAGTTTTTTTCTGGTATATTTGTGTAGCATTATATTCTCCGATTACAAATATCTGTGATAAAAAGAAGAAGAAAGATTCTGTGTACAAATTTTAACTTTATTTCTGAAAAATTGGGTCGTAAAAATAAGAAGATGAGGAAGAAAAAAAAATTTATACAAGGCACTAGGCAGAAAACGATTATCTCCATTCAAGTATTGCATTATATGGTAAGTACTTCCAGCTTCCCCGCATATTATTTTCTATTATTATTCTTATTAGTTAATATTTATGTATATATTGCATGTGCTTTGTGTATTCACAAAGAGGGGAATCGAGAGATTAGATTTACTCAGATCGACTGTTCCTGAGATGCAACTCAAAAAAAAAAAAGCAAAAGGTAAAGAAGCTCTAAAAGTCTATAGTATATACCATAAATAAGAAGGTCTTGAAAAAATAATTTTATTTTACTTTCTACCTTTGGCTTGCCAATTACAGAAAAAGGTAAGTCTTTGTCACAGAATAGACTTTTACATCTCTATATGAATCCCCCATATGGAGCAGAAATGAACACAAAATAATAAACCCCAAGTTATTTTATTCTTTTTTTTTAAAAAAAAAAATTGAGTACCTGTATTAACCTTTTTTTGATCAATAACAATAATGATTACTATTGCTTTTTTAACAGCCACAGACACCTTTAATAGGTTTAAACTATAGATACTGGTAACATCAAACATCGTCCTTCTCATTTCTTTCACAGATTACCCTTTTTCCCTTGACTCCCACAAATCTAACCGAGTACAATCTTTTTACAATTTTTTTTCAAGGATCTTGTTACCACAAGTATATACCAAAAAGAAAAAAAAAAGGGATTTCTCTGGCTTTAAATGTAAATTTTTATAAAACGGTTTGTTTGGTACAAATTGTATATATGACGTCAAGCGGTATGTGCTATCCATTTCATTTAGAATCGGTACCCAGAAAGAAGTATCTACGTCAACGTTAAAAACCGCTCTTTCAAAGGAGAAAGAATAACTTGATGGAAAGTCTCTCATTTATGTCACCCCAGATATCCTAGCAATATATTAGTCTATAAGTTTATTTCAAGAACAAGTACATAAACATAGAATCTTGTTATCAATAAAGACATAAAAATACTAAAAGAAGATGACAAAGGAATTAACACATCTTTGAACATTTAATGCCAAATAGAAATCCACGGCTTATAACTTTTACTTTATTTTATTTTTATGCTGTAAAAATATACAAAAGAAATTAACCAAGAAGATAAGAGCTTTTGCTCACCGGAGTTTGTTCTCAGTACACAGATCAAATTCGCTACTTAAAGCCCATGATGCAATGGGTTAGAATAGCCCAGTTTATTTTATTTTTTTCTTCAAAAAAAAAAAAAACATTTTGAGCTTCAGCTTTTAACCTATTCAACCATGGAAACCAAAGTTTCATAAAGAAAAATAAAAGTAAAAATATGTGTTTTATTTTTCAGGGTCAACGAGTATAAATATATGTAGTTCAATTTTAGGCTTTGAATTCATACATCTTCTTTATCTCTACTCTATAAAACACCTCAACACAAAACATATAATAATATGCCGTCAAGCCCGCCAATTGATGAAAAGGCTGCCCTCAAGTCTTCTTCAAATCCAATGGGTGTCCCCCTCTCGCAGATGAGAAGCCATTCTTATGAAGTACCTCGTCCTTCTCCACTCTCCAAAGGTCGATCTACAACCTACCACAGAGGACAGTCCGAGATTTTCACAAAGATACCAAATAAAGAAGAAAAAGAATGGCGTGGTCTACATCCTTTAAAACCCCCAAACCGTCCCAAGATGTCCAGTCGGGGAAACTCGTTTGCACAGTCTATTACCTCGGCCTCTCTCTATGAAAATTTTGCTGGTGAACGCTTTGATAGGCCTGCAAACCGAAAGAATCACAGCGAAAGACATCCTATTGACGAAGAATTCAACCTTGGAAGCTCTACTTCCTTGAGCTCAGAGCTCAAACCTACTGTATCAACAAGTACATATCCCCTTCCTCGCCCCTACATTAATGGTACCACTGCTGGTGTTCCCAATGGTAATGCTCCAACCTTCGATAGCGATGACAACGTAGAAGATGACAGACCAAAATCCTCAGTTGGAAAGGCTATGTTCATGTTCCTAAAGGCATTCATTGGATCTGGAGTTCTCTTCTTGCCAAAGGCGTAAGTATAATTTACTCATTGTATTTTTGTATAACATGTATCAATACATTTGTTCCCGTACCTAACAATTTTTTTATAGGTTCCAAAATGGTGGTCTGGCACTTTCTATTGTACTCATGGTCCTCATTGCATCAATTTGTTTGTTTGCATTCTTGCAACTAGTCAAGACCCAAAAACAGATCGGAGGTTCATATGGTACCATTGGCGGCTATTTGTATGGCAAAACCGTCAGATATATCGTCCTGTTCTTCATTGTTATATCCCAAATCGGCTTTGTCTGTTCGTATTTCATTTTTGTCTCTGGAAGTTTGGTAAAGGCTGTCGACGTCCTTTCATCATGCAGATCACCCATCCAGGAGAAATACTATATCTGGATGCCATTAGTAGTCCTCATTCCTCTCTCATTGATCCGTCATATGGCCCGTCTTTCATTCACTGCTATTGCCGCGGACATTTTTATCATGTTTGGCCTCATATGCGTTGTTTATTTCAGCGGCTCTCAACTTGCAACTAACGGTGTGGGTCCCAATGTCCAGGCCGTCAATCCAGCAAATTTTGCTCTCATGATTGGTACAGCAACCTTTTCATTCGAAGGCATTGGACTTAGTAAGTTATTTTTTTTAGACGATCCCAATATTAAATCCTCTAACCAATTTTTTTTTATATATATGAAAAAAAAATAGTTATCCCAATTGTCGAATCAATGAAGAGACCAAGCCAGTTCCCTTTTGTCGTGACAGTTGGCATGATTATCGTATGCTCAGTTTACATCCTAATTGCCACCTTGTCCTATTTGGCTTATGGTGATACCATTCAAGCTGCTGTCATTTACAACTTTCCCCGGGATAACAAGTTGACAGTTGCTGTTCAAATCGTCTATGCTGCTGCTATCATTCTCACGTAAGTTTTTATTTGTTTATTGTTATTGGATAACCCATTGTCTTTAATTGGAGCAAAAAAAAATAAGAATTTTTTTTAACATATTTCTGGATTTTATAGTGCACCAATGATGCTTTTCCCTGCCCTCAAAATCCTGGAGAACGGAATTTTCCAGAAGTTTGCGCCCGGTCATTACAGCGTAGCCACAAAATGGGGAAAGAATATTTACAGGGTCATCTTGTGTGTTGTCTGTGCTGCTATTGCATTTGGTATTGGTGGAGACAACTTGGATAAATTCGTATCCTTGGTTGGGTCTGTTGCATGTGTTCCCTTGTGCTTTATCTTCCCCGGAATGTTTCATCTCAAGATCGCAACGAACCGAAAGGATAAAATCTTTGATACCCTGTTGATTATCTGGGGTGTTGGTATCATGGTCTTCACTCTCTATGTGACCATCAATTCATTTGTACACCCCGGTCCAGCTGGCGAGGCCCTTGAACCCTATTGCCCTGCTTAATCTCCACACTTTCTTTGTATCAATTCTACCCACTTAATTTTAGGCTGATAATCGATTTATCTCACCTTCTTGTACATATTTAAAATTCTTTCTATTGTCATTTACATTCATGCAAAATATATATCTAGCTTTTTTTTTTTTTTTTTAAAAAAAAAGTATCTTAATTTTATGGATTTTATTATTAAAAACGTAATATTGTTATGTAAAGTTGATACAATAAACTTTTTATCATTCTGATACCTTTCAAAAAAAAAGTGTAATAAAAATGTTTCCTAAAACTTATACCAGTCATTCGTAATGTTATAGCATTTACGATGTTTAAAATAAGCCAATTAAATCCATTCTATTCTTACAAAAAAAAATATAGTGCAATTGTTTTCTGAAGCTATATTTGACCACCCCGTATGCATATGTGTGGGTTACATTATATTCCATATTTTACTAAGTGGAAAAGATAAAATAATATTATTTTATCTTGCTTTATTTTACTAGTTTTTTTACAACGCCTCAGTAAAAGCCATGTAGCTGATAATATCATAGAAAGAAAATCTAAACCGGGAGCAAGATATATAATTAGATGAATATATAAATTATTAATTAAATAATTAAATAAAAGATTATTTGGTTACACTTCCCTATTTTCTGCCATGTTATTATTTTATTTCACTCATTTATGATACAAGAAGTTCAATATTTAACTGTATTTTGGAAGACATGTCGAAAGAACTGAAGCAGACACGGTAGCTAGAGGATATTCTTCTTCCACTGAAAAAAAAAGTAAAACATTCGACTAATATTATAGTATACAAATGTACAGGTGTCTTAAATGTCTACTCATGGCTCATTGTCCACTAATGGCATTCGCTCAGGACCATGGAATGGAGTCAATCGATCTCTTCACAATTCCAACACACGACCTACCAAATGTATCATAAAAGCTCTCCCACTGTTCAATTCTCCCGAAAGTGAGGTTCTTCTCAAGCAGGTCGCCATTGATGCGGCCTGGGCTCGTTTGGTCCACCCATTAAGCGTTATATTCAATGTCGGCAAGATCGCCAGTGACCATGAATTTTGTGAAATCATGGTTCAGACGCTTGGAAGTGCTGGTTCATATATTCCTCGCTATTCCAAGACAAAAGACCTCATGGTGGAGGTTCTCTTCAGCAACCCTGAAACACGACGCAAAGCAACAACCACCGGACTCGACGTCAAAGGATCTCGAATCGTAGCATTCCCTGGCTTTTCCTCGGGCGACAATATCATAAAGGTTGATCTTTGCAATATCCCTGCTTGTGACGCTAACATAGAACTACGCGAGCCTCTTAAGGCGGCAATGGAGTCTTATGGAAAGGTTATTGATATTCGCGCCTACGTCGACCATTATGATCAATTCCGCGGCAAGGCAACCGTTTTTTTGGATATTTCTGCCAATGCCTATCCCAAACCCCTTCACTCCCAGATCCGTCTTGGTGGGTGTTTCAATGCTACCATATCGGCCCGTTCAAAGATATTTAAAGGAATCAATAGCATATAAGAGCATCTTGTACGACGTTTGGGTTTCTTTTTCTTAGATCCGTCTCTCAAAAAGCTTAGGTTTCTTCTGCAGATAAGATTAATAAAATAAAGATAAACATTAACGAGTCTTTGGATATAGTTTGTATATAAACAAATAGACTCCTCGCTATTAACTTTGAAGAGAGTGATATTTTCTTCTTCTTGATGGGCTAGTCTTTCGTAGTAACAAGAAACTTGGAGCTCTCTTATCAAATCCATGTTTTTATTGCTACTCTACTCTACTCTACTCTATTATCACATCTTACTATGGATTTTGGCGGCTTTAAACAGATTGTGCTTGAGCCGTAGTCCACACTGCATCTGCTAAACTTATATTATAGTACAATGATTAAAGCAGTTAATCTTAACAATTGTATTAATAAAAGATATTATACATGATATCATTAACGCACACACGCACAAAGCTTTAACTCAAATGATTGATTCATCTTAGCTGTACCCCTTTCTTTCCTAAAAACGCCATAGATACAATACCTAACTGTAAATATGGGTTGACTCGTTTACGAATAAGGTAAAAATAATCAAAGAGAGATTGTTTGTCTTTATATCTGATCTTTTACACAAATTGTCTGTACTCCATTCATTTTCTCTTAATGTATTGCTGTTTTCCAGTGGGTCAACCCTGCTTAGATCCAGTTTCAAAGTCATTAGACTTTAGAAAAAAAAACGTAAGGTATTGAGAAAAAGATTCTTAATGATAATAATAATAATAATAAGAAAGAATTATCGCACTAAACCTTACATTCACCCTATACTATAATTGAAACTTGCAATATTCAGCCTTGGATGAGCAGAGCATGATTATGTACCGAGTATTGTTTGACTTTCCCGAGATAAGATGGACTCAGAATTTCTAAAAGGTAAATCATATATTTGTCTCTAACACAGAGCTTTTGTTTACTCGTTTAAATATTTAAGGATTTTTTTTTTGGGCTATGTGTATATTCTTGTTTGAATTATATGTTTATTCAACTAAATAAAGGTTCCAAGAAGTCTACCATTACCTTTTCCACATAAGATTTTGTTTTAAGAGAAGAAAGGTGCACTAGGCTTCCAGAAATTTGCTACTCTTATTATAATTATGGAATAAAACTCATTTTTTTTTCAACCATGCAAATAAAAGGAAAACATATATTTTGGTAGAGATAGAAATATGCCTAAAATTGATTAAGCAGAAAAAAAAAAGGTTTTTTTTTTCTCTCAAGACATATATCCTTCTTCTTCCAGTACATGAAAATAAGTGTAATAATCATTTTAAAACCAAAAACTTATTACTATTGTCCTTTCTATATATATTTTTAAGACATCAATATTAATACAGGCTGGTAGAGATGTCTTTATAACTTATAAAAGTTACAACGAGAGATTTAGATAAGATGTTATTTACTTTATCAGAAAAAAAAAGCCTATAAAAATATCAATCTTGTGGGACCTTTCGATCACAACGGCGTTAATAAGAAGTTACTCATCTTTCTTAGTTCCAAGGAAAATCCTATATTCTTTTGTCACACAGATGGTGAAAATATTTTCTATTGACTGCAGCTTCATGTAAATTATCTGGTTTATTTTTAACAAGAGTTTGCTCAGCATCTTTTAGGTCACTTTATATGTCTCATATTATAAGTATAGCAATGTCTAAACAAAACAAAACTGCGGGCTAACTAAGAGATATTTGTTATTACAAAAAAAATCTACACACCTTTTTAGCTAAAATGTTTTTTTTTGTACAGTTTGATTACAACTGATTTTCTAGTTACTTAAAAATTGTACCTTGTGTACAATTAGCTTATAAATCAAACGTCTACCATTAGCTATCAAAATATATCTAACTAATTGATAATGCAAAAAGAAAATATCATTTAACTAATACCGATATATATATATGTAAATTACAAATTATTAATCATAAGAAGGTATTGAAACCCTTTTAATGATTTGTATTTGTTTTTATTGGTTTCCTAATTAAATCTTTATTACCAAACAAACTCATTATCTTGCAAGAAGTGTACAAAGAGGTTGCTCAATAAGATAACTAGTGTGGTAGTGTAGGTACTTCAATAGATCTCTGACTTTAATTTGTTCAACAGTACTAAAAGAATCAAATTTTGTTAAAAGCACATGCAGCTGCTGTATCCCCAAGCCATTTCTAAGGTACCTTGAATGGGTTAAACTTCTTTATATGGACTCGAATATCTTTTGTATATAGTAAATACAATATTTTGTGAGACAGATACAAAGCAATTTTTAATATATAATTCAATTTAAAAAAAATGTATGGCCTAACGATCGAGTAGTACACGATAACATGTATATCTGATAAAGGCTAGGTTTATGCATAATATGGAGAAGTATGGAAATATGATCACAAGACAAATCCTAGAACTTATTGTGTTCAGAATTATATATGGGTAAAATCACTCTAAATAGAAATAAATATTTTTCGTAGGCGTGTGATATATAGATATCACACAAATCATGCCGAACATTAAGATCAATTTCATATATTATCATTACTATCAAAAGTATTTCGCTATGGTTCAGAGTTGTAGGCCATTATTATTTAGAGCATTTACAACTAAAACATCAAGACTATAATATCTCAAAATAATATTATATCTGGCTTTGCTTTTTGAGAACAAGTTAATATTGACACTATTATATAACGGTGAAAGACGATCGTCAACTTAAAAGTGACGATCATCTCTGTACACCCAATGGTTTCCACAATGAACACAAACTGGATCTCAAAAGATTATTTGAACATGAAAGCGAAACAGCACACTAGTAAATTTTGACAAACACTAAAACTGATTCAATATATGGTGTTTGTAGTAGGTTTATTATTTTTAGAGTACTTTAAACCCTTTAGTTTTTTTTAACAAAAGATATAAAAGGACCTTTCAATTAACCTGTAGACTTTTCTCTATCAACTCATTCTTTTTCTTTTATCTGAAATGACCAAGATATTTACACCAGTATCTCGTCTCTATTTAACCGTTCTGGCCATTTGTCTTGGTCCACTCATGACATTGGCCGCACCTACAGAGAGCATTATAGGCACAAGCCATAGGTTTGTCAGTAAGATCAACATCGGTAACTCTCTTGTCTTCTCCAAGCCCAAATACTGCGATACTCAGGTGGTTCAGGTAAAGAAAAAAAAACATATATAAATCAATAAATGAGTATAATTTTTTATATTAAAGCTTATTCTTTTTTGAATAAAAAAAATCTATCTTCAAGTACTCTGGATATCTCAACGTCGGAACGAATGATAACTACTTCTTTTGGTTCTTTGAAAGCAGAACCAACCCCTCTACTTCACCTCTTACTGTTTGGCTGAATGGTGGTCCTGGTTGCTCCAGCATGGTGTAAATATGGTGTGCATTCTATGGTTTAGGACAAATTCTCTAAATATAGATTATTCTTTTGCTTGTTTAGTGGTCTTTTCCAGGAACTTGGTCCCTGCCGCGTTGACTCTACTGGAACCAAGGACAGTTACAACCCGTCAAGCTGGAATCAAGTCAGCAATGTCCTCTTTTTTGATCAGGTACAATTGAGCCATTCGTCTGCTTAATACTTACACCTTTTTGTTAAACCTTAGCCTGCAGCCGTAGGATTTTCTTATGGCAGTGATCAAGTCTACAGCACCGATAATGCAGCAGTCGTTGCCTACAAATTCCTTCAGTTGTTTTACGAAGCTTTCCCTGTCTATAGCACTCTTCCTTTGCACTTCTTTGGAGAGTCGTATGGTGGCCATTATATTCCTAGTTTTGCAAACTATATTATCGAACAGAACAAGGCAATCGCTGCCTCTTCTTCCTCTCAATCAAAGATTATTCCTCTCAAGTCTATCGGTGTCGGTAATGGATGGACAAGCCCTTTGATTCAGCAGTAAGTGCCATTAAAAACATGGATCTGGGACCAGCCTCTTTTGTTGTTTCAAAATCCCTGATTTACTATTTCTATTTTACTCTTGTAGTAAGTACAGTGTCACCATGGCATGCAATTCTACATGTATGTAGGAGTATTTGTATAATTTTTTTGCAAAACTTTCAATAGACACTAACACTTTATTTTTAGATGGATCCGTATTGTCAAAATCTGACTGCACTACCATGACTAATAACTACCCTAAATGCGCCACTTTGAGTATGAAAACAAATGCACACATATCTTTAAAGAATACACATTAAGCCCTTTGCATCTATTTCTGTTCTTTTTCTTTTTTAGCTCAAAAGTGTTATGACACAGGATCTAACAGTGATTGTATCAGTGCTAATAACTACTGCACCAGAAGTGTACAATACATTTATCAAAATTCCGGAAAGAGTGTCTATGATGTCCGACACAGCGATAGTACCGATGATGTCCCAGAAGATTATCTCAACTTCCTTGCCGACTCGACCGTTATGGCTAACATTGGTGCCAAATCTGATTATGTTGAATGCTCAGATAGCTCGGTAAGAATTATGAAGGACCTTAATTTTAACAGCTATATATATATATATTGCTTCTCAATTTAGTTCACTATCTCTCATCACCCTTTCTTTTGTTTTATAGTACCAGCATATTAGTAGCACAGGAGACAGGTAAAATATCTTTATTTAATCATATAGTTCAATATTGTATTTTTCTATTGGCTACGCATATTAATCTGTACTCTTATTTTATCGCCGTAATAGCTCTCGTGACTTTGCTCCAGATGTGGCTAATCTCCTTAACTCTGGTGTTCGTGTTCTGATCTACGCTGGTGATGCGGATTATATCTGTAACTGGGTAAGGATGATACAGCTTGTTGATATTAAGTTTGCTCTACATACCAGCTCGAATACTGATTATAGCTGCTCTCTCTCGGTTAGTACGGAAACTATGCATGGTCTTCTCAGCTTTCCTTCAACGGATCTAGCTCCTACCAGGCACTGTCTCTCAAGCCATGGACAGTAAACGGAAAGGAGGTCGGACAAGCACAATCCGGATCCAAGCTCAGTTTTGTTCGAATCTATGGTGCCGGTCACGAGGTAAATAGCAAGATAGTTTAAATAAAAGATATTACTTAAATCTATTATCACACATACATATACATGCTCTTGCGGATTGGATATAATATTAACCTTTTTCTTTAAAAAAAAATAATACTACTATAATATCTTTAGGTGCCTTATTACCAGCCCGTGGCGTCATTGGGCATGTTTACAACTTGGATTAACGGACAGCCATTCAATTAAGGAACTCGGGATACTCTACTTTTATAGCAAATCTGTACTGTCGATACAGCCCAAATAACAATCTTATGGATTCGAGTTTCGAAATTCAGTATTAAGTTGTTTAATTGAAACATACTATTCTTATAATTTATTCACTTATTCATTTATACTCTTAAATATATTAATATATTAATGTATAATGTTTTCAGACCTTTTTTTTTCCATATCCATTTTAAAATTAAAATAAGTTTTTATTATTATCCTGACTATTTGAGTATATATATATATATATATTCGGTGTGGACAGACTAAAAGTTCAAAAAAAAAGTGCAAAAAAAAAGAGCAAAAATTTTAATCGCCTCTGATTGACTAGTCTTTCATTGTCACTTGGGTTCGGAAGAAGAGCATGTTTTAAATAATAAAAAACTATGTGCTATATGGCGCAGAGTTCAGAAAAACTCGAAATAAAAGATCTTCACTTAATAACAGAGATGGTATTATAAGCACAGTTTTACCTAATATGTACTTGCCCTAATTTTGAACATTTTTTTTTTTTTTAAAAAAAAGGTGTGGACACCATAAATTAGTCTGATTGAATGAGTTCAGGACGAACCTGTTTTACTCTTTTTTCTTTCTTTAAACTTTTAGTCTGACCACACCAGCTTTTTGGAATTGATAAAATATTTATCAGCTCTAGATAGCTTGTGTCAAATATTATGGTATTGTTACACTCAATTTTTTGGTCATATCGTGGAGTCTTTTTTTTTTTTAAAAAAAAAATAGGTTATAAAAGCATCTCCAACAGTCACTTTTATCTCAACTTTTATGTCAAATTTAAAACTCTAGTTAAAAGTAGTACGCCCAACAGTTCAATTTATTTTATTTTACGAAAAATTTACGGTCCTAAATTTTATCTCTCTGCTAAATTTGACAAGGATTTAAAAGTTTTAACTGAAAACGTTCTCAAAATTTATTTCCAAAAGAAAATTGAACTGTTGGGTGAAGTAGCTTTTCTCTTTACTAACTTGGAGGTGTTTGTTTTTACAAAAGATAAAAGTTAGCTGACTGTTGGAGATGTTCTTAAATTGGCTATTCTGGATTTAGCTTTTATGCCTTTCTTGCAAATATATAACGTTTTTAAGTGTCAGTTTAATGACAATATAAAATATTGAAATTGCTACTGTCTTCATTTTTCTTTCTTTCATCCATTCATTCTCACCTTTACACAGTAAAATTAATTACATTGCAGCACATACTGGGAAGACACTCTTTGGGCAAATACCACAACTGTCTGATATACATACATCGCGCAATTCTTCACTTTAGCCTTCCCACTTTATGTTTTCTTAGTTTCCTCACGTACCCATAACAAATTCTCAGTCGCACAATCTTTTTTTTTGTTACGTTCTGGTTTGAATTCGAGCTTTAATACTCTTCTCCTTTATTCCTCGACAACCTGCTTTAGAATGGCTTTAAACAAAAGGCTATATTCCGAAATAATAAATGTGTTGCACCCAGAAGACAAAGTAAAGCCCAGCCCACACTTGAATTTCTAACAAAATTAGCTGCTCAAAACGCTTACTAGATTTTCCTTTCAATTCGGCTTCATAATACTGTAAAAGATACACGGAAAGTCTAAAGAAAAAAGACCGTAGATCTATATATTATCCAGAGTCAATGTGAAATTTTGGTAGTTATATCAGAGATAATGGTGTACTTATAATATTTTGTTGAACCAAGAAAATTCTATCTATAATTACTCAGCCTCAATAACTAACCTTTCTATTCAATTTGTTTTTATCTTCAAACAGTGTTTATATTTAACATTTACCAAACAGACAGTCGTATTATCAATAAAAGCACTTTGTATAAGCACTCTCCTTTCCTAAATTAATAAATACTGTGATAGACTATGTCTATAGGCCAATAGACCTTGTACTCATTACAACCGTACACCACGTATCTCCAAAAAAAACATTTATTTAATTGTAAACCAATTCCTTTTTGTTAATTTTAATATTTAAAGATCTGATCGGAATATATCAATAAAATTTGGTAGGAACATATACTCATTAACTTTCAAATTATAGGGATCTATTACCAAGTATCTGCACAAGTTTTCATTCTTTCTTTTCAAAGAAGTAAGGTAGGTGTATCAAAGTCATTTTTTAAATAATAATAATAATAATAATAATAATAAGAGGGGTGCAAAGTTTAGACAAATTTATTGACATTCTCATGGTGAAACAATATTGGTTCTCACTTTTGCAAAAGAAAGAAATAAAGAGAGAGAATGACTCTTTAAAAGTCAATAGTAAAAAGCTTCAATTTACTTTTAAGAGAAATATATAAAATTTACCTTTCAATATTTATATATTTATTCTATAGTGTATGTAACCTAGCACAACAGATATTAAGTAACTAAAAAGAAGTCCTTATTATATTAGTAAAAACTAGCCAAGTCATTTTTTATAGCTTATCAAACAGTTTTCACAACAGAGGTTTTATGTAGCTACTATATATATATGTATATGTATATATTAGGAATTAATAAAGGTAGAGAGAGACAGAAAGAGACAAAAGACTTGGGAAAGTGTTAGTTACAAGGTACAGTTTGATTGCAACAGTTAATAAGAAGCAATCGTATTATTTCTTTTAGTTCCAAGGAATACTGCTCCTTTTGTGATCCACATACTGTACAAACAAAGTATATTGATTCTTTACATAAAAGTAACAGCTCTTAAGCTATTAGAGAGAAGAATATGACAGAGACATTCTTGTTGCGCTGTAGTTTATATTATATCATCAAGCTATTTATGTACTCGATGGTCAAAGCTATTCAAAAACCGTAAGTTATATAAGACTAACTTTTAAGCCAAACATGATCCATTGGGTACCAGAATATATCCCATCTAATTAATAATACAAATACAAGCACTCTTCAATATACGGTATATATTGAAAGCTGTAAACCATAATTAGATAACGAACTACTTTGATGATCTTTTTGTTTTTTTTTAAAAAAAAAACTCCTTTCCAAAGACGAAAGACTTTATTAGGGCAATTAAATCTTACAAAATTATTGGGAACAAGGACCTTGGGCAAAAAATCTCAATGAAATATGTGGCATACTATTGTAAGAGCTTCAATAAGCATATGTGTTTAGCCTAATTTGTTCAACAATACTATAATAATAATTCCGATGAACACAGTTTATGGTAGGCTCTCAATTTCTGTATCTCTACTCATATATCTAAGTGAATTTAAGGTTATATATATATATATATGTATTTCGGAGAGGTATAAAAGTTATCATAGGGTCAAGTACAAGAGAACTATCTCGCGTTTGTATTCAGAATTAGTTTTGAATATAATCTCTTTTTATACTTATACGTATTATAGTGACCAGAATTATGTGCCTGTGTAATCTACATATGTCACAAAAATAATGCTAGACTTTAGGGTTAATACAATGTCTCTTTTAAAGTATTTTTTATCGTAGTAGACAATTGAGTTTCTTAAAAGTATTTGGAAGTAATGGCACTAATGATGCAGTATAATATAAAGAATTGGCCATGCACTATGGCAAACGAATGGTGATTGGAATTGTGATTTTGGAAAGTATCAGACAATTTTAAAAATCATTATCAGTACCACTATTCTTTTTTCATAGTACTAATTCTGTCTGCAAGGTCCGGTTGATGTCAATACTAGTGTACACAAATGTCGAACAATTGGTGACCCGAAAAATAACAATCATCTTTGTACGTCCAAGAGCTTTCCATAATAGACATAAATGGAACAAAAACTAAAACAGAAGAAAAATCTAAATATTGAAGCTACACAGAGACCAATTCAAGAGCTGGTGTTCTGTAGATAGCTTAATATTTACAGTCTACTCTCTATCTATTATTCTTTTTTTTATAAAAATAAATAAATAGAGAAATAGTATAAAAGTCTCTTTTGACTAGCTTGGTGACTCTCACGCATTTCGTCTTTTCTTTGAAATGACCAAGATCTTTACACCAGTATCTCGACTCTGTCTGGCTGCTTTAGCCCTGTGCCTCGGTCCACTTGCAGCATTCGCTGCACCTGCAGAAAATAATCTAGGTTTAAGCCGTAGGTTTGTCAGTAAGCTCAACATTGGTCATTACCTTGACTTTTCCCAGCCAAAATACTGTGATTCTCAAGTGGTTCAGGTAATAAAATCATATATAAATCAATAAATGTGTGTATATTTTTAAAACTAAAGCTTATTCATTTTTAAATAAAAAATCTATCTTCAAGTACTCTGGTTATCTCAATGTTGGAACAAATGACAGCTATTTCTTCTGGTTTTTTGAGAGCAGAACCAACCCTTCCGCTTCACCTTTAACTGTTTGGTTTAATGGAGGCCCTGGTTGCTCTAGCATGGTGTAAATATAGTTTGCATTCTATGGTTTCGGACAAATTCTCTAAATACAGATTATTATTATTTTGCTTGTTTAGTGGTCTTTTCCAGGAACTTGGTCCTTGCCGAGTTGACTCTGATATCAAAGACAGTTACAACCCTTTTAGCTGGAACCAAGTCAGCAATATTCTCTTTCTGGATCAGGTAAAATGGAGTCATTTTTATGTTCAATACTCTATTGTAAATGCTTACACCTTTTGTTAAACTTTAGCCTGCGACTGTTGGGTTTTCTTATGGCAGTGATAATGTTAATAAAACTTCCGATGCAGCAGCCATTACCTACAGATTTATCCAATTGTTTTACGAAGCATTCCCTGTATATAGCTCTCTTCCTTTGCATTTCTTTGGAGAGTCATATGCTGGTCACTATATCCCTAGTTATGCCAACTATATTCTCGAACAAAATAAGGCAATTGTTGCATCGCATTCCTCTCGATCAAAGATAATCCCTCTCGAGTCTGTTGGTATTGGTAATGGATGGACAGACCCCTTGATTCAGCAGTAAGTACCATTAAGAGCATGCATACAGAGCTGTCTTATTTGCTGTTTCGCAACTCTTGACTTATTACTTTTATTCTATTCTTGTAGCAAGTACAGTGTCACCATGGCATGCAACTCTTCGTGTATGTATAAGTCACTATTTAATTTTTGTAAATTTCCAACACATTAACACTTTCTTTCATTTTAGATGGGTCTGTATTGTCGGAATCTAACTGCACTTCTATGGCCAATAACTACCCTGAGTGTGCCACTTTGAGTAAGAAAACAAATGCACGCATTTTTACAGAATACATGTTAAACTCTTTGCATTTACTGTTGTTAAATTTTAGTACAAAAGTGTTACGACACTGGATCTGATGATGATTGTTTTAAAGCCACTGATTACTGCCTCTATGAATTACAATATACATTTTTTTATTCCGGCAAGAGTGGCTATGATGTCCGACTCGAAGAAGACATTGATATTACAACAACTAATTATTTCTACTTCCTTGATGACTCAACCGTTAAGGCTAACATTGGTGCCAAAACTGATTATTCACAATGCGCTGAAGTTCCTGTAAGGATTATAAAACACCTTAATTTTAACATTTATATAAGTATATAACTGAAAATTCTCACTTTCTTATATTACTTAATCTCTTACTCTCGTTTCATTTTTTAGTCCGAGCGATTCTATTACTCAGGAGACAAGTAAAATATCTTTAGATAGCCATACAGTTTAATGTTGTATTTTCTAATAGCTACGCATATTTATCTGTACTCTCGTTTTATTATTTCTATAGCTCTCGTAACTTTGCTCCAGATGTGACCGATCTCCTTAACTCTGGAGTCCGTGTTCTTATTTACGCTGGTGATGCGGATTATCTTTGCAACTGGGTAAAAATTATATAACTTATTTATTATTAGCTTCAATAGATACACACATGTGTGTATATATACATACCAGCTAAAAAAACTAACAATATTATACTTTCTTCTATTAGTATGGAAACAAGGCATGGACTGATGAGCTTCCCTTCAAGGGTTCCAAGAAATATCAGTCAAAATCTCTCAGACCTTGGAAGGTGAATGGAAAGGAAGTTGGACAAGTAAAATCTGCCTCCAACCTCAGTTTCATTCGAGTTTATGATGCAGGTCATATGGTAAATAACGAAACATCTAAAATAAAGGATATCATACAAGACTCCACAAGGACAAACACACATACATACATATCATTACATGTTTTTGGAAGCCAAATAGAATATTGACCTTATTAAATTACAATATTTTTAGGTGCCTGCTTACCAGCCCGAGGCAGCATTGAGTATGTTTACGACATGGATTAAAAGGAAGTCGTTTTAATTAAGGCACTTTGAATACTCGACATTCGTGGTAATTGTGCATGGTGTCAAGACAGCCAATATAACAATTTCTATTTTATTTATTTAATATTTAATTTTAACCTGCTTAGTCTAAAGCTTTTATATAGATATTTAAGCATAATTTTAAAGTTTTTGTTCTCTATTTTGACATAAATAATAATAAAATTCAAACCAAATTTTTAAATAAAAGTAAGAAAAATTTAAAAAAAAATTGCACTCTAAATAGTTTTCTAGTCTCTTAGCAGAGTACCTGAAAAAACATTTTATATCATTAATGCGTACTTGGTTGAAAGCGCCTTTTATCTGGCAAGCCATTGACTACTTATCCAGTAGCTTGTCTCCATCTATCTTTCTGTCCAAAGCTATAACAAATTTTGCCTCTTCCCTAAGGCTTTCTAAATCAGTAAACTGACATATATCTATATACACATATAAAACTCCAAAAAAAAAAGAGTTGTGCTTGAAATCAAGTCTTTGCATTTATACAAGAAAATGAATGGTACAATTATATACATATTTGTTTAATGATGCGCGTATAGTGCGTAAGGTGCGTGTAGTATGTGGGTATGCAAGATGGGTTGATGCTATAAGTAATAATAATAGTAATAGTAAATAAATAAGAATAAGTATTATTCAAGAAACTTGAACAGGGTATTTTCATGTATCTTGTCCTGAAACTCCATGTGTGTGTCAAGTTCTTGATCTTCTATCGATTCTTTGTTTTCGACATCGTACGCTTCGTCGGCGTCTTCTTTTTCTTTATAATCAAATGACTTTCTATAATAATCTCCCTTATTTTCTTCATATTCTTCCTCTTCATATTCGTCCTCATCTTTATCGCCATAATCTTCTTCTTCCTCGTCGTCGTCGTCGTCGTCTTCATCGTCGTCTTCATCGTCATCTTCATAATCATCTTCATAATCATCTTCATAATCATCTTCATAGTCTTCATTATTATCCTTATCGAAATTTTCTGCTTTCATTGTAAGTTCGGTGCCGTCTGGGTTTCGAATTTGTACAGTTGACATATTTTCAATAACCAATCCATAATTCAATCTTTTTGGGATTTTTCTTAAGAATTTGCGTACAGGTTTAGTCTGACGTGTGTCTATCTCCTGATTGATAGAACGCCAAGAATTTCTTCTATAATACAATGCTTCTTTTACATCTTTCTTTGTAACATGATAGACCTAGCAAATATATCATTATAGATTCAAAGAACAAAATAATATTTAGAACAAAATACGCAAATATATAACATCAAGTCAAATCAAATATGAATTGAATGAATAAAAAAAAATAAGCTTACATATTTTTCATTGTCTTTGTCGTGATCATCTTTATCTTTATCTTTATCTTTATCTTCATCTTCACCGTCGTCGTCATCTTCATTTTCGTCTTCATCCTCGTCTTCGTCTTCATCTTCATCGTCCTCTTCATCTTCGTCTTCATCTTCATCTTCGTCTTCATCTTCATCTTCGTCTTCGTCTTCATCTTCGTCTTCGTCTTCGTCTACATCATTTTCATCTTGAGAATCCTTATCCTCATGGGCATCGCGTGAAATTGGCTTCACTTTAGAGTTTTTAATGGATTTCTTTCTTGTTTTTTTAAGCGTTTGGGTGTACAATGTCAATATTACAGACTTTAAAAGATCCTGCAGCTCTCTGTACATTATCACCATATATCCGCGTGTGATCTCTGTATGTGGATTCTTTATATACATACTGTTGATAATAGTAACAATAAGTAAGTATTGGTAAATATATTAATCTTAAATTTTTTCTATAGTATTTCACACACAAAAACACGGTCAGAAAACTTACTGGGACGACAGAGACGACATATTCCAGATATCAAACATCTCTTCAGCTTTATCCAAATCATTCTTTTCATAATCCATAAAATATTCTTTAGGCATCACACCATTTGTCGCGACCATCAAATCCTGGTTCCATTTATTTCTAGTCTCTAGTTTTTCTTTGTATGCGTTCTTGACAAACTGTTGGCCATATGATTCGTCCGAGCCGGTTTCTGGAAGATTTTCGTCTGGTACGTCTGCGTTTTGAAACTCATTTGTGTCAGGATTGCTGCTACTACTACTACTATTATTATTATTATTATTATTATTATTATAGTTCAGTCGCCTTTTCTCAAAATTGACACTAGAAGAATAGTCAATATCCTTCAGTTTGGCATCTTCGATCTGTAGTGTCCGTTCTTCCGCATAAGAGAAGCGTTCGGCCTCGGCTTCTTCAATATTTATCCAATCGTCAGACATCTCATTGGCAAATGGTATATAGAATTCAGATTTTGGATCCTTTTCTTGCAATGGATCTAAAAGTAAATAAAGATGATAATAATAATATAAACATTGTCGTTATTGTCTTTTGCCCCCCTTTTTTTGTTATCCTTATTTATAAATATGACTATGATTGTAGTCATGGTTAATTGATTGATTGATTGATTGATATTACCTGATAAGACTGGAAACTTCTTTGCCTCTGATTCCAGCAGACTCAGATAAACACACACTTCATAGATCGTTTTTGTAGGACCAACTCTCTTATGGATCGCATTGGGGTTACTTACTCCACATCTCTCAATTGCCGTAAAAAAGCGATTCTTTTCAATAGTTGACCAAAAGCTGGTTCCGATTCGCGAGCCATTTAAAGAAGAATCTAGTCTGAACGATTCGGCTTCAAACCGGGTGGATTCGAACAACTGTCGGTAACGAACAAACGAATTGTCCTGCTCGAGTTCCTCGACGTCTTGATATCTCGGTTGGACTCTCTTGATAGGCTTGACTTTGGAGCGAAAATCAAATGCACTGTAGATCCAATCTTTTTGTCCAGAGCTTTTAATGGTTTCCAAAAGATCTGTTTGAGGTACCCAGACGACATCTTCTGGGACCAGCGACAGACTGTTGACAGTGTTCTCCGATTGTGGGTTTGGTATTGTTCGGTCTGGTGAGATTTGGTGATTACCATTTAGATCATTTACAGGTCTGTGCGCCTTGTATGGCTCGCCGTTCGTTATTGGTAGTTTGGCATAAGATGATTTCTCGGGTGGTTCTGAGAAGGTATGTATAGGATAATCATCACTCATATACGCCGGGAGGTCTTCTATTTTAAATTTCATTAGAGAACTCAATGTTGTCGGTATGGTTGTCTTAATATGTACTATAGATCAGAAGAGGATTGTCTTGTTTTGCTAATATATCACCATCTTCGCTTATATATTTATATTCGGGTTCTGGTTCTGGTTCTGGTTCTGATTTTTGAGTATGGGTCTTCGCCCGAGCTTACCTCTGGGTTTGCGCTTGGGCCTGCCTTTGGGTCTGGGCTGGGGTTTGGGTTTGGGCTCGCCTTTGGGTTTTGGCCCGGGCTTGCGTCTGGGTTTTGGTTCGGGGAAGGGCTCGCCTTTGGGTTTTGGCCCGGGCTTGCGTCTGGGTCTGGGTTCGGGTTCGGGTTCGGGGTTGGGTTTGCGCTTGGTTTTGGGTTTGCGTCTGGGGTTTGGTCCTTCGGAAAGGCAAGAGCCATAGGGAGTGTGATCATATATATATGATTTTTCCTGATGCTCATTTATAGCTTTGGGATCGAATTCAATCACTTTGTATATATTTTCAGTTAAAGAATATTGGTCTCCAAGTCCGGAGGGATGTTCGGATCGACTTTGAGGTTGCTGAGGATAAGGTTGAGGTTGCTGAGGATAAGGTTGAGGTTGCTGAGGATAAGGTTGAGGTTGCTGAGGATGAGGATGAGGATGAGGATGAGGATGAGGTTGAGGATGAGGTTGAGGTTGAGGTTGAGGTTGAGGTTGAGGTTGAGGTTTCTGAGGTTGCTGAGGTTGAGTTTTTTTATTGAGCCGAGTACTTCTCGTATTAGAAGAGCTTTTGGGGGTTTGAACTAATCCGTCTATTACTTGACAAGCAAATGCGGTTCTAGTAGTGCGGATAACATATGTTTTTACGCCATCGTCGGTTTTGACAACGTCTTCGACATTTCCACTTCCATAATATTTTCTATTTTCCCCAGGGGCTCTCGGATGTCTCCTTCTCTGGTTTTCCAAACGCTTGGGGTTTGCTACTGTTGTTGTTGTTGTTTTTGTTGTACTATGGTCACCCTCCCCTTTCTCATTTCTCATTTTTTGGTGAAGACTCTGATCCGAATATTGTTCAGCACTTGTAATGTCAGAATGTACATTGTTCTCGGTCAATAAGGTACCATGAATGGCTTGACGTGTATGCGTTGACTTGTCGTTGTTGTGTGTAAGTAGTTTGGTAGTGTGAAGGTTATCATGCTTTTTGTTTTGATCAGAGTGTTCGGGTTTAATTTTTTTCAAGTCATTGAGTATATCGTGTGAATGACTAAGACTTCCTATTGAATCAATAAGATCAATGAGATTCCTTTTATTTATTTTTTTAATATTTTTTTTTATTCTTGTCTCTTACTCTTTCGCTTTTTATGGGAATTTCTTAATTCCATTAAATATCAGTTGTTTAGGTGGGTTTAGTTCTCTGGTAGTAATTGGGTCAAGAAAATGAATGAATGAAGAAGAATGACAATAAGAAGAAGTAGAAGAAGAGAAACAAGTCATGTTCATGTACCTTTGTGTGTATCTGTGTTGTATGGGCTAACAATTTTTTTTATATTTTTTTTTTCATTTATTAAGAGCGGAGCTGAATATTGTACAGATTAATGTACATATATGTGTAAAAAAGAAAGGTCAGATAAAGAGAAAGGTGAGCAAAGGCTTGGGTATTTTTCACATTTTAAATTTGACAAGCATATTTTCAGTTTTACAAATGCCTACACACCCACATCTATATGTCTTTAATATATCTTGCATTTGTTCATAAAGAAGTACGTAATAACAGTAACAAGAACAGCAATACATATATATATATATATATATATAAATATCAATGCCACTATTACGATCACTACTATCTTTATTAATTTTTGACAGCTTGATATATATATATAATCATACTTAAATTGGACCCCTTTTTTTATAGAAAAAAAAATTAACTTTAGTGAAACACATTTGTAAAGCGCATATTTTCAAATTGTGCGCCTTGTAAAGTGTGTTTTACTGTAAAGCAATATAATTCACCAATACATAATTAAATTTTTTTTTGTAGGGAGCAATTAGAGCTCAGGTTTTTATTGTGAGGATCACTAGCTAAAAAAAAGGACGCACGTCACAAAATTTGTTTTTGGGTTTTTGATTTTTTTTTGAGATGTATATGTAAGAAGGAAAACTAAAGGTAGAGCTAAGTAGCAAGAGAACAGGCAAGGTCATCAAGAGATTTTTCAGCCTTAAATATGGCAACCAAGCGGGAAGCGGTAGATAGGACGGTGGAAGATACAAAAGGTGTATTGTCGAACACCGTGGACCAATGATGTCGCCAGATCGCCAGAAGGGCACAGCTAAAGAGAGAGGCGGCGTGAATATCAGAGGAGCGGGTATAGGGGAAAGACAGGTTGTAAAATGCATCATGGAGTATAGGAAGAGTAGGATGAGATCCAAAGACATCTTGCCAGAATGTAGATCAAACGTCAATTTTGAGGGGGAAGGAGAAGAGGAAATGGTCGGGTGTGTCTGTAGAGGCTTCACAAATGGGGCAAGAGTCGGTGGGGAAGGGGCCAGGAAGTATGCGATGCAACAGGGAGCGGGATGACAATTTGTGGTGCAGACCTCGGTACCAGATGTTGCGGACATGGTGGTGTATAGGAAGGTTCCAAAAGATTCGCCATTGTGAGCTAGACAGTGTAGACGACAGGGGAGGAGAAACAGAAGAGGAACAAAGAGAACGATACATACGAGGTTTCAGCTTGGACCACGGTATTCCAGGTAAAAGGCCGCAAACAAAAGGGCTAGCATTGATTGATGAACCTGAACGGGAAGGAATGGAAGGGTCATTGAGCTGAAGGATATGAGAAGGGAGGAAAGCGCGAACAAGGAAAGGTTGTAGCAAGATGTCGCGAGAGTCAACTCTCTTGAAAAACTTGCGCAATATGAGCGGGTTGCGTGGGAAATCAGCCAGCGCTCGACAGCAGAGAACGTCGAAAGAAGGGTCAACAAGAAAGGCATCTTCAACGCGGAGGTGTTGCCAGGAGGGAGGGAAGGAGGTAGTGCTTGTGGCTGGTAGGCATACTGAGCGGAGGGGAAGTGCTAAACACGTAGCAATGTTGGGGGCAAGGGAGGAGAAGTCGTGCGGGAGCCTGTCAATAGCAGAGAATATGTTGCGGAAGCAACCTGCAAGGTCAGTCAGATCGGGGGGGGGGGGGGGCGAAAATCGTGGAAGAAAAGTGTCAATCGGGGGTCGGTGCCAGACGTATGATAACGTAAGAGAAAGGACAGCCAAGGAGGAACTAAGCCAAAGGTGGAGTGAGGAGAGAGAGAGAGAGGACGTAACCAACGCAGCTGAAGAGCACCTTGTTGTATAGAAGGATCTAATACTCCAAGGCCGCCAGAACGAAGAGGGAGACAAAGAGTGGACAGCTTAATGGGAGGAAACATTCGGTGCTGCAAGAACTGACCCATGGCCGACTTCACTTTATCGAGAAACGACACAGGAACAGAGATCACGCGTAGGACATGCCAGAGACGGGAGAGAATGAGAGTATTGAGAACGGTGGCATGCCCCCGGATCGATAAGGATCGAGTGAGGTGTATGGCGCAGGAAGATTGTATGGTTGTTAACAATGAGGAACAAAAGGCATCGCGTTGGGCAATCGAACTGACAAGAGGGAAGCCAAGGTAGCGGAGGGAGTCAGGACAGGAACGGTCGTGCCAGGATGTTATTTGGTGGGCCTGTAGGAACGTGATCCAGTGAGGAAGTGGTTGTCCCGAAAGCGATATGGCCTCCGTCTTGGCCATGTTGATCTTGGCATTGGAGGCCCGAAAGTAAGTGGCAAGATGTGTGTGGAGGCGTGTGAAACATTCGGGTGTGGAGAGGAAAACAATGACATCGTCCGCATATGCAAGACATTTGACTGGAGGGGGGGCTGGAAGGATTGGCGAGATAGGTGGGAGAAACCCAGAAAATTCAGGGTCATGTTGGAGGCGGCGTAGAAGAGGCTCAAAGGCGAGATTGAAGAGAACGGGGGACAGAGGATCGCCCTGTCGGAGACCGCGGTGCTGAACAAGTTCTCGGGAGATATGACCGTTCACATTGACTCGTATTCGAGTAGAGAAGAATAGGTTGCAAATACAATCGACGAGAGAGGAAGGAAAACGGAAATGGCGCAGGACTTGTCGCAGGTACGAGGGGTGTACACGACCGTAAGCCTTTTCTTGATCCAAGAGCAAGCCAATACTGGTGGATTGAGTGAGCTGGGCCTGTTCCATAATGGTCTTGACGAGCATGCCATTGTCAGCAATGAACCTTCCCCTCACAAACCCGGTTTGATATTGAGACACAATTGAGCTGGCAGCAGGAATCATACGGGCATTGAGTAGTCGAGTAAAGACCTTTGCATCAGTGTTAATCAAGGCAATAGGTCGCCAGTTCTTCAAAGATGTAAGGTCTCCTTTCTTCGGTAGCAAGGAGAGACAAGTAGATTGCCAAGAGGTAGGAAAAACTCCAGTGGTGAGAGCGTCATTGTAAAGCTTTTCCAAGATATGAGCACACGCGGGATGGTCAAAAAGGAGACGAAGGATTTCATAGGGTATCCCCGTCGGGACCGGGACTGCTGGCGGAAAGAGACCGCTGCGCACCTTCTCGTATGTCTACGATGGAAAAGGAGGAAGTGAGTTTGTTTACAAGAGCGTCAGAGAGAACAATATGAGTCGGAAGATTATGTAGAAGGTCGTCTACAGCGGTTTGCTCAATGTCATCGGGGGAATACAAATCTTCATAAAATGCAGCCGCGGAATCGGTCATGATAGAAGGCTGTGTCGAAAGGACGTTGGTGAAGGGGTGGCGTAGGCCAGAGATCGTCTTACGGACTTGTCGTGTTTCAATCGTACGTTTCAAGTAACCGGCAGAGGTCTCACCCTGTTCCCGCCAGTGTTTTCCAGCGCGCAATGCCTGTGTTTCTACCTTTTCGTGTTGTATGTCCTGAATCTGTCGTTCCACAAAAGGAAGCTGGAAGTTAATGGAGGGGTTGAGTTGGTACTTTTGTATCAGGTGCGCGCGCTTGCTCTGCAACTGGGCTTCTATCGTAGTGAGGTTGCGGCGAAGGCGATGGAAATAAGAGCGGATAAAATGGATGACATCGGTTTTGAGACTATCCCACTGTTCTTGAACAGATAGAGATGTTGGTAGAGAGTGGACGAAGGAATGAATGTGAGAGTCAAGCTGGAGACAGAAATGCTGGTTGTAGGACAGACGTGGGTTGGCACGCCATAGGCCTTTCCCCAAGACAGTGCCTGAATCAAAGAGAAAAGATGCGGAAACTAGGAAATGGTCTGACCATTGCGGATGAATATAATCCACGGAAGACGAAATGCGGTGGGAAAACATATCGGAAGAGGAGAATATATAGTCCAAGGTGGAGGACGTTGTGCCGCGATGGAAGGTAGGCATAGGGGTGGAATCAGGCATAGTGACGCAGTCAAAGAGGTGGTCAGAGAGGAATTGGAGCCACGTATGAGGTGTAAGTCGGGGCCGAGGTGAACGAGTGTGATAGGAGTGATTAAAATCTCCCAGCAGGATGAAGCGTGAAGAATGAGTGGGCAATAATAAAGAGTTAGCAAGCAGGGCAGATAGGAATTTATACCGCTGTCCAACTGTAGCTGGGGCATATACCACACAGATCTGAAAAGGGGAAAAATTATTGTTGGCATGCTCAACTGTAGCAGATATACATCGGCCACAGACAGAGGTTAAAGGGTTGACAATAGAAATCATAGGAGTTAGGCACACTAAACCACAATGTTGGGGCCAAACTGAGGAAGTAGTCCTAAACTGCATATTGAATGTGTTCTGTATATCCATAGAGGAAGCATGAGTTTCTTGCAGGGCGAGTATATCGACATGCTGAGAGCGTAGATGGCGTATAAATAATGAGCGTAAGGTGGGGTTGGCCAATTCGGCCAGGCCTCGACAGTTTATCGTGGAGATTTTAATCATAAAGTAAGAGCTGGATTTGGAGGATCTTGTCCACCGTCATTTTCACCATCCATGGGATCATCTTCCATTTGAGCGAAATACTTGGCGACCTCATCGATGTCATCGTCGCTATAGTATTCCTCATCGTCGCTTTTCTTCGTCTCTTCGTTACCAAGTTCGCCATCACTGGTCTTAACCAATTGGACGTTGTCATCCATGCCAGTACTAGCCGCTGCTTCTATCAGGAAGTCAGGATGGTTGGCGGGAAGAACACCCGGAATGGCGCCCGGGGCCGCGCGTGGTCTAGAAAGGGATTCAGTAGCCAATGGAGGTAGGGGTATGTTCTGCGGGGCGTGCTGTGAGCCGTAGATTGTTTCAGAGGGTAGAAGACCATGATACATCTGAGCGGCTGGGGGTGCAGGGGCATGGGTTGGGGAGCGAGCAGTTTTGCGAGGGCGTTTTGATTCGGCTTCCTCGTTTCGTGGGCATTGATGGGCAAGGTGACCAACCTTACCACAGCGGAAGCAGGTGCGGGTTTCTTTGGGTCGCTTGGTGCAAGCTTCTTTCTCGTGACCCATCTCTTTACAGAAAGTACAATGAGTACCCATACATGCCCAAGTGGCAAGGAAAGTTGTAGTTTCATTATACTTGATCTCATGTTCCAAGTGACGCAGATGAAGATCAGGATTAGGTGGGCGCAGCATATGGATGGTGCCTGTGCCGTCGGGGTAGTTATATTTCAAATTCAAGGATATTTCCTGAACCTGTCCGTATATAGCAAGGCAGCGGCGAAGATTCTCGGCAAGTTCATCAAAATCCGCATATCCGTGAAGAGGAAGTCGAGACACACGTAAGCGCAAGAGCTTAAACGTCGAAGGAATGGCAGGAGAAGCGAAGACAGTACGTCCATTAAAAGGAAAGCCAACTTGGCATGCGCGCGAGCATGCTTCTTGGTCTACTAGATGGAATTCGAAGGAGGTGCGGGAAGTACGAGAGGCATATGTGAGGCCGCGGCCAACACCCAATGGGAAAGCGGTGTTAAGAGCCTCAAAGAACAAAGGACGGAGAGGGTTTCCCTCAGCAGGGACCTCGTAGAAAACAGAAAATGGAGAGGAGCCTTCTTTCCATATGCGTGGAGCGCCATTACCAGCGATGGAGCCGATGATGCGAGATGTACAAGAATTGTCTACAGACGTAACAGCCGCAGCTACGTAAGATGGAGACAATGGTGGTGAGCCAGTTGGTGTAGATGGAGTGTTGAGTGATGGCGTGGGTGAGCCAGGAGGTGGTGAGGGGTCCCTTGGTAGGGGTGGCGGAGTCTTAGCGGGAAGAGCCATGGCAATACATAATTAAAGAACCATTTCTCAGGTACGTCTTTACAAACAGAAAGTCACTTCTTTATGTTTCTTAATTATTTTATTTTTATTTTATTTTTATTTTATTATGCCTATAATTGTGTCAATTTCAATGTGTTTGTAGAAAAGTAAGATGTAATTCAATATTCAAATCCCTTTTATATATATATATATCCAAGGTTAATTTGTATAGAATAATACATTATAATAAAATTGAGACAAAAATTAAATAAATAAATAAATAAATAAAGACTGTTTCTTGATCAATAATCAAAACAAAAAAAAAACAACAGCAAGAAAATGGAAGACGACTCTTTAGACTGGGAATCTCTGTTTGGTTCAGACAACGATTCTGTCGATTGGAATTCATTATTCGGTTCAAATGATGAAAAAGAAGATGACGACAGATATTCGACAGATATTCCTGGTCTTGAACTTGTACGAGAAGCACTTGACCACTCACAGCAGATGAAGATAATTCAGGCTATCCTGGATACAAATACATTTTCTGACGCTGGTCGAGTAAATCAGGCAATGTGTTTTGGAAAACTACCACCTCATCTCGATTGGCTTAGTAGACACATAAAGAATCAATTGCCACATCTTTTACCTCGAGTTCTCATGCAGCGTGAACCAGTATTTGATCAGGCTATTTTGAATCTCTATCGTAAAGGTGAATTTGGTATTTTGTGTGTTTGTGTGTGTATGCTTGTAGTATACACCAAAAAGAAGAAGAAGAAGAAGAAAATCATATAATGACTTTACTACAAATACCCAACCACACACGCACATATATATATATAATTTCTTAGGTGAAGGTATTGTTAGCCATGTAGATCTAGCACGGTAAGATTCATTAAAGTTAAATTCTTCAGACAAGTCTTTATATTACTTGAGAATATTTAATAAACCTTACTTATATACATATATGTACATATATATATATATATATATATATAATCAAATTCTCTTCCTCTCTACAAAATTCAATACAAATCACCTATGTGTTTGTGCGTGTACATATGTGTGTCTGTGCTTCTTTTTTAAAAAAAAAACGAACAAAAACAAAGCTTTGAAGATGGAGTGGTTATTCTGTCATTAATGTCATCTTGTGTAATGACAATGCGTCCTGTTCCTAAAGTATCACCAGCGGATCCCAGTTTAGAGGTGGATATTTTACTGAATCCTGGTGACATTTTGGCCTTGTCTGGTCTAGCTCGCTACGAATGGGAACATGGAATCAAAGAGTGTGAATATGATGTTGTTCGAGGGGAAAGGATTGAAAGAGGAACACGCATTAGTGTGACGTTGCGTAAACTTGGGACAACAGTAGAAACACCAACAATAGAAACAACAGCGACTAGAACTTCGATTTGAGCTAGAAAAGGCACAGTAATAGAGGGGGAGTGAGTGTCAATTTATCTTGCCTTGACGATTCTTCTTTTTTCTCTTTTGTTTATTTATTTATTTATTTTGTGATAAATATATATAAAAAAACACACACACACACATTCTCTCTCTTATACACATACATACAATACAATACAACTCAAGGCATACAACACGTAGACACAAATGTCGTTTTCTTCCTTTTCTGATGATGACAATGATCCACAAACGCGAGGATCGCCTGGAATATTTGAAGAAAATTCTCTTGATCGATCTAGACACTCGTCTGAATTTGCTTATGTAGAAGAGGGAGCTAGAGATGTATTTAATGAAGAAGATGGAACTGATTCAGTGAGGGATGTTTTGGATGAAGGAGATGAAACTGATTCAATGAGGATGAATTCTGTTGAAGAGGGTGTGACTCTGGAGATGTACTACAAAACACATCCAAATCACATGCTGGATCAGAGGATGCGTGAGATTACTGATGAGGATTCGCTCTGGTCAGTTTCGACTCGACGACTACCTTGGGGAGTAGAGAATCTTCGGGACAATAATCCGTTGACGTATTGGTTGTAAGCAAGATATGAATGATTTGTTATTTCATTATTGTGTAATATGTAATATGTATGTATATGTATGTATGTGTGATCAAATCAAATCGAATCAAATCAAACCAGTATACATATATATATATATATATATATATACGCACACGTACATAGACAGAAATAGAAAAAAGAGATATTTTATATATTACTGACACATCTATATCAAAAGTTCTGATTGTCCTAATCAAAAGGGCGCTCACACAATTGATGTAATATTCAGCAAACCAACATGGATAAAGGTAAGAGAGAGACCGAGACAATACTTTATGTACAATGCTCATGATAATATATACAATAATAATGCTGGTATTTTAAACAGCAAGTTTCTTTGTTTATAGACTATTTCCAAGACAATAGCTATACGCCTTGGATAGTGTCTATCAGAGGCGGAACATGCTATCGTGATATGCAGGAGATTATGCAGATTGAATGCGAGAAGACAGTGGGATGGCAACACGCAGATCTTGAAGAAACAGGGTAAATTGTATAAATAAATATATCTATATTCTTTTGCATATATATATAAATAAATAAATACCTATATAAATTTATACAAAAGGGAATGCACAAGGGTTTTTCGATTACAGATAGCGATTCTCAGCACTCATGAGAATGGAAGAGATACGCACATCAGACAAGCAAAAGTCTATTCGATTCCAGGATAAATCAAAATTATATATATATATATACAAAAATATATAGCTATTTATACACACAGTATATATGATGTATATATTTACATGATACTATAATTTTATATAATTATAAGCATTATAAGCATCATAAGCATCATCTGCAGCAACAGCAGCAGAAGCAGCATTATAATTTTCTTTGGACAAATGAAAGAAGAATAAAAATGTATATTTAAAAATATAAATATAAATATAAAATATAAAAATTATACTCTTCATCTTATACACATATACATACATATACACAAATATATATATAAGCACGTCTTGCACATTTCATACTTCTTTTAATTTTATTCAAATATTAAATAAATATATATATATATTTTTAAAGAAAAAAAAACATCTTTTACATACACGCATATCAAGATATAAATGATATCCGTACTTCACTCTCCAATCACTCAGCAAAAGTTTGTTATTCTGGACTGTCCAACCGAACAAACGCTGGCCTCTTACGTTCCAAGGTTACAAGAGGAGAATGTGCGGGCACTGGTCAGAATATGCCACCGACCGGGAACTCAGAACCCTTATGATGGGGCAGCGTTAGAAAAGGAAACTGGTATTAAGGTTATCGACGACATCAAATTCTCTGATGGAGGCATTCCTGATCCCGCAATGGTTGAGAGATGGTTAAAGTTGATTGACGAAGCAAAAGAACAAGGAACTACTGTTGGTGTTCATTGTGTTGCTGGTATAGGAAGAGCACCTGTAAGTTTTATATCCTATATATTTTTATATTTATTTATATTTATATTTATTATAATAAAAAGGTATTGGTGACTATCGCTTTGGTTGAAAGTGGCATGGATGGACTGGTAAGTTTCTTTCTAATATATATATATATATAGATAATAATGGTTGTTTTGGTTGGTGTAGGATGCTATCAGTCACGTGAGGACCCACCGTAGAGGAGCGTTGAATAAACAGCAAGTACGGTTCATTGACACTTATCGATCTAAACGTCAAAAGACACGTTCTTGGCTTGGCTGGTTGCGAGGGTAACACCATCACCACTCTAAAACACACTAAGCAGCAACAACAATATCATACACCTATACACCTATATATCTATACTTATACACACATAAATTTTTTTTAAAAAAAAAAAAAAAGGAAGAAGAAGACGAAGAAAAAGGAACTTTATTCTTTGATTTAAACATTAGAATCCCGTACATGTTTAGAGAGCGAGAGTAACAGTGGTGATAGTTAGTAATGGTGCGTAGTACTTTGTTACCTGTTACTGTTATTATCCTTATTATTGTTTTCCTAAAGTGTATTGTTTGAATCCTATTTTATATTATTATTATTCTTAATTCCTAAGCCCTTTCAATATATATATATATATTTTATTTATTTATTTTGTTTTTGCCTATTTTCAATTCCTTCTTTTTTTTATATATATACTAGTTTTATTATTTTATTTTATTTTATATTATATTATATTATATTATATAAATATTTATTATATTTATTGTATTTATTATTATTCTTTCCTTTTTTCGTTGTTGTTATCCTTTTTGCTCATTACACTTGTAATGCAAGACTCAATGGCGAACAATGAGCTCTGGGCTCAAATACTTGGTTACTTTAGTATAGCCTGCTGGATCGTTGTCTTTACACCGTAAGTTACATAAATACACTTTTATTGTAGTGTTGCATAGTGCAGTCAAGTGTTTCATAGTGCACTGTAGTGTACTGTAGTATATACTAAACCTCAAAAAGAATACATAAAAAAAATATTGTGCATGTACATACATAAGATACAAGATATATTGACATTCTTTATAGGCAGATCAGAGAGAACTATAAGCGAAAGAATACCGATGGTGTTTCGATCCAATTCTTATTATTTTGGATTTTTGGAGATATTTTCAATTTGATTGGAGGTGTACTTGAGCACTTGATGGAAACAATGGTAATTAGATATATTTATATATATATATATACATATAAAAATATAAAAACTGTTACTGATATTTACACACACACATATATATATATATGCTGTTTTTATCTTTTTAAAGCTGCTGCTGGCATTGTACTACTTATTGGCTGATTGTCTATTGATGGGACAAGTTATTTATTATCGTAAACGCCAGGGTCTCTTGCACCGGGACGAAATTGTCGATACTTCCGAGAGTGCGCCTCTTTTGCAGTCAGTTTCTTCTTCGTACAAACCGACGATGTCTGAAACAACACGTCGCACGGTGCGGATTTTCTTTATTTCCTCGGTCGTCTCCATGACTTTGCTCTTGGTCGGCACCGGCCTATTCTTCTTCTGGCCCAATGCACAAGACAAGATCGACTTTAGCAAGCTACACCTCGTGCCTCAGTTGCTAGGATGGGCCAGTGCGGTGTTGTACTGTGGAAGTAGAATCCCTCAAATCATGCAGAATTTCCGAAACGAGAGTGTTGATGGGCTGAGTCTGACAATGTTTGTATTCAGTGTGTGTGGCAATCTGACCTACTGTCTGGTAAGCAAAAATATATATATATATATTTAATGGCGTTTTTTACTTTGTATTTTATTTTTATTTTTTGCATGTGTTTTTTTTTTCCTTCTTCTTTCCTTACATTTATTTATTTATATATGTGTATAATTTTTTTTCTGTAGTCTATTTTCTTTAGATCTCTGGATAGAACCTTTCTCTTGACCAATTTTCCTTGGTTACTTGGAAGTGGCGGTACCTTGTTCTTTGATTTCACAGTAAGTAAAAAAAAAATTGTATATCTTTATGGCTCATATTGACTTCTTTTTTGCTCCTTTTCTTTTATCTTGTTTAAATTTTTATAGATCTTTTTCCAATTTTATACTTATCGCAACAAGAAGCTTTTGACAGACACAAAATGAAAAAAAAATGCATAAAAATAACAATACACAATATACAACAATACGAATAGGAATAGGAATAGTATCAAGACATATAGACACAAAGAAAGAAAGGAGTATATTGTCCATGTTCTAGACGACGACGATCCGAACCTTCTTTGGTTTTGTATGTGTTTATGAAAGTGTAATGTGTAGTGTTTGTATTTGTAGAGTGTGTAATGTGTTTGTGGTGTGTTTGTAGTGTGTTTTAGAGATGTTTTGAACCATAAAAAAATGATACATAATACAAAATGTATGTATGTACATATTAGTATATTTTCTTTATTTATATTTATATGTTTCATAATGTATTTTGTAGATCAATAACAAAAAGGCGTCTGTGCACCCAGAGCATACAACAAAAAGGCTGAAAATAATAATAATAATAAATAAAAAAAGGGGGGAATGAAGGTTGATTTTAATTTTTTAATTTTTTTAATTTTTTTTTAAATTATAATTATAATTATAATTATAATTATTCTTAATTTATTAAAATAAGAGGAAGAAATTATAAAGGTAGCTTTTACAGACTGGTTATATTATCTGGTCGTTAGGGAAACAAAATCAAACAAGAGAGAAAAATATACTTGAGGCGTGGTAGCACCAACAGTCTGATCTTGTCCCTCAACACACACACACACACAAACACACACATGATGACCAAAGGTTGGCGTTGCAATGTGTACACAAAGAAGAAATAAGGGGTATCGATCGGCAGCGTCGGAATAGCTTGAAATGCTTCAGGTTGTGTCATGCGGTTTCCTTATAATCTGTGGATTGTCTTTTTGTGTTTTGGAAGTCTTTCTTACTTTGGGCGATCTAGTCAAATAATAATATTATTATTATTATTATTGATATTCATATTCACTTTACAGATATTGATATTCATACACTAAATAATCGGCCTCAATTAGACATAAAAATAGAGCCAATTCTGAGATACTTTTCTTTCTTCTTCTCTTTCTTCCCTATATAATCACTACTACTTTTCTTACTTTTACCTCTTTCTCTTATTATATACCTGCTCTTTATAATTCACAGCAAAGCCTACCACCAATAATAACAATAATAAACACTCAACCACTGAAATAACAGCAACAATTTTTAAAAGCATGCAAGAAAAACGTATTTCTTTACCTCCCATTCGTTGTCTCTTGAACGATCTCGCCACAGATTCTCAAGTCAGTATTAGTCCTGGTATTCCGTGGTTGGCTCCACAGCAATCGTCTGATTCCAAGGAGCTCGAACAGTGGGAGAATCGTTGCCGTGCCGAAGACAGGCGCCAGCAACTTGATTCCATTCCTATTTCCCCTGTCCATTCCCATCCCCAGCAACAACAGCCTCTTCCACTTTCTCTCTCATCATCCCTTCCTCCCTCATCTTCCCTTCCGCTTATTCCCTCTCGCAGCTTTACCCGACAAAAACAGCAGGATTGCCCTCCTGAAATTTGGAGCCGTGTTTCCTTGAAACAAGCCCCCCCTCAGTACCGTGTCTATCCAAACGACAGCTGTGGGTGCCAATGTGCATATGCCTCACCGCCATCACCACCACTACAGCCACTGCAGCCACACTCGCACCAACAATTACAGCTTCAACTACAGCAGCAGCAGCAGCAGCAGCAGCAGCAGCAACAAATTCAACAACAACAAATGCACCACCACCACCACCAACAACAACAACAATTAACCCCTCGCCACCAGTTTGTCACTCGATCACCTCCACTGCAGAGAGCACCCCCGGCCACCCGCGTTCACCGACGCGCCACTTCTGCTGCAGCCTACTTTGATACCACACCAATGGGTCCCCAAACAATGCACCTCCACCACCACCGCCATCAATCCGCTGACTGGCAGTTGATCGACGACATGGCCTGCATGCATATAATCCCTTCCCCCGTATCTCCTTTTACTTTCCATCAGCAACAACAACAACAAATTCATCATCATCATCAACAACAACAACAGCAACAACAGCAACAACAGCAACAGCAACAGCAGCAACAAATTCAACAACAACAAATTCATCAACATCATCAACAACAACAAATGCGTCATCATTATCAAGAAAATACACGTCTGTCCGAATCCATTCACAGCCATAACCATCACCACATATCGACCCACAAAAGATCTCACACCACTTCTGGTTACCCACTCCCACAAAACTACATTTTCCCCCCGCGTCAAAGCTTACCACAGCGCAAAACCCAGAAGCCGTTGGAGGGACCCCACCATAGATACCATTGCAGCCTCTGCCCAAAGACCTTCTCAAGACCATCTTCACTACGAATCCACGGCTATTCTCACACCGGAGAAAAACCCCATGGATGCCCCTATCCTGGGTGTGGGCGCTGGTTTAGTGTCCAGAGCAACATGCGTCGCCACTTGAGAGTCCATCACTGCTCACCCCATGAACTTAACCAAGAAGGCGGAGCAGCAGCAACAGGAGGATGTTCGTCAGAAGAAGAAGACGAAGAAGAGTGGATGGGTGGAATTGGCGGTCACCCTCACGTTTGAACATACAATACAAAGCATCTTTTACTTTATATATATATATATATATATATATATACAAGCAACATAACATAACATAACATAACATTATACAAACACTAATATATATATATATTATATATTTAGTAACGCATTCGAACCAAAACAAACCAAATATTTATATATATTATTACTATTATTATTATTATAAAAAAATCAAGTCTTCATACTCTTTAGATAGCACAGCCTCTTTTATTTTATATATATATTTTATATTTCCTTTTTGCTTTGGAGACTATGCAGTGTCAAATAAATTTTCCCCCTCTTTTTTTTTATTTTTATATAAAAAACATATTATTACTAATATTATCCCCTATCCTTATTATCACTTATACACAAATATAAATATATCATTTTTCTTCCCTCTTTATTTATTTATTTTTTATAAACAAATTTATACATACAATATATATATATATATTATATATATATTATGGTTCAAGGGGACTTTTCTTTCTTGTAAAGCTTACGTGGTCTGGGACCTTCATCTAATGTACTTTGACTATCGGATCTCTTGAGTTCTTCGTCTGTATAGACACTATCTGAGTCGCTTTCGGATTGGGCATCGCCATCGAATGGCAACGTAGGCAAATAAAACACCTCGTCTTCACCCCCTCGATCCTCGTCAATGTCCAGAAACGCCTGGATGGTTTCGTCTGTTGTCACGTCAACCGTTATATCCTCGTCATCCTGCTTACGCTTCGTCGCCTCTTCTTCGGGCACCACGTCAAACTCGTCCTCCTTTTCCTCATATTCCATGTTCTCCTCCAATTCGGTGAAGTCTGGAGCAAATGCACTCCAATTCTCTTCATGCTTGGCTGTCCAGATGTAAATATTACCGTAACTACTCACAGATCCAATAATAGGTCTAACCGGATGCCACTATCATGTCATTATTATTATTATTTTAAAAATAAATATTAATTGAATTCAATTGAATTCAATTGAATAAATCATCCCTTGATTTTTTTTCCATCCCTTATTCACTACAAAAAAATAAAGACTATATATATATAGTTGTGTGTATGCATCAAGTAACTTACAGCAAGGTCATCAAGGGGCTCTTTAGGTCCCTCTAGAATCTTGACAAGATTTCCCATGTTTTTGTCCCAAATGTAAATATTGTGTTCTGCCTTGTGTCCAGAACCTACAAGAAAAAAAAAAGACAAGCCATGATGGTATGAGATCAGACATGTATATAGATATATAGATATATATAAAAAGAGAGGGAGTTAAGGGGGTGTGAAGACAAATATTAAAAAATTAAAATTAAAATTAAAATTAAAATTAAAATTAATAATAGTGGGAGTGAAAAGTAAGGATGAAATTTATTTGTGATTTTATAACTTGCCTCCAATTACAAATTCACCATCTGCACTAAATGAAGCTTGGTTCCATTGGATGCGATTGACAAGATCTTGGAACTTGTTCTGTAGCACCGGGATACCTTTTTCATCCAGCCTAAAGAATCGAATGACACGGTCATTTGCAATAACCAGCATATCTCTATAATATACAGTCAAATACGCACAAAGTAAGTAATATAGCATTAGTGCTAGCATTAGTGCTAGCATTGGTAGCAATAACAAACATAGAAAGAAAGAAAAAAATCCTAACCTTCCGTTCCTACTCCATTGAATTCCCTTGATTGTAGTACTGGTAACACGCATGGAATAGGTTATCTTTTTTTTTTTTTAAAAAAAAAAAAAAGAAAAACAACATATTAATATAGGTATTTTTAATCAATTCTTTATTAAATGAAATTAAATGATCTTTGTTTTGGTTGTTGTTGTTGTTTATGGATTAACAAACCTTGCGTGTATTGGCATCAATGATATTTAAATAACCTTTGGATGTACCAGCATAAATACTTGTACCAGCCTTGTTCCACACACTTGAAGTAACAAATGAAGACGATCTAAAATAACAGTAATATAATAAATACGCATAAACAGACAAATAAATAAGAAGAAGAAGAAGAAGAAGAAGTATATATATATATATACTTTGAATGATTGGATTCTTATACTTCGCTGTCTATACTTACTTGTGATCTTCTTTTCCCTCTGTTTCTGTTGCAAGCGTCCATTGTTCTACCTTACCACTAGACAAATCCACAATAACAGGGCTTTCTTGATATAACGAAACCACAAATCGAAAGCTAATATTCATATTAGAATTCATATAATTGAAACAAATGTTATTTTTTTTTAATAAGAAAAGAATTACTTGTTTCGTGGGTGCATTTGTGCCATCATTACAGGTGTGCTGAATCTTAGCTTTGTGTGTTTTGTGGCTGATACTAGATCCCAAAGAATACATGTCCAATCCTTTGATGCAGACAATAGGAATCTACCATTACGAGACCAACTGTTGTATATAAATGATCCCCCCCAAAAAAAAAGACAAAATAATAATAATAATAGCAATAGCAATTAATTGAATAATTGAATAATTGAATACTTAAAGGCAGAATGTCATTATACATATATAAAAGATTGAATGAATAAATGAATGATTTAATGACCTTATGCTTGCAACAGGTTTGACATGACCAATAAGGTTACGTGAGACACCTTTTGTGTCAAAATCCCACACAACACATCTGCCATCAAGACATCCTCCTGCAAGAAGTGTACCCCTTCGATTGAACTTGCAACTGAGAACATAACCATCTTCAAGTGTTTCTTCAATAACTTGAGGGTATTCCTGTTCCCAAGGATCTACAATGTTGATGAGACCACATTGTAAAATAAAAAAATATATAAAAAAGTTTCGTTTATTTTATATAATTACATATATATATATATATGTATGTATGTATATAATTACATATATATATTCATTTGTATTTTTATTTTTATTATGTTTACTAGTAGTATTACTATAGATGCTATTAATGATATTGGTGCTATTGGTGCTATTGTTCTATTATCTTTTATATAATTCTAATTGTATGGTTATCTAATTGATATTGATATTAATATTACCAAGTAATTCAAGATTCATTATGAGAAATATATGTATATATTATGTATGTATGTATGTATGTATGTATGTATGATAACTAAAAGAGAGGATATTACACGTACATACATATAAAATAATAAATATATGTATTATATAATCTATATAGTGTATATATTGAGTTTAATGTGTGCACGTAAGGTATAAAATGTGTGTGTATGTGGTATGTTCAAGCCCAAGTTTATGTTTATTTTTTTTTCGGGATAAACAAGTCACACAATATTCAGTCCCGCCAACTTATTGTAAATCTTTTTTCTTATTTTGAATTGATTTGAATTGATTCTCCAGATGATCTCTCATCGCCACAAATCTTCACACGCTTCCCATGCTTTCTATCTACTTGTTTAATAGGCTTTCATATTTATTACTCCGCCACCCTTTTTTTCTCTCTCTTTTTTTCTTTTATATGTGTCTCATCGGTTGGGGAGACTATCCGGTTGGCTGGAACAAGTGATTTCCATGGTGATTTGTAAACATCTCCGCATATTGTTATTTATTTATTTTTGCAAATAAATAAAAAAAAAAAATATGTATAAAAAAAAGATGAGCAATAAAAGAACAAGATGTTGTTTTTAAATGTAAATATTAAAAATAGAGATGGTTGATTGCACAATTACACTACACACACAGAAGAAAGAGAAATTGCGTATACAAGGTTCCTAAAAAAAAATGATTGGCTAATTTAATATCCGACTTGAAAGGTGGTAAAGAAATACACACCAAAAAAAAAAGAGACCCCTTGAAAAATAAATAAAACACCAGTGTTGATAACAAGGAGAAATGATATAATGATTTTTTCTTTTTAAAGAAAAAGCTTAATATGCTAATTTGTTACTATGATGATAACCATGGTAACGATGGCTAATTTATGCAGTACTTTATATTTAAAAACAACAACAACAACAACAACAACAATATATATATATTTATATATATATACTTAAATATACATACATACATGTATTATTATTTAATAAATGAGAATATGGAGGACTTTATTAATCCAACCAAAACAAAATAACAAGAGTGTGCTTGTCTCTATCTCTCTCTCTGTGTGTGTGTACGCGTATTCTACTTTTCCTTATTTTATTTTGTTCTTTCTATTGTGTTGTTATCGATTGGACATTTTATGTGTGACTCATGAATATATTTATATATATGTATATTTGTATATTTGTATATTTGTATACATATATGTCACAGTATAAAAGTATAGCAAAACAAAAACAAAAAAACAAAAAATAAATACATAAAGAAGTATAGTAAAGAAGCCTTAATAAATAAATATATTAAATGTTGCTATATAAATGAGCATATAGAATCTATGAATGTTATATGTTTAAAGAGAGATAAAAGAAATAAAATGAGGTGAGGTGGGGGGAGAGGGTTTCAAATTGTTTCAAAAATTATACTAGTATTTTTATTTTAATCCATCTCATCTTCTAATTTATTTTTATTTTTTTTAATTTTTTTTTAATTTTTTTTTTAATTTTTGCCTATCAGCCAAAATAATCATGCCTTTATAAAGAAATCATTTCATATTTCTCACTTCTTCTTCTTCTTCTTCTTCTTTTTTTTCTTCTTCTTTTTCTTATTCTACTTCTTCATTTTATCTATCTATTTATCTATTTATTTATTTATTTTATATATATTTTATTCATTTTTTTTTGTATATATATTTATATTTATAATTATTTATAATTATAATTATAATTATAATTATAATTATAATTTTATTTTATTTTTAATTTTTTTTTAACCTTTTTTTCATTTTCATTTTCATTTTCATTTTCTCTCTCCCCCTCATTTGTATTATATATATATTTCAATTCACTTCAATTCAAATCACTTCAATTTTCAATTCAACTCAACTCAATCCTATCAAATCATGACCGATTCCATAAGCCACTCTTACCCAACCTTGGCTGCCAATCCGCATCTATTATCTCTCTTACTATCAATCGAACCCACTCAAGCAAAAAGCGTCGCAGCAAAACAAAAAATCTATGTTGACTCTTTAGTTGGTATGAAATTCTCTTTACTATCATTTACACAAGAAAAACAATAATATATACTTATATATAATTCCAAAAAAAAAAAAAGATATTACTGTGCAGGCAATTCACACCATTTGGCCTCAGCCAATTGTATCCCATAAACCTGTCGCCAGCCTTACCACCTTTCTACGCCATATTCTCAAATACTCTCGAACAACCCACTCGACCCTCCAACTCGCCATCTTTTATCTTTTCAGAGCCCGCACAAAGATTCAAAAGAACAAACAAGACGGCGTTGCTTCTTGTGGCAGACGAATGTTTCTCGCCGCCCTTATCTGCGCCCACAAATATCTCCAGGACAAAACCTACAAAAATGTGGCCTGGAGCAAGGTCAGTGGACTCAAGGTCGCACACGTAAATGTGGCCGAAAAAACAATGCTCCAATTACTCGACTGGCAGTTGCACGTCAAGAAGGAAACCTACGACCAGTGGCTCTCGATGCTTCAGACCCATCTTGTGTAAATCTTTTTCTTTTTTTTTTATATCCAAAAAGAAAAAGAATATTATTTTACACACCCTTGTGTGTTTTTTTTTTTGATTTTTTTATATATATACTTCTTTATATCATATATATATAGATATGTTTATGTAAAAAAAAAATGAAAAAAGAAACACACGGCCACAAAATAAATACAAAATAGTAATTTTTTTAGTCGTTTATTCATCTCTCTTCTCTTCTCTTCTGTTTTCCTATATTATATATTTTATGTACAATATTATCTCTTATAACAATAACCTTACCCCACAAAACACACCAACTCACCCTCCCCTCTCTTGATCTCTCTTTTGATTTCCTTCAATTATATATATATTTATATACATATATCTTTATATTAATATTTTCAAATTATTCATGTATAATAAAAAATAAAAATAAAAATAAAATAACCATGGCAACAGCAATGGCAATGGCAATAATAGTAATAGTAATATAAAATATTATATATAAAATAAGATCTGACACGAAATTGAATAAAATCAAATAGAATATAATAGATCGGTAAATTGACTGATTGATTGACTGATTGATTGATGCAATTTTGATCATCTTTAAAAAAGATTAATAGATCTTTTTTAGATTCTTTTTTAGCAAGATGTGTGAATTATTCCCATGTAACACAAAATCTCTTTTTCTTGTATTATAATTAATACTTTTATATATATATATATTCGGTGTAGTAATAAAAGAGATATCTAGTCATCTAAAGTTATACATACACGTATCTTTACGGTAGATAACAAAAGTGCAAGACAATAAATGGAATTTTTTTTATACCTAAAACGAAATAAAAATAAAAGGGTTTCCCCTCTTCTTTTATATATATATAGGTAACATTTTTTTTTAAATAAAATAAAATAAATAATCTACAGGGTTCTTTCAAAAACAGAAGGAATCCATTAGACAGTTACTTCCCTGTTCCTTTTTATTTGTTGCTCTTTATATAAATTATTATAATTCATACTTTTATATATTTAACCATTTCAACCATTTCAATAGTTTACACTTGCATTCATTTTTATATATATATTTTAAACAACAATTTAATAAAGAAGTATTTTTACAAGATACCCATTATCTGTATTGCCTTTTATCTCTTCTTCTTCTTTTTACGTGTCTTTGTGTGCCTTTGAGTGTGCCTGGGTGCGTGTGGGTACGTGCGTGTGTATTTTAAAATATCAAGGATCACTATCATTTATCTACAAATGGGATTATGTTTTATAATACAATACAATATATACCCACACGCAAATACACATTCGATTCAATTCAATTCAATTCAATTCAGCTATCAAAAAATTCTTTAGTGTGTGCGTGTGTTTCGTTTTTTCCATATTTAGACTCTACCTACCCTATTATTATCATTATCATTATATATATATATATATCTACCATGCTTGTTAGACAAGTTGGTCGTTGGTCTCACTTTTACAGCTACCACTTTAACCTCATTCCAAAGTATCCTGTCAAATCTATACTAAAAAATTATACAACAATCGCCAATGACGAACTTCCATACACCAAAATACATACACCTGTCATGCTTTCCGAAGTCTTGACTCATCTTGCACCAGAGCCAGGAAAGATCTACTGCGATCTTACATTTGGTGATGGTGGATACACAAAAGCAATCCTAGGTACATTCAAACATTCAAACATTCAAACATTCATTCATTTGTATAATCAATTAATCTTTATTATTATTATTATTTATTTATTTATTTATTTATAAATAATAAAATAAACTTCATTAGATTCATGTGATTGCAAGGTTGTTGCTGTTGACCAAGATCCCACTGCTTATGAAAAAGCACTTCAATTGGCTGCTACACCTGATTACAAGTAAAGCTATATACATAATTTTATTGTTTTAAAATTAATAATTCTTTTTTTTCTTTGATGTTATTAGGGGTAGATTATTCCCGCTTCTTAGTAAATTTGGTCAAATTGATTCTGCAGTAAAGAAGAACTTTGACTGGAGGTAAATCTTATTTAATTAAACATATAGGCAAACATATATTACTTTTTTTTTTTAAAAAAAAAGAAAGGTTACATTGTAATTAACATATCTATATATATACTGAATAGTTTTCCTTGCTTTGATGGAATGGTTATGGATATTGGTGTATCCAGTGGTCAAGTAAACATACATGATATATATATATATATATATTTATTAAATAATCATACTCATAACTACACACATACACAAACAAACAAAATAGATTGAGACCGCTTCGCGAGGATTTTCTTACAAACTCGATGGACCTCTTGATATGCGAATGTGTTCTCGTGGAAAAGACGCTCCTTCATCATCATCCGAAGAGTTTACATTTGAAGACGAAGCTCGTCTGATGCGCAAATCAATTTCAGCTTATGAACTAGTCAATTTTTATTCAAGAGAGCAGATTGCTGACATTATATACAAGGTAAAAACAAACAAACTAAACAATCAATATAATAATAATAATAATATCTTTAGTTGTCTATTTTACAAATCTTTATACCAGTAGTAATTTAATACTTAGTACTAATCACAATATATATACATACATATATGTAAATAGTATGGCGGTGATCGCCTATCAAGAAAAATCGCAGCCGCAATTGTGGATGCCCGCCAAAAGGCTCCAATTGAAACAACAGGCGAACTGGCAGCAATTGTACAAAAGACATGCCCACAGCCGCGTTGGCAGCGTGGAGACGACGACATGTTAAGAAACTCAGCCGCGCGCACTTTTCAGGCACTAAGAATTTACATCAACGACGAGCTGGCCGAACTAGAGAGTGCTCTGCGGTCGAGCGAGTATCTCTTGCGGCCTCAGGGTCGCCTAGTTGTCGTCAGTTTCCACTCACTCGAAGACAGGATCGCAAAGAACTTTCTTTACCACTGTGCTGGCAAAAGATCGACTCAGGAAGCCGAGACAAACCAGTTTAGTCTCAAACGGGCTGCTAACCGTGAGTTCAGAAAGGCGACACGCAACAACTACGATGCCGACGTACTATTGAAGCAGCCAAGTGGCCAGGTATTGCACAAACACAGTGTCGTCCCATCATTTGAATTGAAATCCAAGAGTGTGGTTCAAGCTTCAAAGGAAGAAACAGCAGTCAATTCTCGCAGTCGTTCAGCCAAACTCAGAGTTGGGCAGCGCACGATGGCTGAGCCATTGTCACCTTTTGGACCACTAGATCTTTAAAATAAAATAAAATAAAATAAAGCAATTATAATACTAATATGTATATATATATTTTATATTTTAAAAAGGAGCCTCAACCAATAAAAATTAAATAAAAAAAAAACCTGTCCCAAAAATACAAATATTTACATTCCGACGATAAAAAATTTCTTGCTGTTCAAATAAGTTTAAAAAGCCAAGCTGAAAGTTCTTTTTTGTTTTTGATGAATTGATTTGTTTTTCTTACCAATCTTTGTATATATAACAACAACCAAATCCTTATCCCATACGCCCCAACCGGCCATCTGTCCAAACCGTAAGTTTTCAAGTCCATTACTATTACCTTGTATATATGCATATACATATATGCAGTCAAATGCTGTTATTATTTCTTTATTTTGTTTTGAGTGAGAATAAAGAGTTGTATCAAATGATGATTTTCTTAAGAAAATGGGAATCTCTCTGAAAAATCGCTGAAGAGAACTCAATAATTTTTTCGTTACTGAATGATACAACTTTAAATCTCGTGATTATAAAAAAAAACAAAACGAAACTACTGAAATAATAACAATATTTATGCGATATTGTATGTGTATATACATATGACATTTATCAAATTACAAGAATCTAAACATTTTTGCTTTATTATTTCATACAGATTACTACGCTTACTACTTGTAGCAAGATTGTTTTGGTTGGCTTAAAGTTGTGAAATATCAACAAATGGCTTGGTCAACATTGTGTATTTTTTTTAAATGGTAAGTTTCTATAAATCGAAATTGTAATTTTATCTTTATTTGATATAAAAAAAGTACCAATGGCCAATGATGACAATCGTTTCATGCACCACGCATAAGTTTCTTGATGATTATGAACCATATTTTTCTGAGCCATTGATATATTTTTTTTATATCAAATAATTTTTTTTAAAGAAAATTCCATAATATTTATACTTATTCAATTCTCTTTTTAAAAATTTCAGATTCTTTCTCGTGAATGATGATAAACAAAAAAAAAGCCACAAGGATTTCGGTTCTAGTAGTATTAATAATACGTAGCTCAACATATTTATAATATAGATTGTATATAGCCTGTGATTAAACATTTTGAATATGAAAATAAAAAATAAATAAAAAAACCATATACATATACTTTTTATAAAAGAAACCTTTTCAAGTAATTGATTATAAATGAATGATACACTCTAAGGAAATTGATATTCTGATATTAGAGAATACATTTTACGTTTGAATTACCAAACAAAAAGAAGTAGTAACAAACGTATATGAAAGCATTCTTGCTTCCTCTAATGTTAATGTAAAAAATTATATGAAAATGAATACATTTGGACTCCCTTTCTTCAATGCAGGAATATTTTTATTCACTTATACTCCATTCATTTTTACTTTTTAAAATGCTGATTTGCATACAGTGGAATATCCATACATATATTTAATAAAAAATTCACGAGCTTTTAATAAAATACAAAATGATATACATGTACAATTATATTCATTTTATCAACCTTTAATCACATTATTAATATTGACCACGTTGTTGTATATATATATATTTATTGTTTATTGTTGATTGTTGATTGCTGATTGTGTGACTGGCAAAGTGACGCAACGTATGTACATGACAAACAATTTTTTTTTCTTTCGTTTTTTACCTACAACATCCTGTTTCTCACCAGCCAAAAAACAAAAAAAAAAAACAAAAACACCCCTACAAGAAATCTAAACCTCTAGGATAACGGCAAAGAAGAAGCATAAGAAGAAATAATCACAGCTGACAATCTTCAATTCAGTCAAAAACCACCAACCACAAACCTCCAACAAACGAAAAAGAAAAAGAAAAGGAAACCAAATTTACAAACAAAAAAAAACAAGATTATACGCACGTAAATACACAAATATAATATGGACAGTGAATGGGACAAGACAACCTTTGATAAGGACATCAAGTCTCTCTTGGAAACAAAACTTCCTGTGTCAGCTTCTAGAATCACTGGACTTCAAGCAGCTGCTCTTGCTCATCCTCAGGTATTTTTCTTTACATTTATATTTTTACTTCTATGCCGTCTTGTCTCGAAAAAATCCATCTTTATTAACATTTTGTCTTCTCCTTTTTTATCTTTATATATATATTTATTTTAGCATTCAAACTACATCATTCAATGCATCATTCGATTTATCGAATCAGCTCCTCCAGATTATCGTCTTGCAGGTCTATATGTTATTGACGCAATCTCTCGAGCTGTCCATCGCCAGGCAAGAAAGAAAGTAGAAGCAAATGAATCAGCTTCTGTTGATCTGGACAATTATCTCAAACGATTTGCAACCGCAATGAAGAACGGCGCTCTTTCTGGCTGCTTTACTCAATGTAATGTAAAGGATAAGGTATGATATTATTTTTCTTTTTTATCTTTTTCTTTCTTTATTTTCTTTATAAATATATATATACTTTTTCTTCTTCGATTTCTTCTTCTACATATATTTGCCTACATGTACATACATATGTGTTTGCATCTATGTGGTCATATATATATATTTGCCATTACCAAATGTCATATGTTGCTGCTGCTGCTGTCGTCATCATCATCTACAAAATTACTGGTTCATGGAGTGTATTTTGGTAAGGTGCTATTGCTACAACCAGTATCTGTAAAGACCGCTTACACGTATACACGAGTATTCAAATACACACACACAATTAAACGGGCGGACGGACGGACGGACGGACGAAACAACGCAACCGTGCAGATATACTCACAAACAAGAAACCGAGACAGCAGTTTTAAAATCTATTAAAAAGCGAGATTAAAAGTATATCAGCTACAACAACATCTGTCATCTAGACGAAACATCGATTACTTTCATCATCATCAAAAACAGCAAAAGTATTATTGTTTCAGCAGCAGCAGCAGCAGCAGCAGCAACACTTAAAGAAACACACATACAAGTACCCCTTCCGAACAACATTTCATCCAGAAAACAAAAAAAAAGAAGGAAAGAACAAAAAAAAAGGAGGCAACTCCAGTCAGACAGGAAAACAGTAGCGATGTTGAAACAGAATTGGAACAAGAAGAAGCATGGGAACAAAAACTTGTTATTCTTTCAGCAAAGAAAAAATATATACAAATACAAAGAAAAAGGTGGAAAGGCCATGCGATGAATGTGTAACCAAGATTGTCCTTCTAAAGAGGTGCTTTGAAATCCACTTGTCTACCTACCTACCTACCTACCTACCTACACTCACCTGCATATATATATACATACGTACATACGTACATACATACATATACATGCGCGTATACACTTTTCTCTCTATTTATTTCTTTATTGAGGAGTGTGTATGTGTATGTATGTATAGATGTACACGTGTGTGTATTTTTTTGCCGTGTACTGTGCTTGGTGTGTATTGCACGGGAGCATGTGTCCTTTCCTCCAGCGTTTAAACCCACCATTTGTTTACGGCTTGTCATATCTTATATTTCTTGGGTCAAGAACTCCTTTTTATTATTATTACTACTATTACTATATCTATCTTTATCTCTATCTCGTCCTTTCGATTTACATTTTGGGCTCGTCTTGGTTTCTTAATCTTTACATCAAAATAAAATAGGACAAAGTCAAAAAGACCCTCGATTTCTGGGAGCAGGGAAGCATTTATCCCCGAGACGTGGTGGAGTACATAAAGCATTCATTTATGCAAAGTTCATCAACAATCAGTGCTGGGCAGACAGACGGCGGCAATAAAGCTTATCCTGAAGAAACAAAAGGTTGCTCCCATTTATTCCTTGTTGAATTATTTTTTATTGTGATCAATCAATACCCTCACCACTTCCGCCACCCTCTCATCCTCCCATCCCCCTACCCTCTCACTATCTCACACAAAAAAAACGCAAAACACAAAACACAACAACTGAAAAAAAACTAAACCCAAAATCGTACATTTTTTTTCTGTATTGTTTTTTCTTCTCTAGTGCTTGCTACCCCGCCTCCTCTTATTGACACCGCGCTGCTTTTGGCCAGTCTGAATTCTCTCAGCCAAGGTAATCTCGGTAATCTCGGTCAGACAATTCCACAACCTCCTCTTCCGCAAATCAGCAATCCCATCAAGCCTGAATTCCATAATGTCAAAGAGAATGTGTCTTCATCTTCAACTGAATTACCTCCTGACCTGGCCAGACTTTTGGGTGGACTGGTTTCCGCCCCAATAAGCACCATAAATAATCCTGGACTGATTTCTACAAACACTGGCTCAAACAACAACGCCAATGTCAACGCCAACGTCAATAGAAATGCCAACACAAGTATCAACACAAGCACTCCACTCTCAATCTCAGGATTTCCCAATTTTGGTAGACCAGTGCCAGGACAAGGACAAGGTCTAAGTATAAGTCAAGGGCAGGGACAAGGTCAAAATCAAAGTCTAGGTGTAGGTCCAGGCCCAGGTTTTGGTCAAGGTTTTGGGCAAGGCATGGGTCAAGGCATGGGTCAAGGTTTCGAGCCCCCATTTAATTCTCAACAGACCCTCCCAAGTGATCCTCGGTTGCGTCCTTCTGTGGGTGGGTTTTCTGCTGCAAATTTCGATAGATCCAGTTCTGCAAATACTACTCCTCCACGCGATCCTCGTGATATACGGGATCCTCGGGATCCTCGGGATTCCCGGGATTCTCGCGGAGGACGTCAATTCTTTCCTCCTCCACCTCCTCCACCATCATCCTCCTCCTCCTCATCCCAGCAGGTTCCTTCATTCCCGGGATTCCAGCACGCGGAGATGCCTCGTCCTCCAATGAACCTCGAACAAGCATTGGCTTATCATCAACAGCAGAGGCGCCAGTCTCCTATGTCAGGACAAAGGCTTGGAGCACCCTACAACAACAACAACAACAACAATCAGCAACATCAACAGCAAAATCAGCAACAGCAACAGCAAAATCAGCAACTGCAACACCAGCACCAACAGTATCAGCAGCAACAGCAACAGCAGCAGCAGCAACAGCAACAGCAGCAACAGCAGCAGCAGCAACAACAACGTCAGCAGCCTGGATACCAACCTTTACAAAACAACTCACCCCGGTCGTCTTTCATGGATCGTCAAGAACCTAATGGGTTCCAAAGATCAGCTGGGAACAATGGTCGCCCGGCCATGATGACTGGCGCAGGTCAATCCAACCGACCTCAATTTTCTGATCGTTCTAGAGATAGATTTGATGGACCTAAGCAATCAGGTGGAAACATAAACGGAAATGTAAATGGTAGCGGAAATTCAGGTACAGGTACAAATACAGGTGCAGGTTCAGGTTCAGGTGCAAATGAAAATGGAGGTGGATGGTCTCCAACCCCAACCAAATTACCACTGCAAGGACCAATTAGTGATCCAAGTCTTCCCTCTGGATGTATTCGAGGTAATATAATGCTCACAGTTGTGATAATACTTACAATAAGAATAGCAATGATAACAGCAATAATGATAATGATAATGATAATGATAATTATTATATTAATAATAACAATAATAATGATAATAATATTAATAATATTAATAATATTAATAATATTAATAATAATAATAATAATAATAATAATAATAATAATAATAATAATGATCTTAATTATAATAATATTATTAAAAAACAATAATAATCGCTGTTGTTACTGTTTGACATTTACAAATGCTTTTGAAATGTACAAACCAACAAAAATATTGACTTTTATTCATTCATTCATTTTTAATTTTCTTTTTGATGATTTCAATTATTATATATATATATATATATATACATGTCTATATCTTTATGCTTATAGTTTTGACTCGTACCCTATTCGTTGGACCTCTACCGGATAAGTATGAAAAGGGAGATGTTGCACGCGTATTCTCGACCTATGGTGAATTGGCCAGCATTATTGTAAGTATACATGTAATGATAATAACTATAGAAATAAAATTACGAGAATATAATGACTTGTAGGTGCATGTATATGCATGTCAATTTTATTCACTTTAAATACTTATACATTTTTCTTTAATTTAGCTGTCTCACAAGCCAAAGGGCCGTTGTAATGGCTTCATTAAATTTGTCCAAAGAACAGCAGTAGAAAAGGCAAAGCAAGGATCAAATGGGCTAGTAATTAACGGGGAGCCTGTCAAGGTAAAGTGTCTTTGTAGAAAAGAAAAGAAATTATAGATAGATAGACAAATAGATATACATCTATACAGATGAATAGTATTACAAGAAAAGAGGGAGGGGCATGTTTAGATAAGTAGTAGATATAATAAGAAAACAGTAATTATATCTGTGCCAGTATTTATTTATTCATTTATTTACGTTGCTTTATCTCATAATTATAATAATAAAGGTCAATTGGGCATATGGATTTGGACCCAAGAAAATGTTCAATTATGATGAAGGTGAATCGATTATCCCTCTTGATCAACTCTCAGAAGACGAAAAAGCCAGCCTAGTGACTGCACCCGTCGGTGGTTTCCAGAGTAGACCTGTTCGGGATCAAATGACGATCGAAGAACCAGAAGTAGAGTACAGACCAGAGTGGAAAAAACACGCTGAAGAAGGAGGTGGATTTGGTACTGGAGAAAGAAACGAAAGAAGCGAAAGAAGCGACAGAAGCGACAGAAGAGACAGAAGCGACAGAGACAGAGACAGAGGCGACAGAGACAGAAGCGACAGAGACAGAGATAGAGGTGACAGAGGTGACAGAAGAGACAGAAGGGACAGAGGTGATAGAGGTGACAGAGGCGACAGAGGAGACAGAGACAGAGGCGACAGAGGTGACAGAAATGACAGAAATGACAGAAATGACAGAAATGACAGAAACGACAGAAACGACAGAACCGAACGAGGAGAAAGAGGAGGACCTCAGGGTAGTGAGAATACAAACAATGTTCCCAATACCAATACCAATGCAATTCTCAATGCAATTCTCAATCTCAATCCAAACCTCAATCTCAATCTCATCCCAAATCTCATTCCCAACCTCAATCTCAATCCAAACCCTAATTCTAACCCTAATCCCACTCCTAATCCCAACCCAAGCAATGGGACTAGCAGCCGGCGCGCCTCGAGACAGAGTCGTTGGGACACAGCTGGTTCTGACAATAAACCCAAGCAAGCGCAAATACAAGGACGTCAAGCCGAAGACTTTGATCGGTCCAAAAAGAGACGTATTGATGAATATAGCCCAGCCCAAATGGGAAATTCATGGATGCAACGCGGTGGCCAGGCACCACCACTCCTCCGCCCACCACCACAGTTTTCCCATGTTCCAGCCGCAACATCAGCAGCTGCAGCAGTAGCAGCCGCAGCCGCAGCATCAGCAGGAGGAAACGGAGGAAACGGAGGAGGGGGACAGCGTCCTTACATGCCTTACCAAGGAAATTCTATGCAGCAATAGACTTAGACATATCTATTCTATGCGAATTGTCCCTTTTCCCTCCCTCTCTCAAGCCTGTACAACCTTATTTTTTTCTACTTGAATTATTTTTCTTTCTTTTCTTTTTTTTTATTATTATCTATACTTTACTTTTCTGCTTTTTTATTTTTTTTTATTGCTTTACCTCTCCCACCATCATCATTCATTGTCTTGCATATTATCGCCAATAAACAAAAAACGAAGAATAATCCATTCTATCTGTCTGCGTTTCTGTTTACCTATTAGAAGGTGTGTCTGTGCGCATTCCCTCTCTTGAGAGGTTCTCAAATGAGACAACAGTCACAGTGAGAAACAAAAAACAGATAATAATGCTGCAAAGTAACCTAGCCATCTTTGACATTCTTTAAGAAGAAAAAGAAAATAAAGTAGTAGCCCACAAAAGACTTGATCATGGCATCCTTTTATGATGAGGTGTGTATTTTTATTGCTAATAAAATAAAAAATAAAGCAATTTTCTTCACCGAATACTTGGATTGACTTGAATATATATATATATAAATACTTTTTGGATTTAGATTGAGATTGAGGACATGGAGTTTGATGAGGATGAGCAAGTGTATACTTATCCTTGTCCTTGTGGAGACAAGTTTACAATTTATATGGTGTGTACAAAATTTCTTATTGTTGAATCATGTACATTTCTTTGTACATTAAGGAATTTATAGTTTCATGTATTAAACTAAAAAAAAACAACAACAACAACAACAAAATTGTAGGATGAATTGAGAGATGGTGAAGATGTTGCTCGTTGTCCATCTTGTTCTTTGATCATCAGAGTCATTTACGATCCAGATGAGTTTGCGGACGAAGAAGATCAAGAGTCTACATTCCAAGTAGAGAGTACGATCACTGTTGCATAATCCTATATCAATCCACATTTTCAACACCCAAGAAATGTCATCCTCTTATTGTTTTGTTTATTATTTTTTCCCTTTAAATACAAAATACGCATATCTATACACAAAAACACACACAAACACACACGCATACACGCATACATGTACAATGACACATGACATTTACACAAAACATCTGTCTAGTAACCCCAAGCCAAACCAAAATAATATATATATATATATATATAAAATAAAATGTTTCATTTTATAAGCGAAAATCAGCCTTGTATACTTATCGAGCCAATTTTTTTTTTTAAAAAAAATAATGCTTTTTCCAATTTTCTTTTTTAAATATCCTTTCTTGTCTCGAGTGTCATCAAGTTTGCTTTTTTCTCGAATTCATTACGCTCATCCGACAAACGGTTGTATTCTACAGACTGCTGTTCAACCTGCTTTTTGAGTGTCTCGATGTCAAGTTCCTTCGTTTTCAACTCCTTGATTTCCTTTGTCAGTTCATTGACCTGTTTGGTGTAAGTTGACTCGAGATCAATCAAACGCTGCTGATCTTTCATTGTAACAGCAGACTGTGTAAAAATATAGGAGAAGGGTAAGAGGGAGACTATATGGTTAGTAACATATTCATCATCATTATGTTTACACACACAAACACACACACAAACACACGAATAAACTCATATATACTTGCCTCCTTCTTTGCATTGTCAAGTTCTTCCTCGCGCTTCAACATATCAAGAACCAATTTGCTTGTTCGCTCGAGAATACTATTCATTAACAAGCATATTATGATAAATATAAGATAAACAAACAAATAAAAAAAATGCAATCCTATATGTATATACTATATTATTTACATACAGTGAAAGGAAAAGTGTGAATCCAGTAAGGTATATGTTGCGCTGAGCATAGAATCTCTTGGCCTTGAGATTGGCCTCATAGTTGTAGTCGTGCTTGTGTTCGTCCGAGACTTCACTTTCAATACGATGGAGGCGATTAAGAGTGTCTAATATATGTATGTATAATAAAAACATAGATTAGAAAGTCCTTTTCTTCTTCTTCTTTTAAATTTGTGGATTCGTCTTACCTAAAAAGAGCACAAATATAAAGCTATAGAAAATAATATAGCAAAAAGATATTCAAACAGACAATATCATCATTAGTTTAAGAGCCTTTTGTTTGTATGCATGTGTGAAACGTATTACATTAAGAACTTACGCAAATACAATTTTCAGTCCGTAAAGACCATTCGCGATCTACAGGAAGAAGAGGTAAAAGAAAGGTATTATTGTTATTTAATTAGAGTTTCGATATACCTCTTGTTTAACCAAACCCTCAAGACGCGTTGTTCATTCGGCTGATACTTACAACAGGTGAAGTGGATGCAAACTTCATCATAGCTCTACGCCAGCGTGTAGGAAGAGGTGTCTTTATTTTTCGATAGTAATAATAATGATAATAATTAGGTTTCTTATAAAGAAAACACTTGTTCATTTCACAAGCTTACCACGAGAATGCCAAAGGCAATCATCTAAAAAAAAAGAAGAAAAGACAATCAGGTAAAGTTAAAACATACTGGTTTCTGAAGTTTGTAGATAGTTTAGCTTAGTTACCTCAGTGAGAAGGATGCCGAATGTGAGGGAATAATAGATTGGCATTGTGGGGTATTAATGACTTTTGGTAAGAAAACAAGTGCTTCAAGTCAAGTCAATTTAAATTAAATGATTTTTCTTTTTTGATCACTGACATCCCTTTATTTTTTTATTTTTTTTATTTTTTATTTTTGTCCCGGGTCTGTGTGACGAATGCTTTCCCTCCCCAAAATACCCCAGGGACACACATACACGCACGCATTAATATATGCTATTTAATCATTTTTACACGTTTAAAGAAATCGCAAGGTGAAATTTAACATTTGAGAATCTTCAGGTTTAGTTCCTTTTTTTTTATTTCTTATTAATTTTTTTTTGATCGATTGTCTACAGTTGATAGTCTTTATTTTACCATCAAGTATAATATATACTGAAAATTAATAATACCCTGTTTTTATTTAACTATCATAAACAAACAAGCAAGCAAAAGAAGGAAAAGGAAAGGAAAAGGAATGAATCACAGGCCTATTCGTGGCTCTGGTGGTCAGTTGTGTTATACATATTACCAACCTGAAATTTATTAAGAATTCCATAATGTAATAGTCACAGCAACAAGAGAATTGTGGTGAAATCCACGCTAGAACTTGTAATTCATTTGTTTGGTTTGGGTTGGGTTGCCAAGAAAATCTTGGTCAGTCAATTTTCCTCCTTTCAACCCACACCCACAACACTATATATATATTGGAGTATAATACTTTGACTGTATGCATATTCTTTTTAATAATAATAATAATAGCACTAACAACAATAAAAGGTGCACCGTATTTTACTCGAAAAAATTTGAGTAAAGTCATTCTGTCAGAAGAAAAAAAGCTTATTAACAATGAAGCAAAAAGGACTCGATGAAAGTTTTGAAGAAATAAGAAAGGTTTATATGAATATGCTATAGACAGAAATGAAGGATATGCTTTGTAACTATTACACAGTCATAGATGGGGTGGTCATTTGTAAGATTATTATTATTATTATTATTCCAAAGGCATACTGCTGCACGATCATATGAAAGTGCTGAATTAAAATTCGGCATTAAAACAGCCCTTAAACCCCAAAAGGCTTGCAAAAATCCCCTACTAAAATCGCTCACTTATTTTTTGCCATGTTGTATTGATACTTAATACCACGCGAAAGAAAGTAAATATTAATACGATTGCAGAGAATTATATATATATTTGTTTTTTTTTTCGTTTTGGTAAGCTTTAAAGCGGTCCTTGACAATTATTGGTAGGTGATTGTATGTATAATTGAGGATGTAAAAATACAGAGAAATGGGGAGTGATGTCGATTAATGTAGTTAAAGAAAGAGGTAAATATTGTAATTCATCCAAGATATTAAACTAGATCCAGATGGCTTTCTTGATCTTATATCCCATTGTTTTAAATATGCCGTCGGTTTTTTCAGCTTGTTCAAGACTATTGTATATACATATATAATATGATTAGTCGATTACTAGACACAATGCTTTGTTAAAACCCATTTTCAGATATCTTACCTTATTATAGGCTTGTGTTCAACAAATCGTTCATCTTTTGTACTGTGTCCACATGCATCTGCAATTTCAGAAACGATCTTCCTGACCTGGTCCCGGCAATTCAATACTTTGTCTTCTGGTAACTCTCCTAGTGCGTTGTAGCGTACGGCTTTGAATGCCACAAATGCATTTCCATCATCTCCATCGCTATCACTATCGGATGAATCTGAGCTGTTGTCATCACTGTCGTGTCTTCTTCCAGAATCGCCCCGAGAATTCGTCTCGTTGGAGTCAATATTTAAATCTCCTAGACTCTGATTGCGTATACTGCCAGTGTTCCATCGAACGATCTCACCGTTTGCTCTGTAGAATAGCAGAAATCCGTAGTTTTGATCAGGTCGTCTGGAAGTCGGTGAGAGTGATGAAAGAATGTACTCTCCAATCTGGAGGTGAATAATCGTATCCAAGCTAATTCGCTTAAACTGAACAACCTTTTCGAGATTGTAGTTGTAACTGCATACATAGATAGCCTTTTCTGTCAAGAGCACAACCTTTTCTTCAAACTTCTTGGCGTTCCTGAAGATTTTAAGAGCCTTATAAGTCAACATCCATACTATAATCTAATACATTGAAAACTTACCGTTTTTGTGTTTCCACAGGCGACAATAATGTCCATCCAGAAATCTTGACTTCATCATCAGCAATAACTATCTCACTACTGATTTCAACTAAGATAAAGATGTTAATAATAATAATAACAATTATAATATATTAAGCAGGTAATTTATACGCAGCTTATTTAGTGTCTAGATCAACGATCTTTATTTTCCTCTTTTGACTTACCAGCATCAGATCTGATTTTTGCCCATCGTCTCTCGATACCTGGCTCGGCTGACATCAAAGTAGCTTGGGGTACGTGTCTAAAGATCTCAAACTTATGATAGCCTGCATTGTTCGTTAGTACCCAAAGGTTCTTTTTTATATATATTAAATCCTCAGGTTACATGAGCATTTACTTTACCTAACACAAAGTCTACAGTTGCCTGTCTCCAAAAATCTTTGACGGTATTAAAGTACATACGGGCCAAAGAGTTGGATGCATCATTCATCATTCCGGTAATATTGCGCTTTCCAGTACTATATATTTTCCAGAAAATACACAAAATAAACTCAATATTTGTTTATATATATATATAAATCAATTCAATAGATTACCGTGTAAAATCACCCTTGAGAGCACTAGTTCCAGCATACATGCGTGAAATCATATCTCCATTATTGGCCCATGCTAACAAGTATCATACATGTGAGATACTTTCGAAAGCTAGGACTTGTATCTTACCATTGTTGAATCGTTTCTCAAATTCTTCATAGAATCGGATACCCTTATCTGGATACTCAGTGATTCCAAAACGCATAAGCTGAAGATTCAATACACTGCGTCCAAAGGCACTCTAAAAAAGAAAGAAAGAGTTGGCTCAATAATTTGGAATATTTTTATAGTGGTATTGTAAGTATCTTACCTGAACAACATTAGTACGATCAAGACAATCCATGCAATTCTACACAAAAACAGTAAGAAGCGTTAGATTCTCTTGTGCACTATCTGCCACGGACTCGGACATACTGTTCGGAAAACACCCGTTTGTTTGCAATATACTGTCTCAGCACCAGGCTCACCCGCTTCCCAGAAATAACTAGTAACAGTGTCAATAATAAGCAGCAATAATAATAACAACCAAAAAAGAAGAAGAAGGTCATTTAGCTAACTCTTACTTACGCAACCTTTGACAGATCATCAGAAAGGCTTGTACTAAGCTTACTGATGTTCTCAAATCGCATACCCTTTGTCTCTCGATGAAAATCAAACTCTACATATCTGTAAAAAAAAATGGCGCAAATCTTAATATCAAATGCTCTTGTTTCTCTATAATCGATATACCAACTTTATATTAGGGTCTCCAAGGTGTTCTACGTGCTTGCGATATTCTTGCCCGACAATAGATTCGCGCCCACTAAGCTCAGTTAGGTTGACAGCAATTTGCTTTCCGTACAGACTCTCTTGTTTGCAGAAATGAGCTTTGAAAGCATCATCGTTCTCGGCTTCAGTACGTTCGAGTGTAGGGGCAGGGTGTAAGCTATAAGGTGATTGACTCCAGAAAACAGGAACTACACAAATGTTAAGTTAGCTCTATTGTAGGCTTGACTTTTAATAGGGGATACCGTACTTGAACCTCGTGTCTGTATGTAAGAAACAACATGTTGAATTCCCTCTCTCTTAGGTAAAGTAAAGTAAAAGTTAAAATAGAAGTTAGCATCATATGATCCAACAAGAACCTATACTTCTTTATAACTATTCAAACATAAAGCACTTTGTTACCTCGAACAAGACAATTTGTTCTGTTTCAACAAAATTGGCAACCTCACCGTGTTCATTAATTCCTCTTCGCTGGTAACGCATACCTAAATCAGTCCCCACCCCACCCCACCCCAAAACAATAAACATAAAGACACATTGATCAATAAATAAATAAATAAGCAATAAATAAATGAATTCATTTAAACTTTGGCAATGACTTTTACCTGCTCTTTCGCGACTTCTTCTAGAAACCAATACAAAATCAAAGGGGTACCCATCCACTTCACAGGGTTCCAATTGCATTGCACCTTGCATAACCGGTAAAACCCATTCATCCAGCTAATTGACTTGGTTAATACAAAATACAATTAGTCAGCTATATGCACTTGTTGTACTCACCTTTTGCTTTATGAGATCACGCGATATGTGTTCATTCCACCAAAACCGTTTCTCAACCTTTATTTATTCAAAGCACATTTAATACCTATGATCTTGGTGAACAAGACCAGCACACGCCCTTGCCATCCCCTAATTTATTCTTATTCTATTGTTTTAAAAATAACAGTAATAATAATAATAATAGTAATATTTTACCTGCTTATAAAGTGGAAGGTCAAGTAAAGAAGGCTCGACCTTGGTTTTTTCATATGTCTTTTGGAAGCTGTTGGTGATATCTATATATGTACAGGTGTGTAATGAAATGATAATAGTAATAATTGATTAATGAGTAACATACTTCCAGCCCTTCTATTGTGTGCAATTCTTACCGAGATCATAGGAGAATAGAAACATTGAACGTCCAAAGAGTTCTGTTACTTGGCTCAGCAATCGATTTTCCAAAACTGTGTCTTCACTTGTTGTCCATGTCAAAGATATATCTTCCTCGGCGGACTTTGATTCCACAATATCTTCTTCTTTGATCACCATCGGTTCATTTACTTCTTCATCCACTCCATCGTTCAGAATTGGTCTTTCTTCATTCTTTTTCTTTCCAAGAGATCTCTTTAGGCGAGTGATCAATGAGTTTGAGGGATGCAGGATAGGTGGTTGGATATTGGTACCATCGGGTGAGGTCAAAGGACCTGATCCGGGAGGAGGTAATTTGATCGGCGTAAAATTCTCGGTCTTTGTGTCAGTTGTAGATTTGATTGTTTCTACAGGGAACTCTTCATCAGACTCAGAATCTTCGGGTGTTCTAATAGCCTTGGCCTAAAAAAGATAAAGCCCTACAGTCAATTCAATCCCATCCAAACAACAATAACAAAAGAGGTACTCTGATCTAATCGATATTATCGTTTATTTATTTACCTTGGCATTGAGTCTATCTTTAGCTTTAGTAGAATTGAAACTTAGGCAAGCAACCTTTTCGATTGAGTACACAGGTTTCCCAAAGATGAGACCGCGTGTTTGGACATGTGTAATGACAACAAGGTACTTTTCTATCAGCCGAGTTAGAGCTTCATTTCTTTATTATTTTTTATTGATTTGTTATTCGGGAGGGGGGCTTATTTACCGAGACCACCTTCCATGATACCGACTATGCCATATACTTCATAAATACTGACATCCTTTGAAGGTTCATAATTGTCTGAGATTGCAGAATTAGTATTTTTTTTATGCAGAACATGGCAGATGAATCTGTTCCTTTTTCCTTTTCTTTTTTCTTCTTCTACCTAATCTGGTCATCAGTTGACCCTCAAAAGCGATCTCGAGAATATTTTTGCCTCTGGTGAAGACAAATCGATCCTCGGCAACATATAGATACATTGTCTCGGAGGAGAGGGTAGGAAGTTGACTGAAAGTGTTTGGTAATTTCATAATGGATATAATGAATAGAGAAAGAAGAATAAGGCTGGATATCAAATATATTATTTTAATTCTTATAATTATTATATAATATAATACACATGTATATGTGTAGGTGTATCTTGGATGTGCATGTACGTATGTATGTATATATATATATAGATAGTTAGATATTTGGATACTTTTGAGGAGCCTGTTAGTTTAATGGCTTTGAGCACAATTCGACAGGGTGTAAGCCCAACATGCACAATCTTTATTTTTAACTGGATCTAGCTCTTCTAGTCAACAGACTTGGCATAGGATAGAGTACACAACAGCACATGAAAAAATGCCAATTCAACCAATAAGAGCCAAGTTCAAGAAAACCAAGGTTTGGTATATTGTGTTTCTATTTTTGAAGTCTTTTTTTTGTTCTTTATATATATAAAAGCATATGTATACAATGTATTATCACGGCTCCTCTGGCTTAGCAGGGACATATCTAGAAGGTTCTTGACCTTTTTGTATAGCAATTGTAAGGCGCCAGCTATTATTTATGTATGTATTTATATGTGTATTCATTTATATATATATAACTAGACTATCATTTACCTGGGTTAGACTTGAGACAGCTCAGAAAAGCAGAGAACGGTTTGGCAAAATCCATTGGTAATTTGGACACACCAGTAAGGACATCTTCGAGATGACCATTGCAGCGATGAGGCTTAGATTCTGTGTTTGGTGCAGTGCTGTGCTTGTTGAATGAGTATTCGCTCGAGTTTTCTCCAGTGGCGGTACGTCCTGTCATTGTTAATGAGATGTCAAGGTACGCTTAAAAAGGTAATAATAAAAAAAGCAGGTCTTCCTCTTACTCCCCCCCCCCCTTTTTTTTTACCTTCTTTCACTCCACTTGTTGCAGGGTGGCTTGAAAAAAAAATCCGCCTCCCCCACTCTCCCTCCCCCCCTTTTTTTTTCTTAAAAAAATTATAAAAGCTCGAAAAATGAAAGTTAGACTAAATCATTCAACCGATGTGCAAAAGTCAAAAATATAATAGACAAATAATAATTATTTTTATTAAATATATAAATATATAAATATGTGGATTTATTTGCTCTTTATGATATTTTTATTGAATCGCTGTAGTATATATATAAATTAGAGTACCATTACATTACATTACATTGCTTTGATTTGGTTTGATTTGGCTTTGTGGCAGAATATTCTATAACTTCTCTAAATTGCCATTTATGTTAAAAGTAAAGAATTGTGCTTGTGTAGCGAATTTCAGATCCTAAGAAGACTGAGCATCTCTCATATATTTGCTTTCATAATGCTGAATTTGGGGGTTTTTTTTTACAACAATTTTCTATGTATATTTGATTGTTTCAAAAATTTCATTTCTTTTTTTCTTTTTTTTTCTTTTTTCTTTTAAAAATAAAATAAAATCAAAGACCGATTTTGGCTTCAAACTTGAAGTGTCGCGTATACTCTATCTCTAGTTTAGAATGAGTGAGAATGTAAATGATACCTGAGTCAATTAGAGCTCTTCATTAAAACCATGTCAATAGCTTCTTATAAACTTTAATGGCCCATTCGATGTTGGCGAGCTGGATCGCACAGTTGACGCATTCTACAATGGCAACACAGCCATGGTACATACTCTATATTGCATAAAAAAAAACTACCTTTTGAAATGAAATAAATTGAATTGAATTGAATTGAATTCGTGATGTACTGTAGAGACAACATGCTCAGGAAATCTTGACTCAGTTCCAGAACCACCCAAACTCATGGCAACTTGTTGATCAGATTTTGGAAAACTCCCAAAGTTTATATGCAAAGGTTATACACACACACATACACACATAAATGCATATATATATATACATAAAACTAGGATTATTGTTTGACAATTGAAAATCTTGTATTCTCACACAAAAATACATATTTTTTATATGTGAAATTCAAGTTTATTGGACTTTGTATTCTCGAAAGCTTTGTGGTCGTTCGATGGAATACTTTACCATTAGATCAACGATTGGGTAAAGAAGAAGAAATTATATGAATTGTTTTCGGTGTATCTTTTTTATCTGCCTTTGTCTCTTTGTCTCTATTTTAGGCTTACAAACATTCATTGTTAGGAATTCGCAATTATATTGTAAAGATCATCGTTGACCTATCATCTGATAAGCCCAAAGATGGGCCTGAAAAGACGTTTATCAACAAGCTCAATGTTGTTTTGGTGCAGGTATATCCCTATCATATCATACAATCTTCTTTTGACTACTATTTATATTTTTAGATCCTCAAAAAAGAATGGCCTCAGCATTGGGCTGGATTTATTCCTGAAATTATCGAATCAAGCAAGACAAATCTCAGCCTGTGCGAAAACAACATGAAGATACTCAAGCTGCTTAGGTTAGACAATACGCCAATCATAACACAGCTACTAGAAACTCATTTATACAACTACAACAAAGTGAAGAGGTCTTTGATTTCTCTGGGGACCATATGACCCAGACAAAGATGAAGAAACTCAAACACCAGATGGTTGACGAGTTTGGCGTAGTCTTCACGCTCTGTCGGCAGGTTTTGGCAAGTAAAGCAGCCTCATCTAGTCTAGCCTTGGCTACTCTCGAGACACTCCAAAGAATTCTCAGCTGGATCCCTATGCGATTTATTTTTGAAAGCGATTTGATAGAAGCCCTCCAATCAAAGGTAACCAAATCTAGAAATAAAGAATATTCATGTGCTTGTTAATGATGACAGCTTAATTGTAATTGTAATTGTAATTATAATTGATACTTTTAAATCTTTATCTATATTGACTAGTTACTAGAAGAGAAAGATCAGCGTAACATGGCGTTAAAGTGCTTTACAGAAATTGTTGGAATTGAGGTTTCACCCCGGTACCATCAAAAACTCACTCAAATTTATGAATCTGTAATGAAAGTGATCAGTCAGATCATTCCCTTTACTTCGGGTGAGCCAATTAAAACAGAGATATATATAGATAAAGGGGGGGGAGAACTGATTTTTCAGCTGGAATGGATTGATAACAATTTTAGAATACATATATAGATATCGCAGTATTATATGAAACAGCAGATAGATATGACCAAGAACTTGTTCAGGACTTGGCATTGTTTCTCACCACATTTCTATCGAAATATTCTACGGTATGGATGATAGTAAAAGTTCAAACAACCAAATATATATACAAGTAATAGGGAAAAAAGCTAATATTATAAATAAATGATATAGTTATTGGAAAGTCAATCGATTAAATCGATGGCAGTTGAATCCCACCAATACTTGCTTCAATTGACTCGGGTACCTGAGCGAGAGATCTTAAAGATTTGCTTGGAATACTGGGGTAAAATGGTACGCGGTTTTGTTTTTGTTTAATTATTTGGGATCCTTTGTATTGATAATTTTTAAGAAGAAATGAATACTAATCAAACGTTTCCTTTTCTTTAAAATAAACAAGGTGTATGAAATAAGCGAGCAAGCTAGTCGAAGCACTAGCATTACTCCTTTAAGAATGCAGCATACATTATATGCTGAGATTCTCAAAGAACTACGTTCAATTCTAATTGAAAACATGGCTCAACCAGATGAGGTAAATATTTATATTGATATATTCAAGCCATAATAGTATCTATCAAAGGAAAGAAAAGAAAAAGGCAAAAATAGGAGAGATATTTAATTTGTAAATTTCTTCTTCTTACATGTATTTATTGTTTTGGTTAGATTCTGGTTGTTACGGATGAGCAAGGAGACATTGAATGTGAATTTGTTAAGCAAAGTGACTTGACTGCCCTGCACAAATCTATGCGTCAAGTCTTTGGTTTACTCACAGCACTGGACATGAATCTAACTGAACAAATAATTTGTGAAAATTTGGCTCGTTTGGTACGTTTCTTTTTTTTTTGAAAAAAATAAATTAAAATTGTATATATATATATATATATATATATATATAATATAAATAAACCATAAAGAAATATTGACTCATAAACATACAACTCTAATAATTTGTAATGTTCAGCTAAACACAGACCAGTGGTCATGGTCAAACATGTACAAGCTGTGCTGGTCTGTAGGTGCCATGTCTAGTTCGATGGATGAAAATGTCGAAGAAAGGATTTTGGTGAGGTTTACACAATCCTTGGTAAATCTTTTGAATGCCAGCGCGCACAACAAAGACCAAGCATGTGTAGTTGCATCGTGTATTTTGTATTTAGCAGAACAGTACCCTCGTTTCTTAAAGTCCCATTGGGACTTCTTGGTGCTTGTCATGGGGATGATTCTGAAGTATCTGCACGACCCGCAAGTCAGTGTGAGAGAGATGGCATGTGATGCTTTTTTGAAAATTTGCCAAGGATGTCTTCGTGAACTATCTGTAGTTCAGCCAAATGGACAACCTCCCATGCTAGAGTCATTTGTGATGGATGTACAAGGAATCACATCTGACCTGGATCCTGGCCAGGTAATGAAACATTGCTTCTAGAGTCAATATGATTGTATATAGGTGTGTATATTTACTTATATCCATAAACGGATAATTAAAATAGGTGTGCATTATATACGAGTCAATTGGCCATGTAGTGTCTGCTGCACCTATTGACTATCAAAAGCAATTAATCGGCCCATGGATGAGATTGCCAAACGAAACAGTAAGTTATATTGTAAAATTAAGCCTAATGTAAAAACAATGCGACTCTAATCCTGATATTATTTTTTGTATTTAAAAAAAAGTATGAAGCTGCTTTGCAACAATTTGTTACTTCTCCAGAAGCATTAGAGTCCCCTGGTACTCTCAAGGCTTTACTGAATATCCTCAAGATTAACACGTCGGCATGTTCTTCTGTTGGACCTGGCTACTTGATACAGTTACAGTTTATTATTCCTCGGCTGATCATTACTTACAAATCTGCGAGTGATCGTATTAAAATTGCTCCAGTCCAAGGTAAACTACATTTTTTATATATATTTTTATTAAACTTTTGACAGCTGTGCCTTACTTGTGCTCAATTACTTAATATGCTGATTATGAACATGCTCTTCATAATTTGATGATATGATAAGATGGACAGGTTGTGCGATCCCTACGTCGAATAAAATCAGAAATACTTCAGCTGGTGGAAAAGTTTATGGTAGCCAGCGAAAAAATCGAAGAAGATAATAACAGTCTGCTTTCCGAATTGCTAAATGTGATTATGGAAGATTATGACCAATCTTTGGCGGCTCTTCGCGAACCAGGTGTCTTGGATGTCATGACAAGCGTTTTTGAGAAAATGAAGGTATATTTATTTTTTTATTTTCTTTTTTATTATTCATCTAATACTACGGCTACGATTACAATTATGTGCGGTTTTACAGCTATGAACGATTATTCAGTTTCTTTCAATAGAATGACCTGTGGCCAGGCTTGTTGGAAGCCACTTATAATACTGTATTCAAGCCTACCCTGGAAATGATTAGTCAGAATTTTGTGGATTTTCCTGAACACCGGCATGGATTTTATCGACTTTTACGTGTGTTAAATCGCAAGTGTCTGACAGGTAATACAATAAAATTAAACAGGCACAACAGACATCTTTACTTTAAGTCATTTTTTTCATTAAAAAATATATACTCTAATGTTGTTAAATAGAGCTTTTGACGGGACCTCCTGCTACCTTTCAGCTGTTCATTGACAGTATATTGTGGGGTACAAAGCATACGATTCGCGACGTATCTCAAGTCGCACTCCAGACATGTTTAGATCTCATTCACAATGTGAGTCAGTTGGAAGACGAAGATCAAGCCAGCGACTTTTATAGCGCATTCTATGTCCGGATACTTCGTGAAATAATTAGTGTTCTGGTGGACCCTGACCACATGAATGGTAGGTTACTTTTCTTTTTCTTTTTCTTTTATCCTTTTCTATTACCCATTAGTGCTCCGTTGGTATTACAAGTCTCGCGTTTTTCAAACAATAACAACAACAATAAAATAAAATGAAAACTAGGGTTCAACTATCAAAGCCAAATACTCGCAACAATGCTGGGACTTGTTCAAGAAGGAGAAATCTACACCCGTTTGTTTGATCCCAGTACAGTCGAGAACCCATTAATGTCAAATACCGAATTTCTTCAAGAATATGCGCAGCAATTACTCTGTGAGGCTTTTCCACTTTTGCAAAAGTAAGTTTAACAAATATTACTATATAGGAAATATTAAAGAAAACAAAATAATAATAAAGTAAAGAAAGAAAGCAAAACAAAAACAAAAAATAACTGACATATTATGCCATTTTACTGCTATTATTCTAGAGACCAAATTGACGTTTTGGTGATGGGTATGTTTGAGTACAGTGGAGATCTTTCAAGATTCCAGACAGATTTGCGCGATTTTTTGATCGATATCAGAGAAGTTGGTGAGGATACAGGTCAGGCTCGCCAGATCCAAGAACAAGAAGCTGAATTAGAGCTCTTGCAATGTCTTTGAATTGTTAAATTTTCTTTGTTCTTTGTTATTGTTGTTGTTGTTGTTGTTATTTTTATTAAAAATTGTAGCAAGTATCTTGTTTGTATTATGAAAAGGAATGAAAGAATAGAGAATAGAGAATGAAGAGTATTACTATGGAAAATGAACCTTTCCACTTTATGGTAGATTGGTAAAGAAGAAGAAAGTATTGTAGAAGTACAGGTAGATATATATATATAGATATATATATATATATATAATGTTATGAAAGAAAAAAATAAAGGTTTGTGTAGACACATACATTGAATAATAACAATTATGTACGAGTAGAATACTCGCTGTTTTGATAGGATGCCTCACCAGACTGTGTTATCCTTCTGTTAGGATCCACCAGTTGCTGTTGCTGTTCAGGATCTTCGAGGTCCGTTACAGATGAAAGAAAAAGCATACAAGGAAGACAGCAGCCAGTACAACAAATCAAGAAAGACTATATGATTATAAATATGAATATGATTTCACACACACAAATAAGAGTAAGTAAATAAGGCTCAGCAATATCATATCACATCACACAATTGAAAGATAAATATAGAAAATGAAAACTTACTAGGACAATAAAGATCGGTACAAACACATGTGACATCTTGATAGATTCAGAGCCGTCAAGACGTTTAGCGATCAAACCGACCAAAGCGTAGAATAAGGTGCCCACAATAACAAATCCAGCCATGGCTACCATAGTAGTTGCCTTGCCTTGTCTGGCAATCTCTGGTTGGGGTAGATGGGAATACATGCGGTAGTTCAACCAGAGTTGGACTGCATACTTGAGACCGACCAAATAGAGAGGGATAAAGACAACTGCCCAAGAACAAGTGATTGTTTGGTCGATTCTCAAAGCCATCAGGATAAACCAGATGAGTCGGAGCACAAAGAACCAGTACTGCTTAAATACCAGGCTAGATATGGTTTTTAGACTGAGAGGCTCATTTGGGTTCATGCGTCGATAGGCAAGTACGGCCATGAAGAGTTCAAAGGAATTCAATAGGAAATGTATTCCCTCTAGAGCAAAATAAGGAGCAAATACTGCCGCAGCTGACCAATCTACCGTATTATCCAGACGAACGACAATAAAGACTTGGAAGATGACAAGCAGTAACCAGTACACAAAGTGCAGCAGACGGCCCATCACCCGAATTCTTCTTCGGGATGCCTTTTTTCTTTCTCCGTCCTGGCTTTCTTCCGATGAATGTCGCCGCCGTTCTCTACGTTCCTCGTCGTCTTGGTCGTACTCGCTATCGTCTTCGTCGTCTTCTGCCTTTGAGAATCCTCTGAGGACCTGTTGAAAGGAAACAAAACAACCAATCACATCTATAATCCAGAGCGGAATCCAGACCACAGCCCAGCCCCACTGGGTAATTCCATCGATCCGAACAGTCAGAAAAGCAAAGAAAATAATAAACAGGGCTAAAACAAGTGACAGAAGGCTGAAGGCGGCGCAGAGCATACTCTCAATCTCGGGGTCAAATAATGGGCTTGCTACTGTACCCATCATTTGAAGACCCAGTTCTCCATGTCGATCGTAAACTCGGCGCTTTTGTTCATCGCCAAGTACCTATTAAAAATAAATATAAAAAAAATAAAAGCTTTACAATAAATATAAAAATAAAAAAAAAAGCTGTCTTGTAGAGACTTGTGGTCTGTCATTGTTGCCAAGTTTGAGATATAGAGCGAAAAGAGACTTGCCTCGTAGGCATGACTAATGTTCTTGAACTGAAGAAGATTGTAAGTATTGACACCTAGAGCTTATATATATATATATATAGATATATTTTTTCTTACCTGATCAGTACTTCCAGGGTTTTTGTCAGGGTGGTAGCGAAGAGCAAGACGTCGATAGGCCTTTATTTGATTTTATATTATATATTTTTATTTTTGGTTGGTTTTATTATTATTTGTATTTGTATTTGTATTTGTAATGTATGTGTGTTATTTGTAGTGCAGTGTTTATGTAGGTGTGTATACGCGAATTGTAAGTCTTATTGTTTTATATACATGTATTGAATGGAATGAATGGTGTATTAAATGTCAACCTTTTTAATTTCCTCAGGTGTACAATTCTTCTGTAGTCCAAGCGTATCATAAAGACCTGTTGTATTTCGGTCCATGTTAAACAAGTAAATAAAAAAAAGACAGACAGACAGACAGAAGTAGAGAAAGGAAAATGAAAAAATAACAGTGGTTAAAGGCTTGCTATATTTTAATCTCCGCAGAGGAAGGGAATTTGACCATTTTTAAGCAAACGCTTTCAGGAGGTTCCTCAGATTGTCATCGAGACAGAGCTTTTCAATAGACGCCTGGATCTTTGCACGTTCTTGACGTTCATTCCAGCCTCTAGTTTGTGTCAACTGTTCGTCGAGTTCAAGCTTCTTGTTATCCATAGCCTTGACTTGGCGCCGGAACTGTTCAAAGAGCACCTGAGCCCGCTCTAGGGTACTCTTGAGATTAATAGTACCAGAGAGATCATTGATATACTAAATTTATTTATTTTTCAATATCCCAAAGGAGAAATATACAATTAGTCTTTTTTTTTGTAATACAATAAAATGATAACAAACCTTGAGTAGTTCATCAAACTGTGTCATTTCTTTAAGAATAATATCTCTGCGCTCATCCAATACTGCCAAGGCAACAAACATTATAAATTGATTTGACAGGTGGTCAGTCCAGAGTACCTAAATGAAAGACATTAATAAAAAAAGGAAGTTGTTTGAATGTTTTATAGAGAATAGATTAATGTGGTTTTCTTACCTCCCATAAAAGAATAACATCTTCCCATTGAAATTCACGCTTGAACCAGACCAACAACCACCGGAAACAAAAGAAGAGGTTTGCTGTTTCGGTTTGCTCAAAATGCTTGTAAAGCTCGGGATCCATAAATCGAATTAAACTGTCCAGAGTTTTCAACTGGCCGTGCATACCAGTTTGGTCAACCAGAAAGTTGGATTTCTAGTCAAATCCCCAAGTTTTTTGTTTTTTTTTGTTTTTGGTTTAGTATTTATGATACATGTATGTATGTAGACAAAGAATAGATGAAGAAGACGAGTGTATTTGATTGATAGTTACCATTCTGTCCATAAACTTGGCAAATACCCAAAACGCCATGGCTTCGTTTCCCATTGCTACAAACAGAGGAGCACAGAGATCTGACATGCCTTGGACGTAACCAAGGTCGGGATTGTAGAAATTGTAGGTGACCAATATATCTTTCATGATCTCTAGGTTGGCATTTGTTCCCACACTCATGTCAGGGTCCGGGTTAGGTAGATCATCTCCTTCAAAGAAATCGATTGTCCGGTCAGTTCGGTGAACATCTTTATCTGTCGAAAGGAAAAAAAAAGAAATTATTATAAATATATATATATATATATATATATATATAAAGTGACAAAGAATATATATATATATATGAATGAATGCATATATGAAGTAAATTTTGCTGCTGATAAATTTGCCAAGAAATCCTTACCTATCCGATGCTTTTCATCTAAAAATTCTTTTGTACTCCTTGCATCCATGTCGTTAAACCACCTGGCTTTGATCTCATGATACTCTTCACTATTACAACCAAAGGGGATAAATATATAGAGAGAAAAGGAGGGGGAGGGATCATTAATGTTAATTTCTTAAAAGAATATAAATGAAAAAAAAAGAATTTATGTACAGTGTAGTGTAATGTAGTGTAATATAGTTCATTACAGTGCAGTACATTACAGTACAGTACAGTACAGTACAGTACAGTACAGTAAAATCGAAAAAAAAATGAATATGTTTTTTTTTATGAATCAGCTTACGTTTTACTTCTTCGAATGGCCTCTCGTTCATCAAAAGTGGATTCCCATGGGTAGATACCCAATAAGAACTTCCATGCTTCAATGCGAACGTCTGGATGAAGTCCGGCATTGAAGATTATCCCACGTACTTTGGATTCAGATACTTTGAGTTTTCCTTCGCCATCGAACAGATCAATCCATGTTTCTGGTGCAACAGGGTCAGGTCGCTTAATTACAGGCAGTGGCTATGATTATTGTTTTTAAAAGATAAATATAATATGTTTTTGTCGTTGTCATTATTGTGATTATTACCTCTGTGAGTTCTGGTCTGTCAGCTAATAAACCATCTGGGTCGTCCATACGAGACCATTTTTCTCTGAGTGGTTCTTGAGGTTGACTAGAACAAATAGCAAGGTTTAAGTTTAAGTTTGCTTTTACTTTTTTCTTTCATATATATATATGCACACAAAATCCCTGAATTTTATATAGCCATATATGTCACTAATCAGATTCACTCACCATTGATTCAGGTAATGGCCCGCCACACTGTATTCGCTCAAGGTGGTCTTGACTGTACCGTTGTGTGCAAAGGTGTGTAGACTAGGTGACAAGAGAGGTGCGATGTGTCGCGCCAGTGGGAGTTCCATAAGTTGGGCTGCCGTATTCCGTGACATCTGTGTGACTCTGGCCAACTGTTCCATCACTGTCCATTGTTGTGTTTGAGGCTGTACATAGGACACTGAACTTGTTTCACTAGTTTCTTCTAGTCTAGAAAGAGTTTCACCAGGCAACAAGACGCGTATTGTGTGTTCTTCTTCGGGGTCTCTTTCAATACGCGCGAATGCACCAAGGATATCCGTAATGTCGTACCCTGGCCAGTAGGAGGGGTTTTGTGACTCGTACCACAGTGTCTTTAGTACGTCTCCTCTACGTGTTGTGATCACTATAGAGCCTTGTTCTGACGTTGAAGGAGGGCGCATAAACAATGAATAAACGTGACTGACTCCAACTACTGTCATCTGATGGTGTTTTAAATCAAGTTCGACCAAGGGGAAGTTTGTATCTGAAGCCAGCACTCCATCTAAGCTTGTGAAGCACCCAATATCCGAGGTACTGATTAAATGTTCTGGAATCCATGTCAACACTAGCTGAACATTATCCTGATAATTAAAGTAAAAACAAAAATATTAATTAATTAATTAGTTGATTGAGTGATTGATTGATTGATTGATTTATTGATTTATTATTTATGCGATCTATTTGTACTCCGATAAGATCATCTTTTACTCTACTGTATTATCTTTCTTACCATATCCTTCGTGACAATTGCAAAGAAACCGTGGATCGATGTTTGTTTGTCATGGGGATCGTTTGGTCTCAAATAAAACCCAGACTTTGCATATATAAGTCTTACTCTACCGCCTGGCGGTGGTGAGACACTGGCTCTTGAGGGACCATAGATATAACTTGATGGGACTGGAGGAAGAGGGGGGCGTTGTGGATAGGTTTGTTGCAAGTATCTACGTTCTGAGTAGGTTGGTTGTGAGTAGCTTTGTCGTGGTGAGACTGGTTTTGGGGATGGTTGTCGCGGTAAAGGCTGTGGCTGGGAGGGTTGTCCTATGTAGGGACGTGGTGTGGGAGGCCATGGTTGGGAGGGTTGGAATTGTAAGTGAGGTTGTTGTGGTTGGTATGGGTAAGTATAATGTGAGGAGCCCTGTTGCTGAGGATAGGCCTGTTGTGGAGGGTAAGACTGCTGCTGCTGTGCGTAGGGCTGCTGCTGTGGATAAACTTGGTGTTGTGGATAGGTTTGTTGCTGTGGGTAACCTTGTTGCTGTGGGTAACCTTGTTGCTGTGGATAACCCTGCTGTGGTTGTTGTTGTTGTGGGTAGTTGTTATTATTCTGTGGGTAGTAATTGGTGTAGAATTGCTCTGATGGTCGAACATAGGTCTGAGGACGAGTGCTGTATCCTGGTTGAGAGACTGGAAGGGGTGCATTGTTGTATTGCACAGTATAAGGAGTTGGTCCACCGCCCATATTAAGTTGCTGCTAAGGTAAGTAAGATAATGATAACAAAAATGAAGAAGTATGTGTGCCTTTGTACAAAAAAAAACAAAAATAAAGTGACGTGTGAAAGAAAAGAGTATCAAGTTTTTATTTTATTTTTATTTAAAATAAGAAATAAAATGAGCTTTATATATGGACAAAGATGAGCAGTCATATATATATATATAAAAATAACTTGGCAGACAAGACCTTTTAGAAGTTTTCTTGGCTTCCCTTCCGTACAAAATACACGGGCAGAAGATGTTTTTTTTTAAATGATTTATTCACTCAAACTACGCAGCACAACATTACGTCTGGTTCAATAATCAAGCAGACATAAAAACACTATAAAGGCATATTGGTTTTTTATTTTATTTTATTTTAGTCTTCAAAATATGCTCACCAATCAATGGCTCTTGTTAGAGTAGTCACAGCCAAGACAACTGGAGCTCACAGAAGGTTCATTTGCTTCTCTTTATCTTTTTATTTTTTTCTTTCCATAAAAGGATTTAAATATCCGGTCATGTTAAACATATACGCATTCAACTCAAAACCCCCCAAAAAAACTAAGTGTTTTCTTTGGTATCATTCTATCTAAAGAAATGTCGAATGTTCAGTCTAGCCTTAAATTACTTTATCTACCCAGGGTAATGGGTTAACAATAAGATAATGATTTATATATATATAAAATATATGATTAAATGACAGTAAAGACAAGCTTGGTTTCATCTGATCCGTTCACTTGGCAAGAAACATATATATCAATTCCAGACAGCCGGGTAAAATATTTTTTTTGCCGGCAGGTCTATACCATAAGAGTATAAAAGCTTTAAATTTTATTTATAATTTTTTCAGGGTCCGGGAAGATCTCTGTTCTTTTACTTGTTAATAGAAATATAAAGAAATGCCCTAACTCCTGTCAAAATCAATCCTTAGCATATATACGGCCTATCAACCGCAATTGTATACTTTAAAACTTGATCTAGCCGAAGAAATGCATAAAAATATCTGAAGAATCTATAAATGATTATATAAGCTTGAATTTAATAAAAAGTAACTAGTAGTCTTGGTGTGGCTGTTATACTCTGTCTAAAAATAAAGAGAAATTATATCTTTCCTTGTTAAATATCATATGCGTCTCTTTGAGCTGACCATTGAGAATATCGTCATAAAACAAATAAAACACGGAACTATGCAACATCTACTGACTGAGGTTGGGTAATAAAAACATGAGAACATAAGTCGTAATATAATTATATGTAAAGGAGAACGATTACGATACAAAGAAACAACGAGAAAAATCAAAAACAAAAGAAGGTGATAGGACACAGGAGGTAAAGTGACATAATCTCTGGAAAAAGTACTAATGTATAATGATTTGGCTTTTGTTTTGTTTTGTTTTGTTTTGTTTTGTTTTTAAGTCTGATTTACTTGGAGTAAAGGTTGGGCGCCTTTGGATTTAGATTTAGATTTAGATTTAGATTCAAATCAATGCATTACATACTTTTACTAGGACTACGACTACGACTACTGCATGCAGCAAGAAAATAAATAAAAGACAGCTCTATATGAGATCATTGATATATATAACTCTTTCTATGTATTTTGTCAAAAGTGAAACATATTACATGACTCCATTACTTCATGACTTTACAGATATCAACTTTGGTATCTTTGGTGATTTTATCAGATCGTTTCTCTTTACTATTAACCATGTATTTATTTATTAAAAAAATCAAATTGCTTTGTTGTTGCTTTACTATTATTTAGTGATATGCATTCCATATCTTATGACTATCTGATGATTACAAGTATCCCAAGAAATAAGTATCTTATCATCAAATTACTTACAAGAGTTAAATATACTCAAGTTATATATAATGATGTGTTTCTTTATTGGTTTTCTCTCTCATTAAGATCTAAATACTAAAGCAAAGCACTAGGCACTTGGTACTTGATAATTATCTGTCTTGTTGGTATAACTGAACTACCTATTTATTCAACATGTAGATTTTTTGTTCAATCATTGTCTCTTCTTCTTCTTTGTTATACTTGGGTGCTTATGTATGCTATACATACACAAAGTGTTAAATGCTATAAGAATAAGAATAAGAATAAGAATAAAAATAGAACCACCTTTGAGGTTTTGGCCTTTCAAGCTGCACGTACTGCTCAGTACTATCATTATAGGCACCATCAGTATTAAACTCCACTTTAAAGAAAATTATTGGTTTTAGTTTGCGCAATAACCATGTGCACAGACCATATTAATACTACTACTACTACTACTACTACTACTACTACTACTACTACTACTACTACTACTACTACTATTTGTAATTTATGTATCTGTATTATTGAAAAAAAAACATGAATAATAAAGTACACTTCTTTATGTTTATAATTTACAAGTGTATGAGTGTGCGTAGATACCTTTAAAAGGCTCTGATACTGATTGGCTAGTGATAAACACACACAAAGTATTAAGTCGTATCAAAAACCTGTTTCGTATGCCAATAAAAAACATTCTCGGGCACAATAGTAAGATACATAAGAAAAACCAAGTTAGTGACCCCAAGGAACAATGGGGTAACCTTTTGATTTCTGTTGTGCCTCTGAAGAATGAGATTTATGTACCATTAATTATCTGAAAACAACTCTATTACAATCTCAGTGGGTCTTTTTTTTTTATTTGTTTCTTCAATGCCTGAAAAGCATACAAAACCTACAAATACTAAGCGAGAGAGAAAGCAAGAGGTTATCTGTTAGCAATTTGATGCATTTTATTCGATTTATTCTTGTCGCCTAGTAAATATACACTATGTCACTCCCTTTTTGTTGGGTATTGTGAATGATCAATTCTTGTTTAGTATTTTGTTTACAGATACTGCCAATCACAGGTACTACATAATGGCTATATATCCAGCATAAAAAATAAAACTATGGCACAACAAAATACTATCATTGAGAAAACAAGATGTATTTTCTTTTATTATTTTGATATGGTGGGAAAGGTTCTTTCTTTTCTGGTAACAATTATCTAACTTGGTAGCTTTCCGAGCTTATTTGTAATTGAACAATTACGGACTGTATATATGCACATATATAGATATGTACATTATTATTATATACTTATAATCTGTCAAGTTTTTTTTTCTTTTCTTCTTCCAACATTTTTTTTTACGTCTGATAGTAAAAAAAAATGCCTATTTTTAAAAGAAAGCCTTGTGTCCAAGTGGTATTTTTTAAACCCGTATATATACACACCCATACACATGTACATCTATACACATGCGCGCTCACAGACCGAGACACACGCACGCATGTATGTATGTACGCATGTAAGCATATAAGCATGTACCCAGGCTATATACAGCTGTAGCCAATCTGCCTTGGCAGTAAATAAAATTATTTAGTCTTGTTATGTTAATCTATTCAACTGTAAAATATATGTATAAAAGAGTAGAAGATGAAGACTTTTTTTTTCTTTGGTTATCAAATCATTAAAGAAGTAATTATGTGCATAGATCTTTATTTCTCTCCCAACACACACACACATATATATATATATTGGCTATTGAATTGAATTTGGACTTGAACTTGGGTGAAAGTCTGTATTGCTTTTTTTAAAGATTTTTTTGTCTCTGTGAGAACTAAAGTACGTTTATACGCGTTTTCTTTTTTAAGAAAGAAGATATACTTTGTATATTTATATAAATCTTGCCCTAACACAAGCAACTTATCTGGAAGTATAGACGCTTAAGTATAATCACCATGCCCTTGTTGTAATGAATTCTCGACTCTGCTCTTTTATGATTTTACTTTGGTTTTGATTTGTTCCAATTCTATAGCACAAAAAGAAGACCCAAGGTCTTAGATTTGACATGAACACAAATGTGTACAAAAAAAATTACTCTACTATGATAATAACAATAATATTAAGACTCTTGTCTTATTTTTGGTTATTGTTTTATTTAAGAAAACAGAAGCGAGGTAACATTGACTCAATACAGCATTTGTGGGCTCAGCCATTTTTGATTTTCACTAAAAAGCAAGATTATGACAGGACTAGTAGGAGCCAATGGATATAGTCTTTTTATTTTTTGTAGAAAGAGAAATAATATATACATATATATAATATAGAGAGAGAGAAGTATTCAGATGTAATGAACATAAAACCAATACAAGACAAGTGTAATGCTCATACACTGTACTACTGACATATAAAAAAGGTAATAAGAGACCTGCTGTAATCAAAACAGATGTCGAGAAGAAATATTCATATAAAGGTCAAAATATGTACTCCATTTTCAGATTTTGGCTTTCCGAGATTATTTTTATTTCAATTTGTTTCAATTTTCTAGTCGAAGTCTATCTCTTGGAGGGGAAAATTTGCGGATAATTTTCAACAGGTGCAAGCTGGTGTGAAACTTATATGAATTAAAGTGATTCTTGTGTGTGGGTTTTACAGACTAGCTCAACAAAACTTACTAAACTCTCATTGATTCCGGAACTAGTATTTTTTTATGTGTAATGGGTATAAGCTTTATTTTAACTTTCTTGTTCTTATTATCATCTTCTTGGCTTTCTAGTAAATTAGTATCAAGTATATATATATATATATATCTTGTACTTGTGATATTCAAGGAAACACCATTAGAATTATATATGTATATTGAGGTTCAAGCATTGAAGAGAATAATGAATAAATTACTAGATAATACACACACATATATATATATATATATGTCCGTGTGTGTGTGTATCCATATTTAATCTTTAGGATATTTAGAGTGGGTTACCTTGAAAAAGGCTCAGACCACTATTCAGAGCACTGTGTTATCTTTACGAGTAATAATATCCGGTCTTCTCTTTTTTTTTTTAGACTACAAGGTTTTGGTAGTGATCTATTCTGGTTATATTATACAGTTGTAATGAAATACATACATATATACATATATACATATATACATATATATATATATATATTTAAAAAAATTCCCGGTTACAATTACTAGTAGTTACTCTTAGTGATTTGCATTCTTTTTCCCTCTTTGACTCTTAGAGTGGTATTCCGCTTTAAGCTAATTACCAAATGGGAGAGAGAAAGAAGAAAAAAATAAGAAATAGAGATGCGTTATGTCAAATACAAAACATGTCTGTATTACATATCTGTGGTAGTACTGCCATATTTAATTCATTGACTCATGTACTACCTCTTGTATGACAGCACGCATCTGCTCAAGCCTTTTTCTTTGGCGTATTAACCAATAGCTGCTAAACACCAGCATAGCCAATATCTTTGGGGTATTTTCTTCTTAATTAAAAATAAAATAACCGCCCAAAACTAAGCAAACCTTCTTTTTCTCTAAAATATCGTTTGATCTTCAGAACAAGGGTAATTAGAACTATCATTTATGTTACAACAAGAAGATATTACAAGAAGCCAAGAATCACACAAAAAATAAAATATATATATATAAAAAAAAAAGAATTGCAGGCATAAATACATCTATTTAATCTTTGCAAGACAAGCTTTATTCTTTCTTTCCTATCATCATCCATTAACAGCAATCCCTCTTCTTGTTCTTTATCTCTTTCAGTTTCTATAATTTTTATTTTCTTTTAGATTCTTGAATTATTTATTTTATTTTCCCACAAACTTTTAACCCTCGACGTATCTAACATTAATGGCATCAGATAACGCAAACGATAAGTTCAAGTAAGTGAAACTACTGAAGAAGAGAAAGAAGAATAAGAATAAGAAGAAGAAATATATCCACAACAGCTTCTTATATTGAACCTTCTAGTGATATGGGCGCCCAAATATCTCGCAAGTTCCGCTCAAACTCTACTTCGCGAAAGCTTTCTACCCTGATTTCCGATTCGGAAACCAGCAATGTTTCTTCTGAGTCAAAATACCATAATGTTCCTTCATCATCATACTGGCTTGCCAGTGATAGAAGTGAGCAAGACCGTCTGATGGGTGTAAGTATAATGAAATACACATAAAAGAGCTACAAAATCTACATAATAGAAATCATTTATAAAAGTTACTCCAAAAAAAATAAAAATAAATAAATAAAATAAAATAAAAAAAAACCAAAAAAAAAAGCCACTTTCTATATTTTGGATTTTTTTTTGGGTTTTTTATTTGTTGGTTTTTTTTTGGAGGGCATTCATTTATTTATCTTTAAATGTATTTAATTATTACAGGAGCATTTTGCCATCAAGGAGGTAGTCGGTGGAAACATCTTGACCAAGGCTATGGAAATCCTTGACTTGGAGAAAGGTGTCAAGATTCTCGATATTGGCTGTGGCCCAGGTACCTGGGTACTGGTGAGTTAATTATTTTCTTGATCTATAAATTTGATCAATCAATCAACCAATTAAATTGTATTTTATTTATTTAACTTTACACCTTTTTTTTAAAAAATAATAATAACCATTTTTCTTCCTTTTCCTTTCTCTTTTGGTGTATTGTAATTAAAGGATGTTGCTACTGAACACCCCAACTGTGAAGTTACTGGTATCGATATGAGCAACATCTTCCCTCAGAATATCCGCCCTCCAAACGCAAACTTTTTGATTGCAAATGTTCTCGAGGGTCTTCCCTTGGAGGACAACAGCTTTGATTTCATTCAGATCCGCCAGATGGTTGCTGCTTTCACTATCCCTGAATGGCCCCTCGTAATCAAGGAGTGCATCCGAGTAATTAAGCCCGGAGGACTTCTTCAGATTGCAGAGGCCAATTACAAAGTATGTAACCACCACAGCTTTAAATCCTATAAAAAATATCGATAGAAATAAATTTGCTGATTAATTCTATCAATATGTATATGTAAAAAAAAAAACTTTTAGGACAGTGGCGAGGGTGCTTCTCTTTTGATGGTTCAGACAGGTAAGTTGACCAATAAGATAAAGTAGTAGTAGTAGTAGTAGAATCTGGGCTCTACAGACTTGGATTTCTCATTATCACCATCATTTTTCTTACCAATTCATTCAATAGTTCAAAAGTTTTGCCAGCTTCGTAACCAGGATCCTTTTATTGGAGCCCACATTTCTGATCTTATGGCTAACGAAGGTCTCGAAATCGTTCAAAAGATATGCAAAAGTGTGAACCAGGGTGATGACAGTAAGGCTGCAGCTGAATGGAACTGGGATTGGTGCCACTTTGCCGATATCATGAGAGATGTTTTCGGTCCCTTCCTCAATATCCCAGAAAATGAGTATGACGCCTTTATCACCGAGCTTGAGAAGTCTATGAAGGAGAGCAACTTCCACACCTATGCCAATACTGTAGTTGGTCAAAAGCCTTTTGCTTAAGAAAATATATATATATATATATATTCTTTTACGCACATGTACATGCACATGCACAACCTCCCCCTCTCACTCTAGCTCTTAGTTTTCTTACACTCAAATACCCACCCACAAATACTTAAACATACACTCACCCAAACTCACCTACACACTCACTTACATATATATATTTATATTATTCTTCTATTTTATTTTATTTTATTTTAATTAAACATGATAATGACAATAATATAATATAATATATACATATGTATGTATCTATGTATGTATGTATTTATGCACCAAGAACCTTCTTGACCATATCGCTCACTGTCTTCTTATCGGCCTTGGAAGCATCAATAGTCCATGCCTTCATAACCTTGCCCATATCGCGTGCTGTGGTTGCACCGATTTCAGCCACCAAGGCACGTACATGGCTTTCGATTTCTTCGGCAGACATCTGGGCAGGCAAGTAACGCTGCAATACAGCCAATTCGGCTTGTTCTTGCTCGGCCAACTCAGGTCGTCCGCCAGCAGCATACTGGGCTACAGAGTCTTGGCGACGCTTGATGCCCTTCTGGAGGACCGACAGAACGGAAGCATTCTCGCTCTGACCGGGGACAGCGTTTGGTGACTTGATATAATAAGTGTAGTCACTCAAGACACTCTTGACAACGTTGAGGTCAGGCTGCTTCTTCTCACGCATCAAGGTCTTGCGATCCTGCTTGAGTTGATCGAGAAGGGATTCTACGAATGTGAATGTGAATTTGAATGTGAATGAACTAAAATGATAATTAAATATATATAGAAGAAAATAGAATTGTAAGTCTATATTATTGAGTACAACTTACCAGTAGCTTCACTTGTGTAGTGTCTAACAAGACCCAGGCTGCGCATGGGCATGGATCTGCATTGGCTGGTCAATAGGAACAAGGATCTTTGAAGGCTGGCCATTTTGAGAATGAGTAAAGGGTTGACACATTTTGGAAATGTAAATAAATATACCTTAATTCAGGTACCGCAACCCTTCAAAATAAAACCGCTTTGTTTATGTTGCATTTTGTATGTGTGTGTGTGTAGTGTCTTCTTTTCCTTTGTCTTCTTTAGATTGGGTGCTTTTAATTTAAGCCAAGCTCACATGAGAGTCTCTCTAGCAATTAAATAAAACCCTCAATGGGTCTCAAGTACCAGACTTTGGATTACAATACTTGGACTCTTTGATTACATCGAATATCTATCTATCTATTTCACTGTTTACTTGTACATAAGCCAGTATTAAAAATCCAGGTATCGGTTTTTTTTATGAAGTGAATTTTTGAAATAAAAGAAGATTCAGGTCCAAGATGCTTAATATTTACAAGTCAAAATATTAAGCAACCCATTCTATTTTCTTTCCTCCTTTTAAAAAAGAAACTATTTTGTGATAAACATATACTTCTTCTTCTTGGATATATATTGTGAGTAAATAAGATGGTGTCGTTTTCGGTTTCTTTTTTTTTTTAGTTTTGTTGTTGGTGCTTTTATTATTATTATTGATATTCTAAAGAAAGTGCGTATTTTTTTTTTACAGATTTTTGCGAGGATGAATCTTATTTCTTATATAAATACATATATATTTTGGTGTGTGAAATGTAGTAAGTTTGGGATGTGTAATATGCTATATATATATAAAAAAGAAACTTAGAACAGAGTGTCTTCCTCACGGAGGTACTCTCCAACATCAGCTTGATGGAACATGATGATATCTGTGGGTGCAAGCTTCTTCATATCAACTGTCGAGCGTGCTGTCACACCGAAACCCTGTTTTATGATAAACAAGTTAATACACATAGACACAAGGATTCTCTCTCTTTTATATCCCGCCACTCGTAATTTTCTTCATATCCTCCTAAGCTCAACAGAATCTCTTAACTTACTAAGGGACTATCGGACATAGTGTAAACAACTACACCAGTGTGTTCGGGAGTATCATCGGTAATTCTACCCAAGTGAGCCTTGACGACATGATTGCCGTAAAGGAATGGCATCTCACCATTAGGCTTGATCCAGATCTTGTGCTAAACAAAAAAAAAATTACACTCAATCAGTACCAAGTTTCTTCTTCTTCTTTTTTTTCCCAATCGCTTTGCTTTTTATATATTATCCGTTTGTACCTTGGCGTACTGTGCAAGATGATCAAGAGCAGTAATGTGCAATTTAAACTTTCCAGTCTTTGTGAACTTTCCAAAGCACACACCAGCCGATCCGAGCTGATCACGTCCAACACTTGCAGCAATGCGCATCATAGCCTCACTATTATTATAATTAATATATTAGTATTTGTGAAGTACATGATTTAAGCATATTTCATCCTTTTGTTTCTTTAGATATATATACATATAGTAATATTAACAGTAGTAGTGGTAATAATTTTTTACCTGAGGTAATAGACACGGTTGTTGTGAAGACGGAAGCAGTAAGTCTCATCGGGACGATCGATCAAATGCTTAATGTTGGCTCCAATGCTATAAATCGTTTCCTTTTCTAATTAGGTACATATACATGTATTATTGTCTCAAGTACTTGAGTAAGGCTTACTATTTGGCGAGCTTCTCAAAGAGAGTTGTGGTTTCTTCGGCTGTCAAGGGACGCATTATGTATAAAAATATATGTATATAATAAAAAAAAGGGGGAGAGGGGATTAAGCTCTATTGAATTAAAAAAAAATGTATAAAAAAAAAAGTCAGCTTCAAGCAAAAATGGTCTCTAGATTTCGGTATTTGGAATTGCACCAAGCCACTTGCCACTGCCCATTTTTTGTGACTGATGAAAAGTTGAAGTAGAGGGAGAAAGGGAGAGAGTGTGGAGTGTACTTTGAGAGATTATGAGAGAGAAATAGAGATATATAAAATGTGTGTGTGTGTGTGTGTGTATGTCTACTTCTTCTCTGTCACAAATTTATGGAGCCTAGTTGTGTATTTTATAGCTGTTATTTGATTAGGTCTTTAAATCCAGACTATCCAAACAGAGTTTATGTTGGGTCTACACCAGACCCTATCAAACGTTTGAGACAACACAATGGAGAGATTACACAAGGTGCAAAGAAGACAACACCGTATCGTCCTTGGTAGAAAATATACATAAATATGTACATACATACATACATACATACATATATTGTCTGTTATCAAATTGTGTATTGAGACTAGTATTTTCTTTAAAAAAAAAACTAGGGAAATGGTAATGTTGGTTTATGGATTCCCTAGCAACTTGTGTGCACTTGCATTTGAAAATGCCTGGCAACATCCTCTAGAGTCTCGACACCTCAAAAGATCAAAGTGTTATGCCAACAAGGACAATGCTTTTGGAATGAGTAGTAAACAACATGCGAATCTATTGCTTTCCAAGATGCGGGCTGTACATGATGTCTTGTCCACAAAGCCGTTTTCTCGGTGGCCACTCAATATTCACTTTATTACCCCAGCTTTCAAATGCCTGTTTGAGGCAGAGGGGCAGGGTATGGCGGGTATTCTGCTACCCCATCACATAAAGACTACACTTGGACCACTGACTAATCTTCCACTTAAGAAATTCCAATTGGATAAGAGTGAGTTTAATATATATTGCATGTTATAGATATATAATTGAACATATATATCTTGTGTAGAAGACGACCCTGTATATCATAATTTTTGTTCAATGGCTGATAAAGTGCCTTGTTATATGTGTAAACTTGATGTTGAGAAAAAGGTATAGCTTCTTTTTCTTCTTCTTTGAATGTTTATATAATATCTTGATCTATTTTTTGTGAAGGTATAAATGTAACTGACAAGAGGATCTCTTTTTTTCTTTTCTTCATATTAGAATACACAGGCGTTTGTAGGCTGTTTAGATTGTAAGATGGTAACACATCTAAGGTGTCTTGCCAGTCATCTTCTTCTTATGGACTCTGATTCTGACAATGAACTTGTACCAGTCAAAGGAAAATGCCCCAAATGTGACACTGATATGCTTTGGGGAGATCTTATTCAGGCACTCAAAAAACGTAGCACTTGGGCACTCGAAGAACAATAAAAACCAATACCAAATAACAAATAACAATAACAATTATTATTTCATCTTTAATGCAATAAAGATATTTGTGTGTGTGTGTGTGTGTGTGTTTTTGAGGGTGTAGATATAAGGTGTAGATATAAGTATGGGTGTAGGTTTAGGTGTAGGTGCAGGTGGGTGTAAGCTGGTAGAGAGAGAGATATATATTTAATGGTATTAAGCAAATATAATTTTTTTTTCTCATTTTTTTTTGTGTGCGTATGATTGCCTGCAAGAAACATTGAGTTAATGACTCCTCTTTTTTGGTATATCAATATACAGATACATTACCTCTTTATTATATATACTTGTTTATATAGTATTTGATCTTTGATCCTTGATCCTTGCTTTTTTTTGTTACATGAAGACCCAGGTTGCACATGCCAGGGGAGTTGCTGCAGCAGACACAAAGGCAGACATGGCCAGAACAGTGAAGACAAAGACCTTGGTACGGGAAGACATTACTGGATAATAACGGCGATAAAAAGATTAAGAAGACGAGGAGGAAGAGGAAGGAGAAATAAGAGAAAGGTAAAGAGGAGGAGAAGAAAAAATTGAAGCTTTTAATGTTCTAAAGTGCCTTGATGAATCAATTGAAAAAAAAATGAAAAAAAAAATATCTGGGGCGTTTGCTTACGTAGGATTGAATAACCTATTTCTCGCTCTTTGTTTCTTTTTGCAAATAAGTCAATAGTAGAATGCCTTTTGTGCGTATTTGTTTTGTAAGCACAATGCAGCCACTCTATTATTGGCTTTCACACATTTTGATAAATAAGGAGTCTAAATGGAGAGCAATAGAGATAGATGTAGAGGGGGGGTCAAGGGTTCAAAGTTGCTTCCAGACTCTTTCTTGGTTATTATTATTATCATTTTTTTTTGGGTTTCTTTCCCCTTACTTTTCTTCTTCTTCTTCTTCTTTTGTCTTGTGTAGTTTAGAAGATTGTTATAATGGTGGACCTAATTCATATGCCTTATTTATTATACATCATTAGTTTGGAATTCTAATTCTAATTCTAATTCTAATTCTAATAATAATAATAATAATCTATATAATAATTATTTTCTAGTATGAACATTGCAAGGCTACATAGTTTGGACTGCAGAACCAAGCAGACAAGAATAGTTGAGGATTCAATAGAAATATAAAGATACATACATAAATATGTATATAGATAGATAGTTTTCTTGTTTTTACTGATTAATCTGCACAGCTAAAGAAAGCAAAAAAGATAAATTACCTTAATTTCCTACTCGGCGTCACGTCAAAAAAGGTTTGCAGGTGTATATCCAAAAGATGCAAACAAACAATCTACAATGGCATGAATCTGCATGGTGTAACAAGTCATTTATTTAAATATCACAATTACAATTATGATGACTATCTTTTTGCTGCTCAAGTCTGTCCTGTCCTTGCCTTTATTTTATTTTTTCTTGGGGGGTTGACATTCTTTAAATGATAATCTCATTCTTATTCTTATCCTTATTTTGCAAAGATTTTGTCTCAAAAAACATTATACAATTTGTTTTCTGCATTCCAACTAATAATTATACTAGATTTGCTGAAAGATAGACTATAATTTATGGCCAATATTCTTCATGTAATTGTGTTTCAAGTAATAGTAGTATCTATTTGGTTTGTTCAAATGCAATGCACTGATCAAATACCTATAATGTTAGCCTGAGAACAATATTTTGATCACCAAGTCAATAATATGCATTATTGCAGGAGAATACCGTTGTTCTGGGGTATATTATTTTTTTATATATATATAATTAATATATCTTGGTTCAGAGTGTGGCTGTGTTAAATATCAAGTCAATACGGAACAAGTCTGTTTTGTATTGACTTGTACATTAAAATCTCTAATATTCATTGGTATCAAAAGTGCATAGATCGAAATATCCTTCTCTTTCCCTCCCTTTTGCTTTAACCACCCCTTTGGCTATGTCTGTTGAATAGCTCTGGTGACAAAAAGAATTCACATAAATGTACCTCTTTGTTATACTGTAGATATGAATTATACAAGTAGCAATATGTATTCTTTTACTATTTAACTCATACTTTACTTTCTATTTCTATTTCCATTTCCATTCCCAATTATATATATATATATTATATACTAAAATATTCATGACGTACAATCTAGTTACACACAGACACACACACAAGGCCGTATCTCCCAGTTAGATTAGAGGGGGCTAATCGGAGTGTGGGTCTCTTTACTCTATTTTATTGATTAAGAGCCCTATTTTTCTTTTATATTTTTTTTTATTATGGTTGCTATTATATATTTTCCATGTGCGTCATTTAGACTGTACTAGATCCCCCATTAACGACTCGAGTACCTTTTATATTTTATTTAAAAATAAAAATAAAAATAAAATATATATATATATATATATATTCCTCTTCTCACTTACTCACTCACTCACTTACTCACTTACTCGCTCACTCGCTCACTCGCTCACTCGCTCACTCTCTTTATATATATGCATACATAATAAACATATTGTTGGGATTGTTTAAAAATGCTGACATCACATTAAATTCTATGCACAAGCCAATTTCATTTTTATTTTTACAAAAAAATAAATAAAAATAAAAGCTCATATAGGCATAGTCATGAACAATATTAATAGTAATATATACAGCAATTATATATATATATGTAAAAAAGAATATTATTATCGTTATGAATTAATAATAATAATAATAATAATAAAAGTTTTTTGAGTCTTCTTGTTATTGGAGATCCAAAATAAATGAACAAATGGCTTCATAACCGTAAGAATCCTCTTACTCATTTTTTTTTTAAAAAAAAAAAAGTGGTTTGAAGGCTTAGATTGAAACATGGATCAAAGCTGAATATATTTCAATATCCAATAAATTATCATATACGCATATAAATATATATTGGTTTGTTTGTTTGTAAAACATTACTCATACAAAGTTTTATAAAGATATCGAAGAAACCAAAAAACCCCCCCCCCCCGAGAGACATGAGATTGTCGTAATAGGATAAACTTTGAAATATATTTGGATATTTAAACTCAGTAAAACCAATTCATGTTTCTCAATTCACCCAATAAAATGATGAACTGAATCAAAACTACGAGATCTTCACTAAAGTAATTTTTCTTTTTTTTAAAAAATAATAATACTCGGAATCCAATTGAATTTCTTTATCAGAATTTTATAAGAATAAGACCTTTTTTTTATATCTTATTTTAATATATCGCATTCATTCATATAAAAAAAATCATGAAAAGATAAACAGAATTTCAGTAAAAGTAAAGGGTCATTTCTATACTTTTCATATAAGTCTTTCATTATTTACCATATCAAAGGTTACACTAGATTGACTTGGTAACTAAACCTTCCAGAAAGCAGGTTGCGCAGTAAAAATACCAAAAATAAATAAATTAATTAATAAAAAAACAATATATATATAATGATAATAATATTCTTCTTTTATTATTATTATTATTATTCATAGCTTTTGAATATGTAGTATGTTTATAATAAGTAAAAAAAACTGTGTATGTATATTATGTATATATAAATGTTATGCCATATCAGATCAGATCATATCAAATCAGATCAAATCAATAAGGAGTATAATGTTACCAAAAGGCTGATAATAATAATAATAATAATAATAGCCAATATAAGGCCAAGTAAAGTAAGAAAGGGTGAGGACAACAAGAGAAAGAAATAGAGAAGGAGAAGGAAATGGGGATTTGGTTGGTACACTATTGAATACATAAATTAAAACTGTAATAAGCTTATTCTCTTATCTGAATGACATCAATACTATAATAAAACATAATAAAAACGAATCTAAACCTTTATATATACACATAAGACTCAAAGCCGTTTTCAGTATTCCTTTACTACTAAATATATATACATATATTTTTATCATATTTACTATGACTTGAATAACCAAATAAATTATATAATATCTTTCTTTTTTTAAAAAAAAAACGATACCCTTGAATGAGTGTACGTATATATACATACGTACAGAGAGAGAGCGAAAACCTTGCAAGGCCAATAATAAATTAAAGGAGAAAACATTTGGAAATTCAGTCTCAGAATATTCTGAGACATAGCAGTCCACTGTTTTTTTTTAATGGGTGTTTCTCGTTTTTTTTTTTGCTGTTTAAAAAAAAGCATGCGCATCACACAGAATAACAAGTCACAGATGTAAAACGTCGGCGAAAAAATCAAAAAAAAAGAAAGTTTTTTTTTAATTATATATGTATATATATATATCAAGAAATAAGGAAATAAAATCTTGCTCCCTCCTTTCTCCCTCCTTCATCAGCTTCATTAAAAAAAAAGGGAATCATGAGTGCCATTTCAGCATCCAAGGCTAAGCGTCTCGCAGCAAAGGCTGCCAAGGGTGGCAAGGCTGATTCTGGCAAGGATTCCGGCAAGAACACTCCCATTTCGACCAAGACTACATCCGCAGAGGATCTTATGGACAAGTTGAAGATCAATGTCGACCGTACTGCCACCGGTAACTACTCTTCCCAGGAAAGAAGCAGAGATATCAAGATCGAGTCATACTCTCTCAACTACCACGGTCGTGTTCTTATCGATAACGCTACCATCGAACTCAACTTTGGCAGACGTTATGGTCTTTTGGGTGCTAACGGTTCTGGAAAGTCTACCTTCCTTACCTCCCTTGCCGAGAGAGATATCGAGATCCCCGAACATATCGATGTAAGTATTTTTTCTGGATTCATACGCACATACATATAATGTGCATGTAGCCCAATGGGAGAAACTAGGTTTTTCTTTCATTTCATTTCATATTATCAATTCAGACACAAACAAACAAACAAGTATACAATTGTATATATTTGTACATCTTGTACATCTTGTAAATTTATTTTGTTTGTGTCTGAATCGATAATATGAAATGAATCATTCAGGTTTTTAATTATAGATAAACTTACCCATATTTTTTTTTGGTAGACCTACCTCCTTAACCAAGAAGCCGAGCCTTCTGACATGAACGCTGTCGAGGCTGTCATCCTTCACGCCCAGAAGGAAGTCGCCCGTCTCGAGAAGCAGGTCGAGGAACTCCTCAGCCAGGATGATGGTGCCGACAACCCGCTTTTGGATGATATCTATGAGCGTATCGAAGGCATGGATCCCTCCACCTTTGAGGCCAGAGCTTGCTCTCTCCTTTCCGGTCTTGGTTTCAACACCGCTCAGATGAAGAAGGCCACCAAGGACATGTCTGGTGGTTGGCGTATGAGAGTCGCACTTGCGACTGCCCTTTTCATTAAGCCCACCCTCTTGTTGTTGGATGAGCCTACCAACCATTTGGATCTCGAGGCCTGTGTGTGGCTCGAAGAGTACCTCAAGACCTACGACCGTATTCTTGTCGTCGTTTCCCACTCCCAGGATTTCCTCAACGGTGTCTGCACAAACACCATGAACTTGAACCACAAGCGTAAGCTCATCTACTATGGTGGTAACTACGATATGTTCGTCAAGATTAAGGAGGAAAACGAGGTCAACCAGGCCAAGGCCTACGAGAAGCAGCAGGAAGAAATTGCCCACATCAAGAAGTTCATTGCCTCTGCCGGTACCTACGCCAACTTGGTCCGTCAGGCCAAGTCCAAGCAGAAGATCATCGACAAGATGGAGGCTGCTGGTTTGATCGAGAAGGTCGAGAAGCCCCAGGCCTTCAAGTTTGCCTTTACCGATGTCGACAAGCTCCCCCCACCGGTCCTTGCCTTCCAGGAGGTCTCATTTGCCTACAGCGGTAAGGTTGAGGACTGTCTCTACCGTCACATCGAACTCGGTGTCGACATGGACTCCCGTATTGCCCTCGTCGGTCCTAACGGTGCCGGTAAGTCTACCCTCCTCAAGTTGATGAGCAACGAGCTCGTGCCCACCGAAGGTCGTGTCCAGCGCCACACTGCCCTCAAGCTTGGCAAGTACTCCCAGCACTCCAACGACCAACTCGAGATGGATCTGTCTCCCATTGACTACATGAAGAAGCATTTCCCTCACGAGAGCACCCAGACTGACCACTGGCGTCAGCAGTTGGGTCGCTATGGTTTGACCGGTGCCCATCAGACCTCTCCCATTGCCCACCTTTCCGATGGTCTCAAGTCCCGTCTCGTATTCGCCGAACTTGCCGTCCTCCACCCCCACATCATCTTGTTGGACGAACCTACTAACCATTTGGATATGGAGTCCATCGATTCGCTCGCCAATGCTATCAACAGCTTCAAGGGTGGTGTTGTCCTTGTTTCCCACGACTTCCGTCTGATTTCACAGGTTGCAAAGGAGATCTGGTTGTGTGAGAACGGTGACATTGCCCGTTTCCCTGGATCTATTGCTGAGTACAAGGAGGGTCTCAGAAAGAAGGTCAAGATCTAGATGATTTAAAGTGTTGTTTTTTAGATTTGTTTTTAAAAAAGAAAAAAAAAGAAGAAAGAAAAAAAAAAGACCATAAGAAAAACCTTGAGGAGAAATACCTCTATATTTTTTTTTATTTTATATATATACTATTCTCCCTCTATCTATCTCCATTTCTATCTCTTTTTATCTCTATTCCTCTATCTCTATTTTCTCTCTCTCTATCTATCTTTTCATCCTTTAGATTCTTTGGTCAAATTCTCTTAATTTTGTGCCAAAATTACCCTTTTGCAGTTTGATATATATATATATTCTTTATTTTCCACATGTATTAAAATAAATCATTAGTTTGGCTGCCCTTTTTATATATATACACAATACATGTGTCTATGCACAAAGATATAATAATATTTTACCTATTGAAAGGGAAAAAGCATTTGGTACAGAATTTAACCTTGCATTACCAAAGTAGTATTTTGCTATTACATACAAAGACCATTTCTACAAAGAAAGATAGCCTTATCCTGAACTATAATTTTGCTTACAAGACTTGTTTACATATGAGTATTTGTATAGTATGAGTAATAGTTAGAAAGGTCTTCTTTTGTTTCATAAAAAAAAGAAACTTGATTCACTAGTCTTGGTATATATATATAACATCAAGACTGTTAAGATTGCATCACTGTCACTGTTTATCCACGCCACTGATGCTGTTCATCAACCTTTTTCTTTTTAAGGTTTGTGTAATCTACGCCCCCCTTTTTTTCACTTGCACCTCACCAGCCACAATAGATTTCCTAGACTCACTTTCTTTTTTTAATGCCTATTTTTTCTTTTTTTGATTGGCTTATGTTGTTGAGAAATCTCAACTTTACATCGCAATTTCTTATCTATACACATTCATATCTCTCTCCTCTTTTATCGCCAAGAGCTTCAGTTTACTACAAATTCTTTTGGAGAATAGTGTCACACTACCAGTAGATAGCCCTCAACCAAAACCCCTTTTTTGTTTAGTTGTAATCTTTTATATATGTCTTAAAATTGTCAGGTTACTACTTGGTCAAGGTCACTTGTCAGCTAATCTTAAAATACATTCTACTCGCTCAAAGAGCTTTTAACTAATCCTCGCCTAGTCTCTCAGGTACCTTTCCGTACTGATTTAGTATACAGTACGTCATTTTATTTTTCTTTATTTCTAGAATTAAGAGTTGGATACGATGTACACTCACACAGCCATTACAATCAAAACAACGTTGCTTACCAATATTAAGTGGTAATTCCTAAAGATGTATTAAAAAGAAAATAATTGCTTACTCATGAGGCTGAGAAAACAGTCTGTGGGCTTACATACATACATACATATATATGTATATCCAGCCACTGACGTCTCTTTACACTTTGTGAGGATCTGTACACCCTGACTCCACAAATTATGTAACAATGTATGATATTCTCACAGGCTTATCATCGGATTATATGTACCTCTTGAACGCAGATCAGGTTCTCTTCCTTTTCATTTTTTTTTAAAAAAAAACACATCTCTGCTGGTACTTCCTGTACACTTTGGTGAATTAGTTCTAAACCAAAACAGGGAAAGACGGGAGTTGGAGGTTTTTTTCCATGTGTGACTTTAGCCCTTTTTATATTCCAAAAGATTGTGCTTAAAGTCCATAATTTTTTAGGGATATTCTCTCTATCTCTCTATGTCTCTTGACAAGACGCCACCCGAATTAAATATAGCTTTGCACAGACACAGTAGCACTTGTATAACCACACGCATATTTGTATAGATGTATACACTTCTTTTCTGTGCATTTATTCTGGCCAAAACTCAAACTGTATACCGTATCCATCTTGGCCGCTTATTTCTTACTTCTTACTATTATTCTTATTATCCCTCTATCCGTGATCACGTCACAATTCTCAGTACACTGATATTCTCTAGACTTTTACATGCCTTATTCTTTTAGGCTGATTATGTCCTCTCCCCTCAGTCAGTTTCTTAACTGCCATACAGCTACGCACAAGCAAAATTCACTCATCACTCCTCTTTATCTTGGTCATCAAATCTTGGCTCAGTCAGTGTACACTCTAAAGTATTGATAACCTTGATGAATTCATTTCTTTACTCTATTTTATTTTTTGGAATTCACAAATTCAAATATGTACTCTTAAATCTGTTGAATACATAATTATCATCACTTTCTCTTTCCCTCCTACCTCCTAATAATTTCTTTCTCTCATCTTCCTCCTTGTCTACCTAAACTTGATCTTGCCCAGATGATCTTTATTTTGTCAATATATATATATATATATCTATTCTTTGTTGCTCCTGGTTGAAACCCTTTTGCTAGGCCTATTGTTTGTTATTTTATTTATGATAGTCGCCTCGTAAAACAATATTGATATTAATAATAGTATTACTAAAGGTCAACAGTGTTCTATTGAACCTTTATGTTCTTTAATATCTTTAATTGATCGATTTTTCTTTGTAGTAAACTTGACAAAATTATAGTTATCATCAAAATACACTTACATATATAGATACTAACATGTAAACTCCCGCCTTTTTTCTTTTTTACTTATTTTTTATTGACTGGGGTTTCTATTTAAATGTAGGTGATGTGGTATTAAAATAAATCCAGATTAGGACGTCTTGATTCGGATCCCTAGAGTTAATTTCGACCACAACCTCTCCCTTAACTTACCTTCACAAAACTCTTGATGTGTGCGGATACGGAACGTTTATTCTTATCTTTTGGAGCCTTTCTTTGTAAGAGTCCCCATTCACTCCTGACAATATCATATCAATTAAATATCCATGCGTGTTTTCTTCGGTTTCCCTGTAACTTTCCCCTAATTCATTTTCTAATAGCAAGTCTGAAGTAGCATTGTTTCGCATAGTCTTTTCTAATGTATTTAGTAATTGCTCTTCATCCTAAGCCGTCTATATTTTCTAATCCCTAGAGTAGTATTGGCTTACTTACTCTCACTAATTCAAGCAAATCTTTTTGTTTTTTGTTTTTAAAAAGGATCATTTCCCTTGTTTTCTCTCCCCATCTTCTATCTCTCTTTATATTCCTTTTGTTGTTACCCGTAATATCTGGTACCGTTTGCTTTACAATAAAAAGAACAAAAAAAAAAGAACAAAATCTTCCCGCGGAAGTCTTCAGTTTATCATAAACATTAGGTTTGTAGTGTAGTATTAAACTCCCCAAGATAATGTTCTGTTCTTTCTTGCCAATGTATTAGGTTTAATATTCTATTCTGGTTTATTTTTATCATCGTCTTTTGACAACTACACTTTGGACTCATTCCACAACCAGTCAACATCTCTATTCCCCAATTTTATTCACCAATTCCTATCTTTCTCTCTTATACATACATACACATAAACACACATTCTATCCTAGCTTGCTTTCTTGCTTGCTTGTTTTAGGCTCCTTTTTACAAATGTGTCTAAACCCCACCATTTCTTACTTTAATTTTTTCAAAAAAGAAAAAAAGGAAAGCGCTAGAAGATACAAAGTCCCCTTGTTTAGCCCTGAATCAATAATCATCTAAAAATATACTCAATAAACCAAGTATAATAGCTTCCTCACCCCCACACCTAGACAGACAATAAAAGCAATAATAAATTGGACCAAAAGAACAAAGTCGTGTATATTATTCTTAGTAGTAGTAGTAGTAGTAGTAGTAGTAGTAGTAGTAGTAGTAGTAGTAGTAATAAGAAGAAAAGGTAACAACACAATCGATTAATATAGCTGTGCAAGTAGAACTTGTAAACTTATTCAAGATATCCAATTGGCTCACATTTCCGGATACTTACACTTGGCACAAAGTATTGATGATAGCATTGAAAACAATACTATCAACAGAGTTTCGACTATGTTTGGTTGACTGGTATCAAGGGAAATCTTTTCTTATTTGATTTTATTTTTGATAATAATTAATGAACCCAAAGAAGAATCTGTTTCAATTTGCCTTTTTTTTTTGAAGCTGAACATGGTCCAAGAGAAAGAGAATAGAGAGAATAATAATAATAGTAATAAATGAGATGATATGATATTAGATGATATTATACGAGAGAGAAAATTACTTGGCATTTAATGTTAATATTGGCTGCAAATTCAGTAATATAAGCGTACATAATACATAGACATAGAAAAGGAATGGTTAGTATCTATTTACCTATCTATCTATTTACCTATCTATCTATTTACCTATCTATAATTCTATTTTGATTGAAATGAATATGAAGAGTAATACATTGCAATTATGATAGCAATGTATATGTATATTATAGGTGCACTCCTTAAAAACAATTGATAACTTAATGGCTGATAAGAGAGTAATCCCTTGACTGAATAATCAAGAATACACGCATACTAGATACATTGTATGTATGCTTGTGAATTCAACACAACAATATAAAGAACAAGGAACACATAATAAATACTCAATGCTTAATACTCAAATAATCATACTAAGCCTAATGCTAATCACAAAGGGGTTAAAGAAAAGAAGGGGGATGTAGAAAGAGGGGCAGAGATTTTTCTTTTTGTTGGTTTACTTTAATTTCTTTCTTTATTCATTTATTTTACCTAGTAAAAAAAAATTAAGAATAAATAGGCTGTCTAGACCCTTGCCTACTACGTCCCTTTACCTTGTTCCTGGTCTTGAAGCCCTCTTCTTTTTATTTTTATATATTATATATTATATATTATTATTATTATTATATATATATATATAGTGTGTGTGTGAGTGTGAGATATATAGAGAGAGAAAGAGAGAAAGAAAAAGAAACCTTGCTGTATTATGCCCGCCCGTTCGATGACTAGGTCCCATGCAATTGCATCGCTTCAACAAACTGCTCGGTTCTCCTATCGATCATGTCCGCTCTGCTCAACTCCACTTCTTGTTAGAATTCACGGGTCATTTGTATACAAATGGTTAAATAGTCACTTTGCGGTAAGAATATAAAAAGAGAGATAGACCAATAAACTTTCTCTTCTTCTTCTTTTATTGAGTTTTATAGTGACAATTCCAATTTTCAGAAATCCCACCACGAATTCATGCATCTCGTAGTCAACCTTCATCCCTCAAACCATTAGAGAGCTTTTGGGTCCCTTTTATTTTATTTTATACTTTTATATACATTTCCTATCAATTTAAAACAGCCTCTTTACCTTTTGTTCTTACTATTATTCCTATGTAATTCACTTCATTTCTTTTCATTTCTTTTATTATACTATATTTTTATATGCTATTATGTAGATACCTACCTACCTACCTACCTACCTACATTCACATATACATATATGTGTATATATCTATTATTCTTTTCTATATTTTCTATGCCATTTAATGCTTTATTAAAAATAATAATAATAATATAATATATATATTACTTTTTCATTACTAGACATTTGCTACTCATAGCAAAATCGTAACTTCGCTCTAATTATTTCACTATACACATTCTAATATATTTCTTATATATATAAAATACCTTGGTGTACAATATTTCATGAAAATAATGTTGTGTCAAAATGTAGCATTTCACACACAAATATTATATATAACAAGGTTTCTAATCTTGAAACACTACTATGATCGTTTTCAGAAAATAGTACAAGTGTAAAATTAATCGAAAAGTCAAAGCCCTATTGTTCAACCGTAATATATATATATATAATATTCACACTGTGACTCTTGTGAGACTAATTAGGACTGTATAACAGGTACTTTTCTAAGGATTCCAAACCTGAATATATATATATATACCTATTAAAAACCAGAGTAAAGAAAAAAAAAGGGCTCAAATATCGAATCTTTCTCTTTCTCTCTTTCTCTCTCTTAAATTCCCTTTTTTTTGTATCCCTTCTTCCTGTAAAAATCATCACTATTACTATTACTATTACTATTAACACTAGTACGAATATTACTACTTAATAATAATACTAATAGTTTTAGTAATAATAATAAAAGAAGAAAGATGTCTAAAATCAACTGGAAAGCCGCACGAACTCGGCGTTTGATAATATCTTATTTGAAAGACTGGCTACTAGTCATCGTAATGACAGCCGCATTCTTTGCAATCGACAAGGTCCCACCTTACCATCGAAAATTCTCTATTCAGGACAAGACTATCATGTTCCCGTATGCAGTAGAAGAAACAATTCCAGTTTGGCTCTTATTGGTAAATAAATCACAGGATTCCCTTTCTTCTTCTTCTATTGGTTTCAGCAACCTCTTCTACTAAAAAGAAAAGAAGACGAAGAAAACTTTCTCTCTTCATTACTTCTCACCATCATAAGCCTCAATAGATTATTTGTTTCGTGGTACCAATTGTGGCAATGGCATTAGTCTCAATTGGAATCAGACATAGTTTACATGACTTTCACAGTGGTCTTCTTGGTAAGGATACATATATAAAAATAAACAAACAAACAAAATAAACAAAAAAAATGACTCCGAATATATTCTTATACTAAGCTTGTCTGCATTGACAGGTCTTTGTCTTGGATTGTCCATAACAATTATGATTACCGATATTATAAAGGTATCTATCTTCTTTTAATTGTTCTCTTCACATAACTAATTGATTTGTTTTTAAATATATATTCTTATCTTACCTTGTACATAATTGCTATCTCTTTGTCTTTGACTTTTATGATTGGTTTAGATCACAGCTGGAAGAGCGCGTCCTGATATGCTGGATCGTTGCCAGGCACCCCCAGGTATCATTGATCCAGTCTATGGCTTGACAGACTACACTGTTTGTACAACACCAGCAGATAGTGCTATTATGATCGATGGTTTCAAGAGTTTCCCAAGTGGTCATTCCTCGTGTAAGTAAACTAAATGGTATTCCATTTATCTATGTTTTTGGAAAACTGAATCTAATATAAATATGTATATGTCTTGGGGCTATTTTTTTTTTAAAAAAAAAAAACCTTAGTTTCATTTGCTGGGCTTGGATTCCTCTCCTTTTATTTGGGTGGAAAGATGCGCATGTTTGATGAGCGTGGTGTAAGTGGTGATTAATGTACCCAATAAGAAAAGAAAAAAAAAGAAAAACAGGAACGACAATAGGCTCAGATGAACTCAATATCTTATTTATGTATATAAATCCATAATCTATTTAGCATACCTGGAAAGGATTCGTATTTGCCGCACCCTTGGCTGGTGCAATTCTTGTAGCCATCTCTCGTACACGTGATTATCGCCACCATTGGCAAGATGTTTTGGTTGGAGGATTGCTAGGTAAATACATAAATTGCTATCAAAAGTGGGACTACAAATAGAGAAAGTCCTGCTTTTCTTTATTTATTTCAAACAGGATCGACCATAAGCTTTCTTAATTTCTTGGCAGTCTGGCTGGTTAATTTATTAACGTCTTTAATTTTTTTCTTCTTCATCTTTTTCTATATTTAGGTCTTTGCTCAGCCTATTTTGCATATCGCCAATATCATCCTGCCCTTGGACACCTCCGATGTTGCACACCTTTTGCACCACGATTCCCAGCCACAGACGATAATGGGCCTTACAACGTAATAGACGACAGTGAAGCGACACTGTATAATAGAAATATTGATCCAGTCACTGGGAGGTCAGTCCCTTTAAAGGGAATTGATCCCAATTCAGGTCTACCCCAAACACATCACAGATCCGAAGATCCGTTTGTAGATAGTGCTAGCTCATCAACGCAGCAATAAAAAAAAACAAAATGAAATGAAATAAAACAAACAAACAAACAAATAAGGATATCTATTCTTTTGCTGTTGTTGAAAAGAAATATATTATAGTCATCTTGACCCCATTAAGCTCGTTGATCATCTTCATATGGCTATCTAGAGCTTATAACAAAATACTTTTTTATTATTATTTAAAGTAGGATAGGTAACTGAGTTAATTAATTGGCCCAAGCTGATCAATTGTGCCTTTGCTACTAATACAAATAAATAAGATTCTGATGAGATTTTATTTAAAGCCACAAACCAATCAATCACCCATAAAGAGTGGATTTGTGGCTAAATAATCCGAGTTAATTAGTAAATCTCTGAGCACATGACACCACGAGTGTGTTGTCATGGTTATTATTATTATTATTCAAAAAAAAAGAAAAGAAAGAGAGCGTTAAGCCAGAGAAAATTGATACCGTGCGCAAGTAGGTAACATAGATATCTGTTTCTCAAACCCCCGTCTCTTTTCTCCTTAAATATGCTGTGAAAACTATACTTGATTATGATTCGATACTTGTGCTATATACAAAGCTTTATCTTTTCAGCCCTATAGATATATATATATATATATATATATTGTGTTGCTATTATGCTGGTATAATCATAAATAAGATTTGAAATACCATTGAAGAATAAAAAAACGAGGTTAAAAAATAGTCACAGACAGACAAAGAGACATATACTTTTGTGTATCAAAAAGAGGTACTTTTTTTTTTAAGAAAAAAATCACAAGGGGAAAGGAGTAGGAGTATGAGAACGAGACACTGATACCAGCACGTGGATAAGTATGATAGGTGTACAGTAGGGTTTATGTACATTGTAACGAAATACTAGCCAAATATAAGTCAAGAATAAAAGCAAAAACAAAAAGGAGGAAAGGGCTTGAGGAAATTAGTTGGTACACGATATTGTGTTTTGCGAGTAAGTATACTAGATTATATGTATAACTGGTATGTATTCTTGGATTGAAGTTACACACAAAAATACAAAGGTCTGTATATAAACCATTGCAACCTGCCTATCACAACTTTGCCATATATACAAACATAATAAGATACTATACTTCTTTCCCGATATAAGACTAATCGAGGATGCAATATTCCGTTTACCCTTGAGGCTTTGAAATTGACAGATAGGATCCTATAACTTTTTTTCTTAGAACTAAAAGAAAGCGTACGACGTTGCTTCTATTAGGAGCCCGATCAATCGTCTCCTCTTTCTCTTTCTCTATATTGAGAGAGTGAGAGAAAGAGCGCGATTTGAAGAGTACAAGCGCAAATTCATGGCTTTGATGAAAAGGTTTTGATTTGTAAGCTTTGTGAGTTGACAAATCCCACTCGCAAGATACCATATTCTTATGCCAAAAATGTATTGCTTTGTATAGAGAAAACACAATTGGAAGGGAATGAGACGTAAAATGACTTTTGTATGCGCGGTTGTTATTTCCAAGTAGCTTTAACTGATAATCGTAGTAACAAACTATGATATGATATGATATGATATATAGTTAAAAGCATGGTATCATTTAGAGAACTTTGGCAGAAAAAAATAAAACAAGGCTTAAAATTAAGATTGTAATGTCATAGCTTGCTCCTTTTTTCCTTTTTTTTACTTGGCACACGTAGTACCCAACGTTACGAAAACAACAAAACTAACTGGATACATTGGTGTTAAATGCTTAATATCAGCTATACCAAGAATATTGGTTTTTTATTTTGGCATATGAATATCACCTGGACTGAGGTGAAATACATTTGTAAAGAAAATTAAGAAAAGAGTTTAATTTCTTTACGAATAGATATCTTGCTATCTAGTCCTACAAAGTTTAGACTTTGGGCTCAAGGTAAGTAGATTATCAAATTTGCAGCAACAACAAACAAAAATGTCTGATCATGACATTGACTCTTCTTTTTAAAACTATTTATATTTCAACTTGGAGGACATTTAATTTTCCAAATATTAACGTTATCCTATAAGTTTTTCATGACATATAGATATCGATATATCTGTCAATCACATATATATATATACTTTTAAAGGTGTAAAAGGCTCGTAAAGATCCTAAATTGACCTGCAATTCGAACAAACTTTTAATTCTAAAAACAAAATGGCCATATAATTGTTGTAAATCGCCGTCTGGGCTGCTCTGGTGTAGATGTCTCGAATCCTTAGATTCAATGTTTCTTTCTCCAAAAGATACCTTTTTTTTAATTCAATTAAAATCAATAATTATAAAATACAGTAAAAATGTTCGAAAATTCTATTAGTTTTATGCAGATTGTTAATGGTTTTAGTAATTGGTATTTATTTACTCTTTATTATTCTTTATATACAAAACATTAGTGAAAATAGTTTATTTTAAGGCAAGAGAATCACCTTGATATACATGATATTCTTATTACCACTTTAATACCTGAGATCCTTACAAGTAAGTAAATATTGGTCTTTGAAAACACACACGCACACATAGGTGTGTGTTTTGATTATTAACAGTACTTGTAATTCTTCTTATTTTCTATTTTCTATTTAATATTAAATAAGAAAGTAAATTCCTAGATATTCCCTTATTAAACTCATTCCAACTTTATTTATTTTATATTACTTAATTTAATTTAATTAAGATATTTATGTTATTTTTAGCATTTAATAAAGGTTTAGATGCCTTGGATATATCTATAGTAATTTTTAACATATCTTCAAAAGCTTTTGCATGCTCTATTTGAACTAATAAGGTATTCTAATTTGTGTACTGAAAGAGCTGCTGTTCAGACTTGTCGAGTTACATGCATTTTGAGAATTAAATACATAAAATATAGAAGTACGTGTCCCTAGAGTCTGTAATTTTGTTTATAATCAATTAACCTTTTCGTATTTTATTTATTAATTGGGGTAAATAGGCAGCACAGCAAATATTATCTGAGTAACTTAAATACAAAGATATACACACGCACATATATATATATATATATATATGCTCTACTATAAGCTTAGTGCAAGCTCAAGTTGATTTGATAAATATAGAGGAGGAGAAGTAGAAGAAGTATAAGAAGAAAAGGAAAATATTAACTGTTTTTCTTCGACACGGATATCCAAAGAACTACTTACTGGCTATCAATTGAATTGTTGCACAGCAAGATATCCCAAAATATAGGATTCTTCCGTGTAATTATGTACACGTATACATTTACGCTTTTTTTCCTTTTTTTCCTTACCGCTAATAGCCATTCCTTTCTTCCAGATCAGTAGTGTCGCACAATATACCCTGGTTATTGGCTGAAAAGCTAATCACAAGCGTATATGCTGATTTTGCACCTTTAGCTTAAACTTTCAAGGGAAATTGTACTTGGGTAGAAAAGGGCAATATTAAGACACTAGCCACGTTTGACTACCTTGTGCCAGTATATAGGACAAAGTCTTGTCTTCATGGCAATAACTACGTCACAGTCAGGTCATCTAAAGTGAAATCGCACGTGGTGCACATAGCCGACCCTAGTTCGTCTCAACGGGCTCATCTATTTTTTTTTATTTTTTTTTTATTTATTTTTTACAATCTTTAAATCTCACCATGAGTACGCCATCCGTCTCTTTCGATATTGCTAAACATCCTGCTAAAGATACCATCAAGTTATTGACATCTCTTCTGGAGAAGGTCACAATGGCCAATGACAGGGCTCACTCAGCAACCCCAAATACAACTGATCCTACCGATCATTCTACCCGACAAGGTCGAGCACGTAGCATATCCCACCCATCACCTTATACTTGCTTTCATGCACGCTCTATACCAAGCATCACAATCCATGCTTATCTTATTCGCATTTTAAAATATTGTCCTTGTGCAAACGAATGTTTCCTGGCTCTTTTGGTTTACTTTGATCGCATGTCAAAGCCAAATCATTTAACCAACTCGCCTTCACTTCGGCTCGACTCATACAACGTTCATCGCCTTGTTATTACTGGAATTATGATTTCTAGCAAGCTGTTCTCGGATGTTTTCTTTACCAATTCACGCTATGCAAAGGTAAATTCGAACTGCAGACCCACAGGAGATCATACGTGCGTACGTACGTACGTACGTACATATGTGGCTGACTGATTTTTCATTTAAATAAATAAATATATATGTATTTATGTATGTATGTAGGTTGGAGGATTACCTGTGTCTGAACTTAATACTCTTGAACTTGAGTTTCTTCAGTTAAACAACTATGGGATGTTTGTAACAATCGAAGAGTTGCAATATTATGGTGACCAACTACTGTTGCACTGGGTAAGGGAAATGGAAACGGGTGGGAGTGATCAGCTCAGCAGTACAGCTGACGATCAGGTTAATCCACAAGACAACCAACCCAAGAGACCAACCGTCGAATCAGAGTCCACAAATCATATAAATACTGCTGCACGGCAATTGTCAATCGATAAAGGAGCGCCTGTTGAACACACTTGTCCTGAGAATAGTGATGCAGAGTCAAAAGAACATAGCAAAGTTCACCAAAAGGCACCTATAAGTGATAATACTACTTGTGGTCAACGGGATCAGCCTCAACGAACGGCTCATAAATCAAATACTTTGCAAAGTACCACAAAGGATATTCACCGCAAATCCAATGAAATTGACAGACATCGCGTCTTTAAAAGGCCTAGTTTTTCGACATCCCCAAACTCTACTAGACCACATTCGACAAATTTGTCTGATTCAAAGCCAAGAGCCACGCACATCTTGCCAACCCCACCTGGCTCCTCATCACCACTTATCAACCGCCCTCATGCATCACCCTCGCCATCCTCTTCACAAGAATCGCATACTGCTCACAACCGTTGAACAAGTTTTTCTTTTTTCTTTTTCGGCTCAAATTTCCACAATTTCTAGCAAATTTATGCTTTTCTTTGCTTTGTTTTGTCTTATTTTATTTTATTTTACTGTATTTGATAGCAGGACTATCAGTCGTGTGTACTATGGAATCAAATATTTCGTATTTGACTAGTACTGAAATTTATAGATGAACAACAGCACCAACATGTCAATTTAAACTTTAAACAATGTGGCTGTAGAGTGATAGAACTTTCATTTTATTTTACTATTGCTATTATTACCATTACCATTACCATTACCATTACCATTACTCTTACTACTATTCTTATTCTTATTACTATCATTTACGCATTACTATATCTATTATTACTATTGCTTTATATGATGCGATAAACACATCTCTTAATATATATTTTCTTCTTGTTCTTTCCTTTTGATAGCTCTTCTTTTAATAAATATCTTGACTTTTTACTCCAAAGACCATAATCCCAGTAAATTGGTCCTTTTCAAGTTTAAAATATAAACTTTGAAAAAGGCTAAATTTCTTGGAATCCTTCTTTACTATGAGCTTTATTGTCAATTATTTAACTTCACAGTTCAGAAACAAAATTTCTTTGACGATAAATGCTGGAAGCGAAGGGATAACAAGATTATTTTTGACCATTACATACACATATGTATGTTGAAAATGTAGTTTAAGCTATTTATCAATTTAGCGTAACCAAGCTGTCAATGCAAAGCGATCCTTGGTTGCATTCATAACTGCATGATCCACAACACCGCTCATAAACAACACAACTCGGCCTAATAACGGCTGCACAATTCGGTCTGCCGACTCTCTTAATCCATGTTTCTCTAATTGTCCAAACAGCTTCAATTCTCCACCATCCCCATGAGACCATCCAGGATTCAGGTAGACAATAGCTGTAACACGGCGTTGGTGTGTGTCGTTGGGATCATCAACAGGGAATGCATCCCGATGTCTTTCATAGTGTGCTTCTTTGGGATGGTAATGTGCAAGTTGGTACTCTGTTTTACCATTCAAGCGAATCATCTCTGCAATGTCATGATGTAAAGGACCTTCAAAAAACTCTAGAATCCTTGAGATGTCGGTTTCATCTCTTTTTGCAGGGTTTAGCCTAGTGAGAGAAGTGAGTTAAAATTAAACTCTTGGATAATTAAAATCAAATAACAATAAAAGTAAAAAATATCCTATTTTCTAGATTACCAGACAATGGTATCATCACGAGCGTTTTCGTCTCTGTAAGGGTCAAAGGACTCGTCGTTGTCTGGATTGCATGGGTGGCAGAAAGCACCTTTAGCCAGCATATCTTCGGCTTCCTTACGTGCCCCTATTTGTAAATGGAATAAAGAAAGAAATAAAGCCTATTTAAAGGATATTCTCCTTTACACACACATATACATATATAAATAAAAAAATATTACATTACATACCCTTGAGAGTTTCTAGGTCGATAAGTCCATCGGCAATTGTCCAACCTTGGCTATACAGCTCTTCCAAGTTCTTTGGTTGAAGACACTTAAGATCCCAAGAAGAACTATGTTTTTGTGACTCAACAGTGTTAAGCTCATGGTAGAATAGACGCTGGGCAATTGTAAGAGGGTGTTCTTGCTGGTCAAGGTATTCCAGCAAATCATTTTCATCGATTTCTTCTACTTCTTCAACTTCTTCTTCTTCGTCTGCATTGGGGTCATATTCGTAATCGGAAGGTAAATCACTTTTATCATCCGGGAATTCCGGGAGATCTGCGTGGTTTGCTGCTGCAGCGCGTAGAATGCGCGACTCAAGACTGTCGTTGGTATTGGTGTCCATTAGAATTAAAAATGAAAGAAAATAATACCCGCTTTTTTTTGGGTTCTGTTGTAATGCAAGCGTGACTTCAAGACTATATCAATCTTACGGTCACACATAAGCTCTCGCTAACATTATTTACGCTAATATTAGGGGGACGACATTTTCTGATGGGAAGCGTTTTTTTTATTTCATCGAACCACAGATTGTGGCTTGCTGTTCGGTATCAAATACTTATATCTGGCCCCTAAGGATTCATACTTATAATAATACACACACTTTAATAGGGGGTTTCAACAGTCCTTTAAGCTTTTAAACTTAAGCTTTGAGTTTAAATTTAAAAATATAATTGGCTGAAATTAATTTATAACCATTAAAAAAATAGATTAAAACTTGAAAGAAAACCTTCAATAGTTTTAAACTTTTAGTAGATCCTTGCTTAGATTTATTTTTGGAAATTTAATAAAACCTTGGTGCACATATCTTTGTATCTTTCAATGCTATTTTAAACTTATATCATATTATCTCAATGCCTAATAGAACTGAAAGAAGCATTTAGGGTACTCAAAAACACTTAGTAACTCTCACGTATTATTGGTTACTGCCTTAAAACTCAAAGCTTAAATTTAAAAGCTTAAAGGACTGTTGAAACCCCCTAATAGATGTCAGGTGAAGCCTAAATATTTTCAGGGGAGTTAAATTAAAAATAATAATATTTGAATACCCCTCAATTATAATAATAAAAAGTAAATATTTTATTAGGCCCATCTCTTTTTTATTTTTCTTTCTTTCATATATTTGATTTCCATTATTTCTCTTCACTTATACACCCTTGATTCCTGTAATTTCTGCCCCCATACAAATACATACTTCAGATGGAACGAAAGGCTTCCAAAGTGTTTAAAGTTTAACTAAACAGGATGTTCTTTCTTTGCGTGGTATAGTAATTTCTTAATGCAGTTCCGCTGGGAACGCCAGTATATCTCGTGTGTATTTAAAGTACTATTTAGTTATACACTAAGATGGGACAACCATTGATGTATCAAACAACTATATATGTTAGGTATTAATTAATAACCTTTTTATTGAATAATGATAACCTATTTGAGTATCCCCCTGCCCCCAGCCTTGGAATTCTCTACTTCATAGCGTAAATATATTACAGATGAGATGATAGTATTTTAATTTAAAATAAGCTTCAATCAAGACGTCTTCTTTTTTTGCTAGAGTAATCACTACGTTCCTTGCTCAAGATATCGGCCTCAAGTATATCGGTTAGTTTTCGTTTGAGCGCAGCCTTTGATGAGGTTGTTTCCCACTCTTCAGTGCTTGTGATTATTTCTTGAACTTTGTCACCTTCCTCTTGAACAGAGATACCGACAGATGGATTTTGCGGTACTAAATCAAAAATTGATATTGTGTTAAGTGGAGTAACCATGCTCAACGAACTTCGTACTGACAATGGTTCTTGTTCCAGTGTTGATCTCGGTGTCGCTTTTCGTTCCGGCCTCGAATCTCGGCGTAGGTAGTAGAGGACCCATCTGCTAGGAATTTTAAATACTCTCTCGGAAGGGCTTTTTAAATTGTTGTTTATCTCAATTGTTAGTCGAATTACGTAAGGTCCTTTTTTCTCATATATTCTGTGGACTACAGGCGGGTTTTTATTCTCGTAAGAGTTTTGAGAGTTGTGCTTGAACGATGTACGCTTTAAAAAAAGGATGTTTTGCACAAGTAATAGAGTGTTTGATATCTTGTCATCATCGGGCATAGGTCGGTTATGGCTATATTCTAAGAAACTGGCTCGAATGTATATATAGTAGTAGTAAGATTGATCGTATGTATTCAGCTTGGCCTCTCTGTAGCAAGTATTGGTCATCCTACAGCATATTGGTCTCGGAGATCTATCAATTATAAAAAAATCTGTTAAGGTAAAAGAAAACCGAGACTTTATCATCGAGACGCAAAAGTAGTACGTACTTATCATAACTCCATAGTGTAAACAAATATTCGCATTCTTCTTCAGTAGGGGATGGTAGACGAAGAAGAGTTTCCAAATTTATAAAGCCTTTTGTATACATGAAAACAATATATGTAATAGAAATTAAAGCAAATAGTATATTGATAACCCAGAGTAATAAGACATGGTGTGTATATATACTTATTCGGGCTCGCCAATGCTTAATTTTAATTTGGTAATCTTGGTTCATTAATACTAGAAATATAATCAAATTCATAGATTAATATCACAAGAATAGTTTGTTGGCTCGGCACAAATAACACACAAAGAGATTAAACAGTATGTGGTTAATACAAAGAACAAAGAATATAGTTTTGCTACTATTAATATTATCAATGACAATACTATTTAAGAGAAAGGGGGCGAGCTGGAGATTTTCATTTTCATACTCCAACTGTTTAGAAAACCATTGCATATTCAAAGGTTAATATAAGTGATATTGGAGTAGGCTATAGAAAATGTACTTGGAATGAAATCGTGTTTTCTAGAAAAGAATGATGCGTTTCAAGATTGTAGGGAATTCCTGCCCACTAAATCCTTTGTATTTGTATTTTTTTTAAAAGGGAAGAACAACTTTGGAGACGACAACCTTTATCTTATATGTCAGTCGGAAGAAGACCCCCTCCCTAAAACATTCTCTACATATCGGACATGTATTTAAAATGAGAATGAGATACAAGTAAACATTCAACTGTGAAGGGAATTTCTGAATCTCGTGCCTATTTTAGATGATAGTAGATGTGTGCTCAATTGAGATAAGCAGTAGATTAGCATATAGCATTTGGATTTACATAAGTAAGATTATAGCCATAAAGTAAAATTATAAAATACGAAAGATTTTCATAAATATATATAAATGAGACATTCTTTCTTTGTATGGTGTGCCTATATATTGTTAATGCAACCCTTATAGAGATGCTGGTCTACTTCGCCTTTATTCACTTCCAAAAATTTTAAGATATGATAATATATAGTATTTGCTTATTGAGCCAATAAAGGTCTTGGTCTGAACACTAAATATTGAGTTGCTTTTTGTTTCTTCTGTTTCAAGAAAATATATATAAAGTATTTAAATTTAGTACTTTTTACATTATTTAGATTACAGCAGCAATAGTAATAATAATAAAGTATAAAGCAGATCCTTGATATTCCTTGTTCTAAGCAACCCAAAAACTACAAAAGAAGCGTATTTGCTTTAATAAATATTTGAGGTCAAATTTTATTGTAGATTTCTTTTCAGAAAGACAAATAGAAGTATAGATACTCTCTTTTTTACTTTTGGGCATTTGAAACTATACAGCTTGGTCATTTTTTATATACGTTTGTATTCTTTTTGTACTCCATAACAGGTTGTGTAAAGAAAGAGTCTAGAGCATGTTTGGTGTTTAGTTTAGAAGATGATAGAGTTAGATTGGAATGGGGAGCTGGCAAAGATGGAAGGCCAGTGGTTTTAGCCAAAGTGGAGAGGATAGTATATGGCAGAAATTAATAACAAGGTTTTAATGGATTACGGCTCTTTTTTCCCTCAAGCTCAACCTTTCTCCGGGACAAATGATTATTCGAAACCGATACTTTTCTCTTGAACATTGCACCCCTCAAAAGTCCCCTTTTTACTAACAAATACATGTCTTTCTCTACCATTTATCTAAAGCCAAGAAAGTGACTTATATCTGCTGTTTACCTAAAAAAAAAGCAAAAGAGTTTTTAGTTTAATTATCCGGTTCTTTTAATATGGTCCCTAAAAATATACATATTTTTTGGTATTATTTATTAGATGCAAACTTAAAGGTTAAAGGACTAGAGAATAGCTAGTGTTGTTTCTGCTTTGAGTCTTTTGATGTGTAGGATGGCTAAGGCTACTATACAATTGGATACAAATAATAAATTATCAAAAACGATTCGGAATTGGGTGCTCCAGATGGCACTTGTTGTGCATCCAAAAATCGTATGAATGTTTATAGTAGAATTAGAAACTTGTATCGAGTGTAGGGGGTATGGTTTGAGTAGGTGGGTAAAGGTCAGAGAGTCGGATTCAGTAAGGAATCGAGAGCAAATTTTAGCTCCAAATTTGAGCTTCGAGAGGGCAGATCCAAAAGAAGTGTTGATCATCCTCTAGTCCTCCACATAGCAGGTAGTTAGGGTCGCCAATCCCGCAATATATATATATTAGTTTTGAACTAAAAAAGAAATATTTTAAGAGCGTTCTTAGCAGTAGCATTTAAATTCAATTTTTTATAATTTAAATGCTTTTTTTGGAAATGCTGTTCAGAAAAAATCGTCTGCAGCAGTAGCATTTCACACAGCATGTATTTCCATGCTCCGTGATTTTTATGATTTTGAGAGCATCCGTAGCAGTAGCATTTCAGTTAGCATTAAATAAAGTGCTCATAAGCCACGCCAGAAGTTGAAAATAGTAAAGAAATTGAGGGTAAAACTTCAGTTACATAATAAAAGAAGTATTTAGAGCATCCCCAGCAGTTACATTTAAATCCAGTTTTACACGAAATACATGTACTTTAGCAAATGTACCAAAAAAAAAACAGCCCCAGCAGTTACATTTCCGAAAACATTTAATAAAAAATTTGGCAAATTTACTGCCTGCTCCATGGATTTCCATGTACTTTTTTTAAAAAATTGCCTTTGCCTTTTAACTTTCTTTGATTTTTCTTTAAATCGAACAATAGGATATAACAATGGTTAGAAAAATTTTCAGAAATTATATTTGTTACAAAGCTGACAATCTAAGGAATATTTGACTCTCATTTTTAATATTATAAAGAGAAGACAAATGTCTAATAAAATGATTTTAGAAAAAAAATACTTGTAAAGAAGACTATATTAGATATTGAAGTCTTGAAAAAACAATAGCAAATGTTACTGAAATTTGGCCCACCATTTTTTGGCTGTTTTAAAGCACCGAAGTGGCTTAAAAACATTTGGAAAAAAAAGGAGGAAATGTAACTGCTGGGGATGCTCTTAGAAAAGTATGCTATCTGATAGTCTTCACTAATAAATTTATTATTATTCTTTTTCTAAAATCATTTTATTAGACATTTTTCTTTTATTTCTAATAAAAATGCAAGCTAAATTCTTTCAAGATTATCGGTTTCGTAGTGAGCATAATTTTTAGGTTTTTTTAAGCAGTTTTATACTTTCATTCGATTTAAAAAATAATAATTATAAAAAAAACGATTAAAATGCAAAGCCAAGTTTTTAAATTGAGCATGTATTTCCTTGCTTAAAGTCATAAAAATCACGGAGCATAGAAATACATGCTGTTGGAAATGCTACTGGTGCAGACGATTTTTTCTAAACAGCATTTCCCAAAAAGCATTTAACTTTTGAAAAATTGAATTTAAATGCCACTGCTGTAGATGATCTAAATGTCATCAACACAGTGTACAAGCAAAGCTTTTTAAATATTACATTATGTATTACTGCAAGCATTCAACTAAAATGTTATATAACCAGAGGTCAAGCCAGCGAAACGAATACAAAGCAAGTATGTATGATTTACTGAACCAAATAGACATCTATTTACTTTTATAACAACATTTCTAGATTTAATAATACAAATCGATGAATAGCACAATGCAATAAGTCTATTGACAGCATACACACACACACACACAATATCTGTCACTCTTTCTTAATAGTTTCCACTTAATTCAATGTATTTTTACACATCAGCAACACTTTTTTCAAGCATAAAAAAAAAACAATCAAGTGTCTTACTCATTTTTTAAATATATTTAAAATGTTTAAAAAAATCAAAAGACTTAAGATCTGCTGACCTCACGGAAGTAGTTCTCAAGGGTACCCTTGTTGGGCAAGAACTTGACGTAACAACCATCGGGTCTGAACTTGCCGGCAGCACGAGCCTCGACGTAGTCAGCACGGGAGAGAGGAGTGAAACCCCACTTCTTGGAGATGATGATCTTCTGCTGACCGGGGAACTTGTACTTGCAACGTCTCAAGGCCTCGATGACAACGGGCTTCATGCTGTCCTTGGAGCGAACAGAGAAGATGATCTGGCCAATGTTCACACGAGCAACAAGACCGTTGGGCTTACCGAAAGCACCACGCATACCGGTTTGCAATCTATCGGCACCGGCACACGACAACATCTTGTTGATACGGGTGACGTGGTAAGGGTGGACACGGATACGCATGTGGAAGGAATCCTTGCCGGAGGTCTTAGCCATGTACTTGTTGCAGCAAATACGACCAGCTTCGAGAGCCTCAGCAGACAACTGCTCGTACTCGTTGGAAACCAAGTGAATGCAGAGGGGGAAGTCGTCGACGTGTGCCTTCTTGCGACCCAAGTCGTAGATTCTGAGCTTGGCATCGGGGACACCACGGCAGTATCTGCTCTTGGGGTAAGGCTTGTTCTTACAGTATCTGTAGCAGCGAGCGGGACGGCGACCCATGGCTAGATTCCTTGATGACCAAAAAGGTAAAATTAATAAATCGATCTCCCAAAAATAAAATAAAATGATAATAAAAATCACAGCCCCCATCCATCTATCAATTCATCCATCGATCCATCCATCCTTATTTTCTTGTTTGTGGATAATTAAAATGCTATGTAATCAACTTGTTTGGCGTTTACTCACCAAGTACAAAGTACGAAAAAGAAAGGAGGGTTCCATCGAGGTTGGCCTTGGGGGCCTCAGTAAACATTCCGCCCTCCGGCCCCCAAATCACTCGCAAACCGACCACCTCAGGCTCTAACTCTCTCCCCCCTCTCTCCCTCCCTCCACCATTTTTTTGTTTGAATTTTTTGGCTTACCGCTTAACTTTTCATTTTATTTTTTATTAAACTTTTCCTAATTTTTGCCGATACTATTTTTTTTCCATTTTTTTTCGAGATTTACATTTATATTTATTTTTATAGGTGTAGGAAGTAAAGAGCTTCTTGGTTAATTGACTGTGATATTATTACTGGAAAAAGTAAAAGAAATTGTTGATTACAAGAACTCAAACTGAAGCTTATAGAATATTGTGAGGATTTATCTATTTGTTAAATTTCATTTTTAATATGGCACACTCTTTAATATTAATACACACACGTGCATAACCATTACGATCATTTATCGTAAATAAAATCAGGAAAGACACTAAACATGTCGTATCTCTTTCAGTTAGCAGTTTGATTAGAGTTTTTGGCTTTAGTGAGATAAAAAGAAAAAACCCTTGCTCTCTCGCTACAGCTATCTTTACTGACCAATTACAATAAATATATAATATCTGATGTGTATGTGGGGTACCACTCGATGCTTTTTTAGCTTATAAAATAAATAAACGGAGAATAGCAGGGACAAACGTTAGGAAATATGTTCACAAAGTTGTTTGTATATATATTTAATTTAAATAAACACGTTTAACCTGCACTAAACTAAAGAAAAAATGGTTTGTTAAGCTATTCTAAGACTTCCTGTTGCCAAGCTTGCAAAAAGATAGTCTTTCTTATGGACAAGTTTTCTTGTGATAACTATAATAAACACAGATACTATAGACAGATATATACATAAAAGAGCAATTATTGACAGTATAGCCGACCAAATGAGCAATGATGCATCAGGAAAATTTGAATGCATGACAAGTAATGTTTATCTGTATGAAACGTTGAAATTATGAAACAAGAATCAGAAGCCATTCGCATGAGCGATTTTTTCTTTACAAATTTAATTATGTACTTTTTAAGCCAAATAATGTTACATGTCGCTCATGTGAATCTAATTGCAAGATTACTTAATCCTTTATATTAGTCGTTTGTAAACCATTGGCTTCATTGTGTATTGGTGTACTAAATTACTAGTAATTGACATGCTGGTCGTCAAGAGTGCACAAACTGTATCGAATACACATACATAAAAACTATATAATAAAAGGCGGTACATAAAAAGGATTAATTATGTATACAGAGTTTAGTTTATCAATTCACTTCTTTACATATTTATTCACTCATATATTCATTATTATTATTTTGTTTTATAAAATGAGAAAACAACACAGTAGGGTCTTATTTAATGATCAGCTTTATTAAACTGTGCATTGGAATAAAATAAGGGTTTTTCAATACGTCTTTTTGATATATATATATCTTTCTTTCTCTCTTATTTATATTTATTTGTAAATTTTGTCTTGTGAGATGACAAAAGGTAAAAGATAATATATATACATATATACCACAATGATTGGTTTTATTATAGATTACTATTATTTTATAATTCCTTGGATAATATCTGTAAAAAGAATAGATATTATGAGAATATCTACCATTTGTTCGTTGTAACATCCGCGACCAAAATGAAATCTCATCCTGTCAATTAACCTTTATTAAAAATATGAAGAAATAAGGGTACATCGCCAAGATTAACGCTGATTCTGATACTTATGTTGGTGGGTTATTAGGCATAGCTGTAAAATTGGAATAATAAACTGAGAGACGGTTGCTTGTATTCCTTTAAGACAAATACATAGTGCGTAAAATAAATGATTATTTAATTACTTGGAATACATATATATTTGGATATGCTTGTATATGCATGTATTCTTCGTATATATATTTATATGTATGTGTGTGTGTGTGAAAAATCGAGTTTTGGAAAATACAAAATATCGACATGTCTGAATTTGGATAATTTCCATATCTATAAAAAAATCACATTTGTTCTACCCCGTATTCTTGCAAATTTACACTTTTTCATTTTTGGTAATAATATGTAGGATTGTATAGGAATTTAACAGTAATACACACAAGAGACAGAGATCCGCGAAAAAAAAAAGAATAAAGAGAAACGATCGAAATATCATAAAAGTTCTAGATCCCATTTAATGACAAGATATCCTTCAAGAAGTCTAGGTCCTTTACTTTTTTTTTCTATGGCCGTCTGCTCGGACCACCGTATCATCAACGTGAGATCGATCTCTTGAAACCGGTTGCATGGTCAGAGGATCTGGGACCATCAAACAAGAAAATGAAATTAAAAAGTGTATACATGTTTGTATTTGTGTATGCATATTTTCTATGTATCTGTGAATCTATATTTTTATTACAAATGGTCTATAGAATAAATTTTAGCTTCTAAAATGATTTACAAGAATAAAGACATCACGTTCCTCATTTTCATTTTCTCAATTTGATTTGGTCAGTAACCTTTTTTAGTAGTATTATTATTAAAGCGCTTCTAATAAGATTCTTTGTTTTTGTAATATTTTGTTTATTCCACAACACTTCAATCTGTGGTTCCAAAAATCATACAGTAAAAATAAATAAATTACACCTCCCCCCAAAAAATACCATCGGTTTTGATTATGATGTCACTGTTTAAAATATGGATTTGTGTCATACTGTTGCTATCCTATTTGAGCCAGCTTTTGTGGCGCAAACAATAGCTGTGCATCATTGTTCATACTTTCAGTTGAATCGAGATTCGAATGATTGATTCGGTCCATGACCTAGAACAACTTGAATCTCTTTAGTTTCAATGTATATACACATATTTAAAAAATGAAACAAAAAAAAGAATAGGAGTGTAAGTGCTGTTCGTAGAACATGTAACATAAAACGCCTCTTTAATAATAATACAACGATTTGTACCTGACTGTATAACCAGAGTCAGGCACCGCCTTGTTCGTCATCTATTTATCCAGCTATACTGATCTTTAGATAGAGTATATTATCCGATATATTACACTAGAATCATTATAGATGATCTGACAAAAAAAAGGTTCAAAACATGCTGTATACAGTCTTTTATATATATATATATATATTGATCTTTGTTCTTTGTACATGCAATTATCTGAATTTCGGAAATATTCCGTCAATTGTAAGCTAACGCAGCAATAGATGCGGATTGTTGCAATTATAAGAATCGTAAATTTTTTGTAGTTATATTCACTAACAATAAAGATTTTCTTAAAAATAAATAAATAAATTAAATATGTAGATATTTTACTCTAATCTTAAACCAGCAAAAACCTACCTTTTCGAATATATACCATTTTCTCAAGTCAAAATTGTGCTTGTATTCTCTACTGTATATATATATATTTTAGCTATTTGTGACAAAATAACCCAAATTTCCCAGACAAATGACACTCTTAACCAAAAACAATCTGCTATTCTTTTATCCGCTACGTCATTAATAAAATAGAATTTTGATCAACCTTAAAAAAAACTTATTCATCTTTTATATGGCACAAGAAATTAGTGACCCTTGAGACGAATTTATTAGAATGACGATTGTGTAAATCAAGTGTTTTCCTGGTAAATATAGCTTAAAGCAAGGCAGCTGACTTTCCTTCTGTTCTTCTTATGTTAGACCCTGATTTTAAATAGTCGTATCTTGATACTTTATTATTGTTATTAATATGTTGGTTGGATTTACTCCTCCCTTTTAAGTATCGCATATTATGGGTGTTGGGTACACCAATAAATACACACAAGAAAAGAATTTTGATCGATACGACAAGAAAGAATCATAAATTACTGGTCTCCGCGTGGAATGATATAAACTTAAATATATACTATTCGTTAATGAGTGTATGAAGCGAGTTTTTAAATACATATAATATATACATGAGGAATTACGAAATATTTATCTGTACACATAAGACCCGGAAATAGCAACGCTAACAATATACTCTATCAAGATCTGAAATGGACAAAAAAGAAACACTCAATCAGGCCACAAGTGATCACGCTCCTAATTGTGCAAAACAAAAAAAAACAAAAAACAAAAAACAAAAAACAATTACAAATGTGTAGTATAGACAGTTAAATCCAGAACTACTTGTTAAATATCGTTATTATTATTATTATTATTATTATTCTAGATCTGCAGCCAAAGAAACTGTTTAGAAGTATGTGTGGGATTCTCAAAGAGGAAGTATATAATTTATATTTGCTGGAAAAAGGCAATGTCAACCAAGAATCGAGAAAATCTCCCGATTTCAGATATTATTTGTGATCCGACAACAGAACGCAGGAATCATGGGGTGAGGTGGGGGTATTATTTTGTTGATCAAAATCCACATTTGTGTTCGCACATTTTTGGGGATGCTCTTAATCAGACGTTTTCTGAAAGACCGTTATCCTATTAATTAAGCAATGTTTATCATATACAAAAGATAATCATCATCTAACAACGGAATGATGATACACGGGTGTCTATACATGTTATTTATTTATTTATTAAGCTTAAACTTGTCGAGCTATTCCAACCGGAACTTGAAGTAAATCCGCTAAAATACCATAATTACTCCACAAGCTTAACGCAAGGTAAAAGAAAAAAAATCAGACTACATGTAATGTACTTGTGCGTTTTATGTTTTTGTTTTTGTAAATAGTCTCTTAAATGAACCTCATAATCGATTATTGGTGAGTTGAAATAGTTAGCATGTGGGTCATGGTATTCCAAAAACAGAAACCATAGTATTGGGTTGATAAAGAGCTACCATTGAAGATAGGGAAAGACTAAAGACAAATAAAAACACACATTTGGCGAGAAAGTGACGACAGTAGCGCTAACAATGGGGTTGGTAGATCAGTTCACATTAACAGTTCATCCACAATTACTCGCGGGATCCAAACCCGACAAAGGATGGCGGAATCTTTCTTGTCCGTTTTCGCCATTGAATAATAACTTTACTTTCGTCATTGTCATTCAGAATCTAGTGAATAATTTTTTATATATATTTATTTTTATAAATAAAGTTAGATAGCCTAAAAGGATTGTTTAATAGCCTTCTGAATAACATGAGGACAGCAGAACCTTATCAAACTTACTAAATAGAACTTGAGTACGCGCAATAGTTGATAAGTAAGAAGAAAGATATTCACTGACAGGATCTAAGGAAGCTCAGGAGAATGGGGGGAGAAAGGGGAGGGGTTGGGGGGGTTGTGTATTCCGTCGGACTCAAGCTCACAACAAACCTGTGAGTATTTTGTTGGTTTTGTTGTGACTGCTCATAACAAGATGATATGGTCTTTACTTTATTTTTCTTCTTCTTGAATAGCGATATGAATGTAAAGAGTAAGAATGATTAACTGTAGACGTTGGAGTATTAATAACATTGTCATAATTAGTATTAATAAGAGTAACAGTAACAGTAACAATATTAGTATTATTTGAAACTGTTGTGGTTGCAAAAAGGTTATTGAGCGGATGTTTAATTATTTCTTAGGAGTTGGTTAAGTTTTGCTGTGAGTTTGGTTGAATTCAGATTAGCTTTGTGCCACGTTTAATTGGTCGTGTCGTACAATAGATCGAGATAAGTCCCCCCTTTTATTGGTGCATAGTTGAATATCCTGCCGCACAAATCACTAAGCAAGAATGAGATAAAAGAAGTACTTATATATATAAAGATTAGTCTTTCAAGCTATATATATATATATATAGTTGACATAATTATATATAACTATACTAGAGCTATCGGTTTATCAGTGGTTTTCTTTACCTAAGCCTTATTAATCAGAAATGATTGATAATAACACAACAAGGGTGAATTTTGTGATATTTGTGTTAAATAGTGACATGCGATTGGTTACCGAGCCATCGTATTTATCCGCCATTCTGAGTTGTCTGAGTTATAATTGAAACTTCTTTAGATCTTGTCTTCTATTGTACTGCATCTTTTATTCTGTTCAGAAGAAATGAATGCCAAATACATACACAATTACCCAACAAGATAGTACAATTCATTTTGATACTTACCATTAATGCACACGCCAAGAGATATTAGCCATTTATTATATTTTAATTATTGAAATATAATACATTATAATACAGTAGAATACAACATATGATTATAATACAGAAGCAATTATTAACATTTACGCTACAATATTTTTTTTATATATTTTATCTGAAAAATCCTTGAAAATCCTCAAGAAATATTCATGTACTTTAAACTATATATGAGGTTACTAAACTATAAAGCCGGAAATTAAGGCTAGTATATACTTGACCATACTTCATATTGAATTATTCCGTAGTATTATACCAACTTTGTTTTCTAATAAGAAAAAAATTGTGTTTATACCAATATTCGACAATTGACTAATTCAGCAACTTAATTATATATGTATATATTTGCTTATATTATATTGACGTGTAACCTAATCAAAAGATACGCTTTGATAGGGTCTCTGCTTTTTTATTCTTTTCAGGCGCGTCTAGACTGACTTCTCAGAATAATAAAATAATTAATTAATTAATAAAGAAAAAAAAATGAAAGAAAAACTCGTTTATATATTTTTAAAATTATCGGGTCAAATACGCACCGGTTAATATTAACATGATATATATACATATATATTTATATCTGTGCATAATAGTAGTAACGATAATAATGATAATAAAACAAATAGCAGAGATACAGAAAAAGATAATAGTAAAATCTCCAGAATCGAAAGTAATTTCACAAAGATAGAAAAGAATAAAAAAAGAATAGAGTAAAAGTATATAAAAGGCTTGATAATGTTCTTGAATAAAGCTCGGCTTTTTTTTACTGTAAATATCATTTAGCGATGTATTTTGTACGGCAGCGAAAATATTTTTTTTTGAAAAAAAAAATCCAAAAAAAAACAACAACAGGCGCGCTCTTTCTTCCCTTTTGAGTACCTTGAGTAATAATAAGAGTATTTCTTTTTTTTGCTTTCTTTCTTGCTTTCGGTATTTTATAATCGGCAAAGTATTATATACATATACAGAGACGTTAAAGCACACACAGACACACACACACACATGGACACATAGGCAGCGAGCAAAAACAAAAGCGAAATGGGAATCCAGTAAAAGAGAAGGGAGGAGGAACAAAGACGTGTATGGTGATATATATATATATATTCGGAAAAGTAAAAATAAAGTATACAAAAATAAAATGCTGTAAGAGTAATAATAATGAGAGCCGTTGCTGTAGGTTGGGCGTAATGAATAATAAAGGAAGGCAAGAGCAGAAGGAGAAGGGAGGAAAAAAAGTAAAAGTAGGAAGGCATGAAGGCATGAAGGCATGAAGGAATGAAGAAAAAGGGAGAGAGAAAGAGGGAGGTTGGGGAATAAAGAGCCAAATGAACTAGAATAGAAAGTAAAACTTGGCTCAACTCTCTATATTCTCTTTATCTTCACTGTCGCGTTTATTGTTTCCTCGTGCTAGATTACGAACAGGTAACTTGAGTCCCTGACGGGCGAGGTGTTTTGCGAGATTGCTAGATTCTTAAACAAGATATAAGTACACGTATACGTTTATATGTTCGTAAATGAAGAAAGAAGCAAATGTCTATTTACCTTTCATCCCCGGAAAAGTTTTTGCTGTGTACACCACAAATGGTTCTGTGAATACGCAGGTTGTGGAAGCACTCCTGTTTTGGTATATCACAAGAATACAAGCATTAATATTATTAATATAAATATTAGTATAAATGATAATATAAATAATAATATGGAAATGGAAATGAATGAATTTACATAATTTTCACAATCTCTTAAAAGAGGATACTTGTACAAAAGGTAATCAGATTTGTAGATTGTTATATCTTTTTTTTTGTATAGGTATATGTTTACAGCACAAACACATACCTTGTCAAATGAATCAACGTAAATTTTAAGCGGTACTGGCCCGGCATTCGCACACTCAGCTCGGGAAAAGAAAAGTAAGTTCCGGTCTTATTGTCAAGACCTTTGAGCGGAAGAGGTGAACTGACGGTAGATCCGAGTAAGATGCGAAACGCGACCGATGCAGGGCCTTTTAAGACATCGATTTGGTGCTGCATATCAACCGACCAGAGAGAGGCGTGAACAACGAAAAATGGCATTTCTACACAGCTAGATAAAACACGTTAACACCCACACGTGTAACACACTACTCTTACACTCACTCCTGATCGAGAAAACCTGCTTGGTTGCGTACTATGAGACGAATCACAGGCGCGGGATCGATCGGTCGTCTGTCTTTTTCTCCAAATCCGCACATTCTACACTGCTGAGGCTGCTCTACAATCTCAAGTTCATAACTTCTGTAGATAATTTGTATAAGTATATTATAATATATATATGTACATTTATATGATGTAATAGCCCCCCCCCCCAAAAAAAAAAAATAAAATAAAATAAAATAGAGTATATATATATATATTTATATATTTATATATGTGTGTGTGTATGTTGTACTAACCTTGGGTTTGTGTCTTGCATTTGTACATCAGCAGCCAGTTGGGCCGATGAATAGAATGGAAATTGGCTGACCATAGTCTCTACATTATTTGTTCGCTTTGTTATCATATGGGCATTTCCCCACTGAGACTCGGGGGGATATTGGTAGGTTGGCTGGGATTGGTCCTGAGTTGAAGATTGGAGGAGTTCTTGGTTGGTGATAGGGTGAGGAATAGCAAAATCTTGGTTTATAGGATACTGGTTTGGCTGAAGAGATTCTGGATAGATGCTTAAGTCTAGGTCATCCCAAGAATAATATTGTTGTCTAGAAGAAAGATACCCTTCGTCTGTAGAGCCAGGTTCAGAAGAATGGTTCATGTCAGGAAATCAATAGCAGCAATAATAATAGTGGTAGCAGTAATAAGATGTAAATGGAAATGTGAAGGGGTGGTGAAGAAAGAGAAAGAGAAAGAAAGAAAGAGAGAAAGAGAAAGAGGGGTGGGTTGAAAAGACTAGTGATTTATTAAAGTAATAAAAAAAAATAACAATAGACAGACTTTATTCGACTGTCATAAATTTGTGAGAGGAACAAAAAGATCGCAAAAAGATTAATCTTTTATTTTTTCGTATTTTATTTAAAAAAAAATCAAATTCAAATTCTTCTTATTATTATTTTTAAAGAAGCGCAGCCGATTTGACGGACCTGAATATGTTTTATCCAAATATGTCACCTCCAGGGACAATAGAGATGCTTGATTTTATTATTATTATTATCAGCATTGTATTTAATACATCTTTTAACCATATAGGTAATTTGTTGCTAGGGGGCATTACAATTCAAAATAATATTAATAATATTAATACTCTTTAATAGCATAATACATATAAAACTCACACTAAGTAAAACAAGACTGAAGCATTTAATCAATATTTGATTGGATAAAGCAAAAATGTAGTTTAAAGTTGGCCACGCGACCTGTAGAGTTCATTTACTGGCAATAATAATAGCAAAAAAAAGAATTTATCTTGTGTGTGTATTTTAGGTTATAATATATATGTATTAGCTTTTTTTATATGCAATATATCATTATCACAAGATATATATATAACCATGGTTACTTATTGTATTGAGTCGTGGCTTATTAAACATAATAAGGGCCGATCCATTTAGAGTATAATCTGAAAATGAATTAATTAAGAAATTCCATCATATCGACCTTACCGTTTTCTTCCTTTCTTTTGTGATTAATTATGTTGCAAAAAATAAAACAAGAATAAAAAGAAGAAAGAAGAAAAATTGCAAAACTTCTCGGCTCATATTTCCTTTGTGTTTCCATATTACAGTTATTCGGTAGCTGGTCTACCAAGAAACAGGTCCCATCTGATTACACTTTCTGTCAAAAAATAATAAAAGTGGTAATCCCATCAGCCACGACAGAAGAAAGAAGAAATTAGATCCAAACCAGGACTGTTGCAGTTTATTTTATTTTAGATTACTTTATCTTTTTCTACACTTAATCGATGTCTTTGTAAGCTTATACATATATGAGCTAAAATAATGTCTTTGTTTGTTTCAAAGACTTGGCATTTTTTTTATCTCTATTATCTTTGTAGCTAACACCATTACGATTATCTACAAATTTTCTACAGCTCACAACTGTAGTACAACACTCCAAGCAAAATGTTTATTCTCGGCGCTTTTTCTATTCTATTCTTTTCTTTTCTTTCCTCTTTTCGTTACACCCAAAACATCAGGACGAATAGGCTGTTGATTATATAGATTGTTAAAGGCATTTGCTATTATTATTTATCTCCTCTTTATGGGCTGGTGACAAATATTTAGAGACTAGTACAAAGAAGAAAACAAAAAAAAAGCTCAATTAAATTAGTAACCACGTTGAGGTTGTCCCGGCTCTATCAGTCAGTCTGATCTCTGTGTCACAATATACCCTTAAGAATTTCATGTTGCTAAAACCCCACAATGTGTCTAAAATTGTATTTAGACAATACATTCTTATCTTCCCTGATTATTACAGAGTAATATGCATTCGAATTGAATTGAATTGAATTGAACTCGCAATGATGTCTATTTTTAGATGTTTTTAATATCTTTTCAGGTTAATTAAAGGTGTCAATCACGTTATCTTTATCAAAAAAAAAAAGGGTGGAAGAAACAGCGGATAGCTAAAAATATTCTCAGTCCAAGCTTTGCAGTAACCAAAGGACATGGCTCGATTAAAGCGGAATAACCACAGAATTACAGACTACAAGTCGTATGTTTTGTTCCTTCAATTAGCTTGCGTGTCACTTTGATAATTCAATAACCAATTTATATATATTTTATATATATATTTCTTGATCGATGTGCATGTTGTACGGAGTTTTTCTTTTACAGTTAGTTCTAAAAAAAGTAATTCTTTAAAAACCACACAGAGAGAATTGTGAAGAAATCAATTAGCCTAAAATAACAGACTGACAAACCACACACAAAAAAAAATAATTTTTATATATTTATCTGTGGCGGGTTATTAAACAACAAAAATAGATTTTCTTATTCTTTCCTTGTCCTAAACAAGGTAAAGGCTAAAATACAGTGGCGTTTATCTAGCGTATATCGATTATAGATTTCTATTACTCTCTTCCTACTCGTCTATTCTATGCTTTTTTTCTTTTCTTTTTCTTCCTTGTTTGGTAAAGGGCAAGAATTTTAGCCTTACACAAAACTGGTTCACAAAATATCCAAAAGGAGAAGCCAAAATTGATTTCTGATTGGGCCAATTTTTTTTAAAAAAAAAAACGCACACACCTCTATTTATATATATTTTTGGCTTTATGAAAAGTATGTTCAATAATTCATTTTTGCATACTGATACCTAAATTTTTCTTTATTTAAGGGGCTTCTCAAGCACCCGCCAAGGTCCTAAATGTTGGCGGTGATTTCCATATACGGATTGGCGAGAGTTTCTTAAATTAGTAACCTTCGCCAAAAGTTTGGCGACGGCAGAAGTCGAATCCAAAGTTTTGGTGAATCGCCAACAAAATTGGCTAAATTAGGAAATCTTCGCTAATACTTATTTGGATTTCAACGCCAACTTTTAGGTCTTTGGCGAGTGCTTGAGAAGGCCCTAACATATATTATCCTTAGTTCCATAATTTTGTTTAGTTTGAAATAATACCTATTGAGCTTGGTTTATTCATTTTAGTCAATAGTAGTAGATAGACAATTGAGAAAACAAGCACCCAAAAAAATAAAATAAGAAAGAATAAAAATAAAGGGTCGGTATCACATGAAAATACTAGAAACCAATTGCACAATTGTTCTAACTGAGTGTTAAATATAATTTTTTTGTTTGTTTGTATGGAGCTGTGACAGGCTCAGATTTATTAAAGTTCTCTGTGAGTAGGGCAAAAGAGAAAATTACAACATTTGTTTTGAGGGTTTATGGGGGTTATTTGATGTTTTTGGCTTTTTGGTTTTTGACTTGTTTTTGTGTGATTTGAACTTTTTTTTTTTGCTGAAATGTTAATGTGGTGTTATGCGAGGGAAGAGTCAGCGGAGTCAAGCTCGAGCTCTGAGCAGAGACGGGAGATTGATTTCCTAGCAGTGGCAAGAACCAAGGAAGGTAAAAAAGGAGCAGAATTAAAGTGGAGTGCCCAATGGTGGTCCCAGATAGCAAGGATGGTCAGTCCGAAAACCGAGGCGGCTGTCATACTGGGGTTCAGCGTAGGAGGGAAGAGAAAGGATGTGAATGCCGAGGAAAGTGCAGAAGGTGGTGGGACGGTGCCGAAAAATTCTAACCAAATGCCTAACCACACCGCAGATTTCAAAGGACAAGAAAGAAGAAAATGCTCTTGCGTCTCGATTGACATCTGGCAGAATTAAATATAATTGTAACAACGGGATTATATCTATAGGGTGAGTCTAATGGTCAAAATAAAGAAGGATCAAAATGTTCTTTAATTATTATCACTAGTGTTCTTTCTTTTACGTATTTTAGATTTAGCTTCAATATTAGAAAGATACGCTTGGCAGGATAGCAGTCGCAACTATAGACATTACATGGCCAATCGCATGTTCAAAATAACAAACTTGCGTTTTATTCTCAATACTCACAAATGGGTCTGTGCCAAAATGAAAGATTTTTTATTTATTTTATGTATATATATTTGTTTTGGACTTACCACCCCCTATAGTTGAGGATATACATGCACGTATTAACCAGCTCATTTGACTCAATTTTTTATTTGTCTTTAAACATCCTATCTAACCGCAGCCACATAAGTTACCTTGAAAATTAGACCGATGTAAGCCAAGCAAAACATAGCAAATTATCTATTTTTTGTAATGGATAGAAAATTATCTTTAGTTAATTTACGGGTAATTATCCAACTAAAGCCGCGACCTTGGTAACATTCACTTTCCAATAAAACAATATATAATATTTATATAAAGGCCTGTGCTAAACACAGAATAAGAGGTAAATAAAATATACAATACAGAAAAAATTGAAAGAAAGAAAGAGAAAAAAAAATCAGTAAATATACCCGCCTGTTGTATATTTACACACACAATCTTAGAAAATTCAATGATCATTGTTACACCTATGTTTTCATGTTTTTTATTTTTATGATTTATATTAAAGAAGTATACATCCTTGTTTTTATTTTTAAAAAAAAAAACAATAAACATCAATATATATATAATGATTTACTATCTATTAATTCATTTTTGGATTCTTGGGTTTGCTTTTCAGTAGTCAAAGATCAATTGAGTTATGTTTTGGTTAAATGCTGTTCACCGAAAGCCCTAGATATTAATCGGTTCAGTGAAAAGCATTCAAAGATCGGGTTTTGTGTTCCTGAGAGGAGTTTGATAATTAGAATAGAAAAAAAAAATAGAAAATATAGAATAATAATAAAAAGAAATCGAACAAACACCAGAACACCGCCATCGTCTTGACAGTTCCTATGCCGAGAAGAAAGAGAGAAATACTATTTTACCGAAAATAATGACCCAAACATTCACCAAAGGCTGTATTAGGACTAAGTACTTGGTTCAAATATTTTGACATATTCATATCAGCCCATTAGAATATCTATATATCTATATATCCCAATCTAGTACAAATCGTAATGATAATTATGTTTTTTTTTAAGCCAAAGTAATTCATTCATTTAAAGTAGATTAGCACAATGATGTTATATTATTAATGCCAATAATCCTAACTTGCATTTTTCTTATTCCAAAAAAGACCATCTACGGTCACACCCAAGCCACCTTACCAAAAAGAGAAACCCTTCTTTTCTCTCTTTCTCTCCATTTTTTTAAGAAAGCTTCTTTTATATAACATATATATATATATATATATTACCCTCTCTACTATAACATGTCAGCACAACTAGCCCGCCAATCGCTAAACCTTCTTCTTAAACCAACCGTAAAGCCCACAGCTGATAATGGCGGCAAGGCAAAACGAGTAGAAAAGAAATCACCACAATGGCTGCCAAAGACAAAGACTGGATTAAAGAAGATTAAGCACGAGATTCGATATGGACAGCATCAAAAGACAAAACAAAAGAAGGAAGAAGAAAAGAAGAGAGAGAATCCGATTGGTGAGAATTCCTGATAAAATATCAAAGATATATAAAAATATTTATTAAAATGTTTTAATTTGATATAATATCTTTTTTTTTTCTCTTTAGATGCCTTGATACAGACTGAAAAGACACTTGACGAAAACTTGGCTCGTAACGTAAAAATGCTGACATCAAAATTAAGGGCAACAAAGGTTGAAAGAGAACTACACAAGCAGGCAAGTAGACAATTTTCATTATTAGTATTAGCTTAAGAAACCATATGTAATTAAGTTTGTGTTTCTTACCTACCTACAAAACATAAACAGGTACTGAAATACAGATCGACAAAACAAACCAAGTCTTCAAAGGAAGAGGCAGACGATGAAAGCGACTAAGAATAACCTGTTTTCTTCTGACGAGCGCATTCCTCAAATCGAACACAAAGAACAGAAAATAAGATGAAAAAGATAATCAAAATAACGACAATAACAATAACAATATCACCATTTACATCATAACACAAACATTTCTTTATCTACCTATATATAAAAGCACATTTACGTTTCTTTATATTACACGCATATTTATTCAAAAGATCTAGATCTTTGTTTATTGTTTTTTGGATATTACTAAGGGATATAGGCTCGACAAAGAAGTGATTGCTTCAATTTTCGTTTCAGACTTTTGTATTTATCTGCCAATTAACCTTATTAATATTTGTATAATTATATAACTATATTTAATCATTTTACACACACAGACATTTATGCATATGTATGTATGTATCTGTGAAATCAAATGAACCAAAACGACTCACCAGTACTTTTTGTTTGTTTGTTTCCCTGCATATTATGTATTATGGGTGGATCGGAAGAAAATGATACAAAACAGGGCCGTGTGCAAACTTGACAGACAGGAGGAAGGGAAGGAGGAGGAGGAGGGGAAGAAGGTTCTTTGTGGTGCGATACAGGGGAATACCATGAATCGAGTGAGGGAAGGGCATCATACATTGAGTGTTGTGAGGACATTTGGAGGGAAGGAAAGGGGGGAAGCGAACTATACAAAAATATATAGATAGATAGAGATAAAGAAAGGGAAAGGAAGAAGGGGTGGATTTAGTGAGAGAGAAAAAAAAAGAATATTAAAAAGGGGGTTGGGATTTGTAGCAAATGAAGATTGAAATCCTCAGCTCACAGACCTGTGCACCCCCTTTCGACCTTTCTCTTTGTCTCCCCCCAGCATGTGAACCGGACATTAGGCGGCTTATTGTTCGAATAAACGCAATGCAAATCAAATCAAATTAGCATTTGCTCTATTAATCTATTGGTTTAACTAGGCACCAAAAATAATATTAATAATTGGTTTTTATCGTCTATCGTTTATCATAGACAATAATGGTCTTTATTACTAAATTAAACTTGATTTATTCGTGCAGGAAGCCAATAGATTAAATAAGAGAAATAAATAGATTGATTATTTGAAAAGGGTTTTTTATTATCATACCAATTTTTTTTAAAAAAAAGTACATATAAAAACAACCAAAATCTATTGACAATATCATTCTTTAGTCTATATAATTTTTATATATATAATATAAATAAATCAATACATTTACATCAAGCCATGCCGATCCTTAGGCGCAGAGCGTTCAGGTATCCAAATACCTCCAATCGGTCTAGCTGGCTAGACAAGAGTAACACACTGGTCCAAAGTACAACAGGTCCCAATTCATCCCGTCGCCATCCTTCCAAAGAAACCCGGGAAAAAGTAGAGGCTCAGATCAAAGCAAGGATTTTTTGCCATGGCCTACCATATTCAGCAATGTTGCTCCCAGTACACTTACAAGACACAATAGCTAATGGTTACAAGTCTGGACAGCACAGCCAATCATGCAGTCGACTGGTTTCGATGGCTCGTTGGTTTAGCGGCTGCGTCGATAGTTTCTTTAAAGGTATACATATAATATGTAATCACCCGTATGTCCTTGTTTGAATTATACTAGGCAGAAATCTTCACACCCACACATATACATGTATAAATCTTTAGGAAAACAAACCTTGGGATCAGCCTCCTTCCTTCAGAAGCCCACCGGCCCTTACTTGTCTGCCCCGCACCTGCTTAGCCATGCATAGACGTTTTACAAGGCACATTTGTTTTAAGATAAAGAGAGAGAAAAAGAAAATAGAGAAGGAAGAAAAAAGTACTTCTTCTTCTCTCTTTGTTTATTAAAAAAGGAAAAAAAAAAGAAATTAGCAATGATACCACTTCTTGATGGTTTTATTGCTTAGTTCTTTCATTTTTTTTTTATTTTTGTACTTAACATTGAATTTGAAATTGACATTACCATTACCATTATTATTGTCTTTACTCCAAAGAGTTTCAAATCAAATTAATCGTTAGCTGTACATTTGCATTTATTTATCTATTTCTTTCTTTAGTCAATCAACTCTACACAAGATTGTTCAAATAAGGAACACACACACACACATGTATATATATATATATATTACACCACACTAAGCAAGACTTTGAGGTCTTGTTGTGCTTTATTGCTTATCACTGCCTTACACTGCTTCCAATTGCTTCTCACTTGTGATTTTTTTGGGGGTGAATGCCTCTGACTGCTTCAGACTGCTTCAGACTGCTTGTTTAGCTTCCTTGTTGATCCGTCCTTGCATCTCATTGATGAAGAATATTGGCGTAACCATCAAGTGTCACACAGCAATTCACTTTTGACTCAATCCCTTATTTCCCGCCAGTTATTTTCTGCGTGTAGCTTTTTTTTTGCAACCAAGTAACCAGGCCAACCAGGCCAACCAGCCAAACCAAAAAATAATAATAATAATATAATAATAGTGACCCTGTCCCTTTCACCCCCTTTCTCTCTCTCTCTTTCTCTCTATATATCTCTTCCCCCCTTCCCCTCCGCATCCACAACATAAAAACCACCCCTTCCTCCCTCTTCAGCTTCTAAATAGCTTACTCTCAAGTCCTTCTTTCCTTTCTTTCTATATATTTTTTCTATAAAAAAAATCACCATTACATCCATGTCTGGTAAGTCGACATTTATTTTATTTGTCAATTGATTGAATTGTCATCTCATCATTATATTCTATAGACCAAGTAAACGGCGCGTCATCTGGTGTAAGCACTCATCATCATTATCATCATCATCATCCACAGTCGATACTTAACCTTTTGATGTTATAGATTACCGTTGTACGTAAGAAGCTCCAAGGCTATGTTGGATTTGCCAACCTTCCCAACCAAGTCCACCGCAAGTCTGTCAAAAAAGGCTTCCAATTCACTGCCATGGTTGTTGGTAGGAATACGACTCTCTTTTTTGAATTAATTAGCCTGTCTATCGTTATCTCTTTTAATTATTGAATCTCGAGACGTACAAATATTTCTATATATACATACACACATGTAAAGGGCCCCTTGATATAACAAAAAAAAAACAACAATAATAATAACAATACACACCATTGCACACACACCCACACACACATATATATTTATGTATGCGTGTGTGTGTATGCGCATTAAAAGAGAAACATACATATAGAGATAGATGAATATATAGAAGGTGGGGGGGGGGTCTTGTTCTTGTTCTTCCAAGCCTTTTAAATCATGTTGTCAACGATCTTTATACTAATATCTTTAAAAATTAATAAATTGTAAATAGGTGAATCCGGTCTTGGTAAATCTACCTTGGTCAACACTCTTTTCAACACTTCTCTTTATCCTCCCAAGGAGAACACCGAATTGTCTCATGAGACTCCTCAGACCGTCGAGGTCCAGTCCATTACCTCTGATATTGAAGAAAACGGTGTCAAGCTCAGATTGACTGTTGTGGACACACCCGGCTTTGGTGATTTCGTGAACAACGAGGAAAGGTAGGACAACACGTGGAATGTGCTTCCATTCGGACCGACATCTCATGCTCTCCCAATCTTAGCTGGAAGCCTATTCTTGACAACATCGAGTCCCGCTTTGATGCCTATCTTGAGCAGGAGAATCGTGTGAACCGTCGCCGTATGGTCGATAACCGTATCCATGCGTGCTTGTACTTCATCGCCCCCACCGGTCACGCGTAAGTTACTCCATGTTCATTGTGTCACCATGGCGATCACTAACATCAGCAATAATTTATGTACACACACATGTATATACATACACATATACATATACATATACATATACATATACATATACATATATATATATATATGCTGTATTGTATTATATTATATTATACTACATTACATTATTATTATTCTTATTATTAATAGCTTGAAGCCTCTCGATGTCGAATTTATGCGTCGTCTCCACACCCGTGTCAACCTCATCCCTGTCATTGCCAAGGCCGATACCCTGACCGAGGAAGAGGTTGCCGCTTTCAAGAGACGTATCTTGGCTGACATTAATTACCACAAGATCCAGATCTACCAGGCACCCGTTTACGAATACGATGACAAGGAGACCGTTGCTGAGAACCGTGAGATCATGTCCAAGATTCCTTTCGCTGTCGTCGGTTCCGATAAGGAATTCGAAGTCGAGGGTGGACGCCGCGTCCGTGGCCGCAAGTACCCTTGGGGTGTCATTGAGGTTGACAACGAAGAGCACTGCGATTTTGTCAAGTTGCGACAGATGTTGATTCGGTAAAAAAAAATAGAGAGAGAGAATTTTTATTGTTGTTTAGATACTTTATATATTTTAGATCCTAAAACGATGTCTAATTCTTTTGTGTTTGTAAAATAATAATAGCACACACATGGAAGAACTCAAGGAGTTCACCAACGACGTTTTGTACGAGAATTACCGTACCGAGAAGCTGCAGGCTATGGGTATCCAGCAGGATCCTTCGGTATTCAAGGAGGTCAACCCAGTCCAGAAGATGGAGGAGGAGCGTATTGCCCATGAGCAGAAATTGGCCAAGATGGAGGCCGAGATGAGAGCCGTCTTCCAGGCCAAGGTCCAGGAGAAGGAAACCAAATTGAAGCAGTCTGAAGAAGAGCTCTACGCCCGTCACAAGGAGATGAAGGAGGCCCTTGAGAAGCAGCGCTTGGAATTGGAGGAGAAGAGACGCCGCATGGAATCAGGCAGACCCATGACACCCGAAAAGGCATCCAAAAAGAAGGGTTTCTCGTTCAACAAATAAGGAATGCCCTTTGCATTAGAATTATATAAAAAAAACTAACTAACAAACAAGCAAACAAGCCAACAGACGGGAAAAATTATTCAAACCAAATTCCCTTATGAAACCCCACACCCCTTTTTTATTTTTTTTCTTTATTTCCCTCTCTCTATCTCACACTATCTCTCACTCACACACATTCTATAACTCTTCACTTTTCTTCCCTTTATCACCATAATTCAAAGTCTTAATACCAGTTTTTCTTATTTAAATAAGCACACAAAATGTGTCCAGTCTTTTTTTTTATATTTTTTATAAAAAAGAATATTGTATAAAATAATAATAATAATAATTATAGACCTCTAGACTAACACAAATCTTCGAGATGGAAGGCCTTGACCAGGAACATCAACAATAAGCTTTTTGAATTCCCACTTGTCCTTTTCATCCTATATACATAATATATAACACATTATTATTGTCGATCTTTACCAAGAAAAACAAACAACTTTAAGCTTACCTTGATCATTTCGAGCATGCCAGTACCTTCACTATCTGATCCCTCGAGATAAAACTTCATGAAAAGATGTGGATGACCAAGATGATCATCAACAACTTGGTAATTAATGCGTCTGTTGCGGCGCATACGGTTTCGGCTTGGGGATCCAAAGCTCTTTATTGGTTCACCAAGCACACGTACGAGTTCCTCATTAGCCTTGGCACGATCTACTGCTTCGCTAAAGATAGAAGTGGAGCTCTGGGAGCTGAATAGTTCGGAAGTCACAAAGTAGACCAAACCAATGGTCAAGGTTGCGCCAGTCAATAAGAGACCGATATTGAAGGTTGCCTTTGATGCAGCGACGACTTTTTTTTTTAAAAATAATAATAATAATAATTTTAATTTTTTTAATTAATTAATTAATTAATTGATTGATTGATCGTTTGAATAAATAAGTAAAGAAAAAGAAAAGTAGTTTATTATTTAGAACCCACAATGAAACAATACAATTGATAATGGTAATAATTGATTTGGTTAATTTTGGTTTACCTTTTTGAGGATTAGTAAGGTCCTTCCATTCCTTAGCTGTTTGCTGGGAAATAAGATGTCCAGGCCGTCTAGGAGGCTGCTGTGACGATGCTTGCACAAATGAACGCGTCCATTGTTGACGTGAGGGGTTGAGGGCAGTAATTCGACGGGGTTGGATTCTGCATGGAAATGAAATGAATATGGCGTGTCGCGTAAGGTGAATCTTCAAACCTTGAAATAAAGGACATGACGGCTGACAATACAAGTTCCGGTTTTGGGAGTCTGGTTGTGTTTAGTGTTGTGTGTGTGTGGGTGGGTGGGTGTGTGGGTGTGTACACTGTGGGTGTCCTGAATGTCAATGCTATCTGCACCGGTTACAACTCCGATTACTCGCATAAGGAAGTGACGTAAGAAATCCTAGATGGTCATAGATAACCGAGGTAACTGAGTAACCGAGTAGAAAAATACAGATAGAGAAAAAAAAAGCTAACCATTGGTAAAATGTATGGATTGTAGAAATCCGGTTGAAGAAGCCCCGGATCACATGAATGTCATGATGCATCACATGTTTAAGCAAACCTTTGGAAGCCTACATCGTCTGTGCGCTTAAAACAAGAGATATAATGGGTGTAAAATATAGAAAGAGAAAGAGGCAGAGAACGTGTGTGTATGCGTGAGGCAACAAGTCACTTACTTGACAACGATCACAACAAAATACATTGATGATCTGTTTTTACTTTGGCATTTATTCGAAGCAAAAACATATAAACAAAAAATAAGCTCAAAATCATATGTTTTTTATATTAATGGTATTTTAAACCAATGAGACTACAAGATTTAATAGTATAGTTTCCTTTCTAGAAACAATAGACAAATTTGCTTAACACTGATATTGAAACGTACACTATTTTTAATCCTTACAAACAACTTAATAAATTGTAATTTCAATCCCAGTCACAATTCTCAACTATATATATATATATATATAAATCCACAGACCTCTCCCCCAACCTAATAAGAATTATAAGAAGGGTTTAAGATGACGTCTGGTGATTGGATTAAATGATATTTAGTATACTTGAAATACATACACATGTCCATGTCCATGTACATAAAAGTGTTTTTGTGTGTATTTGCAGGGTTATAATTTTATGATGATAATATTATTATTATTATTTTTAACTGGATCAAATCTGATTGGAATTTGCTTTGGCCCAACAACTTTTGTGTATCTTTTGGTCGCGCATTTACAGCTCACTTTTATTTTGGTGTATATATTTCTGGGCCGGACCGGTCGCTTTTTGATGGTCGGACTGGGTACAAATGAAATAAAGATGCGTCAGGAGAAAGTGGGGAAGATAAATACAGGAGAGGAAGAGGGGTGTGACTCGAGAATGGATATTATATACTTTTTATATTATGTATATTTTTATATATATAGTATTTTGAATGTATCACAACCGCTCAAAACCAAAGGTTATAAAAAGAGTTCTTTACTTTAACCTAAGCTATCTCATCTTTCTCTCTTTCTTTGTAAAATGACTGTCGGCTTAGCTAGTCACTTTGCCGGTGTATCCCTTGACCCTAATGATTTAAAGGCCCAGCAAAAGGCCCTCGACCTTGTCCTCCAGGATTTTGATGTCTCGGCCGAGCGCATGGGAGCTATTGTGGACCAGTTCAATTCTGAAATGCGTAAAGGTCTCGCGGCTCCAAAGGCAACCGGTAAGACCTCATTTCTATCTAGATATTCTTTGGAATCTAATTATTTTATGCTTGAAATAGTTGCTATGATTCCTAGTTTTGTTACCGGTAAACCTACTGGCGAGGAAACCGGACGTTATCTGGCTCTCGATCTTGGAGGCACCAACCTACGCGTCTGTGAATTCTCCCTGCTGGGTCAGGGTGAATACAAGGTCCACCAACAGAAATACGTAATTTCAGATGAGCTCAAGACAGGCGATATGCGAAACCTGTGCGACTTTATTGCAGACTGTGTTGACAACTTTGTGACCGAGAACGGGTCCGATAGTCTCGAAAGCAACCTCCAGCTTGGCTTTACCTTTTCATTCCCTGTTCTCCAGACTGAGATTAACCGCGGTACATTGATTCAGTGGACCAAGGGATTCAACTGCACAAATGCTGTTGGTAAGGATGTCGTTGTCCTTTTGCAAGACGCCTTCCTCCGCAAGAACGTGAATGTGCACATTGCTGCCGTAAGTATTACTATATATTTTCTGTCTCACTCGTAATCATTACTTCTTTTATTATTTTTTATTCTGGGATTTCCCGTTCGGAACCTAGCTTTTGGGTTTATTATTTTATTTTATTTTAATTGGGAAAAGTAACAAAAATCCAGTCAACTAAAAACACCGCTCCCCACGGGATTTTTTTTTTTCATTTGGATAATCCAATATTAGCTTGTGAACGATACCGTCGGTACCCTTATGGCCCACGCCTACAAGTATCCAGAAACAAGCATGGGTGTAATCTTGGGAACAGGAACCAACGCCGGTAAGTTATACTTTATATATATATTTTATTATAATATATATATATATATATACAAGAAATTAATTTACTTAATTTATGTGTACCATTTGTAGCTTACTATGAGAAGCTAAACTCTATCAAGAAGTGGGAAGGTGGTGCTGTTGCTTTCGACGATATGGTTGTTAACATGGAATGGGGAGCGTTTGACAACGAGAGACGTGTTCTGCCCTTAACCATCTACGACAACAAGCTTGACCGTGAGTCTATCAATCCCCGCCAGCAGATCTTTGAAAAGATGATTTCGGGTATGTATCTTGGTGAGATTGCTCGCAATGCTTTGTTGCAGCTTGTCGATCGTCTCTTGCTATTCAAGGGTGTGTCTTCGCCCGAGTTGAACAAGCAATGGTGCTTCGAGACCGCATACATGTCAGCAATCAGCAGTGATACATCTGAAGATCTCGAGGAGACACAACACATTTTGGAAGCAGTCATGCAGATTCCCTCAACATCGCTCATGGATCGTGAGATGGTTAAGCAAGTGTGTATCGCAGTCGGTCGCCGTGCTGCCCGTCTTTCTGCATGCGGTATTGCTGCCGTTATTTCCCAGCAGGGTTCTATCGGCCAGGACACCCTTGTGGCCATTGATGGTTCCGTTTACGAATTCTATCCCAACTTTGAAAATGACATGACCCAGGGACTCACAGATTTGTTTGGTGAGAAGGACGGTAGCTGTGTCAGATTCGCATTGGCACGGGATGGCTCTGGTCTTGGTGCTGCTATCATTGCAATGATGTCCCATAAGGCTGCTAAGCTCAAGGCAGGATCCCTTTAAGTAGCAAATAAGCACATCATATTCTTTATTTTATTCTATCTTCTATTCTATTCCTCCATTCTGGACTTAGTAAACACTCCATTGTTGTACAGAACTCATTAAATACTATACATTTATCTCAACCACCTTTATTGACTCTCTTTACACCAACAAAACAACAGAAAAAAAATAAGCTCAAAAAAGACAGCCATAAAGGGAGAAACCCTGGATGTCGGCGTGCGAATATCAGGCCTTCCCCATACAAGTTTTTCCCTTTTTTTCAGTTTCTTTATTTTTGTCCCACAATATCCCTTGTTACTTTTTTCATTACGGAATTTAAGAAACACCCTATAAACCATGCCACACAAAAATGTATTTATTTTATCAAAGGCTATAATCCTTTGGTGCTTTCGTCCTGACCAATGTATTGGGTATTGTGTACACAATACTTTTCACAGGTACCAAAAAACTTTAGTATGTTCACTCCGCTTATTATCCAAAAACTTCTTTCACTCAATTCAAACCACAAACATAAAAGATTGCAATGGCATGACATCTATATATAACAACCAAAATAACCGCTTGATATCAATATCAACCTCGAGACTTCCTTGGGTCCTTTGATTACAGCCAAAAAAAGAAATAAAAAAGGGAAAACAAAGATAAACAAAGACACCCCGCCCTGTTCAGTATTCCAACCAAAGGCGTTCCGTCCATTCCCGCCTAGGGTCTCAATTCAACTTCGCTCGATCATGCAAGGCTGGAATATATATATACAGATTTATATATAACGACCCCGGGAAAAACACTGAGGTGTGATGGTACACAAGCGTTCAATACATGTACACATAAAAAGACATGCCACCCTGTCTTACGGTTCGATTGTGTGGCATAATCAGCATTTAAGTCTCCTCTAAACTATCTTGCTCACATAAGCAGTACTGTCTTTTCAACAGGTTTTGGAATATCCGTTTTTTGTCTTTGTTTTTTGTTTTTGTAAGTGGATAGTCCATTCATGCTCTTTTACCTCGAGTGTGATTATTTACTACATGCCCTACACCAAACAGTATAGAGAAATATAACATTATTAACAAATAAATATTATATATACATATGAGTGAGCAAGTAAATATAAAGATTTATATAATTACCTTGTACTTCATGTCAAACCTCTTTACTATTGTTATTAATTTTCTCTCTCTAAATGTTGGTATAAAATCTTCTGAATTTATCTTATTGTCTAATAAAAGAAAAGAAGAGAAAAATGTCAATTTAGCATCCTTTCATTTACTCTATCCACTTGCTATATATGTGTATGTATATATATTTCTCTTTCATGGAGCCTTTTTCTTGTTTTTATTAGCACACGCCCACTGCTTAGTAAACAATACGTAGTAAAGTTACGAGTAGCTTCTAGCAGCTACGATGAAGCTGCCAAATTTGTCAGCATAATAGGTGGCTTATCTGTCTTTAAAAAAAAGTGAGACTTGGACTTGTCATTTTTCCTCGTCCATCTCGCCACGCCCGATCAACCTCATTTATAGTCTTTTATTTCTCTCTTTAAAAAAGAGAAACACGAGAAATAGCTATGGCAGGAACAATAGACGCAGGGCTTCAGAATTCCTACAAGACTGTAGAAAAATCGCTTATCCTCAACAAGCCACTTGACCAGACTGTAACTTCGCAGATTCCTGCTGCTGTGCGTCAAGCTTTTGAGGATATTGTGGCTGGACGATATGGTAATGTCATTCAAAACAGCCCAGTATTCAAGGATGCCCATGAAGATCGCGCAATTATCTTAGAAACCGGAAGTGTTGAAGAATGGATCACCAAACGCCTCGCCAGCTTAGCCAAAGATGACGAAACTAGCATGCACCTTCTTGCTACTGGAATTGCATGTCTTAATGCATTTGTTCAGATCAACTGGACCGGTCCCATATTCAACCTTGCCTTTGAGTCTCTTTTTTCTGCTGGTGACAAGGAAATCGAAGAAACCCTAAAGTCCAAGATTCAAGCCAGCTGTCTTTCTTCCCTTTCGGCCGATAGTGAAGAAGTCTACCATTTGACAGAACAACTGGGTTGGTTGGCTGCTGCTCGCAAAATCCTTTTGAACGATGATCTGCGTCACTCTAGATACACCGCCGCATTCTGGGCACAGCGCGCTGTCTTTATCCAACAGCAACTTCTCGATGAAGGTTCCGGATCTATCCAGAGTTTGATCATTCTCTTATCGGCCGAAAGTTCTTCCAAATTCGGCATTAACAACGTAGACCTCGATAAAGAGACTTTGGCTCTCAAGGTCCGCCATAGTCTCGAGATGGGTCTCATCTTGAGTTTCTATGGCCAGGACAAGGAGGCGTTTGAAAAGATGACCGAGTCACAAAAGGCATCTGGATTTGAGTGGTCTTTGACGGGTGCACTTGGTAGACGTACCAAGTTCCAGACATTCGATGTCTCTCAGCTCGTTGTGCATGCCGAGAGTAAGAAGGAAGATAGCACCGCCAATACTGATGAAGAAGCACCTAGACCAGAGACCTTGGAATTAGATGATGACACTATATTGGATGACGTAGCTTATGCAAAGACAGAAGAGAACGACAAGGATGAATCTAAGCGCCACGGAAACCTTAACATTATCGATCAATGTCTCTTACTCGCTTTCTGTCTCAATGTCAAGAACACCAACCCTGACCACGGTATCACAACCGAAGAAATGAACCCTTATGTTGTGCGTGTTCTAGGAAACATCAACAATTGGATGGTTCACACTATGGCTCTCTTACTCCGTACCCGCCTCGAGGCTCATAAAACAAGAACCGTGGAACGCTCGGCCCTTCAGCTCCAGGCCCTTGTAGATCAAATCAAGGTAGATGATTCTGGACCAGAAGAGCGTCTGGCATATTTTTACGACCTGCTGTTGCCTAGCAAGTGGGATATGGAGCGTGAGTTGGCCGGCAGGTTTGTCTCCCTCGGTGTTGTGCGTTCTGCCCTGGAGATCTTTGAACGCCTGGAGATGTGGGAAGATGTGATTTCATGCTACCAGATGCTCGAACAGCCACTTAAGGCTAAACAAGTCATCGAGCGCTTAATGGCCGAAAACCCCAACTCCGCCAAGCTGTGGTGTATCCTTGGTGATATCGAGGTGAGCCCCGAGTATTGGAAAAAGGCCTGGGAGCTGTCCAACCACACCTTCGCTCGCGCAATGCGTAGTCTGGGGTCTTATTACTACAAGCATGAGAACTTCCCTGAGGCCATCGAGTGTTACAAGAAAGCCCTGGACATCAACCCTCTCTTTGAAGGTTCTTGGTATGTTCTCGGTTGTGCTGGTATGCAAGCAGAGCAATGGGATGTTGCCATGCGTGCCTTCCAGCGTGTGGTTGCACTGGATCAAGAGCAAGCAGAGGCATGGAACAACCTTTCCAGTATCTATGTCCGCCTTGGCCGCAAACCCGATGCCTTCTTGGCTCTTAAGCAGGCTACACGCATCAAGTTTGACAGCTGGAAGATGTGGCAGAACCTACTCTATGTTTCTGTTGATATCGGTCAATTTTCAGATGCAATTTGGGCCATGCAGCGTATTGTCGACATGAGATGGGATAAAGAGCGTGAAGACGCTGTTGATGTACCTGTCTTGCGCCTGATTGTTGAGAGTGTGATCCAAAACTGGAAGGATGCCCATGACCGTGATGGTTCCAGACTCGCAGGCCAGGTTCAACGCCTATTAGAAGATGTTATTCTGGCACGCATCACCAGCTCACCAGATATCTGGTCTATCTGTTCAAAGTTTTACCTCTGGCAGGAGCGTTACACTGATGCCCTGGAGGCATCACTCAAGGCTTACAGAGCAGTTATGCATGACGTACGGATAGAAACGGATGAACGTGTGTTTGATGAAGTAGCCAACCTGGCTTTGGACACTGTGGATATGTATGAAACCTTGGGCGAGAAGAAGGAGAACGGTGCTCTTGTTTGTGCAGACTGGAAGTATCAGGCTCGTCTGATCGTCAAGGGTTTGATGGGCAAAACCAGAGATAACTTTGAGGATACCGCAACATACGAGCGTCTTAAGGAAAGATTGGAAGACCTGAAGCGCTCCTAAATAATGATAAAAATATGTTATAGAAGTATATATATATAAACAAAATGTGATCTTTCAAGTAATAAACATATACAAAGTTTACAATTGCATGTTAAGCATACATACCCATATTAATGACTATCATACTTTATGCATTCTGCCAAATCAAGTGTAAAACCCCTTTAACTACCCCAGCCTAACTTGTCTATTTTCACTTGATAATATATCTCGGCAAAAGAAATAGTAATAAAAATATAAACCTTTTGAAAGAAAAAAAAGTATAATTGCTAAAAAATTAATATTGAAGGATGTATTTTGTAATGTATCAATACTTGTTTATTCTTCTTATTTGAATTCAAATTATTTTTGCACTGTAAATATAATTACACAAATGTGTATGAAATAACGAATAGAGTGTACTAAGTACTAATTGGTATTAAAGATATAAAATTGTTTGTAGATAATGATACCTCTTTTATATTATGTCCATATTAAACATCTTGTGCACAGTCTGTGTAAATACAATGAGGACATTCGCTTGCGTATTCAGCCCACTGCACCTTTTCTGCCTCTCTTTCAAACGTATATTTCTTTATTTCTTCTCATCTCTCATTTCTCCATTTTTTTCACATTTTTTCTTTCTCCCATTCCAATGCATCTTCTTTACAATGTTCATCCGGATTAGCTAAATTCAGCTAAACATTTTGCGCCATCGGCATTTTCAACAATCATTCTGAATTTTCTTTATAGACTTTATAGACAAAAATAGCCTACACAATTAAACGCAGTGATCAACATAATTACAAAATCATACATGTTATATCTTTATTCTATTATATTTCTTTTCGAATTCATTTAATTATATTAATTCTATCTTATAAATGAACCCTCCTAATTACAACATTGAACTCTTCAATCAAGCAAAAAAAAAAGTTTAAAAGCGTGTTTTTTTTTATTGGAGACGATACTAGTTAAAAAAGACTTTATTTATTTATTTAAAGATATACATAAAGAAACTATTCTATTTGATTTAATTTCACTTAATGTTCTTTTACATGAGTAAAATAATAAAAAGCATGACACCAAGTTCTTTGTCCCCGCATTACGCGGCTCAATCTCCTTCAGGACGTAAACCTGACTTGGTAGCGAAGGAGGTGCTGGAATGGTGGCAAACCAACGGAAAGCACCCGTTCATCCAGCCCCACATCTCGTCACCGAGTAATGTGGGTGCGAACTCGCCAGAGAACTTACCACTAGGTGATAAGGTCCAGCTCATTCGACTACCAGTAGCTTCACCGTCAGCCGTTAAAGAGTTCAGTCAGGTTAGCAGTGAAGAGCCAGCACATCTCACCACAGGTTAGACCTCCCTCCCCCCAGCATCATGATTCCACATTGGCGATGCGATGTACACAGTAGTCCTTCCAAAAATGAAAAGAGACCATGCCCCACGACTTCTCAGAATTAACTGAGCTGGCGAGTAACAACTTTCACTTTCCGATGCTTGTAGCATGGAAGAATCTCCCTGCAACGGTCGCAAGAGACGCCTCACTATGAAACCGGGACTGTTGTTGCTCAAGGAGAAAACAAACGACGCGCGTTGGAGGAGGTCTATATGTAACAGAAAATTTTTCATCTGCGATTAAAGTTTAGGACTGCGCTTTCTGTCAGTCTTAGATGTTCACGTCAGAGCAAACGTGACATAGCTATATATTCTTTTTACTGGGTTTGTGTAACTGTTCTAAGGCAGAAGAGACAGCTAATAATATTCACTCAGAGTACTTATGAAGTCAACTTTGTAAGGTGAAGTAAAGTAAAGTAAAGAAGCAAAGAAGTAAAAGAGTAATGAAGAGTTTGGTTTCGATCGGTGTAGCAATAACTCTTAAAGTGGAGTACAAGTTTCTATAACAGCGATTCGCAGGTTACTTTAAAGTGGTCTGTGCGCTTCTTGTTCAAGGACACAAGAAAATGTTTTTTATTTTGTTTGTGCAAATAAACACAAAAGGGACCCACCATCTGCTAGAAAATTAACTCACATATATCTCAAAGCAATATTAAGCAGTAAAGAAAGGGCAGAAAAAAAAGAAAGCAAAAGCTATATATATATATATATAGTTGCTATTTTCAATTGGAAAAGAAATGAGATACTAGAGACCCTGCTAAGGGTTTGACCAGAAAATAGTCTAGATATATTTTCAGCTTAGTCAAGATCAATTTTAATTTGGTTATGAGGATGATTGAGTAGTTGACAAAGGTAATGCCGATTCTACAACAATAAAGATTCGATGCTTCATTGCGATATACAATTAAGACTTTATTAGTAATTCGATCTAGGAAGAAAGGAAGAAATTACCCCAGTAGAATCTATACTTTACAAAGAAAAATACTATAAGATAATGATATTATTTTTAAGGCCAAAATATATTACTGGATATTAATATTTCTTTTTCTCTTTAAGCTTTCTCCTTTAGTTTTGCTTTTAATACATTGATGCTATAATATTTAAATATTTTAGAATTTAGAATGCGAATATTAAAATGCTTTTTAAAACAAAATAACTTGACTTGCACTTTGTAACAATTTTTACCTAATCTCAATAGTTTAGACTGTAAAGAAAAAAAGAAGCACTCGTATAAGTTTTGCAAAATATTTGAAGCATTAGCCCAAATACACCAGGATTAATCCCATAAATTTCGAGAAAATATAGGTGCTTATATATTGAGGCTTTTAATATTTTAACCAAACCGATCATAATATTGAAAAACACTTTATTGTGAACTAAAACTTTCTTTTCCACTTTGCTCATGCAACCTTGCCTTTTGTAAAAAGGCAAACTTGATCGCTCTTTTTTGTATTACAGATTAATTTCACGACCCGGTATTTAAATATGAGATAGAGAGGTATAGCTAGCTCTCGATAGAACATTCTACCTGGAAATAGTATAGGTTATATTCTACAATTCTAAAATATATGCTGGTATATTGTTCTAGTCCTTTATTCCACTAATAATTCTGCTGTTGTCGCGGTTACATAAAATGAGAAGACGGTATTGGCTACACAACAGAAGTACAAGGCCGCAGGAATCTCTTTTTATACGTTTTAAGCTCGTCTTTAATAGGCCCTTAAACTTGCTGGTACCTGAGTACTACTTTTACATTTTCCTTTTGGGTTCTTCTTTACTGACAGAAAGCTTCAATACTTTATTGTTCTTCTTCATGCACAAAGCCTGCTTCTCAAAGAATTAACACATAAAATTACTCTATAGATGATAAGCCACATAGATAAATCAATCTAATAGATGGAATTATTCTATTGGACGATCAGTGTTTACGTCATATCTCGCATATTCACTCATACACGTATAGAAAAATGGCTCTTCAGTGTGGGGGTAAGTAAACCCGCCTTTCTCATAAACACAACACAGAGAAATGTTCATGTAAGTAACAGAATTTTTAAAGAAAGTATACCTTACACATGTGGTGCTAATTATGATGAATTTATTTATGTAATTTGTAGTAATGTTACTTTGACATTTACCTAAATGCATTTTCCCAAGAAGTGAATGTAAGTAATCACAAAATAAAATAGAAAATACCCTTATTTCATTGAAACTCTTACTAACAATGCGTAGTTAATAGTAACGAAAAAGTCTGACCCGAAAGGGTCAGCCTTGACATCAGCTTGTCAAGAAAGCCTCTAGTGACGTCGTTGCGGTGAAAACCAAAGCGGCCAACCAAACCACGCCCAGTTAATGGCTCTGGGAACGGCTAACAAGAAACACCGGTCTACTCTGGTCTCCTCTATTCTGACATCTGGTACAACGTGGTCAATCCGTCATAGAGAGGTGTAGCATAGGTGGGAGCCACCGGGCGCCAATGAAATACCACCACTCTCTATGACAAGCCAAACGGACTGAGGGCGAGCCCCCTATACTCTCCTCCCCGTTGATGTCAGATGTTGAGGTTCAAAGACGATCAGATAGACTGGTTTTTTATGGGTTGACAGCCGAACGTTCTAGCGACGCAGTTGACCTATAATAAAACCAACTCAACCCGTGCGATAGGCATCCATGTGTCTGGGGTATGACTGATTTAACAAGTTGGGACGCCTATTTAGCCCAAGTAGAAGAGTCAGTATAGAGTTTGGTCCGACTGTCATGATGTACTAGTCTACTTCTTGCTAGCTGGTACCCGATATTGTAACAGCAAATAGAGTTTTTTTTCGCAAGATAAATTACTTTATTCAAGCCTCCACTCTCTTGTGATCGGTGTTCTGATCCTGTTTTCGCGAAGATGTGCTTGTTCAATGAGTTTTTGACTGAACGCCTTTAAGTCATCACTCTGTGCTGGAAACAATGTTACTCGTTCTCCGTACAGCTTTGTACTTGACACCATATATTGTTTTTCGCTTATTACTGTCTAGGCAGTCGTAAGCAAAGACACCCTGATAATGCCAATTCTAGAACGGTAAAATCTCGTTCATCCCAAACGAAAAAGGCGGGGTCTCCAAACTTTATACGGTCTTTGTTGCCTAAAAAAGTGAAGTTCGCCCTTGTCTTTCGATTTCTTCCCCCCGTCTCGGTCTATAGTTAACTTTTTAGTTGGCTTGACAGGTGTTTTTCCAACCTTGGTTGGAAGAGCGTGAGTTCGAATCTCACAGAGACGTATTACTAGCAGCAAGCTAGTTACAACTTCGTATATATTATAATTACTAGAGCACAAGCTAGTCATAAAGAGTATTTCAATATAGTAAAAATATCATTTAATTGTAAAAAGATATTTAATGGACTGCTTACTGCTTGTCCTTGACCAAAAAAGTTACAAAAAACCCTAACATATCGGCGTCCTCATGGCAAGTATTTCTAATATGTACGAGTTCAAAATCCCGTCTGCTGACCATCCTCACCTCAGTACAAACTATCTTGCGGGAATTACTTAAACAAAAACAAATTGGAAAGTCTTTTATAATAGGCATTGAATCATTTCTGACTCTCTATCTAGCGTCAAGGTGTAAACACACATCGATTTATAACATCATTGCTGTTGATGTCCCACTCAAATAAGTTAATGATATTACTATGTTAGCTGTTCAGAAAATTTGCAAGCTGGGGATCCTCTAGAG